GGTTTTAACTCATTACTTATAAGCTTCGTACAGCACCTGCCATTATAGTTAACATACAGTTTGTACTCTCAATTCTCTGCCATTTTTATTTCTGTTCTTTCTGACAATTAACCCAAGCCCAAAGTCAAATACCACGCAAAGAATTTTGGGTTCATGCTACAGCCTAATTAGTATTCTATGGAAACTAAAAAAGTGGGTTATTAGACTCGGAATAAAATACCCACAAAAATTGTTATTTTTGGATTTTAAGGCTTTTTATAGTATGATACTGTGAAGGTTTGGTGCGAGAGGGTGATTTATAATAAGTGGTTAAAGAAGGGCAGGACATAGTATTATGAATTTTGTGCGATTTTGTGTTTTGTAAAGAAAGTTTTTGCTATTTTTTGAGCTGTAAAGAAAGTTATTGCTATTTTCTGTTTTGTAACAAAAGTTTTTGTCATTTTTTGTTTTGTAAAGATAGTTTTTGCTATTATATTTTGTGTTTTGTAAAGAAAGTATTTGTCATTTCGCATTTTGAAAAGAAGTTTTTTGATATTTTTTTTATTTGTAAAGAAAGTTCTTGCCATTTTTTTGTTCTGAAAATAATTTTTTTTGCAATTTTTTGCTTTGTAAAGAAAGTTATTGCCATTCTATGGCTTGTAAAAGATTTTTTTGACATTGTTTGTTTTGTAAAGAAAGTTTTTGCTAAACCTTTGCAAAATCAAATTTTCTTTAAATTTTAAGCCCACTTCCTCCAAACGTTTCGAATACAATTCGGTGAGCAAGAATTTCATTATAATTCCTGCGCATAAGTGGAATTCTGGTGTTTTTTGTTTCGGAAAAGTGTTTTTGACGATTTTTTTTGTGTTTCGAAAAAAATACTTTTCCTTTTCCGAATCGAACCCATCTGACTTTGACGGCGTTCCTTTCACATCGTTCCGACGTTTTTTTGCTTCAAAAAACTTCTTTTGAGGGCTGAATTTGTGGAAATTTGGCTGATTTTAAATTGGTCTTTTTAGTCTTTGGCTATATTAGGAAACTTGGCTGATGTACTTAATGGTATTTCATTTTTAGGCTTTATTTGGCTTGTAAAGAGGGCTTTGTACTAATCTAGGGTAAAGACAAAGGAAGGGTAAGAGATCTGCTAAGAAACGTTTAAGGTATGACAAGACAGCCTATGGCAGGGCAGAAGAAAGCTTTAGGCTTAGCAGCAAACACGTTAGGCTTAGCAGTACCTATTTTAGGCTTAGCAGTAGATAAACTTAGGCTTAGCAGCGCATATTTTAGGCTTAGCAGTACACATTTTAGGCTTAGCAGTACCTATTTTAGGCTTAGCAGTAGATAAGTTCAGGCTTAGCAGCACACATTTTAGGCTTAGCAGCACACATTTTAGGCTTAGCAGCACACATTTTAGGCTTAGCAGCATACATTTTAGACTTAGCAGCACATAATTGTAAGCTTAGCAGCACACATTTTAGGTTAGCAGTAGATAAATTTAGGCTTAGCAGAACACATTGTATTGTTTAGGGTAGTATCTTATGGCTAGAAGTTTTGAAAAAATGAAGATTTGTCACGAAAACATAAACGAAAAGTGGAATTGATCCTTAAGAGTACAAGGTCTACCTATACAAATCGCTTTTATTTACATTACTTTGTGTTTTTATGACTTTCGAACGGTTTTTTTATGTTTTTGTCTTTGAATTTTGAGCAAGTGGAATTTGGTTTGTCATCATTTTTATCAAAATATAGCAAGGACTTTCTTTACAAAACAAAAAATTTTGAAAATTGAAAAACGGCAAATACTTTTTTTACAAATTTTGTTGTACTTTTATTAGGTTGTTCACATAATTCTGCGTCCCTTACACCACAAATTTGTTTTGAGAGGGAGCACAGAATTAAGTGAACTAATAAATATTAGACTGAATCAAAAGTAGCGGGACATTGTCTAGTTTAAAAACAAATGAAAAGTGTCCCGCTACTTTCGGTCCACCCCAATAATATTGACTACGTTGTAGAATTGATGAGACAAACACTTTTACGATGAACAAATAATTTTGTATGTAATTAGGTACTATGCAATGTAATTATAGCCTGGGTTTTATGACTTTGAGATGAATGGAAATGAATCTTTAGTCTTGTCTTTAGGGTTCTAAAGCCGGTTTGTTTCTGAGTTTCAGGTGATCATAGGATTCATATAGGTATTTTTAATTAACACAGGGTTTATATTACCTTAAGCTTTCATATGCAAGTGTACTTTACCCTACCCTACCCTACCCTACCCTACTTTACCCTACCCTACCCTACCCTACTCTACCCTACCCTACCCTACCCTACTTTACCCTACCCTACCCTACCGTACCTTACCCTACCCTACCCTACCCTACCCTACCCTACCCTACCCTACCCTACCCTACCCTACCCTACCCTACCCTACCCTACCCTACCCCTACCCTACCCTACCCTACCCTACCCTACCCTACCCTACACTACCCTACCCTGCCCTACCCTACCCTACTTAACAACCGCTATCTTCAAGCCTAGGCCAAAGGCCAGGTGGCTTCAAATTTCGCCGGGCTTCAATTCATCACCAGTCGGAATAAATTAAAACGGAACGTTTTTGGGGTATTCACCGTTCCGTTCCTCTTTTTTTATTTTCTCATGAAGGATTTTGTTTCTTCTAGTATTACTTTCTCCCTTTTAACGCAAAAATGGTCCAAAAAACGGGGGGGGCAAACGACAACCGGCTTTCTCTTCTCGCTTTATATAACATTTACACGTATGAACCTTTGACACATGCTGTAGCAGCTTCTAGGCACGTACGGGTTCCGTAGCGTTTTGTAGGTGGGTTCTAAAGGGGGGGGTTTAGGTTGGTTGTAAGTGGGATTTTGTGATCTTTATTTTTGAGGGGTTGGGGTTGCAATGGTGAATCATTTTTTGTTGTCAGCAGGTGGCTTTAGAGTTTTCTATTTATAGTTAATGGTAGAAGATGTTGGTCTTAAGTTTTAACGTTTTTTTAAAGGGGGGGGGTTCATAAAATGCAAAATATTTTTAATTTTAAAAATTGTGTTTAAGTTTTCTTACCTTCATTTACCTCCCCACCTGCTTATCTTTCTAAAATTTGTTTTGTCTACCCCAGCCTTAAAATTAGTTTTCTCTACCCCGGCCTTAAAATTAGTTTTCTCTACTCCAACCTTGATATAATTTACCCCATTCTATCTATAAATTTTAAATAAGGCACCCTACCCTCAAAACTCATACAACCTAGCCTACTTTGCCTTAAGCACCATCCCCTCCCATCAGAATTAATAATATTATAAATCCATGTGTTCCAAACAAAGTTTTGGCGGATTTTTTCCGCTGTCCGACCCGCAAGAAAAACTTTTCGGGGGGAGAGAAAAACATTTGAGGAGTCATTCACGGCCGTCTTTTTTGGCCCCGCCACTTCAGAGCGTCGTCCCATTATTACGGGGGAACGGATTTGGCCAAGAGTCCCTCTGTTTTCGGCCCAATATTATGGGAAAATATTCCCCGCTATTTTATCGATAAAATTTTAAAGTTTTTTGTAATTTATGACCGCATTTCTGGAATTTTTGTTCTGTTTTGGTTAGGTTTGTTGAGTTTTTGTTGATTTTGGGCATTCTTTTTTGAATTTTTTATTGTTTTTGAACAGTTTTTTTTTGTATTAGGTGCTGACATAAAGAACCCGCCATTTTTTACAGGAAGTTACAGGCAAAGTATGGCGGGTTCTTTATGTCGGCACCTAATATTTTGTAAATATTACAACTAATTTTACATTATCTTTGTTGGCTTTTAATTGAATTTTTGCTTTGTTTTGGATAAGTTCAGTGTTTTGCCCGGACCGGTCCGGAGCGTTTTTTACCGGTCCGGTCTGGCGATTTTAGGGTACGGTTCAAACTTAACATTTTTGGGTTCCGTCCGGTCTAAACTCAAAATTTTTGAGTCCGGTCCGGTCCAAACTCAAAATCGCAATTTTTTTTCATTTCTAAAAAAATAAAATTTTTTTGTACCGGTCTGGAGCTTTTTTTTCGGTCCGGGTCCGCCGGTTTTTGGCTGGTCCGGTCCGGTCTACAAAAATTTTGTTGGCTCCGTCCGGTCCGGCAAAACACTGAATAGCTTTATATCATGTTTGTTGGCTTTAAGCTGATTATTAGGGTTTTTAAAAAATTTCTGTACGTATTATCATCCGCGTATTTTACATTTTCAACCCAACTTTTCGAATTTAAACAACATCTTTTTCAGGTATTCATGTGAATACATGTACATAAAAAACTTGGCCCCAGCAAAGTTGTAAAAAGTTTGTTTTTGTCATTGTTGTAAACATTTGTAAGGCCCATTGTATTAGTAGTGTGTTAGGTATTGGTCGCTTCGTATGATACTGTAGAGCATATTGTTGGTACTACTATTAGAAACAATCGACGTTTGGTACTATTGCTAGAGGAATTTTATTTTGGCTTGGTACTACGGTTAGAAAAAGTTCGTCACTTTGGTACTACTGCTACATTATATTGAACTAGGACTATTGGTACAATAATTACTTATTTGTACTACAAATAGGACGATTATACCCGGATTGTTAGTACTGGTACTAAGACGTTATCTTTGTGTAGCACTACCGGTACTAGAAATTATTGGAATATAGTACCACGGTTTCAAAATAGACGTTTTGGTATTACTGGTACTAAAAATTATTACTACTATAGTACTACTGCTAGAAGACCAATTGTTTTGGTACTACAAGAATACTCGACCGGTTAGCAGAGAAATAACGTGTAGACTGAAGAGACGTTAGAGAAAAAGTTTGAAAAACTGCCAACTTGAAATTTCAAAGCCTCAGGACGTCTAATAGTCGTCATAGGATCAATAGAAGCTTTAGAAGTTGCCACAAAGTCTAGAAGTTGCCAAAAGGTCGAGAAGTTGCCACAAGGTGTAATAGCTGCTACATCGTCGAGAAGTTGCCACAATACCTAGTAAAATCAAGTAGAAATCGCTAGAACTAGAACATGAAGCAGCAACAACAAAAACCCGACTCCACCTCCCCCAGCAGCAACACCAATAGTTCGCCGCAACGCAAGAACGGCGGGGGCGCTGGCGCTCCCAAACCGGAATCTGAATCCCCGGAGCCGCAGTTCGAAGACGACAGTCAGAATCCGGGCAAAATGTTCATTGGCGGGTTGAGTTGGCACACGTCCGCCGAAGGGCTCAGAGATTACTTTAGCAAGTTTGGAGAAGTCAACGAGTGTATGGTGATGCGGGATCCGGCTACGAAGCGGGCACGGTGAGTTGGTTTTTTTAGGCAAGAACTTTCTTTACAAAACAAAAAATGGCAAGAACTTTCTTTAAAAGACAAAAAATGGCAAGAACTTTCTTTACAAAACAAAAATGGCAAGAACTTTCTTTACAAGACTTAAAACGGCAAGAACTTTCTTTACAAAACAAAAAATGGCAAGAACTTTCTTTACAAAACATAAAATAGCAAGAACTTTCTTTACAAAACAAAAATGGCAAGAACTTTCTTTACAAGACTTAAAACGGCAAGAACTTTCTTTACAAAACAAAAAATGGCAAGAACTTTCTTCACAATTTAAAAAATAGCAAGAACTTTTTTTACGAAACATAAAATAGCAAGAACTTTCTTTACAAAACGAAAACTAGCAAAAACTTTCTTTACAAAACAAAAAATGACAAGAACTTTCTTTACAAGTCTTTAATTTCAGTGGATTCGGCTTCATAACCTTTGCGGACCCGAATGCGGTCGATAAAGTATTGGCAGAAAACGAGCACGAGTTGGATGGAAAGAAAATCGACCCTAAGGTAGCGTTCCCTAAAAAGACTCAACCCAAAATGGTAGTCCGAACCAGGAAAGTATTTATTGGTGGATTGTCACCTACATCAACATTGGACGATCTGAAGAACTACTTTCAACAGTACGGCAAGATAGAGGATGCTATGTTGATGTTCGATAAAGTTACGCAACGGCATCGGGGTAGGTTTTTATTTTTAGGGTAGGGCAAGGTACGGTTAGGCCCGGCTAAATCAGAACTTTTTTGCTCAGGTCTGGCCCGGCCCAAATTTTTTTTACGTGGAGACGGGTCTGGCCGGACTTTCATTTTCAGGCCCGGCTTAATCTAAATTTGAGCCAGGCCCAGTCCGATGGGCCCGTTCTTTATGTAGGGTAGGGTAGAGTAAGGGTAGGGTAGGGTAGGGTAGGGTAGGGTAGGGTAGGGTAGGATAGGGTAGGGTAGGGTAGGTACAGTTAAACGTGGATAACGGGACGGGCCCACTTTTCAGGCCTGGCCCGATCTGAGTGTTTTGCAGGCCGGGGCCGGCTTAAATTTTTATACGTGGAAACCGGCCGGGCTTTTTCGGGATTTCCAGGCCGGCCCGACCTAAATTTTGCTCAGGCTTGGCCCAGGCCGGTGGTATGCCAGGCCCGTTTCCCGCGTTTAAATACTGTACCATACTACTGGTGCCGACATAAAGAACCGCCATTCTTTTCCAGTAGAAAATGAAGGGTTCTTTATGTCGCCATCTAATAAAACGCCCATAACGTTAAAATTTCAGGTTTTGGCTTTGTAACCTTTGACGACGATGAAGTTTCGGACAAAGTTTGTGAAATCCACTTTCACGAAATCAACGGTAAAATGGTGGAATGTAAGAAAGCACAGCCCAAAGAAGTAATGTTGCCGGTTCAGTTGAGTAAAAGTCGCGCAGCGGCCGCTAGGAATTTGTACGGACTGTCACCAGAACAGCTTTTGGGTGGGTTTTTGATGTCAAATAGCTCTCAGTTTTTGTAATTCTTTTAACAAATTTTAAATTTTAATTGTTATTTGCCGACATAAAGAACCCGCCATAATTTTCTTGTAATTTTCTGTCAAATATGGCGGGTTCTTTATGTCGGCGCCTAATAATTAAAATTAAAATTTTTTTTAATTTTAAAAGTTGAAAAATTGTTTTAGCCTACGCTTCATATGTACCAAGAATGCCACCGTATGGCGGGGGAAATTTACTGTATCCGGGGTGTAAGTTTTGTATTTTTTTTTAATTTTATATCATCTAGCTTTAGAATTAAGCCTAGCACTAGTCCTGACTCAAACTCTTTCCCTAAATTTAACTTTATTCTGTTTTATAGCCCGAGCTCTAGCCTTAAAATTAGTTCTAGACCTTGCCCTAGCTAGGCATGGGCGGGTCCAATTTGTTGGCCTTTCCACAATCTAAATTTTGCTCAAGGCCGGCCCGGACTGAAGTTTTTTACACGCAAACGGGCTTTTCACTACCCTACCCTACCCTACCTTATCCTACCCTATTCTTCCTTGCCTTTCCCAGACAAACGGACCAGGCCTAATTTTCTGGCTCGGCCCGATCAAAATTTTGCTCAAGCCCGACCCGGCCCAAGTTTGTTTTTATGTGAAAACGGACCGGCTCTGGTCTTGCTTTTCAGGCTCGACTTGATCTAAATTTTGCTCAAGGCCGGCCCGACTTATTCATATGTCTAACCCCAGCCCTACCTCAGCCCTACCATAACCTCACTGTTTTCAACCACAAAAACTTTGTTTCCAGTATTCAACGGCTTCTCCCAATCGTTCGGCATCTCTCCATCGGGTCGTAGTTCGGTGACGAATGCTGGGGCCGCTTCCAGTTCGGGTATTGTCACACCGCGCGATTTGGCGGCGGCACAGGCCGCGGCCCAACAACACGCCTACGAAGCGGCGGTGGCCTACATGGGCGGACACAACGATTACTACCATAATCAACAGTCCATACCCAACAACTTTAACAAAATGTGATCGACAATATTGTTTTAGGCAGTGGTTGGGTAATGTACTGAGACTTGGTACTATTTTAATTTTTTGGTACTATACAGTACCATACTATAAAAAATGAAAAACCTGTTGTTTAGACCATTGAACTACTGAAAACTTTATTTTTAAGACTTTTTGGATATTAAACTAGTACCAAACTTACAGTACGCCACCATAGTATTCTAATATTGTCAAACTGCACCATTTCAGCAGATTAGCCTACATACAGTAGTATTTTTAGACTTATTTAGTGTATATTGTATTTTTTACAGTAGTCTTTTTCTTAATTGTAGTTTGAGTCAAGTTTTTCTCCCACTCTGTGTCATGTCTTCTTCTCACATTGTGGTGGTGTGTCAAGTGTTTCTCTCGTTATTCTACTATCATTTTAATCCTTTAGGCCTTACGAATTTGAAAAGAACCCGGTTAGAGAGAGCAACAGTGATAATATAGTGTAATTATAGCCTAAAATTATGTTTTGTCAATTGGTACAAACTGGTACTAGTGGTACACATAAATTTTTTTGAAAAAAATTTTTTACGCTTACGTTGTCGTATCTTAAAAAAACAAGTTCACAGTACCACATGCTGTGCAGTACCACATGCTGTGCAGTACCACATGCTGTGCAGTATCACATGCTGTACAGTACCATGTGCTTGATAGTACTGCTAATAGTACTATTTGCAAGTACCAGATAGTACTATTTACTATAGATAGTATAAAAATTTTTGTGCCAAATTTATTCAAATTTAAATTTTAAACAATAATTTAGGGCTAAAATACGGGAAAATTATTCAAAAAATGGAAATTAACATCCAAAAAGAGTACCATTTGCATGTTTTTTGTCTCACTAAAGCACAAATCGAATGTCTTCATTAGGTAATAGCTGGAGATTGCTACTTTAATTATAGTATTTGTGATTTTAGTATTCTACTGTACTTTTCGTTGTGGGACCGAAATAGTTTGGTACTGGTACTTTATTTAGTACTGAAGCTGTAGTGCTGGTACTATATTTAGTACTGAAGCTGTAGTACTGGTACTATATTTAGTACTGAAGCTGTATTAGGGTTATATTAGAGGTTAGATCACCACCCTGAACAGCGTTAGCACTTTCATGCAGTACTAAACAGAATTAGTACTAATACAGTACGAAAATAAGTAGTACAACATACATTACCAAACGTACAGTAACATAAGCGAAGAGTACCCCCAATATTTCCCCAGATAGCGTCTAGTGATACTTGTAATAAGTTAGGTTTGTAATATTTGTACTCATACTCATACTCACTTGACTGTTGGAACGAAGAAAAAAAGATCCCAAAACAATTATTAATATTCGAATTCTCTTACAATTGTAATCATTGATTATAAAACGATAAACGAGTATGTAACCCAAGTTCGGTATTGTTCTTGTTTCAGGTTAAATGGCATTAAATTGGTTTTCATATGCCTAACTGGTATAAACTCTTTTTGTAAGCTCAAATACTAAAAGTGTTAAGCAAAAGTTTTTTAATTAAGCCTAAAACACAATTTTTAAGCCTAAAATTTATTTTTATGCCTAAAATTCAGTTTATAAGCCTGAAATTCATTTTTAAGCTTAAGGTTTAGTTTTTAGCCTAAAATTCAGTTTTAAGCCGAAAATTCAGTTTATAAGCCTAAAATTCATTTAAGCCTAAACTTCGTTTTTAATCCTAAAATTCAGTTTTAAGTCTAAAATTCATTTTTAAGCCTAAAATTTATTTTTAAACCTAATATTTATTTTTTAAGCCTAAAATTCATTTTTAAGCCTAACATTTATTTTTAAAACTAAAATTCTAAGCCTAACATTCAATTTATAAGCCTAGAATTCATGTTTTAAGCCTATAATTCATTTTTTTAGCCTAAAATTCAGTTTTAAGCCTAAAATTCAGTTTTAAGCTTTAAATTAATTTTATAAGCCTAAAAGTCATGTTTAAGCCTAAAATTCATTTTTAAGCCTAAAATTGAGTTTTAAAATTTATTTTTAAGTCTACAATTTAGTTTTTAAACCTAAAATTTAGTTCTTAAGCCTTTCATTTTTTAAGCCAAGAAGTCATTTTTAAGCCTTAAACTCTCTAAAAAGCTCCTTCAAACGCCTAAACGTTTAGAAAAACCAAAAAATTTGCAAACCATAATTCGGCCGCAGAATTCAAAACTTCATTTCGGCCACTTTATTGTGAATAAGCGGAAAAGCCTGCGGGCAAAAAGAGAAACCGAGAATATTTGAATTTGCTTTTAACCCACTTTCGGCCGAATGCTGAGGAAATTCCCATTCTTTTTGGCTTTTTTTCTGTTTGAGGCTCTTGCTTTTTCTATTATTTGGACAAAGTTTTATAGGGGGCTTTGTTTTATAACAGCCTCAAGGTTTTTATTTTAAAATTTTGTCATTTTGTTTTGTAAAGAAAGTTTTTGCCATTTTTTCTTATGTAAAGAAAGTTATTGCCATTTTTTGTTTTGTAAAGAAAGTTCTTGTCATTTCTTGTTTTGTAAAGCAAGTTTTTGCCATTTTTTCTTATGTAAAGAAAGTTATTGCCATTTTTTGTCTTGTAAAGAAAGTTCTTGATATTTCTTGCTTTGTAAACAAAGTTTTTGTCATTTCTTGTTTTGTAAAGAAAGTTCTCGCGATTTCTTACTTATAAAGCCAATTTCTATCCTTTTCTTTATATATTTCGCAAATTCCAGCCACTTATTGACCAGCCATCGCCGAGCCAATACCATTCCTTCTGCACGAACACATGGCCTCAAATAAGCCTATAATGTGGCCACCAGACCGTGGCTTTCGTCGCGAACCTCCGACCAATCTAGACTTGGAGAACCTGTCGACTTTCGAGAAAATCATCAGATATGCGGAAAAGGATGACCTGTTATTGTATCTGACAGCTCTTTTTGGAGTTTTCATGCCTGCGGTCATGTATTTTGTGTATAAAACTGCTCATGCTAAGTACGAGCAGTATGCTAAGGTAAGGATTGGTTTTTTATGATATAAATACAAGGCCTTAGGCTCCGTAAGCTCAGTATTAGGTTTTTTTTTCAATTTTTTGCTCAAGATATTAGGTGCCGACATAAAGAATACGCCATTTTTTACAGGAAATTACAGGAAATGTATGGCGGGTTCTTTATGTCGGCACTTAATTTTAGTAGGCTTGAGCTTATTAGGCTTACACTTTGTAGGCTTATTGTTAGACTTAAGCACAAGCTCGGGCCTAGGCCTAGTTCAAACTTAGCTTACAACTTAGCTTAAGTGTTAAGCTTAGTAATTATGTTTACTACAATATTAACTTCTAAGCCTAAAATTTTTTTTAGAAAAAACGCGAAGAAAAACGTCGTGAGAAAGCAAAACAGAAGGCCATTACCTTGTTCTATACACCAATATCAGCTCCGTTCAAAAGGCTGGCATTTGATTTGGCTGAAAAGTTGGAATGCTTCGATCCTGTGGTTGTATCACTCGTACCAAACAACTTGAAGCATTTTAGAGGGTATAAGGTAGGTTTAAAATAGCGTAATCTTAAAAAATAGCAAAAATTTCTTTACAAAACAAGATTTGGCAATAACTTACTTTAAAAAAAAATGGCAAGAACTTTCTTTACAAAACAAAAAATGGCAATAACTTTTCTTACAAGGAATGAAACTGCAAAAACTTTCTTTACAAAACATAAAATAGCAAGAACTTTCTTTACAAAACAAAATATGGCAATAACTTTCTTTCGAAATCAAAAACCATCTTTTCTCGTATAACTTGTCACTCGCAAACTGCAGAAGCCAAAGTGTTGTAATTTTATAATTTTTTTAACTTACAATAATTTTCAGGGAGTAATGGTATTTATCATCCCAGACCTGGAACTTCACGAGCTAAGTGAAGAAGCTGGTGCTTGGTTTTTGGACTGGCTTCAAGAAATGCGGTTTGAAGCCAAACAAAAAGATTTATTGACTGGACTGAAGTTTGCCACATTGGCTATCGATTTGGAAAGTGAAAATGATGAACCGATTGGAAAAATCACCAACAATTTAATCAAAAGATTGACTACTTTAAGCGCGAAACAGTTACAGCCCCCGGCATTTATTGCAAAAAATAACAAATTAAGTAAGTTTTTTGTTAAATCTTGGTAATTCTAGAACATAATTTTAAACTTTAAGGCTAAAATTTTCTTTACAGATCAAAAAATGGCAATAACTTTCTTTACAAGATAAAAAAAAGCAAAAACTTTCTTTCCAGCCTCATTTTTAAAATATTATTTTAGGTGTAGATGCCCAACTAATAGAACAAGCCTCAATTCTTGCTGAATCGATTAGAGAATCTTGGGAAATCTTTGATTCCGACGATGATTTAAGTTCCGACGACGAATCTGAATTTGATATTGAAGACCTAGAAGAACACATGGATCAGTTTGAAACTGAAAACAAAAAAGACAAATGATTACTCAATGTATATTACTATATCTTTAATTATTTTCAAGATTATACATATTTGCGGGTTTATAATTTTTTCGTAATATAATAAAGAATTTAAACTTTCAATGTTTCGGGCCGACTGATATTATTCATGCTTTTGAGACCTATGTCTCTGAATGTATAAAAAGTTTGGAATAAAACAACAGAATATCGTTATGGATACATTTAGGAGGTTGTTTTTGTTATGTTTTTAAAAGCTGTTTGTTGTTTTGAATTCGATTATTGCAAATTTTATCAATTATTCTCCATCAAAACGCTGGTTTTTCGGAAATTTGATTAAAGGTTTACTTCGATCTATGATTTTATTGTGTTCAGATGTTTTAAAGTATTAATTATGAGTGGAATAACATGAATTAGGATCTAAAGAGTTTTCGAAATTTGAGTTTTTTTAAAATTCTTATTTTTGCGCGCTTTTCCTATTTCAACAAAATGTCTGGCATTTCGCATTATTTACAAGTTTTTTATTTCTTTTTCCGACGAAACCTTATTAACAAAAAAAACAAACAGCCATTTCATGCCCACAGGTGATGCAAAGAACGTTTTAGTTTCTGAATCATGGCGTCTCAAGCGTTTTGGAACCGTCTGACCGAAGATACGGATCAATTTCCAGTTAAACTCAGCCTCTACAACACGTTATTCTTGGCATTGGTAAGTATTTACATTATTATTGTTATGTTTTTTAGTTGGGAATATGTCTCTCTGGACTGTATGCATTGTTTCAAATGTTGCACATGTTTTTGACACCAATATTATGGGCAATATTGGTTGGAACAGTGCTGTTTCCGTTGAAACGGACCGTTTCGAACATTTTTGGAGGTAAGGATCGGGAAGATTGTTGATAGACAAAAAAGACAATTAGTTTATAGTACTAATTCATGTTTATAAGTTAGGGAATACTGATTAGATATTAACTAAAGAAAGATTACAAGGTATTATCGTTGTACTTTACAGCTGCTGATCAATTTATGTTATTCATTAACAAATTGATAATATCATATTATGGTTTTTAAATTGTTTAAAAAATGTATTGTTTTTTGCCGTTTTTTTGCTATCATACATGGAACGAAGTGGCTAAACAATTTTTAGTTTGATTAGGCTTTTGTTTTTTATTTGCTTGATCAAAGTATATGATCTATGACTTATTATCAATTCTTTTAATCTAAGCTATAAGTTTTGATAATTTTTAGGTTGGTTAAACCGTCTTGACGAACAAAATACTCCATTTTTGCTTGGAGTAGTTTTATTGCCTTTAAACGCTTTTAATTGGGCAGCTGACACTGTTTACAGCGCTGCTTTTAGGTATGTTTTGAAACTTTTTGTTGGTTTTTAGGTAATTTAATTAAATTGATGAGTGAATTGGAGTGGATTTGATAAAAAATGGACTTTCAAGTGAATAATATGTTAATGTTGACACAAAGCTTTCTAAAATACGTTTATTTGAATGAAATGTATATTATTTTAGTCCAAACGGGTACTACTATCTTGGAGCTTATGTCTTGATCAAGATTCTCAGTTATGGCGGAACATTCGTGTGGATTTTGGGTGCAGTTGGAAGCACCTACTCGTTTTGTGATGAAATTTTGGCATTCCTCAATCAGAATAGTGTTCGTATGTTGGTATCAGTCTGTGGAGTTACTTATGCTGCATGGATCTTCGTACAGGATTATGAGAGTCTGCACAAGAAGAAAAAATTTGCTAGAAGCTTGTCGTTGCCTATTTGGTGAGGGTTTGGAAGCTTTTAAATTTTGTAAATTTAGGTAACATTTGAAGTTTTTAGACAAAATTTTTGATGTTTAGGTAACATTGAGGTCGTCGCCGATAATAGTACTGTTATATGATTTTAGGATAGTCGTACTGGCTTACTGTGCCGATTTCTGTGGCCCACTCCGAGTTCTCGTGTTTGCCTGTTCAGGCGTTGCCTTAGGGTTGATCTCAGCTGGCCTGATCGGCAAAATTCATTTACACGATAATGGCGACAAAATTGCTGAAAAAGTAGAAGAGAGCATCGAAAAGGAAGATGAGGCCAGAGATGAAGAGTTTAAAGAAGAAATTTATGAAAGCGAGGTGGGTTACTGTAATTTTTGGGGTTTTTAGGTAATAATTTAATTTTTTTAAAATTTTTTATTTTTTAAAAATACTAATTAAAATTCTGGGAAATGTTTTGATTTCAGAAGCAAAAGATAGAACGAAAGCTTGAAGAAGCTCGTGAAGTTGAAGATAGTCGTGTCGATCACCTAATATCGTCTGATACTCATTTACGTGTTATTACAGCGCTGTGTGGACTATTGTTTGCTGCCAGACATGATTGGGTGGTTATTGTACTGATAGTACTCATGGTACTTGGAATGCTTAAAAATGGAGGTAAACACATAGTATCAGTTGGAAATGCATGGTATAGAATGGTATTGCCTGTTTTTTATGTTACTAATGCATTCAGTATACAGTAGAGTAACCTTTTGTTATAGCTATGATACTGTAATAATTTTTTTCTATAAAAACTAAAAATGAAATTTTAGCTGAAAGAACGGGAGCAACTGACTCAGTGAAACAGACGGTAATGGGAATTTACGGCAGATTCAAGGATAATATCAACAAGTTGGTGAATATTGTAGTAGCTGGAAGTTTACGCCAGTTTGTTCATATCTTGTTCACTAGCGATAAATATGTAAGGGAACTTATATTTGATATTTTTTAGTTTTGTAGGCATTTTAGCTGATTTTTATTGACCAAAATTCTATTTTTATGAAATTTTTTATCTAAATTTTAATTTTTTGCTATTTTTAAAAATTTTTATATTTAAATTTACATTTTCAGCTGATTGGAGGCCTAAAAGCTAAAGTTGAGCTGATTTCTTCAATTGTGGTCATGATAATATTGGCATTTTCACTGTTTTTCTTTGTCATCTTTACTGTGTTCCAAGTACACGCCGAAACTGTTCATTTGGCCAGACTAACTACGAATGTAGTGTCTTCGAATCCGGAATGGCTTCGAACGGCGTTGAATTACACTGATAGGCAGATCACGGAAAATAACATCGATGACTACATTCAGGAGGTGGGTTTGGAAGCTTTTTGGATTTTTGAGGAGAATTTTTGGAGTTTTATAGCTTTCTAAGTTAAAAGTTAGTTGTTTTGTAAATACATTGTTAATATTGAAACTTTCAGGGATTCCTACAAGGCCGCCTTTGGCTAGCCTCCAATATTCGAAAGCTGGCTGATCCAAAAGACACAAAACGTGCTGATGAGCTCGAAGAACAGGCTAAACTTATCGTTGACAATTTATATCGTATGTGGGAAGAACGGCAAGTCCCTAATGCTACGGATGGACAAGTAATCTCTCGGCCAGATCTCATAACTCAACTTATGTCAGCCTCGAACTTGGAGTCACTTAAACAAGAACTTACTGCCATTATCAAGGGGAATATCGAGACGGTTTTGAGTGTAAGTGGAAGAAACTTTGTTTACGGATTGATGTGGCAAGAACTTTCCTTACAAGACAAAAAGTGGCAACAACATTCTTTACAAAACGAAAAAAACAAGAATTATCTTTATAAAACAATAAATAGCAAGAACTTTATTTACAAAACAAAAAATAGCAAGAACATTATTTACAGTACTAAAACATCATTTTTCAGATTGCCCAATCAGTTTGGACGGTAGTACTACTCAACGTATCTCTACTATCGAACGTTTTTGTTTCCGTTTTTGGCCTCATTCTCAACTTTGGCTTCGAATTACTCAACTTCTTTATTGAGATCATTGTCTTTTTGACTGCTGTATATTATCTATTGGCCTCAAGCACAGATCAATGGCTACCACTACATTGGATTTCGAAAGCCACGCCAAAGCTACAAGGACAGAATGGCCAGTTGAACATTGCTAAGGCTATTGAAAGCGCGATTAGGTGGGGGGGGGGTTTTATGGTTTTGAATTCTTTTTGAAATTTAAATTTTTGGATTTTCAAATTGAAAAATATTAAAAATTTGAAAAAATTTTTTGAGTTTTTATCGAATTTTGATATCAAGTATAATATAATTTTTGGCATTTTCAGTGGTGTATTTGTGTTATCAGCCAAGATGGCGATATTTTATGGACTATACACTTATTTTGTACATATGCTATTCGGCTTGAACATTGTCTTCGTACCTTCATGTAAGTTTAAAACAATTTAAGTACTATTAGTAGTAGATTGGTAGTGATTTTAAGCCTAAAAACCGTTTTAAGGGTTGTTAGGCTTAAGGAAAATTAAAAATATCATTATAACTCGGAAAATTTTCAGTGGTAGCAGCAATGTTCGCCGCCGTTCCCATCGTTCCACCATATATCGTGGCCGTCTTTGGCCTAATTGAACTGTATTTGGTAAGAGGAGAAGGTGCAGCTACAGTATTCTTTGCCGCCGCCAGTGTGGCACCATTAATGTTTGCTGATACGGCGTTTTACCGTGAAGTCAAGTAAGTGGAAATTAAGTTTTTTCTATTTTTTGTTTTGGAAACAAAGTTTTTGTAATTTTTTGTTTTGTAAAGAAAGTTCTTGTAATTTTTCATTTTGTAAAGAAAATTCTTGCCATTTCTAATTTTGTAAAGAAAGTTTTTGCAATTTTTATGTTGTTTTCATAATTTTTCACTAATACTTCCATTTTCAGATCATCACACCCGTATGTGACAGGCCTGGCCATCATCGGCGGTATCACCTGGATCGGCTTGGAAGGCGCCGTGATTGGGCCGATCATCTTGTGCTGCTTCTTGATCCTGATCGAAGTTTTCGTCGAATATGCAAACAAAAAGTGAACGATCTTATAATATTTTCATTTATCTCTTTTAATCCACAATTTTTACTTATTCCATATTCTTTATTTGTATTTTCATTTATTCCCGGTTTTTAAAAATTTTTTTGTTATTGGTTAATAAAAACTTGTATATTTGTATCATAACAGTATTTATGTGGAATGTTGGTTCGTTTTTTTTAATTTACAAGGAAAGTATCCGATTTGCGCCGCTTTGATTGACTTCAAACGTATTTTACAGGAAGATCATGTAAATATAATATGTTCAGCAAAGTACTAAATCGCGCTTTCCAGGAAATTGAGATCAAAAAATTGCGTTTTGAATTTCCCGCCAAGTCGTCATTGGGTTTTTTTAAGAGTATAACAGTGTCATTTTTTGACTTTTAATCATTTTCTTCGACATACTAGTAGAATACCTTCAAATGAACCTGCAATTTTAAATTTGTAAGCCTATCTTATCTGGAAAATCAAAAAAGTGCTTGAAACACAACGCCATATTTGCTAAATTGGCGGGAAACCAAAAAAAATCAAATTTAAAACTCAAAAAAGCGAGCTAAAATTTGTTATGGGTACTATTGGTAGTACAAAGAAGTCATATCAAAATTTTGAGCTGATGCTGAGCGAGGCAGGTAAGATACTTTCCTTGTTAGTTTTAGATTTTTTAGCCTAAAAGTTAAACGTAAAATATGCTTTGCCGTTTTTCATGTGATATATTATAAAAAAATCACGATTTTTAAAAAACCAATAATTTTGTTATTGTTCCACGTTTTTACACGCGATTGTTTGCGTACGTGATGATGACGTTTACCGGGTAAAAATCAGCTCAAGAACTCAGAATCGCGAGGCCCCGAATATTATTCCCAAAAAAATTGGGTTAAACGCCGCTAGGCTTTAATATTAAGGTATGTACTAAAGTTTGAGGAAAGTTCTTGCCGTCTTTTGATCTGTAACAAAAGTTTTTGCTATTTTTGATTTGGAAAGAAAGTTCTTGTCATTTTTTGATGTGTAAAGAAAGTTCTTGCCATTTTTGGTCTTGGAAAGAAAGTTTTTGCTATTTTCTGTTTTGTAAAGAAAGTTCTTGCTATTTTTTATTTTGTAAAAAAAGTTTTTGCCATTTTTCATTTTTGTCAAAAAAATTTTTAACACCTTTCCCCCCCCTTTGTTTCGATCCTTGATGTTGAAAAAGTCAAGCGCAACATCGTCGTATGTTTGAACACGTTCAAAATTTACAGAGCAAACAATAGAGTTTAAATGTAAACAAATGTAATTACCCGCGTTATTTGTTTTTGATTTCCGATAACGGTTTACCCATATCAGCCACGCCCCGCTTCGTTTCGTGTTTGCTGCTGGCGTGGGGCCAGACTGGTTCGGCTTGGCCACAAAACAACAGTTTCGGCCGGGGTGTTTTTTAGTTTTTTTTGTGAAATTTGGGGTCTTGTTGTTATGGTAAGCGAGGATGATTGAGGGGGTGGGGTGAGGGTGGTAGGCGCTTTTTTGGCTCCGGCTTCAGCTCTAGCTTTGGCTTTGTACAAACTCTGGCTACGAAGCCCTAGAGAACTTTGGTAAAAACCATGACAAGACAACATGACTACAGTATTTTTTAAGGCGTTTAGGATAGTTTTAACTCGTGGGGAAGGCAGATTTCAGTGGAATGCATTAATTTCTGTATCTACCGTGAAATTGCTTCAATATCAAAAATTTTTTTAAATTTTGGGTTGAACTGGCTTACTCGTGCTTGGCCTAACAGGCTATGTATAAACTGTTCCCTTTTATTTACTTCTTGTCTTCCTTTTCACCCACTGCCTTAAAAAACACTTTACCAACCCCCCCCTCTCCACTTCTTAGACATGAGGAACGGGCCGGAATCAACCTTAAGGCTTGGTAAAAAATTTACTCAGCCCCGGCCCGACCTAAAGTTGGGTGAGGCCCGGCCCATTCGTCATGTCTAGTGTTCCTTATAACAACTTTTCTGTATTACTGCACAGTTGTTTTTAGATTAATAAGCCTATACCATACCTTTAGATTAGTAAGCCTCTACTATACTTTTAGCTCAATAAGCCTATACAATAAGTTTAAATTAATAAACCTATCCTATACATATATATATATATATATATATATATAGATTTATATTTTCACGTTATATACATTAACTCAATGAATGAGGGTATTAGACGCGCGGGTATTATGGGGCAAACAAAAATCGAGGAAACCGTTTCCATCACGTCTGTTTTCTCATAAAAACCTTGAGTAAATTGTTATAACGTCTTCGTAGTGACAAGATTTATCATATTATTGTGATTACAAGCAGGGCGGGGACTTTTGGTTATACATGAGAAACGTTTCCGTTTCTCATGTCTACTTTTGGTCTGGGGGCGGGGGTTGAAAAAAAATCCACAGGGGGACCAATTTCAACTTTTTTTTGAAAATTTTTGTCTGGTGGAGGACCCCCCTCCCGCACTCAAGAATATTATGAAAAATGACTCAAAACTCAATTTTCAGCCGGCTTGTGGTTAAGAATGCGCCCGTTGGCCGTGGTGTTTTTGATATGCCTGGGCGCATCTCGGAAACAGTACTTTGCCGTCGACACCAGTCCAGTTAGTCCCAACTTTTTGACCGACGACGACTTTAGGAACGCCGAGGATGTAGACATTACTAAACCAATGAAGATCATTCTCAACGATCAGCATTTTCATAAAAAGGTAGGAGTTTTGGTTAAAAAGTTATGTCGTATTGGACGCATCGTATTTTACCCTGTAGACATGAGGAACGGGACGGCTGGCCTTGACCCAAATTTAGGGCGGGCCGGCCTGAAAATGATGGATCAGTCTATTTGCACGTAAAAAATCGGGCTGGGCCAAGGCTTAGCAAAAATAAAATTGGGTTGGGCTTAAAACGTAACCCTGGACAACAATTGTGTGCTAAGCCTAAAATATTAAGTGCCGACATAAAGAACCCGCCATACTTTTTCTGTAATTTCTTGTAAAAAATGGCGGATTTTTTATGTCGGCACCTAATATTTTAGGCTTAGCGCACAATTAGTACTTTCAAACAATTTCAGCGCGTACGCCGAGGCTCAGTAGTATCGTTCGAAACAGACAAATGGCCAAACGGACGAGTACCATACGTCCTATCTACGCAATACAGTAAGTCAAACCCTGAGGTCTTAAAGTCGCAGTAAGTTCAAAGAGGTCTAAAAGTTTTTGCTGTTTTTTAAATTTTTTAAAAATATCTTCAGCCCAACAGCAGCGGGCGGTTTTGGCTCGGTCGATGGCCGCGTATTCGGCCAAAACGTGCATCAAGTTTGTGCCGAAGGAGGCCCGTGACAAAGATTACATTGTTATTCAGAAATTGGATGGGTGAGTTATTAAAGGCTAAAAATTATTATTGCTTCTAAAATCAATAGTGTTATTTCGTCTTTAAAAGTTTTAATCAATATTGGCACTTCGTCTTTAGAAGTTTTAATCAATAATGACATTTCGTCGTTAAAATCTTTAATCAATAGTGACATTTCGTCTTCAAAAACACTACTTTCAAGCTTTGTATCATATTGACAGCACTACACCGCTTACAAGATTAATATCAAAATTTTATCAAAAATCAATATTTACATTTCGTCACATAATATATACCTAAAAAAACAAAAACCCAATAAAAAAAATTTCGTAAAATACTGCAAAAATTTTTCAGGTGCTACGCGGATTTTGCTCGCGTCGGCGGACGTCAACAAGTATCGCTGGCGGACGAGTGTATTGATTATGCCACTATTATTCACGAACTTATGCACGTGATCGGGTTTATTCATGAACATCAACGAGATGATCGAGATCAGTTTGTTAAAATCAACTGGAAAAACGTCATTGATGGTAAGAGTTGGGTTTAGTATTATAGTAGAAGGAACTTTCTTTCCAAAAGAAAAAATATGTTTAAAGTATAACTTGGCACTCGCAGTTTGCACAGTCGTTAATTAGCCTATTAGAGCACTAATAACACGGGTTTTGTTTACGGACTTAAAAACGGTAAAAACTTTCTTTACAGAATAAAAAATGGCAAGACCTTTCTTTACAAAACAAAAAATGGCAAAAACTTTCTTTACAATAAAAAATAGCAAGAACTTTCTTTACAAAATTCATTTTCAGGCGCCAACGCTGATTTTGACAAGATAAGTTCACAAGGATTGTCGAACTACGGTGAAGGCTATGACTACTTCTCCATAATGCACTATGAGAGTACGGAAGGGAGTAAAAACGGCAAGAATACGATAGAATCGAAACGACCAGGCTTCACGTCGTTAATGGGGAAATCGACCGATTTTACTCGAGGCGACTTGACGCGCATTAATAAGGCTTATCAGTGCTATAGGGGGACGAGGAGGCATAAGCAGAAAATGACATAGATTACTGTAGCGGTTACCGGGTTTACTGTAATAGCTAAGAGGATTTCTGTAATGACTGGTATTGTCATGACTTGTATGGTTACTAAAATGACTGATAAGATTACTGTAAGCGTTAGTTACGGTAATGCCTTACCAGGTTACTGTAAGCGCTGATTACTGTAAAGCCTAACCAGGTTAATGTGATGTGGCTACTGTAATGACTAACCTAACCTAATAACTAATGATTATCACCATTTTAGTCATAGTAATCAATAGAACTAAATTTTAGTCATAGTAACCCATAGTACCACATATTATGCTACAGTAACCTATGCTATATTAGTTACTCTTCCATTAGGATTAAAATTTCACTATTTTAGATATTAAAACTACTATTTAAATGCATGTTACCCTCGTAAAACAGTAGTTATAGTTATATTAAGCACTTCACAGTAGATTACGGTAGTTTTAGGTAGTACTGATCTCAAAACATATGTGTGTATGTTTAATATACGCAAAGTTGTTGCAATATCTTGTTTGTATTTACCAGAGAAAATAAAGATTTATCTTGTTTTTGTATTTACTGTAGTAAAAAGTAGGTGTGATTGTACTTTAAAGTAAAAAATATCGAGTATCGTAATAAAAAGTGACAGTATCATACTAAATTTACAGTATTATACTAAAAAAAACAATATTTTACTAAAAGTTGTAGAAAGTTACAGAATCATAATAAAAGTTAAAGCATCGCACTAAAAATCGCAGTACCGTACTAAAAAAGAACAGTATCACACTAAAAAGTTAAAACGTAATACTAAAAAATATGTAATCGAACACGTATTTTACAATAAAATTTATTCAAATCACTCAACAGTCCTATGCTGCGTACAAAATATATTACAAGCTGGAGCACCGTCGTTCAGTCCACAACCAAAACTAAAGCAATGTCTGCCAGCGGTCGTACACTTCTCGTTACAAGTCTTTAGACATTCCGTATGACCACAAGCGATGACAATCGTTATACATAGTAGAAAAACAAACACAAATTTAAAATCCATGAATCGACCGGTCGGTAGAGTAAAAATCAAAAAATTTTTAAAAATTTAAAAAAAATTAATTCAAAAAAAATAAAAAAAAATTATTTTTTTAAGTGCCGACATAAAGAACCCGCCATACTTTGCCTGTAATTTCCTGTAAAAAATGGCGGTTTTTTTATGTCGGCACCTAATAATTAATTTTAAAAATTTTTAAAAAATCAAAAAAAAATATTCAAAGCCTGTAACCGGATCCGTTTCTGTTCACACTAATGAGAAGGTCGAAAACGACTGCCGGAAAGCAAAATAGTGTTGAAATCAAAGAAACGCCAGACATCTTAATGCCGGGAAGATGAAAGAGAACCTTGTCGTATGCAAATTAATTTGATATTTTTTATTCGATTTGACGACTGCCAATAGTTTACTTTCAGTTTTTAAGGATGCTTTTGAGAGGTTTTTAATCAAATTTTAAGTTTCCTATTTGATTTTTATACTATTTGAAATGGCAAAAACTTTCTTTACAGTACAAAAAATAACTTTCTTTACAAAACAAAAATGGCAAGAATTTACTTTACATAACAAAAAATAGCAAGAACGTACTTTACAAAACGAAGAATGACGAGAACTTTCTTTACGAAACAAATAATGGCAAGAACTTTCTTTACAACTCAGAAAATGACAAAAAGTTTCGTTACAAAACAAAAAATAGCAAGAACTTTCTTTACAAAACCAAAAACGACAAAACTTTTTCAAATATCAAACTAACCGTGATTTTACGTCCTTTTTATGCCCAAAAAACCAATAAAAACTTAAACGACAAACATTTTAAATTGACGTTTTCGAAAAGACCTCATACTGTTTTACGATTACACAGAAAGACCCATCTTGCCATTGTTTAACCTTGTTTTTATTGTATTGTTTTTAGAACGATCAGAGGTTTAGCTGTATTTGGCGTTTTAAGGCTCACCATCTTATTATTTTCATATTCATATATTAGGTGCCGACATAAAGAACCCGCCATACTTTTCCTGTAAAAAATGGCGGGTTCTTTATGCACCTAGAGTTATTGCCGTATTTTACAAAAACCACCATTATATTAAGGATGTTACTAACCATTCCGCGTATATTTGACAACTATTAGCTCAATTACACATATATTTGACAACTATTAGCTCGTCTGGCATTTAATTATAGCCCAGTTACATCAGTCATTATTTGTGTCAACTGACCTTAACGCCCAAAATATAATCATCGGATTAGGGACGTGTCAGTTGGTTTACGATTCGTAAAATACTGTCCTAATTTATGTCTTTACGGATCATTTTTTACATTATTAATAGATGTGTCAACCTCGGATTTGAGAAAATTTATTTTTTTGTAAAATGGCGAAAACTTTCTTTACAGAATACAAAATAACGAAAACTTTCTTTACAAAACATAAAATGGCAAAAACTTTCTTTACAGATTACAAAATGGCAAAAACTTTCTTTAAAAAACACAAGATGGCAAGAACTTTCTTTACCGAACTGAAAAATCGCAATAACTTTCTTTACAGACCCAATAACCTATTTCTTTAGCAAAACCTATCATTTGTCACCTAAAAATTTAAATTTTAACTTGTAAGGTAAATCATTGGCGATCTGACTCCTGCACCCAGCTTTTTTGACCGTTCATGGCCTTTGCCGGCTTGACCCCATCTATTGTTTACGATCGGAAAGTGCGACATTGCGAAATATTTATGTCTTCTTTCGTGTCTGTAGTCTCTTCTGTAGCTCAGACTCCCCCTCCTGTAACTCAAATTCCCCCTCTTGTAACTGAAACACATCCTCCCCTTTTTTGTGGTTTTCTTAGAACAAGGTAGATCTCCCCATCCCCCCTGTACTATATTTTTTTCAAAAATTGTTAACCATACCCACTGCTATTAGGTGCCGACATAAAGAACCCGCCATTTTTTACACAAAATTACAAGGAAATTATGGCGGGTTCTTTATGTCGGCAACTAATAATATTTCGAAAAAATCCAGTTTTAAAACTTTTATGTTTTACATCTCTCTAGATCAAAATTAAATGCTTTCAGAGCAGGGAGGTGATTTTAGGCGTGGGACTAAAAATTTTTCTAAATCTTTTAAAATTTCATCCCCATATACCAACAGGCATACCGCGTTCAATCATTTAAAATTTTATCTGGGGGGGGGGAGATTACTTTGCTTAACAATATCATTATTGTATGACTTTTAACCCTCTCTCTACCCCTAATTTTCCTCCACTCCCCTCTTCATTTCTTGCCTTTTGCCGTTCGTATCTTTTCGTCCCTAACCTCTTTCCTCCTTTTCGAAGGTACCCTCGGTTTTAGCCAAAAAAAACGACGCCAAAACGGACGCGCTCATTCTAGTCGGGCACCCCCTGCCGAGGTGAATATGAAGGAAACCATCCATGGGACATCTCTCACTTTTTTCGAAAAAACCCGGCTACCCGATGGCTTTGAACCGATAAAAAATTTAAATTTTTTATACTTAAGGGTGGATTCTTTTAAAATTAAGTATTTTATAAATGGTTGAAGGGTGATACTATTAGGTTGAACAAAAAGTAGCGGGACAGATATCGTTAAATTTTCAACTAAAAAGTGTCCCGCTACTTTTGGTTCAACCTAATAGTTTTTATGGATCATATTATCATGATATTTCTTATGTAAATACATTATCTTTAAAATAAATTTAAAGTTCAACCTGTATATCATTTTTAGCGTCCCTCTCACTAAAGTAACAAACCCATGGGAACTTTTTTTCTTTTTCAAAAACCATTTTAAACGTATTTGTTATACCCAACAAAAACTACGCGTCCATAACTCCTGTCAATTCGTATTAACATGCGTTTCTCAAACCTATTTTTGAATACAAAACAAAGTTGAAGAGGTTAGCAATATATACATTATATTATACATGATAAATAGGTGTTTATTCATTCTTACAGCATTATCTTTCAATCTTTGTAAATTAAGAACAATCAAAAATTTAAAGTCAAAAGCCATCCGTAGACAAATAGCTTTGTAAAGAAAGTTTTTACCCTCTTTACCCTACCTCAATATATCGCTTTATACTGATAGTACCTTAAAGCTATCCTACATCAATTCACAAAACCATAATTCCCCCAATTCCTAGTGACATTCAACAAGACAGATTCAGTTTTATTGTTGTATTCTGAGATTTTACCTCGCGATTAGATCTTAACACACCTTAAGGAACACTTTACCTTACGCAAATTGAGTGTAATATGCGTAGACTTTTTTCGATTTCAACCACTTTATACGCTCCGTCCTCTAATCAGAGATTAGGCTGGTGTGTGGTTTTTAATATCACATATATAATAATTTTACCATGATTAATATAACTTTTACTTTTACCATGGTTAATATGTAGATCTTGGCTTCAGGATGTTATAGCCAGCCAGTATAGCTACCCCATTTTATCAAAGATCCTAATGTTTATGCTACAGCAGGTACATAAACATAAGCGAGTAACGCGATACGCCTTATTATTATTCCAATTTGATTTGTTTATTTATTTGCATAAATGCGAGCGATGTGCTTTACTCTTGCTATTTTTGCATTAAAACGGCCAAAATACGTGTTTTTAGTTTTTTGCAATCTTAAAGGTCAAGCTTTAAAACTAACGACTAAACAATGTAACAACGTCACGCTATTCAAAAATCTTTGTTAATCCGTCTATGTGAATTTGATTTATTTATAATGGGGACGAAAGTGAATTATGCAATGTTTAACGTTGACCTTGCGCGCGCACCCCAACTTGTCACTCTAACTTTGCCATTTACGACTTTTGAGCACTTTTTCGTAGAACGTCGTAAACGTATTTTACATTACCGGGATATTAGTTTTCTCTGGCCAAACATAAATGATTTATATTTTCGTTTTAGCTCAATTTAACAGATACCTCCCACCCATAAGCAGAATTTTATTAACTTTATGCCAAAGATTGTCGATAATAATACTGTGCTAACGTGATATGGACTCTGGTGTTTGTAAGTTGTTAAACATAAGTTACCCATACCTTTTGGGGCATTAAAATTGTGGGCCAAAAGGTATGGGTAACAATAATGCTTTATTAAAATTACGTTATCCATAGCTTTTGGTTTGTTAAACTAACGGCATTCATAATATTTAAGCCAATCTTTGACCTGTGAGCCACATTACTATAAACGCAATCGTTTCCAGCTTCCGGTTATCATTCCCTCGACAGAAAAGCCTCGATGATCCCGTCTTCGTCCATGGAGTTTGTCGATCCAAACTATTACCCAAATTGTCCTCAAACACCTGTGACTGCGATGGAGAACATTCCGCCTTATCAACAAACGTACCAGCAACTACCTTACAACCAGGCAGTTCAATATAACGGATACAACACACCGTCCAAACAAAAAAGCCCTGGGCGAAGGTATCCCCAAGGTTATATTACTCCACAACAACAGATAATTCAACAGCAGCAACAGAAGATTGTAGGTCTTATCTTATTTATGAAAAGAAGTTTAAAGAAACCTGAATTAGAAACAAAAATATTTTTAAAAACTTACTTTATGGTGGAACAAGGTAAAATACACCTAACACATCAAAAAATAAAGCAACAGCTTACAAAAAAAGTAAAAAGCGGCAGCTAAGACAGCTAAATTAACCTAACAGTTAAGTTTAATCCTTTTAAAATGAGGATATTTCTAATATTAAAATTTTCTGAAAACGCGTTATTTTAATCCGAACTGCGCCCGCCTTTTTGCAACCCGCTTTTTTTAATTATTATTTCCTCGAAAAAAATAAAATTCTTCGAAAATTAGGTCCAAAAATGTATGCAACAATGGGGAGCAACGATTTTGAAGAGGTAAACTATTATAAATTTATTCTATCAGGCTTGTTTAAAAGAAAAATGATAATTTTTTCAGAGTATGGACCAATCGCCATCGCTGGGATTAGTGGGGCCTTTCCGGAATTGGAACCTAGGTGAAAATCCTATGAAGATGGGCCAAGGACCATCATCTGTACATGGCTCCAGTATGTCGCAAATGTCGATGATGAGTCGCGCTTCACGGTTTTCAACGGTATCAGTACGGACCGATTATGACGAAGCTACATTGACGATGCAAGAACAATACATTAACATGAATATGAGCTTAACGCCGGAGCAATTTGTGAAGCAGACCGAATTTTTGGTACAATACGGATTCACTAATGTGAGTACTTCTGCTCTTTTTTAAAATGATTTTAGACTTTCAAACAAATTTTTAGGTAACAAAGTTTATAAAAATGTTAATTTTCAGCCGGATGTGGTACAAAACGTGTTCACGTTCTTAAAACGGAATCAGCTTTTTAATTTTGAGCCGATAATACCTTTGTGTGGCCAATTGTACATCAAAACGATAAAAACTTTGCCTGGAGGGGAGGTAAGTTAAAGTTTATTATAAAAAAATATAATTTTTTTTCTTATAAATTATAAACAAGACATGATTTATAAATTGTAAGACGTATATTTGCACATATAATGTAACTTTACTTTTTTAGGGACAACTACCGGCTACACCTGGCTTCTTTGCCAATATCTTTGGCATATTGTACTACCTTTTGAAGATGCCACTAATGAAAAATCTAACAGAACAATTGCTCAACAAAGATTCAGACACATTTTGCAAAATCCTACGAAACAACTTGGCTCAGAATCAGGAACAGAACACGTTTTGTCTGCGGATTATCTGCAACATCTTGAGGCAACTTTTCCCTGGCGACAGTCGCAAACAAAGCTACCGATTCCTTAACAAATTGCCCATCAATCGTTTTGCCGACAAATGCCGAGGGGATATTTGGAAAGTGATTGTGACGAATCTACTGTATTATTCTAATCCAGGGGCTGCTATTGAAGCCCTTAGGCTGATTTTTAAGTCGGAGTCGAAGCCTGACAGAAGGAATGGATTAATTGTAAGATTTTTTTGTTTGTTGAGCGATTTTTGCTGGTTTGTGGAAATTTTTTTTGCTGTTTTTGGGTTTGAAAGGCATAGCTTTTTTAAAATGAGATGGCTAGGTTTAACTGATTTGAATCTAAAATAATGTTAGGAATCATAAAGTAGCTTTTAGATTAATTTTAGGTAAATTTTTATTTTATTTTAGACCCAATTTGTCTATGCCGGTGGAAATCCAGGCTGTGGAGGTCTCTACCAGTTGCTACAGTGTCTTCAACCCGGCAAATCAGAGGCTACGTTGTACAGTGCCGCTTACTTGATCCTAGACTTGTTGAATGACAACTCCATTACCAAAATATTTATTCAATTAGAAGGTCTTGTAGCTGCTGGGTATTACTTGGAACATGAATCTCCATTGTTAGTTCGGAAAATCGCTAGAATTTTGCGAGACACCTCAAGTGATGAGCTGATTGAACGACAGGATCGGGCAAAGATGGAGAATATTATATTCAACGCGATTTTGAACCTCGACGCTGGAGACAAAGTTTGTGTCGAACATGTTACTGGATTTCTGTGCAACGTCGCTAGGATTTCTTGGGTTAAGGTAAGGTTTAGAGGTTGAAATGAAGTTTTAGGCTAAAAAATGAATTTTAGGCTTAAAAGTCAATTTTAGGCTTAGAAGTCAATTTTAGGCTTAAAAATTAATTTGAGGCTTAAGAAAGTAAATTTTAGGTGAAAAAAAAATGAATTTTAGGTTTAAAAGTCAATTTCAGGCTTAAAAGTCAATTTTAGGCTAAAAAATGAATTTTAGGCTTAGAAATCAATTTTAGCGATAATTTTTTAAAGTTTTAGGCTTAAAATTTAAAGTTTAGGTTTATAAATCAAATTTGGCTGATAAACATACTTTAAACTCAACTGATTTAAAATATGCTTATTTTTAATACTTCTTTTCATATTTTAGGTATATTTGTGGAAAAGAAGCGCCGTTCACGACTTCTTGCGTGTCCTGGATTTCGAGCTTGGCCACAAGTATCTGAAAGACCCCGAAGCTGAAACAACTCGATTGGAGACCATCGACAATCTCCTGGTGGCCGTGAATGCCTTAATGAACTGTCCCATCAATAGAAACAATGAAGCCAACAACAATTTGATTCGGATCGAAGAAGAATCCTTTCAACGTCAACAGATCGCCAAGTTCTTGTTTGTGGATAACGAGTCCAGGTTCCAAGTATTGGTCGGAGAGTTGTGGAGCCGGGCCGAAAGTGGTAAGAGCATGGAATGGAAAAATGAGGACATTGAGATTCAAAGACATATTATCATGGTAGGTTTTTTAATATTATACTATTAAAATTGCCCTTGAGGCACAGTTTTTATACCTAAAATTTCAGTTTTGATTTCTTGTGGTTTGTAGGAAGGTTAATACCATTTTTTTGTTTTGTAAAGAAAGTTATTGCCATTTTATGTTTTGTAAAGAAAGTTTTTCCATTTTTTATTTTGTAAAGAAAGTTTTGCCATTTTTGGTTTTGTAAAGAAAGCTTTTACCATTTTATATTTGGTAAACAAAGTTCTTACCATTTTTTACACTGTAAATGAAGTTCTTGTCATTACCTACCCTAATTTTTCAGCTCCAAACTCACTTCTTGAACTACTTCCCGGACCGATACGTCTTCTACGCCTGCCCAATCAGCCCGATCAACATCACCGTGGTCCAAATTATCGTATCCGTACTGCATGCTACAGTATGCCAGTTATTCAACACACACAACAGGGACGAAACCAAGATGAATTCGTTCGAAATCAACAAGAAACGAGAACGAATGTTCAGGTTGACCAATCTATCGGAACGATCAATTCAATTCCTGGCTCAAATCATCGATTCACACCAGAGTTTGATACCTAGTTTGAACGAATGTGCGACAGAAATCATTGATATGACCAACCGGACGAGTAATGTATTCAATTTGGCTCGTGAAACGTATATGCAGACTTTGAAGCTGCATTTTCAGAAGCACGAACGAGATGAGGATTATGATTATATAGAGTTTGATAAGCCTAACCTCCTATAGGTAGGGTTTGATAGGCTTTAGTTTTAGTTTTATTAGGCTTAAAAACCCTTAATTTTAGTTTTATGAAACTTGCTGTACTCAGTAATTATTTAGTATTTTCGTATCATAACTATAGATAGATAGCATATCATCATTGTTTATGGTTTACTTAGGTATTTTATGTGTCAACTCTTTAGAATTGTAGCTTTGTTATTGTTACCTATTTCTCATCTTTTTCACATTCAATGTACATATTGCGGGTAGTTTATTAAGAAAAATAAATGTTATTAATGTATTATAAATATGTTTAAATTAACGTTAAATACATTGAAAAATAGTAATATACATCATACTAACTATCTACACCTTTCTATCTACATTATACCTAACAATGAAGTTTTAAACACTGAAATATATACAGAAAATCATCAAAATTGCAGGAACTGATACTAAAGCTATAAAAACTGAAATGAGAGTTACAAAAACATTACACATTATTCTTGGAGGACCGGTTCGCATTCGTAGTCTTGTACACCGTTTTGGTCGATCATTTGTTGTGTGAGCAGGGCACGATTTCCCGTCCGACGAGCTGCTGATTCTTCTTCGGTTTCGCCGGATACTGGTCGTCTGAACCATACTCCTCGGAACGTGATATGAGTTTCTTCTGAAGGCGCGGCGTCTGTAGCGTTAGTTGGTTGGGAGCTATTTTCATTTTGAGCCGTAGTTGTGGCAGACTGTGAAGTACCAGTCGAGGGGTTTTGAGCAGGGCCAGCTTTTGGAGTTGTGTTGTTGTTCTGTCCATTAACGTCGGGATTACCGCCATTTTGGGCCGAACTTGTGGTAGGTTGTTGACCACTAGTCGGTAGTCCATTTTGAGCACCACTTGTATCATTCTGAGGGACTGACACTAGACGAGTCTCATTTGGACCAAGGACGCCATTGGCCCGCGCAATTTCTATGGCCCTATTCTGATATGCATCATATTCACGTTCCATACGAGCTCGGAATTCCTGTTCCATCTCGATAACATCTTCTAAATTACAAAATGTTATTTAAAGGTAAAATACTTAAAATAACGTATAAAAAATCGTATTTTATTATTTAAATAACTTACCTTTATCAGAGATTTCGGGAATGGCGAACATTTTTCCATCTGTAGTAGGCGGGACATGCGCTTCGTCATTCAATGAGTACGTGTTTCGAACGGTACCAAATTCCCTAGCGCGCACATCAGGATTATTTTCGGGCAAATTCACGTTCACATCCATGCCAACTTCGTACGTGCGATTTCCGCAATGAATCCGCTTTTTGTCATCCTTTATTTCGTTTCGAACCTCATCTTTGGCCGATGGTTTTGTAGATGCGTCTTCCTTCTTGACAACGTAACAATCATTTACCGTGAATTTTCCGCTTGGGCCAGTGCTGATTTTTGGTGATGGCTTCGTATTTTCATTTGGGGTTTGAATTTCGTTATTTTTTGAGCACTGAGATCCATTTTGGTCCACTGACGAGGCTTGAGGGCCATTTTGGTCCGCTGACGAGGCTTGAGGGCCAATGTGGTTCACTGATAAAGCTTGTGGTGCACTTTGGTTCACTGGTGGAGTTTGAAGTCCGTTTTGATTCACTGTCACAGCTGGAAATTGGCTTTGAGAACCATTAAAACTACCATTTGGGACCATCATCAATCCTGGTCCAGTTGGAGTACCATTCACACTCGCAGCTGTACCATTTGGAGTCGTCGGCAAACCAGAACCAATTTGAGGACCAGTACCAGGTGGTCCAGTCTGAGGCGTGCTGCCATTCGGAGCTGCATTGAACCATAACATTTTCGTTCTCTCATAGTACTGAACCGGTGCATCGAACGGATGTACTTGGAATTGTGTTCCGTCTGGACATATATAAGTGCCGGGTACAATTTTGCGTAGCTGAGGTCGAGATGTAGCAGGGTGAAGACCATTTGGTGTTATCATCATGCCATTCGGAAACTTGTACTCGATAGGTCCTTTGGGTATGTTACTTTGGTTGGTGGCCGGCAAGATTTGCAATATAACCCCATCTGGACGTACATAAGCATTTGGTACAAGACGTAAGGCTCTAGTTTGGGGCATTTGAGTACCATTTGGAAGCATACCAGCTTGTGACATTGGATATCCTTGCCCATTGGTACTAGTACTAGTTAAAGAAGTAACAGGTGCCATACTTTGATGTCCATTTGGAAGCATACCAGTTGGCGCAATTAGTGGTCGTTGTTCATTGTTACTAGTACTAAGTGAAGAAGTACCAGGTACCATAGTTTGATGTCCATTTTGAAGCATACCAGCTTGTGACATTGGATGTACTTGCCCATTCGTACTGGTAATAGGTGAAGAAGTGCTAGATGACATCATTACAGGCCCGTTTGGAGGCGGTGTAGTACCATTCTGAGCCATTTGAACAAGATTAGTGCCATTACGTATTATTGGAAATCCATTTCCATGTACACTAGTACCAGTTTGATAGATTTGTGGTTGATGAAGTATACCCGAGAGACCATAAACATTAGTAGCACTTTGAGCTATGTGAGTACCATTTTGAGCCATATAGGTACCATTCGAAGCCAGTTGAGTACCATGCTGATTCATATGATAACCATTAGATGACATATGAGTACCATTAGCAAACATGTTAGTACTGGATGGTACCATTTGCGGCTGAAGACCATTTGAAGCCATTTGGGTGCCAGCTTGAGGCATATGAGTACCAGGCATTACCTGATTTCCAATTGGAGCCATACTTGTACTAGGAATGTAAGGTTGATGACCAGCAATTGCAGTATTATTTGGATAAGTGTATGGTTGTTGACCAGGAATTTGGGAGACGTTCGGATAACTGTAACATTGTGGACCAGTCAGTTGGGTACCATTAGTTTGCTGTCCATTCTGAACCATATACTGCTGAGGATATCCATTTGACATCATTGAAGTACCATTTTGATTGATATTTTGGCCATTTGGATACATGTTTGGACCTAAAAAAAATATAATTTTATAAAACATCCTTACCTGTTCTATAAATATTAGGATCGTAGCCATTTGGAGTCATACTAGAACCAGTTGGATACATATTGGGACCTGTTTGTCGCAAAATTCCACCTTGGGCCATCATTGTGCCATTTTGAGTCATATTCAAGTCATTTGGATTCACATTAACTCCAGGTTGCCTCATTGCTCCTACTTGAGCCATATTAACATTTGGATACATATTAGGTCCAGGTTGTTGCATTGGTCCTCCTTGAGCCATGACAGCGCCATTTTGAGCCATATTAGCACCATTTAAATACATATTAGCACCAGGTTGTTGCACTGGTCCTACTTGAGTCATCACAGTGCCATTTTGAGTCATAGCAATGCCAGCTAAATTCGTACCGCTGAAAAAATAATAAAATTTAAGTTACAGTAACACTACTTTGAATTTAAAAAATAAAGACTACCTTTGGCCACTATTGCTATTCACACTTGACGAAAGCCGTGAAGTCGGCATTACTGTTCCAGGAGTCACTGAATTCGTTACCATTCTTGTAGGATCCCTCGCAGTCGGTACCACACTATTTGGAGCTACTGAAGCCTGTACCATCCTCGTTGAAGCTCCTAAACCCGAGGTCGGGCTTGCTGAAGCCGTTGAAGCAGCAGCCGGTGCCATTTCTCGCATAGCTTTTTTGTTTGCCAAACTTTTCAAAGCATCCAAGCATTTGATTGCTACCAGAATATCGTCAACGGTCCGAATGCGTGAAACTTCAACGCATCCATTTGGCTTGATGGTCATAATGCAGTTCGGCGACTTGGGCAGTTTTAGCTTCACAAAAACGCCTTCTTCAATTTCAAGATCGTGAACAACTTGAAATGGGCAGGGTGGATTCCATATTTCCAAAAGAAACCCTTCGAATGGCCTGCCGAGGAAGAACTTGACTAGATACTTGACAATTTTGACTTTTAGTTGAGAAAGATCGGTTTGTTTCACATATTTTTCAAACGTTTGTGTTAGTCTTGCACCATATTTGGTTTTATCATCTTCTACATCACACATCATCTCTTCTTCATCATCTAGAATTACCTTATCATAATGTTTTTAAATTAAAGCGTCTAAAACCACTTTTAAAAATAAAGTGATGGTCTATCACAATATAAAAAACAAAATTTTAACATTTGAAGTACAAAACAAAGCAAAAATACAAGTTTTTATAATATAATATAGTTTTTTGAAGCTAAACCTTGTAAAACATCAAAAAAACTTACTTTCTTCGTCTTCTGAATCCAAACCCTGATTCCCATCGTCTACCAGCTCCAAAACCATACTCTCATCTTCAGAGTCGTCCTCTTTCGTTACTTCCATGCTTTCTTCTTCAACCAACTTCTCCTCTAACATCTTTTCTATAACATTATACTTCCTTCCTGACTTCCGCCTTATCCTTTTTCTAGCTTCAGTGTGCACTACATCCACAATCTTCTGAAACCTTGAAATTTGCTTCTTAAAGTCGCCGTTTATGTCCATCATCATTCGCCTCGGAAAAATCATCATCCTTTGATCTTTGTACATGACTGACGTCTTCGAACGACCACCGACAATTAGGTCTGTTTTTCCATGCAGTTTCTCCAGGGACATGGCCGGCTTCACCACGGCCGAAATCACATACGAAGTCATTGTTGAGAAGCTGTCTGCTGAAAGTAAAAAACTGAATTTTTATGTATCAAACAGATAAAAAACAATTTTTGGCAACACTTGAATAAACTTAAATTTTTAGGTAACAATTAGTTAAAAACCAAAATTTTTGGTTAAAAATAGCTGAAAATTAAATAAAAAGATTTTTAACTGATAATTATGGCTAAGCCAAAGAAAAATTGAGCTAAAAGTTTAAAAAAATGCAAAACATTTCTAAAATCACTTATTTTCTCCGATGGAGAAAAACTTGACTCACTGAAACATTTTTGTGTCAACTATGACTCTCGCCTTCGAATTTATTGTAATCAGATTCTGTGGCAAGTTACTGCTACGCTTTTCTTTAAAAACACTGTAGAGATGTCGTGCATTATGTTTCGTGTGATATTAGCCGATTCTGTGAGTAATATTTGGGAATTCTTTGTTTTCTTTTGCAAATTCCCTTTCTTTAGCTGGTTTTGTTGTTGATTTTATATAAAACCTTTGTTGAAGATGGCTTTTACTGTATTCATCAGGTAACTAGAAGATATTTGTTTATTCTGCTTGTTTAGTTGACTTTGTGGTTACTTTGTTGTTCTACTTTTGCAATTTTGGATTTGATATTGCTTTTGTTTTTCTACTTTAACCAAGCCAAATGTCGATGTACGCGTAAGGTTAATAAGTGCATGAATAGATAATGTATTTTAGGATGTGTTTTTTCGGATTCCGACGAAAACGCCATGTAAACTGCATGAAGACACATTGTAAATGCAAAAAGAACTTGAAAGGAAAATGCTGTAAGATTGATCCGAAAAAGGGTAACAACCCGCCGCGACCTGTTGTTGTGCCAATGTTACGACAAGTTCTGGATAGTTTACCTGATTTTAGGTATGTTTGTTTTTATTTCTTGTTTTGTTTTTTAGTGGCAAGGTATAGTAACGGTCAAAAGAGGTGTAATATCTTTGTAACATAACTTTTCTTTTGAACGGGAACAAACAGTGATATTTAACGAATTTATAGTTTGTTTATGACCTAAAGGGCTTTTTAAATGCAAATAATAACGAGTTTTTTCTAGTTTTATATTTATTTTAAACCAATAACTATAAAATAGACTCTAGATCTCATGGATAAGATTAAAATTAAAGTTTTAAATTTTTTTTGATAAGCGGAAATCAAAACTGATAAAAGTAAAGAGAAAGTAGTATAAATCAGAAGAATAACGTTATATTTGCAAAATATCACTGCTTTTGTCCAAATCATACCAGGACACTCCTTTTTTGTATTTGAACAATGAGATTAGTCATCGCCGTAAACTTTAGATAAGAATTGTTTAATATTGTCAGGAAAATGTTAATTCTTGTTTAATTAACGTTAGTTCAGACGCTTATTTTGCTTTGAATAGATTTTATGCGTATTAGACGGCAAAATTTTTCTAATTTTTTTGAATTTTAAACTTTTTTTTAAATAATATTAATTTAAAAATAATAAATTTATTTAAAAATTTGTGACTGTTTGTAAAATGATTGTTGTTTTTATTGGTTACTGTTTTTAGTGGAATGGACGTGTTGAGGATAGAATTGGACAATCCCAATGGCTGGTTTTATCCAGGAAGCTTTGTAGCAGGCACTGTTATTATCAGGACATCAGACGCAGTAAAGGCTCGGGCTGTCGAAGTAATTTTTCAAGGTAAAGCCAAAACTTCTTGGTATGTCAGCGAAAGTTATCGACAGTAAGTTTTAGTTTTTGATGCTTAAGTAAATGTAACTTTACTGTTTTTGAAAAGTTAAAAATTTTGTTTTGAAAATTCTAGTTACTTCAAGAAGCTTTAACCTTATATAATTACAGTGACAACAAGACGCACACAGAAAACGTTCTATACCAATCAGAAGTGTTTTACGCCAATGATAACAAATGTCTTTGGGCTCCACCACCAGGCCAAAAACATTTACCGGTCGGTGAAATGCGCTTTAGGTTTCAATTTCCAATCCCGACGAATGCTCCGCCTACTTTTGAAGGTATTCTTATCATTTTTTGTTTGAAAATTTTAATTTCGAATTTTTTTTAATTTTTAATTTTTTTCAACTTTGTAAAGAATTTTTTTACCATTTTTTATTTCAGGTACCTACGGCTTTATTCGTTATTTCATCAAAGTGAAAATCGACCGACCATGGCGTATCGATAACCGGCATCAAATCGGCTTCACAGTTTTGCCCCACTTTGACCTCAATTCAGTACCGTACTCAGGATACCCATTGTTACGTGAAAATCACAAAGAAATTGGATGCTGTTGCTTCAAACATGGTCGACTAATGGTGCGACTTATTGTACCAAAAAGCGGATTTGTACCTGGCGAACTGATACCAATTAGAGTCGAAATTCAGAATCATGCGACAAAGGGCGTCAAAAAGATCTCGACGCAGGTATGGAGGGTTTTAAACGAATTATACGTATTTTTTGTGGTATCTTAATGAACAATGTTTCAGGTGAACCAAATTCAACATTTCACAGCCGATCGTCGCTCAAATCGTATCTTGTTTGTACCTCATCTCAGTCAGAATCCGGATATCATGCAAAAACATTATACTCAAGTGGTAGCACAAACCCAAAAAGTCTTCAACGAACCTCGAACTGGCAATTGGACATTTGACGATGTACTCCAAATGACACCAGTAGTACCAAGTTTCAATATCTGTCAAATCATCCAAGTACAGTATACTCTTACTGTGAAGGTTTCTTCAGAAAACACCTTCAGTAATACTGTAGAATGTGAAGTACCAATGCTCGTAGGATCGATTCCAGTACGTAATATAATGCCAATGCCTGCTGAAGGTATTCGTACCGGGGACACATTGGTACCACCTCAACCGTCGGCACCACCACCGGATTACGAGCCCAGAGTCATGAGTTCGAATGTGAATGGAGAACTGGTCAAAGACGATCCGAACGACGAGGAGAAGGCACCAAACTACAAACCGCAGTACTTTTACTACCCACCCAATGTTGAAAATTTGCATGTGAACTCGGCAGACTCTAGAACTGGTACTGTGCGGTCGAAAAACGGTAATTTTGGTTTAGTTTTTGTATTTTAGGCAATATAATGATTGTTTATCTTACAATTAATTAAAAATTGGTATTTTAGGTTTCGAAAGAGCTGCTATAAACCCAGATTTTGGCATCAGAGATTCAAAAAGAAGTATTAGAAGTTCTGCAAAAATTGGTGAAGGTGCAAGAATTGTAGTTGAACCAGCTAATAACAATCCTGATATTGCTATAGGTCAAGGAGCCTCATTGGGATTTGAAAAGGTATTGTAATGTCTATTGTCATAGGTTTTGTCCTCTTTTGGAGTTTAAAATTTCTAACTTTTTGATATTTAAATTTTTTTTAATTTTAACTTTAAAAATTTTTTGGATACTTGTCATAGAGTTTTATAGTCTAAAATTACTTTTTTTGTATAATGTATACCTATTTTAACAAAAACTATTAGAAACATATTTTTATATAGTTTAAGTCTTATGATATTGTTAATATACTTGTCTGGTCTAGAAAAAGGAAGATTTAAAATCGAGTTTGAAAACGTCGGAACCCGAGAAACAACGAGGTCAAGGTGACAATGCTCAAAAAGCAAATCAGAATGAACAAAAAGAAGATGATAAAGCACAGAAAGATGGTGATCAACAACAAAAGGAATTAGAAGAAGGCAGTAAATTGGAAAAGCCGAGGGAACAGGAACAAGAAAACCCTCAGGAACAAAAAAGCCCTGTCGATGATACAGCCGAATCTGATAGCATTAAAAGTGATAGTGCTTCGGAGTAACGTTTGAAAATGATTTTTTAAAATTTTTTTTGGTATTGAGTTCGTTTAGTATAAGATTTTAATTTAGAATAGTGTTTTAGTCTTTCTTGTGATAAGAATAACATTGGAGGTTGTTTTTGTAAACTAATGTGATAATAGTTTTAGAGTATACTAACTTTTAGGTAGACAGTTTTATATTGTTAGGAACTTAACATCGTGAATTGTAATATGTGATGAATAAACGTGTACGGGTAAATTTGATGTTTACACAAAGAAATCAGAGAAATATTAGGGTGTTCACTTAATTCTGTGTTTCATGGCCTAATATACAAAAAAATAAGAGAGGTGTTAGATGCCGACATAAAGAACCCGCCATTTTTTACACGAAATTACAGAAAAAGTATGGCGGGTTCTTTATGTCGGCACCTAATAATGAGAGGGATTTTAAAACGTTAGCCAAATGCCATTTTTTAAATTTAAATCTTACCCTGTAATTAAAATAATTTTCAAAATTCATTTAGCAGACCTACAATTAGCTGTATAATTACAAATACAGTAGTCAGATTGATAATTAGCCAAATTAACTATTAATATGCATAAAAAACGGAAAGCCTAATCTTGTACGTTAAAATAGCCAGTTTATCCAATTATAGCAAAATGTAATTAACTTTTTTTTGTTTTACAATTCTTTAAGCTGTAGTCAACGGGGGAGGGGACGAGATGAGAGCAGGGGGATTCTTTTTGTGAAACTTTTTGTTTTAAAGAAGGTTTTTTGCTATTTTTTGTAATGTAAAGAAAGTTCTTGTTATTTTTTGTAATGTAAAGAAAGTTCTTGTTATTTTTTGTTGTGTAAAGAAAGTTCTTGCCACTTTTTGTTTTGTAAAGAAAGTTCTTGTCATTCTTCGTTTTGTAAAGTAAGTTCTTGCCATTTCTTGATTTGTAATGAAAGTTCTTGCCATTTTGAGACTTGTAAAGAAAGTTATTGGCATTTTTTGGTATTGTAAAGGACGTTTTTGCTCGTTTTATATAAAGTTAAATTTTTAAGCTAATTTTTAAAAATTTTGAAATTTCAAACATTTAAAATCTCGATTTCTTCAAATTAAGCCACAAACACCTTGCTTTCAGATTAAGCTGCTTCTTTTAATGTTGTTATTACACTGAAAGGTGAATGTTTTCGGATTAATAAGTTATTCTCAAAACCTATTCAACTGCACCATAATTTGATTATAAAACTTTTGAGGCTATTAAACTTTGTTAAAGTGTATTCTCTCTTTTGTTGTGGGTAAACTTTGGTCTGGGAAGTGTTTTTTGGTCGTAGTGGGGGTGTAAATTTCAATTTTTTTACAAACTGTGGGATTGCAAGGACTTTTATTACAGAGCGCACGGTCTGTCCTTTTTTGACCTTTTACAACTTTGCATTGAACCTTTTTGTCATTTTTGCTCCCATTTACTTCAGAATTCGTTTCTATTGTCTTTTTGACATCCTCCGCAATAGTTTTTAATTTTTTAGTCAACACCAGTCAAGTTCCTAAATTTTAGTCTTAGTCTTAGCCTTAGCTTTAGCCTTAGGCTTAGGCTTAAGCTTAGGCTTAGGCTTAGGCTTAGGCTTAGGCTTAGGCTTAGGCTTAGGCCTAGGCTTAGGCTTAGGCTTAGGCTTAGGCTTAGGCTTAGGCTTAGGCTTAGGCTTAGGCCTAGCCTTAGCTTTAACTTTAGGATTAACCTTAACTTTAGCCCCAGCCTTGGCTTATGTTATGCTCAAGCTTTGCCTTGGTCTTGCCTTCGCTTTAGCCATAGTTATAATCCTAGTCATAGCCTAGCCTTACTTTAGCTTATTCTTGTCAAAGACCACATCCAGAATTTTCAAAATTTAGGCTTATTTCTAAGCCTACAAGAAACCTGAAAATTAGTGCAAAAACGTGTGTTAAATTGTGTATGATGTATTATGCAAGTTGTATGACAGATGTATGTGGTCTTAACGACCGTCGTTCTGACCATTGTTTCAGTCATCGTTCTCTCCCACATTCCAACGCCTAATTGTTTTAGTGAATGGAATGTTTTTTTCTTGTTAAAAAAATTACTATTTATACGTTTAACGGTTTTCAACTTTTTATATAACTTTATGTGGCAAAAACTTTCTTTACAAACAAAAACTTTCTTTACAAGCAAAAAATGCCTAAAAATATTAGCTGCCGACATAAAGAACCCGCCATACTTTTCCTGTAATTTTCTGTAAAAAATGGCGGGTTCTTTATGTCGGCACCTAATATCTTGAGCAAAAAAGATTTTAAATTTATTTAAAAAATTTTTGATTAAAAACATGTTTACATTGTATGGAAAATAGCATCATACTCATGCCGGTGGCATGCCTTTATGCTTGTTTTTAGGATTATCGCCAAAGAGTACTTGAGATTCGCGTTTATCCGCTTATTTTGCTATCTTGAGTTCGTATCATTACCATAAACCGTTAATATAACATATGGTCCAATTGACAGATTGAAAACGGGCAAAAGATTTTTTTTACAGCGGCTTCTTAAACATTTTTTACCGCGGCTTCTTGACCTTCTATCATGTTTTATTTGAGTTCTTATTCGGCTTACTGTAGTGTCACGTTTCGGGTTAAGTTCAAAAGTCGAGTTTTGAAGAACAGCTTTGGATTTGAGAACTCCATAAGTGTTTATTGCCTTCGGGTTTTTAATTTTTTTTTTGTTTTTTAGGTAGTGCTAATCGAGTATTTTTGGTAGTAGAAAAGCTGGGCTTAAAAATTTTTTTTTAACTTTAAGTTCAAAAATTTCCTTATTTGTTATTATTAAGTGCCGACATAAAGAACCTGCCATTTTTTACAGGAACTTACCGGAAAAGTATGGCGGGTTCTTTGTGTCGGCACCTACTACCTAAAACATAAAAATACAAGTGCAGACACGATAAACTGTTAGTTCATCGTATTTCTATAGCACGGGTCTGAAAGGACATCTGTCTACCTATAATAGTATAACTATTTACTATAAAAAAGACTGTGGTATATACGAAAGAGAAACCATAGTTTAGGTAACACACTCGAAATAGTAGGCTAAAAATGTGTAGACTTTTTACTATAGACGACCTATTTTTACTACCGACTACCTATGAGAGTACGTTATAGTAGAGCAGTATCAAAATAGAGTATGTTACAGTAAAGCAGTATCAATAGAGAGTACGATACTAAAAAGAAATGCAAAAAGAGGTAGCACAGACATGCTTAATCGTTTTCTGCGAATCCAAATCAACAATTCCAATTTAAAGACCGTGAAAATGAACATGGAGTCTCCTTCTCACATCGGATCTCCACCCTCGGCAGGAAGCGAGGGCTCAATTATTTTTTTCACGCGGTACTCGAGCGATACTCGAACGGCCGCACAATTTGTTTTCGATTTCGCGGGCTTATTCAGGTGGTTTTTCGGCTTTGATTAGTTTGTCAGTTTTTAAAATGCATAGTTTTAGGCTTATCAGCATTGCACTTAGCTTTTGTAAACAGGTTTTGTAGGCTTAAGCATTATTACTTTCATAGGCTTAGGTTTTGTAGGCTTCAGCATTAGTATATAGGCATGGCTTATAAAGCTTTGGCCTTACAGGTTTATAGTGAGTAGGTTTATGATGAATAGGTTCAGATATAGGTACGATTAAGCTACTTAAAGTAAGTGTCGACACTTTACAACAGTAGAATGCGCGTCTATATTTAAACCTTGGCAGAAAGAAGTGATTCCGCACAGAAAAAAGCTGGGTTAGGTATCACATAGTTAGGTGTAATATTTTGCCTGCCGGACGTTTAGATTTAAACTAAGGCTTAGGCTTAGCTTAGGCTTAGCTTAGGCTTAGCTTAGGCTTAGCTTAGGCTTAGCTTAGGCTTAGCTTAGGCTTAGCTTAGGCTTAGCTTAGGCTTAGCTTAGGCTTAGCTTAGGCTTAGCTTAGGCTTAGCTTAGGCTTAGCTTAGGCTTAGCTTAGGCTTAGCTTAGGCTTAGCTTAGGCTTAGCTTAGGCTTAGCTTAGGCTTAGCTTAGAATGAGGTTCTATTTCAGCAGAGTACTGATTTATATACTCATAAAGTATGGCAGATAAAAAATAGTATCCTGCAGAAAAAAGGAATTCAGATCCCAGCACTCGCAGTAATTTGTTGGGTCGTTTTACATCGAGGCAAATATTACAAAAGTAAATAAGGTTACATAATTAAGAGTTGCGCAACACTTTTTCTGTCAATTTCTCTAAGGCTATTTACTTATAATCAATGTTAGGTAATGGCGCACAAAAAATATTCATTTTTTATTAATTTTTGTTTTGTAATATCATTTATGACGCTTATGCTGCTACTTAAAGGGTTTTACACTTATAAGTTGTGGTTTTGCATACTGAGGTTTTGTGGCATTCTTTAATTTCTGGTTTAGCTACTTACAGTCTAGTAGGCTGAAGTTTTTTAGATGGAGGCTGAGTTGGTGTAGGGTTAGTTGAAATAGGTTACGAATATGCTGTTAAAAGTGTGCTGTTAAATTTGTTTCTTTTTGTGCCAAGAGCCGAGAGCTCAAAAATGCAAGCGGTCAAGTTTTGATAGTCGAGAGCTCAAAAAAAATGAAATACTGTTAAATGAGATCCGTTTTTTATTTTTCAAAAACGATTTTTAAAGGATTGAAAAGTGATTAAAGAGTCACCTCGGATCAAGGATGTTGAAGAGGAGAGGCAATATTAAATTGGGTTTACGGCTTTTTAAAAAATGAATGTTTCTAGCCTAATCAGTTGTTTTTCCGTCTATTATATTAGGTGCCGACATAAAGAACCACCATATTTTACAGGAAATTACAGGAAAAGTATGGCGGGTTCTTTATGTCGGCACCTAATATTTTTTGTGTTTAAAGGGAAGTACAATGTTAGAATGTTGATATATTACCTATATGGGTTAAAAAATTTTTTTTTAGATAACAATTGAAACATTCTTTAATATCTTGTATTTTTTTTCTCATAAATGTTGTTATTTCTTACGTAGGTTATGTCATCAGGTTCTCATGTAAAACAATAGCGATTAAATTACTTTGGAAAACATAAAAACCGAGATTGTGGCAACTATTTTTCATTATCATATGTCTTTTTGTTTTCTTGGTTCTATTTTTCTTTGTTTTTTTTTTAAATTTTTAAACTAAATTAGGCTTAGCTTAGGCTTTTTTTTTAAAATTTTTAAAAATTTTTTTGAAAATTTTTAAAAAATGTTTGGGTTTATGGTATATTGGTATGATTTTTTAATTTAGAGCATGCTTTTTTTAAAAACCTTTTGATATGAAAAATTATAGTTCATTTCATGATTATAAAGTTCGTCAGCACTTTTAAACCCGCGCATTTTGTTTTGTTTACCTAGACAATTAAATTGAGACATCTTAAGTAAGTTTCACAAGATCACAATATGCTCATTGTATAGCATATGGGTTTGTCCTATTAAAAAAGTTTTTAAAATTTTTCGTTTCGCTATACTTCAACAACTCTTTCTTTGCCGTACTTTACTTTAACTTACAGTATTCAAAATTTATACTCCCTGCCACTACAATTTTTACTAAAAATCACTTTGTAAAGACAATACCTCCTATTGTATTAAGTACCGACATAAAGAACCCGCCATTTTTTACAGGAAATTACAGGCAAAGTATGGCGGTTTCTTTATGTCGGCACCTAATGTAAAAGAGTTAAATATATCGGGTTGTGCGATTCTTTTTTTTTTACTTTATTCAGTCGTCATTTTATTCTTTTTTTGTAAGAAAATACTTTAATTACTTCTTACAGGTTGTTAACATATTTAAAGCGGACGAAAATTGTCACTTAAGAGCCCACTTACCACATTTTTCTTGTAAAAGAGCAGTCTAGGTGTAAGAAGATGGGAAAGGTGAGTACTGTAAGATGACATTTTTCATTTAAAAAATTATGTTTATTTTTTTTAAATTATATAATGAAAAATGTTTAAATTATTTAATGCCAACATAAAGAACCTGCCATTTTTTACAGGAAATCACAGGCAAAGTATGGCGGGTTCTTTATGTCGGCGCATAATAAAAAAATAAAATTTTAAAATTAAAAATTTTTTTAAATACGTGCCTACTATAATATAAAATTTATATTTTAGCGAAAAGTCTTCAAAGAAAACCTTCTCCTTGTCTTCACGATTGGTGCCGTGTTCGTTGGCGTCATCCTCGGCTTCGTGCTACGCAAAATGAAGCCAGACCCAAACACCGTGGTTCTTCTGGGCTTTCCAGGCGAAATCTTGATGAATTTGTTGAAGTTGACCATTTTGCCTTTAATTGTGTGTTCTCTGATATCGGGAATGGCACAACTCGATGCGAAACAGTCGAGGAGAATGTGCTTCCTGTCGTTGGCCTACTACATGGTTACTACGTTAATGGCTGTAATTGTAAGGATATTTCGGAATTTGAAAGTTTTTATCCTTGGGGCATTAGTTCCAGGACAGAATTTTAAAATCAAGTGTTTTTTAACTTTGAAAAAGAAAATTATTGATAATGGGCTGTGTGAACGCATGGATAGTAGAGGGGGTGGGGTGGAATTGAAAAGTTAAAAATTTTTAAATAATATTGAAAAAACTAAAAAATTTGAAAAATAAAATTTTCATTTCAGCTAGGTATCATATTGGTATTGTCAATCCATCCTGGAGACCCTAGAGATCGTCGTGAAGCCAAAGGTGGCCCGAGTCGTAGGAATGTCAACACATTGGACACTTTCTTGGATATTGTTAGGTAATAAGTTTTAAAAATATAAATTTAATTTTAAAAAACCAAAAAATTTGTTTTTTTTTCAAAAATTTTTTTTCAAAATTTTTTTTTTAAAGCTTTATTTATAAAAGAGCATTTTTAGCTAATATTACACTAGGTAAGCTTGTATATTTTATAGAAACATGTTCCCAGACAACATGGTCAAAGCGTCATTTGAACAAGTACAAACCAAGTACGAAAAAAATCGACCGGTCTTGGAAAGAACTAGTGGAATGAACTGTTTGGGTAGGGTTTATAACTGTTTTCTCCTTCCCTACCACCTAAACTCCCCCCCCTCCCCCCCCACACACTCACCCCCCCCTTTTCAATTTTATTAGGTGCCGACACAAAGAACCAGCCATACTTTCCCTGTAATATCCTGTAAAAAATGGCGGGTTCTTTATGTCGGACTCTAATAAAAAAACGTTATAAATGAAATTTAAAATTTTAGGAGTGATTGTAATGTCAATGAGTTTTGGCATAGTATTAGGAATCGTCCGTGACGATGCCCGGGCCGTAGTGCAATTTTTCAAAGGCATGGACAAAGTGATTATGACTCTAGTCAACTACCTCATGCTCTACTCACCCATTGGTATCATGTCTTTGGTCATTGCCAAAATCCTGGCTATTGAAGATTTGGCTGAAACTGGAAAAATGCTGGCTTTGTATATGATTACCGTACTCGTTGGACTCGCAATACACGCTCTTTTCACATTGCCTATACTTTATACGGTGCTGACGAAGCAGAATCCGTTTACCTACATGAAGGGCTTGCTACAGGCGTGGGTGACGGCGTTGGGAACAGGTAGTAGCTCGGCTACACTGCCGGTTACGATAAAGTGTTTGGAGGAGAACAACAACATTGACAAACGAGTTACAAGGTTTGTACTGCCGGTCGGAGCTACGATTAACATGGTAGGTATAATATGTTTTGGTTAACAGACAGGTTTTTGGCTGATTGAAGCATGTGTTTAACTTTGGATTGTATTTAGCTTAGGCTTACTATTTTATTATTTTAAATATACATATAATGTATCTTCAGGATGGTACTGCATTGTATGAAGCTGTAGCTGCAATCTTCATTGCCCAAGTTAATGGAATTGAACTTAGTTTGAGTCAGGTGATCACTATATGGTAAGTTATGCTTATTGATGTTAATCTACTAAGCCTAACCTTACTTAGTCTAAACCTATTACCTTCAACTATTAGAAGTCGACATAAAGAACCCGCTATTTTTTACAGGAAATTACAGGCAAAGTATGGGGGTTCCTTTATGTCGGCACTATATATTAAGCCTAAGCTTACTGATAACTAAACATTTTAGCTTAACAGCCACATTAGCCTCAATCGGAGCAGCGTCAGTACCATCCGCTGGCTTAGTAACTATGTTATTAGTTCTTGGAGCAGTTGGCCTTCCATTGGAAGACGTTTCTCTAATTGTCGCTGTGGATTGGCTACTGGACAGAATCCGAACATCAGTCAATGTTGTTGGTGACGCATTTGGTGCTGGTATTGTACATTACTTTGTGAAGGACCGGTTAGAGAGAACCGAATCGAAAAAGAAGGCCGGTCCCAGTAAGCCTAGCAATTCATTTGAACCTGACAGTGAGTTTTGGTGTTTTATTTAATGTTGTCGTATTGAAGTGTCATTTTTTATGCATTTTTGTATGTGAATCATTTATGACATGTTTTTTGTACTTTATGTTACATTTTTTTCAATTGTAGGTGCACTACTAACCTACGAACAATCCGCGAAAGAAAAATACTCAAATGGAGATGCTCCAGCAACAATGATCTAAGAGTTTTTACATTTAACACGCTTTAATTTAACGTAGATGTTTCCTGGTTTAACGTAAACATCATACTGTTACGTAGAATCGTACTGTTACAAGAAGTCGTACTGTTGCAAGTAGGCATTATACTACGATCTGGCTTAAAGTAGATACCGTATTATTACTTGGTTTACTATATAAATTTTATTTTTTTTTGACTTGCATCTCAAATAACGTTTAAAATTTCCTCTTAATCTATATGTTTTTCTAAATTTTAATCAACTCAAAGTCTTTTATATACTTTTAAGCATCAGAGTAATGTTAATTTTATTACTAAAGTGTTTTTAAATGACATGATTTTAAAGGTTTTTTTATTTTACTACGTAATTTTGAATTTTACTATTATACGTGATTTTTATGCATAATAAACAATATTTTTTTGTAAAATTTTATATTATCCATGACTTTTACAACTTTATATTTTTAGCCATTTACAACTTTTTTTAATTAAAAATATTTCATTATATAGCGAAACACACACAAACTTTTATGTCGTGTTTCATAGCGAAAACACATATAAACACAAAAAACGTTGGATTTGATTTGTTTATATTACAATATCTCCTTCAGAACGCTTTTTTATTTCGTATATTACTATAATATATCTAAAACAACACTATGAAATCAAAAATACTAATACTATTCACCATGTTCATCGTATCGAACGCTCACCAATATTATTTTGAGGACTTTTACACTGACAAAGGCAACCTCACCTTACCCATAACTAAAGATGAATCTGGTTTGTTTAATGCTACCGTAGCTTTGTCAGTCAATAGTAGCTTGGCAGAATCTTTGAATGATGAACAGTTAAATGAGTATTACATGGAATGTGTCAAGAATTTAAAACTCTCGAATCCGGTACTAGAAACTGTGATTATCAATGATATTGAAATTGAGGGCATTAATTGTAATTTGGTATGTTTTAGGTAACAAGTGTAACTTTTAGTTAGATATAATTAAAAACTTAGGGTTATATTGTTTGTCTACTTCCTTGCACTGCAAACTTTTCTAAATTAAAAAAAATTTATATACCTAAATTATCAGAACTTGTCTATAAAGTGAAACTAAAACATTACATTGGTTTACTTAGACAGTAAACTACGGAATAGCTGAAACTGAAGAGTACAAAAAGTCCTCACTCCGAATTATTCATGCCATCATCAAAGCCCTAGATGAACATCGTCTCAATCCTGTCGATTTTTCAGTCGAAACAGTGGTTAAAACTAGTCAGGTAAATCAATATTACTGTATAGAACCCATTTTAGATTGAAAAAGATTCCTCAGTAACAATAACAGTCAATACCAACTTGGGAACATGTGGAATTGAACCAAGAAGTACTTATGTCAGGTAAATACAAAAGTGTATAATGGTCAGTTTATATCCAATCTTTACAGAATAAGAGCCGAACGTATAGAGCCATCAGAATGCCTGTTAGACAACACACTTGAGTCTTCTTAATAGTCCAAAAACATGACAATATTTAATAGTATATTCAAGTAAACAAATCAAACTCGTAATTTTCCGTTGCTCCAGTTCTAGCGTAAATTACCTTTACACTGTCGTCGGCAATATGTAAATTAGTAAACCAATTGTAAAAGTCACTCTTGGTATCTTTCAGTATGGGAAACGTCATCTCAGATAAATCCCAGATATGGAAATTAACATGACGCTCCTGTCTTTCAAAAAAAGCATGGTTATGCAGCCTTTCAAAATCAAACGTTTTTACACGAATCTTATCTAAACTAACATTATTTAGAATAGAACAGGCTATGGTTAGGGTCAAACGACGCTTTGTCAAAACGATAAAATATGTGTTTGTAGATTCGGTTATTATTCTCATTTAAGAATGTTTCCATCACTTTGTACGCTCGCATTGTCCAAACGTAAAGGTAATTATTACGTGTCATTAGCTTAAGCTGTTCGGGATATGTTTTAACTTCAATCCAGTTGTCTGTTTGTTTGTTGTAGACCAAAAACTGAAAAATTATTATAATTTAAGCCTAAGATTTTGAAGAAACTTGAACTGTAACGGCGCTAGGACAAATGCGGATTTACTAAAGGATTTTTTAATTTTTTTGTTAATTTATTTGTATTATGGTACTAAATGGTACTAAAGTTTGGCACTGCTTTAATATTTTTCGGTGCTAAATAGCACTAAATTTTAAATTGGTACTTTTTTTATATTTTTTAGTACCAAATGGTACTAAAAGCCCAAAATGGCACTTTTATGTTAAAACAGTACCAAATTTAAACTTTAGTACCATTTAGTACCACACTACAATTAAATAAACTAAAAAGTAAAAAAAACTTTTAAAAATCCGCAAATGCCCAAAATCCGCATTTGTCCTAGCGCCACTGTAACCAAACTAGAATTCTAAGAATCATTTATAGAGTTCGTGGCAAAACGAGTTCTGTACAAAACCGGTTATTTTCTCAATCACTATATATATACAGCTATATTCTCTCAAAGATCGACGCTAATGTAATTATCAAAACCTTACCAATTTAGTTGCCGGATGAAAAATAGTTACAGGATTCAAAAAGTGCCAATCTTGATCTGAAAAGCAAAGTGATTTAAAATTTAGAAGTAATACGGATTTTTTAATTTTATTCGACTTGCATATCTTTAATTCGGCTTACCTTCTGACTCAAACACAATTTCCCTTCTTTTGATGTTGTATATTCGAAATCCCACGTTAGATTCTAAAATTTAGATTTAAAGTTGTATATTATAGTTTATTTTATAAAAAGACAAATATACTATACTCACCAAAAACACCCTGAAGCACAAAAAAACCATGTTCACCGTTCACCATAACTCTTTCTTTCCATGTAATATTACAAAATTCGTATGTTTCATCTGTCTCACTATCGATTATGAAAAGTTTGTTGTCTACTGTATGTACTGTAACATATTTGCCATTGTCAAAAGGATTAACGTTGACTATATTTACAACTCTAAAAGTTGCACCTTCAATCTTGAATTCTTTTTGACTATAAACGTCAAAAACAGAATCACTTTGTTTGTTGTGGTAATATATCCGGTTCTGCTCACAAACAGATATCACTTTCATAAGTTGTAAATCATAAATGACATCGGAAATATGAGTATGTATTAATAGTATTTTTCCACGATTTATGATCTTAATGTCATCAAATACATGTACATACGACCTAAAGTCAACCAAAGTAAATTCCCGTAGTCCAAAATCGAGATTAGTTAGTAAAACATAGGTACTATGTTTTAGATGAATAGCCATTTTGCCTGTAAATGGACAACAGACTATTCTTTCTTTATTGGAGCGAACACGTGTTCCAAAGCTAAAAATACATATTAATATAGTAATTTGGCGTTTACTTTAAAAATTTCTAAATTTTAAAAACTTACTTTGAAAAAGCGTATGCCCAGGTTTCGCCCTTCAGACGATACAATACATGATCGTAGCATAATTGCTTAAAATCCATGTTGACAAGTTTGTAAAAATACTTGTTTACTACTGCAAGTGAACAAGTATCTTCCATTGAGGGCACATGTTCTATAACTCTCTGCCACAACTAAAATTTTCGAGTTTTTATAAGTTAATATTAGTAGTTATGAGTTACAAATATACAAATGTCGAAGATTTGAAACTTACTTCTGGTAGAAGTCGGTCAGCAAAAATACTCATTGCTATTTTAAATTCACAAGATATAAGTTATGCTAAAAGTGTACATAAGAAAAAAGAGGTATAACCGTTGTATGAGTAAGATAAGGAGACAAAATGAAGATATTTTTTATTAACAAAAGAGACGCATTTGCTGGCGTGATCCGCCATTTTGACACTCCACAATGCTTTGTCGCCCAACTGATGCAATCATAACTTTGGTTGACAATAAGAAGATAAAACCTTTCCTAACCACACAATAAATGCCAAAAATTTTAAATGTTTCAGTTAGAAAAATGAAGAGAATTTTACATTAGTCAAACCAATGGGACGGGCGGGAACTTTCGGCCTGGGGGCGGGGGTCGTAAAAATCCACAGGAAGAACCACTTTCAACTTTTATCGAAAATTGGTCCCAGCGCCCGGTCCTGGGTCAAACTATTGAGATTTAAAAAATGTAGACACTCCTTCCCCCTCCTTATTTTGAAACAAAACTTTTTTCTTTTTTATTATTTTTCTTGTCAACATAATTTGTTGACAAGAAAAATTATAGTCAAACTATTAAAATGTATCTGTATAACTAGAAAATTTTATTGATTTATTTAGACAATAAAATACGGAATAGCTGAAACTAAAAATATAAAAAGTCATCACTTCGAATTATTCATGCAATCATCAAGCCTCTGGCCAAACATTGTCTCAATCGTGTCGATTTTTCAGTGGAAGCACTTGTTAGAACTAGTCAGGTATGTTGTATAGATAACTTTCAAAATATTTTTAACGAACTTTATTAAACTATATTTTAAACTTGAACACAAGCTATAATAGTTTATACAATGCTTTAAAAAACACCTTTTGTTATAGCTAGATATTAGTTTTTAACGCTTGATACGATTGATGCTTTTTAAAAAATAATACTGTAGGCTACTCTAGATTGAAGATTCGTCAGTAACAATAACAGTCAATACTAATCTGGGAACATGTGGAATTGAACCAATAAGTGCTTATGGCAGATAAATGCAAAAGTGAATAATGGTCAGTTTATATTCAATCTTTACAGAATCAGAACCGAACGTATAGAGCCAACAGAATGCCTCTTAAACAACACACTTGAGTCTTCTTAATAGTCCAAAAACATGCCAATATTAAATAGTACATTCAATTAAATAATTTAAAATTGATAATTTCCATGGCTCCATTTCTGGCGTTAATTACTGGTACACGGTTTTCGGCAATATGTAAGTTAGCGAACCAACTGTAAAAGTCACTTTTGGTAGCTTTCGGTATGGGAAAATACATTTTCGATAAATTCCATATATGGAAATTAACACGGTTTTCCAGTCCTTCGAAACGAAACGTTTTTATGCGAATGCTATCTATAGCATAATAGAAAATAGTATAGAAAATGTTCGAACATGCTACAGTTAGTGTAGGGTGAGGTGGAGACATACCTTTGTATAAACGTAAATAAAATTACTTAGAAACCGTTTGATTATCAGAATACATTGTTGTTTCCATAACTTTGAGCGGTCGCATTCTATCACCGTCAAGGTAATTTTTAGATGTCATTAGCTTAAGCTCTTCGGGATAGGTTTTAACTTCAATCCAGCTGTCTGTCTGTTTGTTGTAGACCAAAAACTGAAAAATTATTGAATCTTGATATTTCGAAGAAACATGCACATGTTGTAAGAATAATTTACTTATTCTTTTTTTCTTATGCAAAGTCGCGGTTCGCGACCAGTCTTGAGAAAACCGAGATCAAAAAATCGATTTTTGAATTTCCCGCCAAATTGGCATAGTGTTTCAGGCTTTTAACTTTGTCGTTTTTTGACATTTAACTATTTTTCTTTAATGTAATGATAGAAAAGCTTTAAATCAACCTGCAATTTTTAATTTGTTAGCCTATCTTATCTAGGACATCAAAAAAGTGCTTGCAACACAATGCCAAATTTGCCAAATTAGCGGAAAATTTAAATATATCAATTTTAAAGCTCAAAACCACAAGCTAAGATTTTTTGTATGTGATACTGGTACTATAAAGAACCCTAATGAAAATTTTGAGCTATTTCTGAGAGTTGCAGGTTTGTCAGTCGAAGTTGGAATCGACCGTAACATTTAAGCGTAACCAAAAAAATCTTACCGATTTAGTGCGCGAGTGAAAAAGAGTATCAGGGTTTAAGAAATGCCAACCTTCAGCTGAAAAAAAAGGTGATTCACAGTTTAAGGTCAATACGAAATTTATTACAGAATTGATCTAAGTAACTCACCCTCTGACTCAAACACGAACTTCTTTCTTTTGATGCTGTATATTCGAAATCCGACGGAAAATCCTGAAATTTAGATATAAAGTTGTATATTTTAGTTTAGTTTATAAAAAAAACAAGTATACTATACTCACCAACAATACCCTGCAACACAACAAAACCATGTTCGCTATTTACCATAATACACTTTAGTCTTGTCATATTACATACTTCGTATCTTTCATTTGTCTCACTATCGATTATGACAAGTTTGTTATCTAATGTATGTACTGCAATATATTTGCAGTTGTCAAAACGATTAAGATTATGTATAGGTGCAACTGTAGAAGTAACAGCTTCAATCTTGAATTCTTTTTGACTATACCAGTCAAAAACAGATTTTTTTCGTATGACCATGTAGAGTCTGACCGATGCTTTGTGAGATATTACTTTCATAAGTGGTAAATTATATATGACCACGAAAGTACGACCCCATATTAATAATATTTTTCCACGATTAATCATACTAATGTACTCAATGGTATATACATACGACCTAAAGTCAACCACAGTAAATTCCCTTAGTCCAAAATCAAGGTTGGTTAGAATAACATAGGCACTATCTGTTAGTTCTATAGCCATTTTGCCTGTAAATGGGCAACAGACTATTCTTGATTTATCAGAGCGAACACGTGTTCCAAGGCTAAAAAATGCAAGTTAATACATATAGTAATTTGGCGTTTACTTTAAAAATTTCTAAATTTTAAAACCTACTTTGGAAAAGCGTATGCCCAGGTTTCGCCTTTCAGACGATACAATATATGATCGTAGCATAATTGCTTAAAATCCATGTTGACAAGTTTGTAAAAATACTTGTTTACTACTGCAAGTGAACAAGTATCTTCCATTGAGGGCACATGTTCTATAACTCTCTGCCACAACTAAAATTTTCAGATTTTTATAATTTAATCTTAATAGCTATGAGTTACAAATATACAACAAGCCGAAGGTTTGAAACTTACTTCTGATGACAGTCGACCAGCAAAAATTCTCATAACTTCTTGCTTCAATACCAAAATGTTTTTAATATAACTAAAGCATATAAGCAACAGATTGGTATAACCTTTGCTTGAGTAATGTAAGAAGACAATATAGCAATTGTGTCTGCAATTGAAGTTCAATTTAATTTTAAAAAAATTAAATTTTAAAAAACAATGTATATGCAAATTCAGTATGTCATTGATATTTACTAATTGATTGTCGTTTTTTTTATAAATAACCGACTCGCTAGTCTCTATGTTGGTTAGAAAAATGGAGAGACAAGGTTTACATTGCCTAAACTATTAAGATTTCAAAAATATAGACACTATTTCTTTTCAACGCATTTTTGCAAATTTCAAAGAATATTTTATTGATATATTTAGACAATAAACTACAGAATAGCTGAAACTAAAAAATATAAAAAATTATCACTTCGAATTATTCATGCAATCATCAAACTCCGGTTCTGGTTTCAGCTCAGAAGCCAGTGAAAACTCTGGCCAAAACTGAAGTGTCAAAAAGGTTTCACTGCAAATGATTTATGCCATTAACAAAGCTCTGGTCAAACATTGTCTCAATCGTGTCGATTTTTCAGTGGAAGCACTTGTTAGAACTAGTCAGGTATGTTATACATATAGATAACTTTCAAAATATTTTTAAAAATTTTATTAAATCATTTTTTAAACTCGAATACATGCTCTAATAATTTATGCATTGCTTTAACACACCCTTCATTAACGCTAGATTTTAGTTTGTTAAAAGGCTAGATATGACTGCTGATTTACAAAAATAATATCGTAAGCTACACTAGAGTGAAAAAGATTTGTAACAATAACAATCAATACTAACTTGGTAACGTGTGGAATTGAATCAAGATGTGCTTATGTCAGGTAAATACAAAAGTGTATAATGGTCAGTTTATAACTAATCTTTACAGAATAAGAACCGAACGTATAGAGCCAACAGAATGCCTGTTAAACAACACACTTGAGTCTTCTTTATAGTCCAAAAACATGAAAATATTTAATAGTATAATCAAATAAATAATTTAAACTTGTAATTTTCCATTGCTCCAGTTCTGCCGTAAATTACCGCTACTTTTTCGTCGGCAATATGTAAATTAGTGAAGCAATTGTAAAAGTCACCTTCTCTATTCTTCAGTATGGGAAACGTCATCTTCGACAAATTCCATATATGGAAATTAACATGGTTATCCCGACTTTCAAAATCAAACGTTTTTACACGAATCTTATCTAAACTAACAATAATTAGAATAGAACAGGCTATGGCTAGGGTCAAACGAGGTAACAACATACCTTTGTCAAAACGATAAAAGATGTGTTTGTAGATTCGGTTATTATTCTCATTCAAATATATTTCCATCACTTTTTTCGCTCGCATTCTGCTGCCGCAAAGGTAATTTTTAGGTGTAATTAGCTTAAGCTGTTCGGGATATGTTTTAACTTCAATCCAGTTGTCTGTTTGTTTGTTGTAGACCAAAAACTGAAAAATTATTATAATTTAAGCCTAAGATTTTGAAGAAACTTGAACTGTAACGGCGCTAGGACAAATGCGGATTTTTAAAAGTTTTTTTTTATTTTTTTGTTTATTTAGTTCTAGTATGGTACAAAAGTTTGTGGCAAAACGAGTTTTGGACATAACGGTTATCTTCTCAATCACTATATATATACAGCTATAATCTATAAAAGATGCGATCCACCCTAATGTAAGTATCAAAACCTTACCGATTTAGTTACCGAATGAAAAATAGTAACAGAATTCAACATGTGCCAACGTAGATCTGAAAAGCAAAGTGATTAACAATTTAGAAGTAATACGGATTTTTTTTATTTGATTTGCATATCTTTAATTCGGTTTACCTTCTGACTCAAAAACGAACTTCCTCCTTTTGATGCTGTATATTCGAAATCCCACGTTAGTTCCTAAAATTTAGATTTAAAGTTGTATATTATAGTTTATTTTACAAAAAGACAAATATACTATACTCACCAAGAATACTCTGAAACACAACAAAACTATGTTCGCTATTTACCATAATACACTTTGGTCTTGTCATCTTACATATTTCGTATCTTTCATCTGTCTCACTATCGATTATGACAAGTTTGTTGTCTGCTGTATGTACTGCAACATATTTGCAGTTGTCAAAAGGATTAAGATGGTATATAATAACTCCGCTAGAAGTATTAGCTTCAAGCTTGAATTCTTTTTGACTATACGAGTCAAAAACAGAACCAATTTGTTCGTTGTTGTAATATTTCCGGTTCTGCTCACAATCAGATATCACTTTCATAAGTTGTAAATCATAAATGACATTGGAACTATTACTATGTATTACAAGTAGTTTCCCACGATTTATCATACTAATGTCATATATTTCATGTACATATGATCTAAAGTCAATCAAAGTAAATTCCATTAGTCCAAAATCGAGGTTAGTTAGTAAAACATAGGTACTATGTTTTAGTTTGATAACCATTTTTCCTGTAAATGGACAACAAACCATTCTTCCGACAGTATCAGAGCAAACGCGTGTTCCAAAGCTAGAAATAATACATATTAATATAGTAATTCGGGGTTTAATTTATAAAATTACTGAATTTTAAAAACCTACTTTGAAAAAGCGTACGCCCAGGTTTCGCCTTTCAGTCGATACAGTACATGATCGTAGCATAATTTCTTAAAATCCATGTTGACAAGTTTGTAAAAATACTTGTTTACTACTGCAAGTGAACAAGTATCTTCCATTGAAGCCACATGTTTTATAACTCTCTGCCAAAACTAAAATTTTCAGATTTTTTTAAAGTTAATATTAATAGCTATGAGTTACAAATATACCACAAGTCAAAGGTTTGAAACTTACTTCTGATGACAGTCGACCAGCAAAAATTCTCATAACTTCTTGCTTCAATACCAAAATGTTCTTAATATAACTAAAGCATATAAGCGAAAGATCGGTATAACTTTTGCTTGAGTGATATAAGGAGACAATGTAAAATAAAGGCAACGCTTTTATAAAGACAAGAGACGCGCTTGTTGGCGTGATCTGCCATTTTCACACTTCACAATGCTCGACGCCTTACTGATGCAATCATAACTTTGGTGACCAAGAAAAAAACAAAAACTTTCTTTACATAACAAATATGCAAAAAAGTTGAATATTTGTTAAACATAAGTAAGTAGCATTTTTGTCTGCAATCAAATTTCAATTTTATTTTTAAAAAATTGAAATTTTTAAAAAATAATGTGTTTATGCAAATTCTGTATGTCATCGATATTTACTAATTGATTGTAGTTTTTTTTATAAATAACCGACTCGCTAGTCTCTATGTTGATTAGAAAAATGGAGAGACTTTTACATTGATCAAACTATCAAAATTTCAAAAATGTAGTCACTTTCCGCTCCCCTGCTTTTTCTAGAACGAAGTTTATTATTCTTGTCAACATTTTTCGTATTTTAACTTGCAGACTGTGCAACAATATAAGATAATTAATTTTTTTCAATTAGCTTTGTATTGTTCGTCTTTTCTCAATGCATTTTTGCGAATTTAAAAGAATTTAGATAGTCAAACTATTAAAAATTATCTATGAAACTTGAAAATTTTATTGATTTATTTGGCGCTAGGACAAATGCAGTTTTTGGACATTTGCGGATCTGCGGTTTTTAGACACTTGCGGATCTTCGGTTTTTGGACATTTGCGGATTTTTTAAAGGTTTTTTTTTAATTTTTTAGTTAATTTAGTTGTAGTATGGTACTAAATTGTACTAAAGTTTAAATTGGTGTGGTTTTTACATAACAGTACCTTTTTGGGCTTTTAGTACCATTCAGTACCAAAAAGTATAAAACAGTACCAATTTAAAATTTAGTACTATTTAGCACTAAAACATATTAAAACAGTACCAATTTACACTTTAGTACCATTTACTACCATAATACAACTAAATTAACTAAAAAATTTAAAAAACCTGTAAAAAATCCGCAAATGTCCAAAAACCGCATTTGTCCTAGCGCCATTTATTTAGACAGTAAACTATGGAAGAGCCAAAACCAGAGTTTTCAAACTTTAAATTTCCAGCTTCGGCTCTAGCTCCGCCTTTTTTTAAATTTTAGCTCCGGTTCTGGCTTCAGCTCAGAAGCCAGTGCAAACTCTGGCCAAAACTGAAGTGTCAAAAAGACCTCACTTTAAATGATTCATGCCTCTGGACAATCATCGTCTCAATCCTGTCGATTTTTCAGTGGAAGCACTTGTTAGAACTAGTCAGTTATGTTGTATAGATAACTTTCAAAATATTTTTAAAAATTTTATTAAATTATTTTTTAAACTTGAATGCTCGAATAATTTATGCATTGCTTTAACACCCCCTTCATTAACGCTAGATTTTATTTTGCTAAAAGGCCAGATATGACTGCTGATTTACAAAAATAATATCGTAAGCTACACTAGAGTGAAAAAGATTTGTAACAATAACAATGAGTACCAAATTGAGAATATGTGGAATTGAACCAAGAAGTGCTTATGGCAGATAAATACAAAAGTGTATAATGGTCAGTTTATAACTAATCTTTACAGAATCAGAACCGAACGTATAGAGCCATCAGAATGCCTGTTAGACAACACACTTGAGTCTTCTTAATAGTCCAAAAACATGACAATATTTAATAGTATATTCAAGTAAACAAATCAAACTCGTAATTTTCCGTTGCTCCAGTTCTAGCGTAAATTACCTTTACACTGTCGTCGGCAATATGTAAATTAGTGAACCAATTGTAAAAGTCACCTTCTCTATCCTTCAGTATGGGAAATGTCATCTTCGACAAATTCCAAATATGGAAATTAACATGGTTATGCAGCCTTTCAAAATCAAACGTTTTTACACGAATCTTATCTAAACTAACATTATTTAGAATAGAACAGGCTATGGCAAAGGTCAAACAAGGTAAAAACATACCTTTGTCAAAACGATAAAAGATGTATTTGTAGATTCGGTTATTATTCTCATTTAATAATATTTTCATCACTTTGTTCTCTCGCATTCTCCTACCAAAAAGGTAATTTTGATGTGTCATTAGCTTAAGCTGTTCGGGATATGTTTTAACTCCAATCCAGTTGTCTGTTTGTTTGTTGTAGACCAAAAACTGAAAAATAATTACAACTTAAGCCTAAGATTTTGAAGAAACATGTACTGTAGCGGTGCTAAGACAAACGCGGATTTAAAAAAAATTTTTTTAATTTTTTTGTTTATTTAGTTCTAGTATGGTACAAAAGTTTGTGGCAAAACGAGTTTTGGACATAACGGTTATCTTCTCAATCACTATATATATACAGCTATATTCTATAAAAGATGCGATCGACCCTAATGTAAGTATCAAAACCCTACCGATTTAGTTACCGAATGAAAAATAGTAACAGGATTCAACAAGTGCCAATCTTGATCTGAAAAGCAAAGTGATTTAAAATTTAGAAGAAATACGGATTTTTTTTTATTTGATTTGCATCTCTTTAATTCGGTTTACCTTCTGACTCAAACACAAGTTTCCTCCTTTTGATGCTGTATATTCGAAATCCTACGTTAGTTCCTAAAGTTAGATTTAAAATTATTGTATAACTATAATGGAATGCAATATATGAAATATTATAACCGAAATTTTTACTTATCGACCAAACGTGTGGAGTGGCCGTTTTTTGAACGTCTTTGTATTTTAATTTATTTTATAAAAAGACAAATATACTATACTTACCAAAAATACTCTGAACTACAAAAAAACCATGTTCACTATTCACCATAACACTCTTTTGCCTTGTCATATTACAAAATTCGTATCTTTCATCTGTCTCACTATCGATTATGACAAGCTTCTTGTCTACTGTATGTACTGCAATATATTTGCCGTTGTCAAAAGGATTAACGTAGTGTATAAATACAAAGCTAGAAGTATTAGCTTCAATCTTGAATTCTTTTTGACTATAAGAGTCAAAAACAGAACCACTTTGTTTGGTGGGGTAATTTATCCGGTTCTGCTCAGAAACAGATATCACTTTCATAAGTTGTAAATCATAAATGACATCGGAACTATAAGTATCTATTATTAGTAGTTTTCCACGATTTATAATCTTAATGTCACTAATTTTATGTGCATACGATCTAAAGTCAATCAAAGTAAATTCCATTAGTCCAAAATCGAGATTAGTTAGTAAAACATAGGTACTATGTTCTAGATGGATAGCCATTTTGCCTGTAAATGGACAACAGACTATTCTTTCTTTATTGGAGTGAACACGTGTTCCAAAGCTAAAAATACATATTAATATAGTAATTTGGCGTTTGCTTTAAAAAATTTCTAAATTTTATAAACCTACTTTGAAAAAGCGTACGCCCAGGTTTCGCCTTTCAGTCGATACAGTACATGATCGTAGCATAATTGCTTGAAATCCATGTTGACAAGTTTGTAGAAATACTTGTTTACTACTGCAAGTGAACAAGTATCGTCCATTGAGGGCACATGTTCTATAACTCTCTGCCAAAACTAAAATTTTTGGATTTTTTAAGTTAATATTAATAGCTATGAGTTACAAATATACCACAAGTCAAAGGTTTGAAATTTACTTCTGATGACAGTCGACCAGCAAAAATTCTCATAACTTCTTGCTTCAATACCAAAATGTTTTTAATATAACTAAAGCATATAAGCAAAAGATTGGTATAACTTTTGCTTGAGTAATATAAGGACACAATATAAAATAAAGGCAACGCTTTTATAAAGACAAGAGACGCGCTTGTTGGCGTGATCTGCCATTTTCACACTTCACGATGCTTCGCCGCCCTACTGATGCAATCATACGTGGTGATCAAGAAAAAAAACAAAAACTTTTTTTAAAATATGCCAAAAGTTGGATATTTATAAAGTGCAACAAAAGTAATTAGCGATTCTGCCTGCAATCGAATTTCAATTTCTTTAAAAAGGTGTGTGTATGCAAATTCAGTATGTAATTGATATTTACCGATCGATTATCTTTTTTTTATAAACGACCGACCCGCTAGTCTGAGCACAAAAAGTCATCACTTCGAATTATTTATGCTATCAACAAAGCCTTGGATGAACATTGCCTCATTTAACAATTTTTCAGTCTAAACGCTTGTTAGAACTAGCCAGGTGTGTTGTACAAATAATTTTAAAACAATTTTTAAAAAAGATTTTATTAAAATAAATTTCGTGAAGGCAACTATATTTTAAACTTTAATACAAACCATAATAATTTACAAATACAATGCTTTAAAACACTCTTTGTTATTGCTAGATATTAGTTTGTTAAAGCTGGATTTAAGTGATGATTTAAAAAAAATCCCGTAAGGTACTCTAGATTGAAAAAGATTCGTCAGTAACAATAACAGTCAATACCAAATTAGGAACATGTAGAATTGAAATAAGAAGTGTTCATGGCAAGTAAATGAAAAATTAATAATTATACTGATTATAACCTAATCTTTAAAGAATAAGAGCCAAACGTATAGAGCCATCAGAATGCCTCTTAAACAACACGCTTGAGTCTTCTTAATAGTCCAAAAACATGACAATATTAAATAGTATATTCAATTAAATAATTTAAACTTGTTATCTTCCGTGGCTCCGGTTTCAGGGTTAATTTCTGCTACACTGTCGTCGGCAATATTTAAACTAGTGAACCAATTGTAAAAAAAACTTTCGGTATATTTTGGTATAGGAAAATTCATAAACGATAAATCCCACATATGGAACTTAAAACGGTTCTCCAGTCTTTCAACACCAAACGTTTTTATGCGAATGCTATCTAAAATAAAAAATCGTTAGTATAGAAAATGTTCGAACACGCTGGGGTTAGGATAGGATAGGGAAAAATACCTTTGTAAAAACGGAAATAAATTTGTTCCGTGAACTTTTCATTATTAGTATACCATGATGTTTTCATAACTTTGTTCGGCCGCATTCTCCTACCGTAAAAGTAATTTTTATGTGTAATTGTCTTAATATGTTCGGGTTTTTTAACTTCAACCCAGCTGTCTGTTTGTTTTTTGTAGATCAAAAACTGAAAAATTATTATTCTTAAGATTTCGAAGAAACATGTATGATAACAAAACTCAAATTGTAAGGATAATTTACAGAGTTGACAATAAAGGGAGTATCCAGAATTTGTGAATTTCTGAAATATACACTAAATTTACCAGTTTTTTATACTTTATCTGGCAATGTGAATAGTTGGAATCTAAGATCATCACAAAACAACTCAGACAAAGTTGGAATCGACCGTAACATTTAAATCCCCGTAAAAAATCTTACCGACTTAATCCGCGAATGGAAAAGAGTATCAGGATTCAAGAAGAACCAATGTTGATCTAAAAAACAAGATGATTCACATTTTAAAGGACCAGTTCGCCCATTCAAATATCATTGGCATTCTGTCGCAAAAAGCGTCGAAAATCAGGCAATTTCAATCAAAATCATTTTTCTCAAAAAACGTGAGTGGGTCGGTGTTGAAATGAATTTGCCAATTTGGGACCGACCTGCTCAGGTTTTTTGCGAAAAAAATGAACGTCGAATTTTTGCGACAGATTACCAATGATATTTGAATGGGCGAACTGGTTCTTTAAGAATAATACGAAATTTATTTTAGAGGTGATCCTTAAGTAATTTACCTTCTGACTCAAACACAAGTTTCCTTCTTTTGATGCTGTATATTCGAAATCCTACGTTAGTTCCTAAAATTTTTATTTAAAGTTGTATATTATAGTTAGTTTATAAAAAGACAAATATGTTATACTCACCAAGAATACTCTGAAACGCAACGAAACCATGTTCGCTATTTACCAGAATACTCGTTCGCCTTGTCATATTACATACTTCGTATCTTTCATCTGTCTCACTATCGATTATGACAAGTTTGTTGTCTACTGTATGTACTGCAATATATTTGCAGTTGTCAAAAGGATTAAGATGGTATATAATTACAATGCTAAAAGTATTAGCTTCAATCTTGAATTCTTTTTGAGTATAAAGGTCGAAAACGGATTTATTTTGTCTGATGAGGTAATCTGTCCGAAGCATGGGCAATGCTTTGTGAGGTATTATTTTCATACGTTGTAAATCATATACAAACATTTTCTGTTCGTAGCATAATTGCTTAAAATCCATGTTGACAATTTTGTAAAAATCCTTGTTTACTACTGCAAGTGAACAAGTATCTTCCATGAAGGCCACATGCTCTATAACTTTGTGCCACAACTGAAATTTTTAGATTTTTATAATGTAATGTCAGCAGTTATAATTTACACATATCTAAAAAGGTATCGAAAATTTAAAACTTACTTCTGGTGACAATCGGTCAGCAAAAATACTCATTGCCATTTTAAATTCGCAAAATATAACTTATGATAACAAGTGCATATAAGAAAAAATAGGTATGTCCTTTGTATGAATAAGAGGAGAAGACAAAATAAAGACAATTCTTTTATTAGCATAAGAGACGCATTTGTTGGCGTGATCCGCCATTTTGACACTCCACAATGCTTTGTCGCCCTACTGATGCACTCATAACTTTGGTTAACAATAAAAAGCCGGAAACTTCTTAACAAGACAATAAGTGCCAAAAAGTCGAATATTTGTTAAAAGCAACGAAGTACTTACAATTGTGTTTTCAATTAAATCTATCTTTTAAAAAGTTGTTGTATGCAAATTAAATATGTAACTGCAATTTTACTTTAATGAATAAACGTGTTCACCATTAACAGTTCCAGTATTATTTATACACATTTGACATTACATATTTCTTTTTATAATAGTTTAAACTTTTGAAACTACTGGAAACTTATTTGAAGAAAAAATAATTTATAAAAAAACGAAGTGTCCCAATCGATATCGTTAATAGTGACACTTCGCAGACAGAGTGTTTGGATTTTTTTTCTTCGCAAAAAAATAAAGTTGTGTTCGTCTATAGGGTTGTGTTCGGTCAAATTGCAACATTTTGAATTGAACTTCGAGTTGAATTGATTAGTACTAGCATCTTCATATTGTAATTTAAAAGAACAGCGAGTATTTTTTGGATAAATTGTTATTTTGTCACAGTTTTTCGGGAAAAAATTCAATTATTGTTTCGAAAAAATAATTTTACATTGAAGAAAAATTATTTTACCCTAATTTAAAGTTTGTTCTGGGCCTGATGTGAAGGGAATTGACGAACAAAAGCTGAATTGTGTGTTATTTGACAAGGATGCCGAAATCTCCGTCAGATGAATCGACTCTAGACGGAGAACCACTGCCAAAACGGACCCGTTTGGTCGAGTTTGAGCCTATTCGGTTGTGTTCTATTGGTTCAGCGGTAAGAATTATTGATTGTCTGTCTTTTGGTGCTTAATTATTGGTAAAATAGGTTTATCCTTTTTACACTAACGCCTCTAAATCAAACTTATACAGAAACCGTTGTTTTAAAGAAGCTTGTTTTGTCTATTTTGAAAAGATTAAGCTCTTTAAGGTTTAATAGTTTAATTTTAGTCGGAAATCGAAGGACGGATATTGCCGGCACGTTTATTCAAAGCTTTGGAACGATGTCGACAAAAAGATCGTCAACGAAGAGAGTTGGAAGCCAGAATCGAAGCAATTGAGAGTCAACGGCAAGAAGAAGATGAAATGGTCTGCGTTGTCAATTCTTATTGGAGCAAGGTAATTATTTCTTTTATTTTTAATGTTTAGGCTATTTATTTTGAATTGAGACGACAATCATTGGGAAACCTTCAAAATATTTACGTTCCTGAGTATTTTTTACTGTTTGAAAGCCCAAAATTTAGTTTTGAACCAATTTCAGTTTGACGAAGAAGTGGCCACATTTTTACAACGTTTTGATTCAGAAGATACTGCTGAACTCAAGGATCCAGTATTTGAAGGACTTTTGACTGCATTTAAACGCTCTACCTCAGAAGAACTTAACGAAACTTTAGCTAAACGGATAGAATCGTCAGCACGAGCATTCTCAAAGCTTGTGGCAGCTATATCAAGTCTTTCAAGTAAACGCCGGAAGATTATTAAGCTTCTGAAACGTAAAGAACCTTCACCATCGTCTTCTAATGGCTCGTCGCCTAAAGAAGAGGAGAATTTGAATGATTTTGTTAGAGCAGAAGCTTTAGGATTGATGCAAGAGAATGCTAGGCTTGAGAAGATAGCTGTGGATCTGCAGGTAAGATAATATACGGCTAAAGCTTTATACAAAGCATTTAAAAAAGATATTGTGCTTAATTTTAATATTTATAGGCAGAACGTTCGCAGCTCAAGAAGAAACTTAGTAAACATGACGACAAAATGGAAGTCATGGAAAATCGTCTTGAAGCTTTACAAAACGAGAACAAAGACTTACGATTTGAGTTGGAAAAAGGTCAAGATCGTGAAGAAAAGCTGGAATATCGTATTGTAGAGCTCAGCAGATATCAAAAACACGCTGAAAAAGCTCCATGTCAGGCCAAAGAAAAGGAAACAAGTCAAGAGCCGGTTGATATTTCTGATGAAAAACTTCGAGAAATGCAAATGGAGCTTGACGAAAATACAGAATTGGCGGCCACGAGGCTAGCGGAGATTGAAGAACTAAACAAAAGAAACAAGAACTTGGCATCTGAAGTGGAGGATATGAAGCATAAAGTGGCACATTTATCTTCACAACAGGTCAAAGCTGCGCCAGACTATCAGATCCTTCAAGTCAAGTGCAACAATCTGATGAACGAATGTAAAGAACTGCACAATGGAAACGAGCTTTTGAAGAAACATATTGATGAATTGGTAAAAGCACAAGCTGCTCAGATTAACAAGGTTGAAGAAATACATCAACGTGACCTCAGGAACATACGGGTTGAGTCGAGGAAGATAAATGAAGAACTAGGACAAATGAGGGTGGATTATAACAATTTGAGCAATGAGTATAAGATGGTCATGGCTGATAAGGAAACAAAGTGTAAGGTTTTTTAAAATTGTTTTTTTGTTTTTAGGTATAACGGGCTAAAAGCTATAGGCCAAAACTTTGATGTTTCCTGAATTAGAATCATTAATTTTAGTGCCAAATTACAATGAAATGGTTCACATAATTGATGGTTTGCACAAACAAAACGCTGGAATTCAAAAACAACTCAAATTGGCCAACAAGTCTCTCGGAGAAACACAAAATGAGCTGCATAGTATTCGGGATGAATGTGAGAAAAGGGAAAAGATGTTGGAAAACAGTTTCATTATTAATCTCGACGAGATCATTGATCCATGTCCAGATGAGAAGATTCTTCCAATGTCGGCCATATTTGCCTGCCTCAAGAGTTTTGAAAATTTGGTGATACCTAATGTTAGGCCTGAGAACTCAAGTCCAAAAGTTAAGGTGAATGGAACGGACAGCAAGAATGAAGCAAAATCAGCTGTACAAAATCCTCAATCCATTCCAAAACCAGTACCAAAGCCCGAATTTATGGCCAAATCTGAAGGTTCATCGCCAAAGTCCAGGCCAGAAGAAGTTAGAGTGAAAGAAGAGGCAAATGGAAGTGGTAATAGCTCACCAATCAAAAATGAGAAGGTTTTGAATGGGATTCGACCAAAGCTTGAGGAAGATACTTTCCCTGAGAAGAACAATAACGTGAATGATGAAGTGGTACAACTGGTTGAGTCTATTAAAGAAAAAGATCAGAAAATTGAGTGAGTAACTGTTGTTTGTTAAAATTTTGGGGTATAATGTAGTTTAGATTGCAATTTTCATATTTTTTCTAATAAACTGTGTTTTTCAGGGATCTCCAAACGGAAGTTGCTCTGACAAAGGAAAAGTTGTCACTTCTAACCAATCCTCAGCCTCTGGAAATGGATAAAGTTGAGTTAAAAGCAGAAATTGAAGTCCTGAAAAAGCGATGTGAATTATTGTCGGAATATGTACGAAGGTTCCATCGATTGGAGCGGAAAGAAAGAGGAAAATACTTCCACGATGACTTCAGGAGACGAGTACGAACGGTAGAAGCGAGGATGGAGCGCTACAGGAAGGAAGTGTATTCTGGAAGGGCGCAATGCGAAGCATTGATGGCTGAACTTGAAAGCACGGTGGCGGTTTACGAGGATCAGCTGGAACAGGTAAATCTTTGGTTGATTTGGTTTAGTTGTAAAAACTATAATTTTTCCGAGTTTTTATGATTCTGGGATTGATTTCGTTTTTAGATATGTTGTTTAAAAATTATCTAAAGATTTAAAATATAGAATGATATGTTTCAGAATAAACGCATGGGCGCCCAACTCAACGAAAAAGACGAAACGATACTTCAATTAACGGGGGAACGGCTTAAATGTGCTACAAATGAAATCAAATCGAACAATGAGAAGCAGGTATTGTTGACAGAAACAGCTTGCCTGAAGAAACAGACCGAAGACGCGATGGAGTTGTGTAAAGCGCTAGAACAACACAAGAAGGCACAGGACGAACGGCTGGGTCTGTTGGAGGATGATCTCAAGTACGTTATGGTTTTTGTTTTACTGGGAAGGAGCATAGGCGTTACTGCAATTTTAAGCATTTGGCTTGCTCGACGATAGCTTTAAAAAGTTGTTAATAAAAATATTATTTCAGAGTAAAATCTCAAGCATTCGAATCACAAAAACGAAAAACCCTGGAAGCAGTGCAACAGTACGAGGATCTAAAAATCCAGGCCGAAAAGAGTACTGAAGAAGTGGGCCAATTAAAGAAACGTCTAACAGAAAAAGCAGGAACAATGGAAGAGTCATCAAGTCGAATTCTACGATTGAAAGAAGACAAAGCGTCTTTGAAACGGAAGCTGGATCAGTACAAGAAGATGAAAAAGTCGGGCAACATGGACGAAGTGCTAATTGAGGAGAACAGGGTGCTTAGGGTAGGTTATTCTTTGATTTGTTAACGTACTGAAAGAGGATGAAAGTTCTTATGTCTTATCGGCATCTATTTCGGCAGTTTCTTATTAATTCTGTCATTTTTTAGGAACAACTCAACTGTCCATCGTGTAAAACTCACGAAAAGGACACCGTGCTGACCAAGTGCTTCCACGTCTTCTGCAACAAATGCATCCGCACCCGGTACGACCAACGTCGTCGGAAGTGCCCCAAATGTAATGCGAATTTCGGTGCAAACGACTTTCATAGAATCTACATTAGCTGAGTTATATGTTGTCTTATTTCTTATCTTCTAATGGTCATAAAGTTTATATAAATTTTCTTGTTTTCTTTGGTCAAAGATTTTCTAGAATCAGCGGTTTATTTTCTAATTAAACTTTTTTGAATTGGTCTGAAACTCCAAAGCCTTTTTGGGTCGTAAAGTTTGTAGTTATCAAAAACAGTCCTTCTACAAAATTTTTGACCGACTTAGCGTTGTTACTGTGGTTTTAGGCTGAATTTTGTTACATCTTTTTTAAATTTGCAATGTTTTAATTTTAGAAAATTGTCATTTTTAAAAAGTTATAGCCAGTTATTTATGTACTAATCTTTTGGTATTTTAATGTTTTACTTTGTTTTCTGTCGGGTTTTGGTTTAATACGCTCTTGGTCAAAAAGTTTTTAGTGTCATCCGGTGTTATGTCGAATTGTAGTTTGTGTGTAACATCCGAAATTATGTTTTGTATGGACTATGAAGTTTCGTCATATATTAACTTTTTGACCAATAGTTGTTATTAGTATCTTTTTTCTCATTTAAATCCAATTTTACATTTGTTGACTACTTCAATATCGAAAAGTTTGGAGCTTCATTTTCAAACATTTTGATTCATCTCTATGTAAAACAATGTCATTCCCCCTATCCCATGAATGTAATCATGTTTTAGGGACAACACACGTGTCTTAACCGTCTGATTCCAGATTCTTATTTTTTCAAGCTGTTTTTGATTGTTCGGGTCGATTTCCGGTAAAAAAAATAAATTTACATAAATTTTGGTTAATATTATTGATAACGGTACTAAATGGGAGTATGTAATTTTTGGTATGGGAGGGTTTTGATTATTATGTTTTAAAAGGAAAATCAGACATTATAGGTCTACAACAACATAAAAACAGCAAAAACAGACGATAAAATGCAAAAAATAACTGTAAATTTACGTCTTTATTATATTACATACAATAACATGTACAAAATGCATGTGTATATACAAAAACGGTTGGTATTTAAAAAAAGGTTAATAAATAATTTACAAAATTAACGTCTATAGAAGCACCAAGTGAAATATACAATATAAATAACATGCTGAAGGTGAATAAAAATCTAGTGAGAATCATGGCATTGGGCGTAGTGAATTCATCGGGGGATGTTTAGACTGCTTAATTTACAGTACACGGGATTGTTGGGATAGCAGAAGCCTATTTAGCTTTAGGAAAAGAGCTTTGAAAATCTGAAATTTAATATTTTCCATTAAGAAGCTTTCATATTTATTATTAATACTAACTTTTAAGCCTATAACTCATTTTAAGCCTAAAACTTACAATTTAGCAATACCACTTGACTTTCGTTGGTACTTCCAAGGGTACAATTTTTCATCAGGTTCTTTGTTAATCGGTCCATATACAACTTCATCTTCCCCTCTGAAGCAAATCTTTGTTTTAAAGTTTAAAAACATTTGAAATGTTACCCAAACGTGAAAAATTTATTTAAAATTTTCGAAATTTAACCATAATTTAAAAAAAGTTTAAAAATTAAACCAAAATTGAAAAAAATACATCAATATCAACACAATCACTACTCGGAAAGAACGATAAACCATTAAGATAAGCCCTTACCTTTCTTCGGCTTCTACTTCACTAAAATCGGCTACGCTTTCTACTGCTACCGAAGCGGTTTCCGTGGCTCTAAAGCAGTAGCGGCGTTAGAATTGACAAAAAGGATAGGATTACTACGGCATTACATAACACTTTCTTTTTTAAAGAACTATTGATATTACTGTCATCTGCATTAAGATTACTGTAGTCAGTCTTATATGTAAAGTACTGTAACATGTAATACGGACTACAGTAATTCAAAATTTGGTGCGTAAGCTAAAGAGTACCAAAACGACAAAAATACTAATAAATTTAATGTTTTTCGTTAGAAATAAGGACATTTTATCAATTTTTAAATAAAAAACATAAAACCTCATTTCTAATGCAAAATATTTTTAAAAATGTTTACGCCCATCGAAAAAATCCTCATTTCCAATAAAAAACACAAGTAAACACTTAATAACATACGTTTCTGTGCCACTTTCTCCCGAAGAACTTTGCGGCCGATCCAAACGCTCTTCCAACTGATACAAGCGGCTTTTGAGTTGAGTGTTTTCATGCAATATAGTACGGAGATCATTGGTTGAAAATTTGAGGGCATAATCATCGGATACTCTCTGCAATACAATGTTAACGTTTTTTTAAATCAAAGTTAAAAAATATTAAAATTTCATACATTTTTAACAAAAATTGTTTCAGACTGCAAGAAATCACTTACATCCTTATCTAACTGTATATCCTGTTGATTTTTGAGATCATTGCATGCGCGACTAGTCTGATCCAAGGTTTGTTTCAGCCTCAGGTTGTGTTCCTTCAGCTCTTCCTGAGCTTTCACGTAGTTGTTCCTCTCAGTGAACAACGTTCGACACTGGGATTCCAGCGATTTGTTCTTCCTCAACATCTTCTCCGTCTCGGTTATCAGTTCTTCGATATTAGCTCTTAACTTCTTTTCCGTCTCTTCCGACACATTCAACTGTTCTTGTTGTTCTTTGATCTTGTCTTTCAGCTCCAAATTCTGTTGTTTTAAGTTGCGGAGAAGTTCGAATTCTTGGGCCGCCAGAACTACATATCCTGAGTTATGGAACAGAACCAAAACCATCAACACAACCACAACACACACAAATATCATGTACAGCAACGTGCACATCAGCCAGTCTAGCACCGTGCTTAGAGCGTTTAGCATCAGAAAACATCAATTTTTGAGTTTTTAAGAAAAAATACTTAAAAAACTAAAGTGTAATCTCAAAAAACGTTCAGATCAAAAAAATTCAAATTTCAAAGTTTAAATTTCGGAAATTTGATAAATCCTCAAAAACAAAATGATATTTTCACAGCCCGGAAACTGGCAGATGTACAAACATTGCAACATGAAAAAGTTCAAAGAATCAGAATCCTACCTTGTTTTTCCTTCTCTTCCACCGTCTCTTCTGCTAATCGTTCCATCGTGCTTTGTAGGTACTTGTTTTCCTCTTTCACCTTGTTGACCATTTCCCACAAGTTCTTGTTTTCTTTGCCATACAATTCTTCTAGCTCTAGGAGCTCCTGAAAATAGCTTATTTATTAGGTTATTCAAATAATTATGCGCCCCTAACCCCACAAATTTTCTATGAAAAAAGGCGCAGAATTATTTGAACAACCCAATATAATTTTTTACCAAACTCATGAGCCAAATTTTAAAATAATTTAAGCCTAAAGTGCTTACTTTTTCCCTATCTTCCATTTTCCTTGCCCTCAACTGACGATCCCGTTCCATGTCTTCGATTGTTCTTTCAAGATGACCAATCTTGTCATGATCCTTTTCTGTCCGCTTTACTAGGATCTCCAGGTACTCAAAGGCCGGTTGGAACTAAATTCTTTTTATACTACAACTACCCAAAACACACCTTTAAAAAGTACTCCCTGGCCTGTTCTTTTCCAATCAGCTCCTTGAGATCATCGAACACCGTGGTAGTTAATTCCGACGCAAAGTCGTATACATGTTCGATGGTGATACGATGTGTTGGCGTTGAGCCGGGCGATTCTGAATCGTCCATTATGTACAAAATTTGTCTACGCCCATTAACAGCTGGCGGTCTTGGTTTGAGGTAGAATTGCTGCATAATAATGTATTAAATAAAGTTATTGGACTATATTAAAGTAGGTTTATTACTCAATATTATAGTAAATTTAGCCTAACGTTAGTAAACGCGAATATCTCAAATAGAAAAGAAAATGCAGTATAGTCCCAACATTTTCACAGCAGCTCCAGTAGTTACACCAAATATAAAACAGTTATATATCATACGAATACCATTAAAGTGCACCGACAATAAAACACATCAAAGTAATACCGTGTTATAAATGCATGGTACTCAAACCAAAATAAACAATACACGTCGGAAATCCTTATTCATCCAATTTTTCAGCCCATTACCCATGCCCTAAGGTCATTACAACGTCATCCGAAAGAAAGACTCAATTTTTGACCTCAAATGATATTACACTGCAGCCTTTGGCCGCTAAATTAAGGCTATTTAAAGCGACAGAACACTTAACAATGTTTGCAAACATGTTGATAAAGTCCAAAATTGTTTGTTGATAAACCAACTGATTAAATTCTCTAAAAAGGAGTAAAGTTATAATAATTTTTGGTAATGTTACCTAAAATACCAAAAAGTTCGCCCTTCTGCCCGTTTATAGTCAAATTTTCTACTTTTTAAGCTCAAAACTACGTCAAATTAAATTGATACTAACAACTTCTGAAGTCGACTACGAACAACACAAAGAATATTAAAATGACGTTAAACGAAGGAAGAAACCCGAATATTGGGAGGAAATTGGACAAAACAAAGGCATTTTTGTTTATATAAAATAATAAACGGCTGCCATTTCAACCAAACATGTCTGTAAATATACTAACGGACGTTTACTATATAGAAACCTTGATTTACAGGTAGTAAAATGTGAACAAATTACGTATTTTAGTGGAAAAAGTGAAAAATTATAACAATTAAAATTACGGAATTTTGAGACAAAAAATACAGAAAATACGTCAGCGATGACGGGCTTTAAAGTGTTTTAAAAAGCTGTTGATAATCACAAATTATACGAATTCAAATATAGGTCTGTTTGAAACCCTAGATATCAGTTTTTAACAATTTTGGAGTAATATATTGTTCAACCCGAGATAACTCTGTTTTGTTTGAAATTTCAGTTCATTTCGAATTCCATTCTTGGCCTTTCATCTTTCCAATGATAAATAGACAAAAAAAGAATCCGAAATGGAAGAGAAACGCGGATTAAAAAGGCTGATCATATCGGTTATGTTATTATAAAAAAGATTATTATAAGAAAGATGACATAGCATGGTATTATACTTGTCATAAGAATGTGTGTTTAGTATGATATATTAGGTTAGTGCATGTTGAAAGACAAAATTAACTTTAAAAAATAAAAAATGACACGAACTTTCTTTACACTTCCAATTTTTTTCATTTCAAATAAAAAATTAAAATGTCATTATGTAATATACCAGCTTCTGCAATCTTTTGCACCAAAATCTCTAAAATTCCAAGTACAACACAAACACATAATACTGAAAATACGTACTAGTATAATATTAGAATATTATTGTTCTACAAAGTAAAGCCTCTATGACTAAAAGAAATAACGTTTTCGGGTTATAAGACATACGAATAAGACGAAATTGCATGGAAATTTTCTCAGAATTATTCCCGTTTAGACATTAAACTTCGGGAATACATTAAAATATCCATAAAACCCGTAAATCGTTGTTGGAGATAGATACAAGCTCTAAATTGCATTAAGAGTAATATATTAGGCGCCGACATAAAGAATTTTACAGGAGATTACAGGCAAAGTATGGCGAGTTCTTTATGTCGGTATCTAATAGTTGTAAAATATTGTGCAGATGTTGAACGTGGTCCCCTCTGTGGATTATTAGAAAAAATTTTTTTGACCCCCGCCCCCAGACCAAAAGTCCCCGCCCCTGGTTACAGTATAATATATTGATAATGTTTTGTAATTTTTAGTTATCTATAAGATAATTTTTAACAAACTAAAAATATTTTTAATTCAATATAAATAAGCCTATTAAAAGCCCCATTCCCCCACTGTCCATACCCGTTAAACCGTTCCCAAAACTGTTCAAAGTAAGATCTGACTATATGGTGGTTTTTTGCGCGTGTTTGTACAACCGGCTTCCCAAATTTCGAATTACCAAACGGCTTTGAACTTCGAAAATGGAAAATGAATCACACCCTCAAATTGGCTCTTATGTTGTTAATATTACCAAATAAACAAATAGTGAGCAAAATGTGATGTTTTAATCATCAATATCGACATGGATAAACATGAGATAACATGTGAGGTTACTTATATATCCGCCTTATTACAGGCCTATTCTAGTCCCATTATAGACATACACAAACTAAAAGTAATTTTTAAGCCTAAGCCTAAATGTGTGTGGGCTGCTAAGCCTAAAATTCGTGCCGCTAAGCCTAAAAAGTGTGCTGCTAAGCCTAAATTTATGTACTGCTAAGCCTAAAATGCATACTATTAAGCCTAAAATATGTGTTGCTAAGCCTAAAATGTATGCTGCTAAACCTAAATTTGTGTGCCCCTAAGCCTAAAATGTGTTGTGCTCTTAAACCTAAAATGTGTGCTTCTAAGCCTAAAATGTGTGATGTTAAACCTAAATTTGGGTGTCGCTAAGCCTAAAATATGTGCTGATAAGCCTAAAATGCGTGCTGTTAAGCCTAAAATGCGTACTGCTAAGCCTAAAATGCGTGCAGATAAGCCTAAAATGTTTGCTGTTAAGCCTAAGATGTGCGCTGCTAAGTTTACAATTTAGTTCCTATTTAGCGATTAAAAACTTATTTTAAAAAAGTTTGAGTGCTTACAAATGTTAATGTAGGTACTATAAAACAGCACATGAAACTTAAAGAATATATACGCAATGTGTCTAAAACCACAAAAACTTCAACCAGTGTTAAATTATGCGTATTTCCAAGCTGTTAACACAAAAAAAGTCGAAAAAGAAAAGCTTTAAACAAGCCGCTCGGAAGTACACAAGTTTTTCACAAACATACCAACTTGTTTGTTTATTTTATGTGACAAGTATTCGATATGATAAGATAAACACTCGACATACAGTCAAAATGGCAAGACTTGGTTTAACTGTAAAGAAAAGTTAAGTAGTTAAAGATTTACTTTTATATTATTAGGTTTATGATGTTCCTATGACCATATTGTTACCTAGAAACAAAACTTTAGGTCAAAGTTCAAAAAAATATTTGAAAAGAAAGTTCTTGCTATTTTTTGTTTTGTAAAGAAAGTTATTGCGATTTTTTGCTTTGTAAAGAAAATTTTTGCAATTTTTTGGTTTGTAAAGAAAGTTTTTGCAATTTTTTAGTTTGTAAAGAAAGTTTTTGCAATTTTTTGCTTTGTAAAGAAAGTTATTGCCATTTTTTCAATAAAATCTTTAAAATTAACCCTCCTCCCCAATAAAATAGCCTTAAAATGAACTGCCATTTATAAACACAAAAGTCATATCAAAAATCTCGATTCCAAAAACGAAAAACACGAATTGTTGAAATTTGGCCACATGGGAACTTTTGTTTGGCCGCAAAAAATTATGTGAAAAAAGTGGCCGAAGAGGAGTTTTTGGCACTCAACGAGAGGTCATTCCCAAGATTACTCACAATTACTAGTTTTTGGTCATCAAACGTTCAAAATATACGAATATGTTCTAGAAAACAGAAAATAGCAAGAACTTTCTTTACAAAACAAAAAATGGCAAGAACTTTCTTTACAAAACAAAAAATGGCAAGAACTTTCTTTACAAAACAAAAAATGGCAAGAACTTTCTTTAAAAACTAGAAAATGGCAAGAACTTTCTTTACAAAACATATTTTAAGCATGTCTTTTACTTTTAATAATACTATGACAATATAATAACACGACACACTTTACTGATTATACCCCAACATAATAAAAGAACTCAGTCTGAAGGTCTAAAGCGCTTACGACCAGTCATCCATTGTCCACCACAAAAAGACATTAGATATTCTCAAAATATTTTCTATAGCCGGCTTTTTAAGGGAATGAGCCAAACGATGAGCCGACTTTCAAAAAAAAGCTATGTTTACATGTGACCAATGAGCTTTACTAATGACTATGAAAATACCCCATCTGCTTCGTTTTAAGTCCTAAAATTTACATAGTAGTAACGTATTTACAAGAAATACCAATTTAAAATCAAACAAAAACTAACCTCTAGTCATCCCAAAAAGGCTCAGACCCGCGGCTAGTTAGGAATGAAAGACAAAAGAAAGACGGATCCGATTAGACTCTGAAATCTCCACGTCTTCGCAAAAAGGAACGGATGAAATAAATGAATGAGCTGTGCACTTGAGGCATGCCGCCTGGTACTGACATAGCACTGATAATTAATTTGCCCGTCTTTATAGTCTTGTACTTGCGTAAAATGTCCGAAAAGGACAACATGAGACTGGGTATCAAAAGTGCATTTTGAAGTACACAGTATGTTCAGTATTTTAACTAATACTGTTTTTCTAATACTACGTAACCCCAACTTACTGTATTTTGCTCTACCCTACCCTACCCTACCCTACCCTACCATTGTTCAATTCTTAAAATAATGACAGAAACTAGTAGCACCTGACCTACAGCGCGTGAAAATTTATGAGTAATCCTTTTTAATCCTCGTGGTTTATAATTTAGAAACGTTCTGATCGAAGCGAGCACTACTCAAACAAAAATTTAGTCATTTTTTGAGTTCAAATGATTAAATAAAACATTTTAATTGCAAAACCACAAGAATTTAAGTATTGAAATGCTAACCTTATATAAAATTTCAATTCAAAGTCATCGTCATCAATAAAAAACTGATATATTTCTAAAATTTGCGAATGTAAAGAAAAACCAAGAAGATCAAGCTGTTTTTCCAATTAAACACCAATAAAAGTTCTTGGAAAGTCATCTGACTCACCAAAACAACAAAAATCAGCAAAAAACGAAAATTATCCAAATTGGCCATTAAATACCAGAAATGCCTAACGGAATCAGCTGATTTTACCAAGTTAAAACAACAAAAAATAGTTGGAAGCCTCGATCTACTCTATTTTTGTCTAGTTTTCCCGCTTCGCCTCTTTATCGGACGTTAAAAGACTTTTAGCGCTCTAAAACCACGTTTAAACTCGCGGGCTTTCACCTGATCCGCAGGGTGGGCACACGTAAGTGTGGCTTTCTGATAAATTTATATTTTTACGTGGATATTTCGCACGATTCGGATGTTTTACAAGGATTAGGATAGGAAAAACAGGTTTATTTTGATTTATTAAATTTTTGCAGATTTGGTTGTTAATATTTTTGTTTGTTTTTATTGTTTTCTTTTTAAAATTGTAAGTTATGTTTATTTAAACTGAAAATTTTTGTTGTAATCATAATTTTAGTTGAAGTATTATGAAAATTTGCGCGATTTTTTGCAAATTTTATAGCATGTTGTATCAGATGTTTTAAGATTGTTTTTTTTCAGTTTGGAATTAACTTATATTGTTGTAGGGGGAAGCCGGATCAACAATGTCAAAACTTTTGCTTTTGGCATTATTGCCAGTGTTATGTCAAGGATACTTCGTCAGTATTGATGCTAACGAAGAAGTTTGTTTTTTGAACGGGTAACTTCTGGTCACAAAATGTCAATCATGTTTGAAGTTGCTGAAGGAGGATTCTTGGATATTGATGTTAAGGTATGTTTTTGTTAGTATTTTTTTATGTTTTTAGATTCATGTTTCGAGAGAAATTGGAGGTAGAATATTACTAGAAGTTTATATGTTCTTAGAAACTATATTTTTTTTGCAAAAAAGCACTATTGGCCCGTTAACATATATCTTTATGGACAACCTGGAGCTGAATTTCAAGTTATATTTCAGATCACAGGCCCAGATAATCAAGAAGTATACAAAGGAGAACGTGAATCTAATGGACGATATGCCTTTGCTGCCCACATGGATGGAATCTACAACTTCTGTTTTGGAAACAAGATGTCTACAATGACACCGAAGGTTGTCATGTTCACTATCGATATTGGAGACAAAAATGCTGAACAAGCTGCTGCCGCTGATCCTTCCCATGATGCTGAAAGTGCTAAATTGGGCGAGATGGTTAAGGAATTGGCAGGAAGTTTGACATCTGTCAAGCACGAACAGGAGTACATGGAAGTCAGAGAAAGAGTTCACAGATCCAGTAAGTTTTGGTGTGAATTTATGGTTTATATTGTTATTAATGTTACTATAGTACTATATTTCAGTCAATGAAAACACCAACAGCCGCGTCGTCCAATGGGCCGTTTTTGAAGCCATTGTTATTGTAGGCATGTCAATCGGCCAAGTGTATTACCTCAAGCGCTTCTTCGAAGTTCGAAGGGTTGTCTAAGCATGTTTAGATAATAAAACTGCCTAGATAGCTTGTCATGATTTTAATTTATTATAGTTCACCAGTTTGAATATAAGGGTAATATTTTTGGATCTTGTTGCAGTAATTTTTATTTTTTTGCATACATTAAGGTAATAAATCGTATTTACATAATTAATTAGATTTTTTATTTTTGATAAGTGTGGTGACATACTATTTCTCAACTGTTATTTTTTCAAAATGTTTTATTGTTATGTTTCAAGCGTATAAAATGGTTTTGGCAGGCTGCGTTACATAGGGCGCAAGTCGCGTAAATTTATTTATATTTTTTGCAATTTTCGATAAATTTTTATTGTTATGGCTGTATAATTTATTTAATATTGTTAATATAAACTTATAATTTAATTTTTTAAGCTAAGTATATTATAGTAATTTAAAAATGTTACGTATGGCAGATGTTTCTACGCCAACAGTAAGTTTTTTGTGGGTTTTTTGTTTTTAGATTATAAGTGGATAATTAACTTAAATTGTCTCTTAAAAAGCTGTTCAACCATAACTTTTGGTATTAATAAGTAAGGGGAAAGTAAATTTGTTGTGTAGCAATGTTTTGCTTTTGTGAAGAGATTTGCAACGCTTTGAATATCTAATCTGAATTTAGTCGGCGTTCCAGATGAAGAAGGTTCAATGGGTCGATCGTTTGGGGTCGGAGCCGAACATACCTGGTTCTATTCACATTACATCTTCACATACTGTCTTCAGAAGTGATGGTGGAGGTAAAGAGATCTGGGTAAGTAATTAAAAACGTTAGATTTTGTTGACAAGACTGCTTTTAAACACTATATCTTACAAATTTTGTTATAGTTTTTAAACGCGCTGATACAATCAATAGAGAAGAGTCCACTGAACACGAATGGTACTATGATGACGATAAAATGCAAAAACTTCTTGTCGTTATCAATATTGATAGGGAAAGACAGAGATGCTCAGGAAATTTATGAAAGTTTGATGGCTTCTTCTAAATTATGTAAGTTTTTACTATCTTCATTGGTTTTTAGGTATTGAAAGATGAAGAATTGTGTAAAGTATATTGATTTTTCTATTAAAAAAATTTTAGGTAACAAAATTTTTAAAATGTGTATTTTAGATAACATAAGCGGAGCCTTTGCATTTATTCATCGTGAGAAGGAAAAAGATGCTTCTGATGGGGACTGGAATCGTTTGAATTGGGAGAAAGAATTTGAGCGACAAGAGTTGAATGAAAATTGGAAATTGTCGGATTTTAATCGAAATTATGTGTATTCTGATACTTACCCCGAGAAGTTATGGTTTCCAGCTAATGCATCAACACAAGTTCTGATTGGAAGTGCTTCTTTCAGGTCTAGAGGGCGATTGCCAGCTTTAACATACTTTTATAAGCCTACCGGGGCTGTGATTTGTCGGTAAGAGTTACTTTATTTGAACTTTACTATTTGACTGTTGTTCATATTGTGTATCAGTTTTGCCTATATGAATATAATTTTTGGTCTAATAAGATATTATAGTGAATTCCTGTTTATAGTTGTGCTCAACCATTGGCTGGATTCTCAGCTCGTTGTGTAGAAGATGAAAACTTAATGGAGCAAATAAGAAATGCAAATCCAACATCATCAGCTCCAGTTTATGTGGTGGATACAAGGCCAAGAATTAACGCCATGGCCAATAAAATGCAGGGAAAAGGTTTTGAAGATGCACGGAACTATCAGAATATGCAATTCCACTTTTTCGACATTGAGAACATTCACGTGATGCGACAGTCTCAACAAAAGTTACTGGATTCTTGTCAGAAACAGCTTTCCGTTACAGAGTATTTAAAGGCCATAGATTCAGCCGGCTGGCTAAAACATTTGAAAGCTTTGTTTGATTGTGGCAAATTCATCGCTGACAGTTTAGCTATTGGTAAGCTTTTTCGTGTTTTTGGTTTCTAAAATCAATTCCTTAGGTAACAATTTATATTTTTAGGTAACCCATGTGTAGTACATTGTTCGGACGGTTGGGACAGGACTTCACAGACTGTATCAATAGCTCAGATATTATTGGACCCATTTTATCAGACAATTAAAGGCTTTCAAACCTTGATTGATAAAGACTGGCTTGGGTTTGGCTTCAAATTTGATGACCGTTGTGGACATATCACTACAGGCAATGATGAAAGTGCCAAAGAGGTATGGTTTGTAAAGGGTTTCTGTTTTTTGTATGATTTGATTTTCTAAATTTATTTAGCTGATGAAATTAGAAAAAAATATTGTAGATCTCACCGATTTTCACCCAATTTATTGATGTTATATACCAAATCATGCGTGTAGAACCATATGTATTCGAATTCAACGAACGGCTTTTGTTTGAAATCAATGAACATTCCTATTCATGTCAATTTGGCACGTTTTTGGGTAATTGTGACAAGGACAGGACTGATCTGCGTGTATACCAACGTACGAAGTCATTATGGAAGTATATGGAAAACAACATAAATGCGTATAGGAATCCGTTTTTCAAGGTGAGATTTGGCAAGAACTTTCTTTACAATAACAAAAAAGAAGGAAAGAAATAAATTAAAGTTTTTTTTGAACCGGCTTATTGGTCGTATTTTTAAGCTTATATTGTAGGCTTAATTTTACTTTATTATTTATTTTGTAAATTTCAGTCAGGATCCTTGGATATCAATCGCATTGAGCTTCCACAATCAGCGTTTGTCGTCTGGAGCGCATTGTACAACAGGTACGATACTGGAATACAGCCACGAGAGTACATAATGGATATGGCATCATCAGTGAAGGAGCACAATTTATTGATGGAACGAGTTGTAAATGGAGATAATGGAGTAGGTCATTTTATGTTTTTATTTGTTTTACTCGTCTTGGCATATAATTTTGTTGGTATTCAGGCCTATTATATCTGTAGTCTTTTTCAAATTTTAGGTATATATTTAAATTTCACCAAGCGAGTCTATTATAAATTTTGTAACCCTAATTTTACATCTATAGGCTCCCCAGAAAGTCGCTCTTCAATGGCAGCCCCTGTTAAACTGCGAAGAGTGCGCATCACCAAACTGCCGCAGGGAGTTTGTCTCAAGATTCGACCGACGGCAACATTGTGCATCTTGCGGCTTCGTATTCTGCTCTAGATGCATAAAACCAATGCAAAAGGACAAAACCATTAACTTGTGCGTTCGGTGTAACGCATAATCGTCGTATTTAGTGGATCCAGTTTTTTTGGGAAAACTCGAGTTTTATTAGTCATTTTTTTTTAATTCGAGTTTTTTTCGAAATTTTTGAAGGAAAGGAATTGCAAAAGAATTAATTAATCCACATATTTCAAAATGAAAACTTAAATTTTACCATTTCATGACAAATTTGCCTGATGTGTATATTATGACATAATACAGTGCTAATGTAACTTTATTTTATTGTTTTTGAAACAAATCTCTTTAAAAATGGTGAAAAGACGAAAGATTTACTTTTAAAATGAGCATATTGGATTAGAAAGAACATGGCGAATATTGAGGACCTATGATAATATTATTCTATAATTGGCTGTACGTTTTTGGTTAATTTTGATGAAAAATAGATATTTTTAAAGATTTTCGCCGGAAATGAATTCTTCTACACGGAATCGGCTCAGCATTTCTTCCCAGTCAACATCTTGTACTCTAAAATCAATTTTTTAAATTTCATACAGTGCTGTTCATAATTATTTTCTTTTTTAACTTTTACAGATGGTTTGGTAGAATTGTTAACTAAGACGTTATAGTTACTCATATACGGATCAACGTATAATAATAAGTTGACTTACATGAACTTTTGACTGATGGTCGGAGCTGTACAGTGTTTGGCAGTGTGTTCATGACACGTTTTGTGACATACTAAACGACAGTCGCGACATTGGTAGGCCTGTTTCATGAATGTCGATGAGATTTTGCGCTGACAGACGTTGCATACGACTGTGCTAAAATTTTGCTTGTTACTGTAAGTAATACGAACAACCACTTTAGAGTTCCTAGCACCGGGAACTCCCCCCCCCTTTTTTTTTACTAAACACCCAAACCTTACCCTTTGGTCTTGACAGCGACGAACGTATGTTCGTTGTGAATATGCAACTTCTTGCCGCGTTTCAAAAACTTAATAGCCACCAAATCTGGCTGGATTTCGTGAGGAATGTAGTAGTACTTCTTTTCGTTTTGGTCTGGCTCTCCTAGTTCCAGTATCAACTGTGACGGTGTAGATGGTTCTCGTTTCACAGGCGATGGACTTGGCTCGAACTCGTCTCCTGTATTTGCTCTGGCTAAAAATATTTAGAGTATAATTGGTGATACGGAATATGTATAAATTAGGGTAGAGTAGGATATTTATATATAAGCGAGGGGAGGGTAGGGTAAAGTAGGATGGGGTGGTAGAAGTGAAGTACCAGAGAATATGACATAGTCTATTTAAAATTTAAACTTACACAACTTCCTAACTTGTCGCGTTTGAGATGGATCTCTACTAGGTGGCAAACTCTGCATCGCTTCTTCAAGCTGCGGATTCTGGTCGTCCAAGCTTCGTGCACGTTTCTTCGAAGATTTCTTACCACCAGTTAGCCGGCCTTTAAGTTCTTCAAAAAATGACCGTTCACGTTTCCGACCACCTTTTTTGGATCTGTCACGGCCTGAAATTGCATTTTATAGTGTTTAAAACGTTGCCAAAAGTATAATTTATTTAAAAAATTAATTTAAAAATCAAAAAAGTTTAATGTTTGAAGAAATTGAACGTATCTTGCCATTTTTAATTGCTCTTCAAGTCTCTTTATGCATGTTTTTAAAGTTTTTTAAAACTCTTCTTACAAGTGATAAAACTTTATATCTAACACATCTGCGGCAATCTGTTAGCCGAAAGAACAAGCCAACATGCTAAAAAAGAGATTTTTTATAACTATGTAGTTATTTATTACTCAAATCATTAAGAAAAAATGTCTTATTTTTAGGCCAAGATATGCATTTACTCCTAAAGGATGACAATTATAAGTAGATGTATACCTATATTAGCCTAAGTTGTTGTTTTTCATCACTTTCGGTTTAAAACCTAATGTCTGTTACTCAAAAACCTTTGTTTCGCCTTTTTTTAGGTAACAAGAGAAATGAAAAGGGAAAAGAAAAGAACGTCGGCCCGTAGCAGCGTGGCGCAGTGGAAGCGTGCTGGGCCCATAACCCAGAGGTCGGTGGATCGAAACCACTCGCTGCTAAAAAGCTTTTTTTGCTGATTTTCAGCCGAAAATCGTTGAACTAATATTTTTAAATGCTTGTTGAGTTTAAATCAAACTTAAATTTTATTTAATAATTTTTAAAAGCTTCCAAAACCCACAAGAATATTGAAAAATAACATGCAAAAGCGTGAAAAAAATATCAAAAAACCATTCAAAACTCAGAATTTTTTCAAAACAAAAATACTTGGTTAAAAAACCTTTCCTTACCTCTTCTATCATCCTCAACACCTAGACTTTGTTCCCGAGAATTGTCGATAAGTGGTTGATTCTCATCCACGTCCCACGATTGGTCGATAATCTCGGCCGTTGGTCGTTCCTTCACTCGAACCGAAGCTCGATTTTGTCTCAATAACGGCTCCTTATGAGGTCGATCGACAAGTTCGGTCAAGTCCTTGCCACTTTCCGTTATGTTCAACGGTGAGTTTTGTTGACTTTGACCTACGGGCAGGTTTTCAGTTTGAATCGTATGGAACAATGGGCTTTCTTTGAATTGTTGGGACAGTCTTTTTCGCTCATTTTCTTGAAGTTTGGCATTTGATAGATGTTTTGAGGATGATGATGGTTGTGATGCATCGTGGTAGAATTCTGTCTGAAGTTTAAAAGTTTAAAAACTTAACAAAAAGTCATTTTTACACTGAAATTGACAATTTTCGGCTACGGCTCCAGCCCCGGCTCCGCCTTTTTTAAAATTTTAGTTCCGGCTCCGGAGCCCGAGGAAACTCTGATTACCTGAATGCTCAAAACCCCAGAAACCCGGTCGTTTTGGTATGGTCGGTTCTGTAACTGAAGATGGTGAACAACGTCGCTAGATGATCGTAATTCATTTACTCCAACAATTGCTAAGCCTAGGAATTTGTCGTTTTCTTTGCGCTTTGGGCCTGCTGCTCCATAGATTTCAATCAAAACTTCGTCACTTTTCGGATTTACCGTACTGAAATAGTTTGTCATTACAATATGACAGTAAAATGATACTTAGACTTATAAGTAATAGTACTCGTTGACATTTAAACGTATAACTTAATATAATAGTATTATACCTACTCATACTTTTAAAACATTATATCACAGTACTATAATATAATTGAAAAATAGTACCATATTAAAATTTTTAATTAACTTCAAAGGCCTTACAATTCTGTACCATCATCCCAAGTTGGATTAGCACCACTGGCTCCCACCGTAGAAAACTTTTGGTTTGGTTCATCCATCTCAACATTCACATATGGATGAAGATCAGCTAAAATGGAAAAATAGCTCGGTCAAAAACTTTATAGAAAACGTAATTTTGAAAACATAAATGGCTAATAGGTATGTGATATTAATACAGTAAAGTGATATTAATACAGTAAAGGGCGAAAGGCCTAAAGTAAAGATAAACATACCATCACCAATGTTAAGCCTTTGAGCTTTCAACACTTTGATACGAAGCTTGTTCAGCGACGAAAAGTCGGCATTTGATGTAGTAAATGGCTAAAGATAAAAATTTTAAATTATTTTTAAATTTAAAAATATTAAAACTATTTTCAAATTAAAAAAAAATCCAAAAAAATAAAAAAAACTTACATGAGCCGCATTTAAATGTCCACCATTTTGTTGTCGATAACTTTCGGTTTGATTCGAAATGGCATTTGGTTGTTGCGGTATGTACGAGCCTTCTCTGTGAACGGTGGAGATATATTCGTGAAAGTTGATACTCAAAACGGCCGATGCTATACACTTTCGAATCAAACCTTCTACTTTTGGATTGTCCACGGAATTGTCTTGGTATGCTGCCTGTAAATAGATGTATTGAAGTTTACTGTATAGTATAGACATTGTACTACTACTAGTAAGAAAAGGCAGCATAGTACTGCAAGTTAGCTATTTTACTAACGTTATATATATGTTTTATATGTAGAGTACTGTACCACCACTGTATTTAAAGAGATTTATCTGTAGCTTACTGTAAAATATGTACTTTAACTATAAAATTTTAAACCAAAAAGCTGAGCAGATGATATAACAATATAAGGTTCAACATACCGGCTTATCAACATCGACCAGCACAACCCTCATTTCTGGTCGGCCACTGAAACAACTCATCAAGTAGACTTCTTCTGCTATGTAGGCCAACCTTGCTTCACACTAAAAGGCCATTTTAATTTGTATTCTAACAGATAAATATCAAAAATACTTAATAAATGTAACTTCTTAACACCAAATTACATATAGTAAACCTTTTTTCATTAAGAATCAAATACAGTAGTCCAGTCGTTCAATTTTCTTAAGAAAAGTGTACAACAACCCACCTCACCATACAGATCTTCCACCGTAGCTTCATAATTAGAAACTACTACATGATTGTCCACACTCTCTGATGCTATCAAACGTAGTATTGCTTTTGGTATTCTTACAGTAGCGTTTACTATCTAAAATCATTAAAAATACAAAGTAAAAAACACATATTACAGTAAAATGTTACCTAGAATAGTAGTTTTAAAAGTTTTACTCACCAATTGACCATTTGGATTCCGATGAGGTTTAATGTTGGAGAGTCGGGGACATTTGTCAGCGTCCGGTATCGACTGAGCACGTTCGAATAGCACTTCATTTTGACCCTGTATAAAAGAATGATATATAAAATGATTACACTTGTTATAGTTTCACATATTGTTATGCTTATTATATAGGAATATGTCAATTTTCTCTAGTAAAGTTACGCTATGCACGCTTTAATATAGTTAATATAATATTAAGGTTTTACGTAATCCGAGTAGATTTATGTACCTTTGCAATAAGGCACATAAAATGTTATTGCGTACAGGAAAATAATATATTGCGTAAGCTTAAGCTAAACTTAGGCTTAGCTTAGGCTTAGTTTAAACTTAGCTCAGCTTAGCTTAGGTAAAATTAATAATTTCTATCGGCATAATACAAATTTATATACTCATAAAGTATGGCAGGTAAAAAGTAGTACCCCGCAGAAAAATCATATTACGTAACCAAAGTAGGCTTATGTACTCTTAGAATATGGCACATAAAACTGTTTTCATTAAGGAAAAGCATAAGCTTAGGCTTGGCTTAGGCTTAGTTTAGGCTTAGCTTAGGCTTAGTTTAGGCTTGGCTTAGGCTTAGTTTAGGCTTAGCTTAGGCATAGCTTAGGCTTAGCTTAGGCTTAGCTTAGGCTTAGCTTAGTCTTAGCTTAGTCTTAGCTTAGGCTTAGCTTAGGCTTAGCTTAGCTTAGGTATAACTTATAATGAGGCTCCTACAGCAGAGTACGCATTTATATACCTATAAGGTATGGCACATAAAATGTAGTAAGTACCTCGCAGAAAGTCGGAGTGAGATCCCAGCACTCGCAGTAATTTGTTGGGTCGTTTTACATCGAGGCAATTATTACAAAATTAAACAATATTATATAATAAAACGTTGCGCAACACCATTTCTGACAATTTCTCTAAGGCTATATAGTTCATCAATATTAGGTAATCGTCATGAATATTAGGTAACTTCGGATAATCATTACCCATATGTTACATAAAGCCAATAAAAATGACCTTCTTGCTAATAAATATAGAAAACTAACCGGAACGCTGAGTTTTTTGGCTACATCGTTAAGGGAGTTGAGCCATAAATCAGTCAAACCGATAGGAAAGGAGTTATGAGAAGCTAACCAGATGATGACCTCGTTAATCCATTCGTTTTGCTGGCTAAAACAATATTTTAAAATTTTTTATAAAATTAGTTAAAGGTCGTAAATAATTAATTAAAAAAAGCCTTGTAAAATTAAAAAAAACTTGCCTACTATACCCAGCAGTACCATTCGCCAACCCCACATTAAGTTCGCTTCTCCGCCGTTCTTCGGCCGCCTTCTTGGCCGCTTCCACCTTATCCTTATCAGCCTTCTGTTTGTAATGCCTCGTCAAAAACCACCAGCTAATAAAAGCGACAACGATCCAGGAAAATACTATTAAACCAACATTATTAGAAATAGGGCTTCCTTGAGTACCAGGTGCAAGTGTTGCGGTACCAATTTTTGGCGCAGGCGTAACCACTTTTGATGGTGGTGGTACAACTTTTGCTGGTACCACTTTTTGTTGAACTACTTTTGTGAGTGGTGGGGCTTTTGGTCCAGGTGGTGCTGTTTTGGGTGCTGGTGTTGAATCACATGGGTCTGGCGTTTGCGGCTTGGCCGCGGTAGCCGGCCGTGTAGCGCGCGCCAGGTTAACTACAAATTCTGAAAAGTTTAAAATTTGGGGAACATTCTTGGGCTTAGGCTTAGTTTATGTTTAATACTTTATAAAGACACACAGTTTTAAAAATGACATGTTTTCAAACATTTCAAGAAACATAGAGTTTTCACCCACCAAAAGCCATACCCAACACGTTCTTACCTCGCCCTCCCCCCCCTCCCCCTTCTCAAACAGTAAATGCTATTTATAATTTAAACTTGAACAAAATTAAAATTAAGCCTAACAATGTTAACGTTAAAATCGATTTTTCGCACGCAAAAAAGCGTGAAAAATCATTTTGCACCTCAAAACTCGTTTAAAAAATATTTCAAAAAAAGATCAAGGCCTTGAAGTCGGACCCAAAACGCCGCAAGCAGTTTTGGCAAAATGAGCAATTGTTGTGGATAAAAAATCCCAAGTCAAGGTTAGGCCGAAAAAAAGCCTCCTACCGGTCAAAAAACGATCCAAAAATAACATTGAGGATAACGGCCTGGCATGTGTGAAAGGGCTATTGTTTGATGGCTTAGTAATTTTAAAATAATAATAAATTGAAATTTGGTAAATTTAGAAAGGATATTTTTAAAAACATTCTAAAAATCATAGTAAGTATTATATTATACAAGAAATTTTACAAAAAAAATTGAAAAATGCAAAAATTTCTAAAAAGTTGTCTACTATAACATATTATTAAAATATATATTGCTATTTTTTAGTCTGTAAAGAAAGTTTTTGCCTTCATTTGTTCTATTAGGTGCCGAGATAAAGAACCCGCCATATTTTGCTTGTAATTTCCTGAAAAAAATGGCGGTTTCTTTATGTCAGCAACTAATATTATATATAATTTTATTTATATGAATATTAAAAAAACTGCAGTAATTAAAGCTACAATTCAGTGGTTAAACAGTAAAAAAAACGGCCGAAGAAGCTATTGTTCAAAAGACTTTTTCAAAAATCAAAAACAAACAAAGTTTTGGGCAAAAAATCAAATCAATCATATTTGATATGTCACCAACTGACCTTACATTCTGTTCTATTTTTCAATGTCACAATGGGAATGTTAAATTCATAAGTATGATAACATAACTTTAGCATATTGGCAATTTTTAGAAAAACAAACATAAATTTTAAATTTAAAAATTTTTTTCGATAAAAGATAAATATTTCAATTTTTAAAGTTAAAACAAAAGTACTCATGTTCCCCCCCCCCTCATAAGTCAAGATTACCCCTCTACCCCCTTTTATCCGCCGATACTGCAAATATGTAAAACAAGAAAGATCAATCACATATTATAAATTTATTTTCGCTTCAGAAATTAGCGTACTCATGTTTTGCTAATTTCTCTTTCAAAAGTTCACTCAATTTGCCCGGCGGGCTTGAAGAGGATTTTTGCGGACTTTAAAATCACTTTGTTTCTATGTCTGGCCGTTTCTCTTGGCCATATCTTTGACTGTCTAGGGCTCTTCAATCTTTATACTATAGGTATGGCTTTCTGGGATCTTTCGGCCGTTTTTAACCGCCTAAGTTTTGTTCTTGTTAATGTTACCTAATGTTTATTGTTCTGTTTCTCTGTTACTCATGATAATTTAATATTTCTTTTAATTCTCAAGTTCTCTGGAGATAACCACTCTATCATAAAGAGGAGCTCTGTTCATATTATCATTTTCCATCTAACCACCCTCCTATTCAACCACTATCTTTTCGTTTAACCACCTTTATCCCTCGAAAATCGGGCCAAGACAAGCCCGCGGTCGTAAAAAAGTAGTTTAAAAGCGTTGTAAATGCTTGTTTCATATCGGAAAAAGGTGAGAAAACGTATTAAAATCATATGAAACAACTTCTAAATTAACAAATTTTATTCAAACAATTAAAGCTAACAGCATAAACCCGTAGATGTACAAATATTGTACAATTTTTAAAGTTAACCTATAACTAAACCCTAATGAAAACAATAGTATGAACATCGAAGGCATTGTCCAGTTTTAGATGTAATTCATGTGCTGTAACAGAATTGAACAGTTTTGTTGTAGCCAAGTTCGAAAAATAAGCTCGGCTTCGATGTTTGGCCATCCACCTCAGTATCACGGTGTACAGATCCTTAAATTTTGAAATCAAGTCATTACATCAAATGATGCATCACTATATAAGAATAAACCACTATAAAACACGTCACAAATTGTTCAATTAGCACCACCAATAGTCCCAAACCTACAACATTTTGCTGACACTTCTCCAAATGCACTACACTACCATCGTATACCAACTTTCTAAATGACATCGAGAATCTGGTACTGTTCAAGTACCGTACGTTGATCATCTCCACATCACATGGCCATGCCAATGAGTCGAATTTTCTTTCCGATTTCTGAGAATTGTGAATTGATACCGGCAAAAGCAAGGATGCTAAAGCTTTGTGAGTACTATGAGAATGATACAAGGTGGTCATGTTTGAATGAGTTATGTAACGCTCTTCCCACCTGAACCTGTATTTTAGCCGAGCTGGCTCTGTCTGAAATAGACAAACTTTAGAAGTTAATAATATATTATTTTAAAAATTAAATACCTTTAGATTAATAACAAAAGAAAATTAATTTTAAATAAAAACTAATTAAAAACCGTACATAAGCAGCATCTTCGTAACTAAGACCTTTTCCATCATCTCCACTCAATATTCTGTCAACAACTAGCTGAATTTGTCCTGATTTAGGCGAATGAATGCCAGTTGGTTGAGCAAACGCCACAGTTAATCGACTAGATTTGTCTTGAATCATCACTGACGTCGCTGCTGGATAGTAATTGGCTGATGGTGTAGAAGCATGCCTAAATTTCACTTTTAAAACTTTTCTTCATTACCAATATGCAAGCAAATCAATTGTACCCAAATCGTAAAATTTTATCAAACAAAACTAATTTTTAAAAAATAATTAGTAAACTCACTCATATTTCGTTCTTTCTCTCAAATACATTCCATTTACATCACTGTAAACGCTGTCACCACTTTCAATCTTCGTGTTTACATTCATCACAACCGTAGCGTCGTTGACTTCTTCTACATTCGAATACAACTCCAATGAAAACCCAATATGTTCAGATTTCGATTCAAATTCAAACACTTGATGAGTATTCAGCTTTGATATAAAATCTGATCGTACATGAGAATAAGCTCTAGAAATTAACGATCCGGTAACGTAGATTGGGCTGGCTAATGTTTTGTTCACTTCAATTTCCTAAAATTAATGTTTTTAGATAAAAAATTTGACCGAAAAGACAAAAAATTAGAACTTTTTGGCTTTTGCAGTTTCATATTAACATAACTTCGGTAAAACCATGAATATAAAACCAAGATATCGTTTATATGTTAATTACCATCTGCTTTCCAAAATATATAAAATACGTGTTAAAATAACCTACCTTTTCCTTGCTAATAGGCGCAAAAACGTAAGCACCTCCCATATCCGTGTAGAAACCATAAGATACATCAAGAACCTCTTCCTTTCCTGTGTGTTTGTTGATTATCCTCTAAAATTTTATAAAAAACGTTCAGTAAATTCATCGTTTAATATGTAAAGACCAATAACAATTAAAAAATCAAAGAAAAATTACCTTAACGTAGCCGTTTTCCATCGAAACTTCCATTTCTGAGTTTTCAAAAGTAAATGTTTCATTGTCGAGTGGCTGAATTAGCAATGTTTGGCTAGAAAAATAGATAAATAAATAAATAAATTAGCTTATAAAGTGTTTAAAATATACTTATGTACTATCGAAACCTTATTCAACTCCAAACACAACCAAAACTTGTAAAATTCCTCCGAATTCCTTTTCTTTATATTTACCGCTGCGGCCGAAATCCGCAGCCTGCAAATCCAGAAATTTCTTCAAGGTGAATTAAAATTCTTACCTTAAGCCTTGTTCATCACTGAAGACTGTTGAAATTGTTGTACTTTCGACCAATTTCTGTGTAACTTCAACAAAAACTTTTCGAGATTCCAATCCTTGCAGTTCCACATAAAATACGAGTTCATAAATATCTGGACTGAATTTCCATTCATCGATGTTCAAGTAAGGCAGTATTTGAGCATTAATGGATTTGCCATTATAGGCTTTAACAGATATGTTTGGGTTGTTTACCCGGACTTTTATCAATTCGTTGACTGTGAAGGTTCTTGGATTGTAAATTGTTAACCATAAACTAAAAGAGTTGAGTTTAGTTTAGATGGTCAATTTAGGCTACTGTAAGCACAGAAATGTGAGTTCTGAATTGTCATCGATGGTGGTTTATACTTTTTTTCATTTTAGTTTCAAAAAACCTCAACTCACCCTTTCAACTGGTCGTCAAACACGATTTCTCTGCCATTTTGATAAAACAATATCGTGATATTTTCAGAATCCCTCATTCTCCGTGCCCACACTTCAGCTTCAAGTTTCTGAACGTGGATTGAAGCATTGAACAGACGGTCTTCATAATCTGTCATAACGTGAGGACGTGATGTTGCTGTTATAGCATCGTGATGCTGTACTAGTGATACTGTTCGTCTGTGAGGGCTCAGAGTGGCTACGGAGTTGTACATTTGAGATCGTACTAATAGGTAGTCGAGGCGACGGAGTTGGTTCTGTAAGTTTTTTTAGTTAAAATAAATTTAAAAAACATAGTTTTTAGTCCCTGTCATTCTATTTTGGTCTAGCCTAGTTTACTTTGCCCTAGCCTAGTTTACCGTACGCTACGTTACGTCACCCTGATCCTACCATATATTATCCTACCCAACCTTACCTGTACAATTCGTTCCAATTTTTTGAAAAATGGTCGATGACCATAATATCCAGTCCAGTAGGGAAAAGCGCCATCCATATCTTCAGTATAAGGGAAGAAATCACCGTCAACTACTGGATACACATCTTTCTTTTCCGTAACTTTGAGAGAGTTGAAGTAATCAGCTACCGTGCCAAATTGGATCTATAAATTAACATTTTACCTTCAGGTTCATCTATCTTTTATGTTAAAGGTTTGCGTACTTATATTCATCTTACCTTCGAATTGCACTTATATTCACCTACCTTCATATTAAACTCTTCGTGGCTGTTAATATAGGTCATTAAAGCTTTGTAATTGTCATAGTTTTCAGTCCAGTCCTTCGGGTTAGAAAAGAAAAAGTCGTCGCCAATTGGTACTAACAAAGAATTCGACCGGTAGTAGGTCTGGAGCTTTCTGTATTGATTCACAAGCTTTTTTGCACTGAAAAATTGGTTGTTTTTGTACTTTAAGCCCATTTTTCTTGTAAAACTTTTGAAAATATTGGATTGAACCAAAAGTAGCGGGACACTTTTTAGTTGAAAAACAAATAAAAAATTGTCCCGCTACTTTTGGTTCAACGTAATATACAATATAATACTTACAAAACAGCTGTCGAATCATTGCCATGCTTAAATCGCTGGAAACAATCAGACCTAGCTGATGGTCCAAAGTCAAACTGGCAACAAATCTGTCCGTCCGGCCCACAAGAATCCGCGGTAGTGTAATATGTTCGTGGTAATGAGCTTATCAATGGCAATCTTCTCTTATGCGACTGATTATTCCAAGGTTCTGACCATAGAAATTTAAGTGCTCCATGTCGTATCATCTCCTCCTTGACATGCTTACTCAATCGCCCTACTACAAGTTGATCAACTCCAGCCTGATTCAACAGATATGGCATGGTACTACCATGACCAAATGGATCAACGGACCAGCTGGTTGTTGGTCGTACTTTGAAATTGTCTTGTACAAAATTGTGGCCTTCAATTATGTTGTCTATGGAGGCCCAGAAGTGGGTAATTGCTTCGTCTGACATCACCCAAGTACCACCCGAGAGCTCTAATTGACCGTTTTGAACTAGTCTAGAATGTATATCTGTTAAAGATTGGCTAACATGCCCTTATGTTGCGGTAGAGCTAAGTAGCGTAGAATAAGATACAATAAAAACCACTACAGTACTATAATAACTTACCGGACCATTTGTTCTTTCCTAGTACTATTAGCACCATCCCACCACTCGCTGAGGAAGGACATTTCCGACCAAATAAACTTGGCATCGCTGTGTAAAGTTAAAAAATCAACAGCTAAATCCAGAATCTTCTGAACTTTTTCGTCAAAGTACTCGTTGAAGGTCCTCAACCATCCTGGATCAGTATGTGAATGAAACACCAAGAACACATTCAAGGTGGTGTTGGTTTGTTGAGATCTATTATATTGGGTTTGGAATGAGGCTTCGTTACCTGTTACCTAAAATTTTGGGGTTTTTTGATAAAAAAATATTAATTATGGGGTCTCAATGGACTTGGGGGTCTTAATAGATAAAATTTTTAAAAAAATTGAATTAAACTAAGCATTTCATATCTGTTATTTTGAAATTGTAATACTTGTTATGGTATTACTACGAAAAACCACAATAATTACCTTGATATCAACGAATCGTTGCTGATCTACGTGCCGACGTGTTTTAATCGTACTTGTGCCGATTGGAAATTGATCCGTTTCATTTTGAGCAATAAATACTGCAACTAAAAACAAAGCGGCTAGACTAAAACATGTCGCTAGCCATTTGTGCATTGGTCTAAAATTTGATTTTTTGAAAATTTTAAAATTTAGAAAATATTTAAAAAATCGAAGGCCGTATTTATTTTTTAGGTAATAAATTCGAAAACATCTAATTTTAAACACATCCCCCCCCGTTCCATCCCCCCCCTCCAAGCTTCAAAAAGCTTTGTTAACTCAATATTTATCAAAACAATTTAAAGTTGATATTGCTCGAAAACCTTAAACTTTACTCAAATTTTATACCGGAACGGATTCCCATTCCCACATAGTGCAACAAACTTGTGCCCAGTCTATGACTGTAATCCCAACGGAGGCACGGCGAGTCGGAGGAAATGGGCGCGCAAGTAACAACATTCGTCTGGACACCCGAAAAAATTGAATGTTCGTTGTATCAAAAACTCGTTAAAGTACTCTCTTTTGGCTTTTTAAGTACTTTCAACATCAAATTTTGGCATCTTGCGTATTACAATTTAAAATTTCAAAATTTTTTACATTTTTTGACTATTGTTATAAAATACTTACAAGGAAAGGATCCGACCTGCCCCGCTCTGATTGACTTCAAACTTTTTATATGGAAAGATCATGTAAATATAAGACCTTAAACAAAGTACTAAATCGCGCTTTCCAGGAAATCTCGAGAAAATCGAGATCAAGAAACTGCGTTTTGAATTTCCCGCCAAATTGGTATTATGTTTCAAGTTTATAACTGCCATTTTTTAATTTTTAGAAATTTTTCTTTGATATACTAGTAGAATACCTTTAAATAAACCTACATTTATAAACTTGTAACTGTAGCTTGGCTGGAAAGTAAAAAAAGTGCTTGAAACACAATGCCAAAGTTGCTAAATTGGCGGGAAACCAAAATACTTCTAATTTAAAACTCAAAAACGTGAGCTAAAACTTTTTACGTGTATTATTGATGGTACAAAAAATTCATATAAAAAATTTGAGCTGATTTTTTAAAGTACCCTACCTGCCCCCAATTGAGCGGGGCAGGTAGGGTACTTTCCCTGTTAGCCAAAACCCAAAATGTATCAAAATAGCCAAAAAAAAACGTATAAAATCAAAGTCTACGACCCATAAAACATTCCAAAAAACAAACAAAAACCTCACTTACTCAGCTTGAAATCCATTAATCAAGCGGCAAGCTTAGCTAAGAAAGAATCATTAATTATATAAAGTTACTTTATAAATTGCAGCCTAAAAATATTTTACTATAGCTTACTTTAGTCCTACTCTAATCTTATTTTAGACACTCTAGCCTTACTTTAGTCTACCGTAGCCTAGCGTGACACTCTAGCCTTACCCTAGTCCATTATAGCCTAGCTTTAATCTTTAAGCTATAATAATGTTGAAAAATCGGGCCATAGTAGAGCAAACCCCCACCTATAGTCCACAAACGGATTAGCTACAAACCTAAAATTAAAATAAGTTAAAAAAATGTTGAAAAAACAAAATGTAATTTGAAAATATTATAGTTTGAAAAAAAAGATACCGAGAATAATGAAGAAAAGGAGAGTTGACATGACAAAAACTTGAAAAGCGTCCTTGATATTGAGGATATGAGCTTATAGAATCTTATTAATCTAGACAATATCATGCACCAGCATTAGATTAGCCGATACTAATGTTTCAATTAGACAGCAGTTTTTCACCAAAAGAAAAAAAAAATAAAAAAAATCGTTTTTGTTTTGGAAAATTTAAATTTTTATGCAAATTTCATAGATCTTGGGAGCCTTTTCTGCAAGGAAAATGGAATGTTTGAAAGTAAGGGTTTGGGAATTTCTCTACTGTAAGACATGGGGGGGGGGGAGGAACGGAGTGGGCCTACTTTTTCAGGCCTGGGCCGACCTAAGTTTCGCTCAGGCTTGGCCCGGGCCAATTTTTTTTACGTGGCTTTTCAAGCCAGGCCGGGTTTTTTTCGAAATTTCCAGGCCGGGGGAACGACCCCCCCCTTTCCCTCCCAGAAAAAAAATTTTAAAAAAAGTTGAATGTGGTAATCCCTATCGGCAAAGGTACCTGTGCCGATTTTTTCGACCCCTGCCCCCAGACCAAAAGTCCCTGCCTGGTCCTGGTAAGTACTCGAACTACAATCCCCGTAGCATTATTAAACCTCCACATGTTATAAATAAAATCTTTGGAGAAGTTGAGCCAAGGTCTCTTAATGCGCCTAATCCCATCTCATAAATCCGGCCGTTGAAAACATTTTTTCAAGGTTCTTTTTGAACGACTAGACTGTCGGAACTATTAGGTTGTAATGTAGAAACAAAAAATTGTTTATAAGGGTATGATTTCAAATTTAAAAAAAACTTGGCGGAACGTTTAATAATTCTAAAAAGTGGCATTATACAGTTGTCTCTCTATATAGTGAACCATCTGTATAAGCAACTCTCTTTATAGTAAACACAAAATTTGGCCCCGCCAAGTCAATTAGCACTAAAAAGCCTCTCTGTAAAGACAACACCCCTTATGGTAAACACAAAAAGCAAGCCCTTTGGGGTTGCTTATATAGAGAGACCACTGTAGTACCAAAATTTTTTTCGAAGTTTGGTCTTAATTACCCAAATATCACCCCCCCATCCCCAAAGACCCAAACTCCCCCCCAGCTATGTTACTTATTACTGTTCGAAAAACGCCCCACGAGAAGTGGTTTCTTGAATTTGATTTTTGGAACGCATAAAATTGATAGGCTTTCCATCTTCTCGAGAGCCGGGTTCCCCCCCCCCCTTTCAAACCACCTCTTTCTCAATTCAGGTCACCAAGGCGAAAAGGTAATTAGGGTATATTTCTTAATTCCGCGCTAATTTGCATACGTTCAACACATGTCACTATCGGGAGTTATACATTCGAAGGGGGTCCTGCCTAGTGCAATACTCTTACTTTTAAAAATTAATTCTTACCGTTTTCGCTTGAAAAACTGTTTGAAACTCCATATTATATCCTTTAAACCAGTTTTACGCATAAATTTTGTCAATAAAAATTAAAATTTTAGATAATTAGTAATATAGAAATAATGTCACCAAAACGTTTTTACACAGAAATATCTTTTACCACAATGTAATTAGTAAAAATAAATTAACAGCTTTAATGAAACAGTTTCCGGACCAAAAATTAGTCCTTAAAACCATGAATCGGAAGGGGGAAAGTTGGAACGCGCACAGAAAGGTAAACATTCAACCATTCGAAACAGTGTCCTGCATTGTTATTAACATTGTATTCAAATTTTTTGCGATTTCGGTCAGTAGCGAGAACTTTTTCGCATAATTTTAGGACAAAGACAACTTTAAAGGAATGGAAGAGATGAATGTTTTTAGTTTCCAGAATCTTTACCTTATTCTCTCTCAATTCTAGCGTTATTCTAGCCTTACAATAACTTCAATATACCCTACTTACAGGGAATTTAACCTATCTGCCTCGCTCAGAATCAGCTCAAAAATTTTATATGAATTCCATGTACTACCCAATAGTACCTATAAAAAATTTTAGCCCGCGCATTTGAATTTTAAATTTGAATTATTTGAGTTTTCCGCCAATTTGGGCAAATTTGGCATTGTGTTTCAAGCACTTTTTTCCGATTTCAGACGAGCTACGCCTACAAATTTAAAAATGTAGGTTTATTGAAAAGTTTTCTACTATTATATCAAAGAAAAACGAACAAAAATCAAAAAATGACAAAGTTATAAGCTTGAAACAGAATCCCAATTTGGCGGGGAATTCAAAAAGAAATTTTTTGATCTTGATTTTCTTAAGGTTTCCTGGAAAGCGCGATTCAGTACTTTGCAGAAGATCTTGTATTTACATGATCCTTCTATATCAAAAGTTTGAAGTCAATCAGAGTGGGGCAGGGCGGATACTTTCTTTTAATTATAAAACTATTAACATTGTGTTCAAAAATAAAACTGTATCTTCCCAAAAATTTTACAATTTTTACGTATCTTCTCAAAAATTTTACAAAAACCAGAAGAAGCTCTTCAAATAACATATAAAACCACGAGAAGCAGTAAGAAAAACCGAGTTTTCCTCAAATTTGAGTCATAATTGTTTCTTCGTTTGCATTGAGAAAACCTCTCCTCGTCTTTACTATACCTTTTTCACTTTGCTACAGTTAAAGAACAAAAATTGGTCTCGTGCGGTTTGGTGAACGGGATTTTAGTAACAAATTATGGGCGCTAGGACAAATGCGGTTTTTGGACATTTGCGGATCTGCGGTTTTTAGACACTTGCGGATTTTGGACATTTGCGGATTTTTTAAAGGGTTTTTTTTATATTTTTTAGTTAATTTAGTTGTATTATGGTACTAAATGGTACTAAAGTTTAAATTGGTACTGTTTTAATATGTTTTAGTGCTAAATAGTACTAAATTTTAAATTGGTACTGTTTTATATTTTTTGGTACTGAATGGTAATAAAAGCCCAAAAAGGTACTGTTATGTTAAAACCGTAACAATTCAAACTTTAGTACAATTTAGTACCATAATACAACAAAATTAACTAAAAAATAAAAAAAAACCATTAAAAAATTTGCAAATGTCCAAAATCCGCAAGTGTCCAAAAACCGAAGATCCGCAAATGTCCAAAAACCGCACTTGTCCTAGCGCCAAATTATGTATAGATGCCGACATGAAGAACCCGTCATTTTTTACAGTAAATTACAGGAAAAGTATGGCGGGTTCTTTATGTCGCCACCTAATACAACACTTTATTCATCATTTTTTACTGTCAAAAGTAAAAACAATTTATTATGTATCATAAAACAACTAAAACATAGTAAAACTTTAGTAAAAACGGCCCAAAAAATTAACAATAAACTTCATTTTTATCATTATCAGTGGCATCAATTTGAAATCCAATATGTTCTATATGAGAAACTGATGGTATATCACAATCCTCTGTTGTACAACCGTAATTTATATACTCTACTGTATTGATACGGTCGATTTCCTTTGTCTGATCTGACTTTGGATTATTTTGTTGATCTTGCCAATTTACAGCACAGTTATCTTCTACTGGTATTGTATAGTTTTGTTCAGATAATGTGAAAGCGTGATTGAGTGGGTCAGCTAGATCATTCTTAGCAAAGTTATAATCATGATGTACGTGATCAGGTACTGTAAAGTTATGATTAATATTATCAGTAGCGAATAGTGAACTTTGAAAATTGTTAAATTCTGAAAAATCAGATTTGTGGGACGTTACTAGAATACTATAAGTAAGTACCTTAAGGTTATACTATATACAGTAACTTAGTCATGTTAAAAAGTAAATTACCATGCTGATCCGTTAATGTAGAAGCATTAAGGTGAAGTAATCGCGTGTTCGTAGCTGCATTCCTTATTGTACTAACGTCTTCCATCTTCTTTTCAGTACTCAAACATAGTAATGCAAAATAAACACAATTCCACAGTACTATTATAAACAGTATCACAGCAAATGGTATTAAAATATACAGTATTATGTTCCAGTTGAATGTCTCCAACGACATACCAAGTTTTAAAAAAATTTGTCTGAAAGCAAAAATTAAAAATTTTTGTTATTAGTAAGTGTTAAAGTCATCATAAAATATAGCACACTTTGTTAACAGGACAAACTGTTTACAAAAAGCATAAAGAATGTTTGTGAGCGTTGAAATTAGTAAAATTTGGTCTGACTTACCTATATTACGACGACAAAACCAACATCTTGTACTATAGTCTTATAAAAATGCAAAAATTTTATTCCGAAAACGATGAAGAAGCCGTCGCCACAAGTTGTGACTCATATTTGGCCACTTTTCGTATAAAGATACATGATCATAATAGTCTACAAATCTATTAAAAAATAATTATTGTATCATTCTACAATAGAGACAATGATCTCCCGAATATTGCTACAGAGTAAGATTATTTTACAGACTACAGTAATATTATACTACAGACAATAAGCAAGTCTACTTGACATTGCCTGAAAAAGTTTTAATAGATACATACATGTTTTGTAAAAACAAAATATTAATAAACATACGACAAACCATTTGCATGTATGAATGTTAAGTCTGTATTATCCAGCTTGTTAGGTTGATAATTAATTTTTTTTAATTAATGTATATATACATAGTAGTAAGTTCATTTGAGATTTTTAACAACAACGTTTGTTAAACATTATTGTAAAACTTTTCTATATTACGTATTATATTAGGTGCCGACATAAAGAACCCGCCATTTTTTTACACGAAATAAGAAGAAAAGTATGGCGGTTTCTTTATGTCGGCACTTAATATATTACTTCTTTGCACTCAATTACAATTTATAAACCTAAATTACTACAAGAATCATAAAATAAGCCTAAAATACTTTCACAGTAAGTTAATAAGCCTAATCTTTTCCATTCTTATGTAAGCCCAGCTTGCTGTTTTTAAATCGCTTTAGAAACTTCACTCTTATTATTCTTATTAATATATATTAATCTATGTATACAAACTTAACAACCTGAACAATCATTAAAGTTTAGTCTCGTTTTGTTCTCACCTTATTGAACTTTTACGCAATCGTATCTATAATAAATCGTTTTTTTACTGCGTGTGATTACTCTCTGTCTCTTTTCGTACAGTTACTTTTAGCAAAAGCTCAAAACGTAAAAAACGAGCTACAAAGGGATCGTGTAGCTATGTTCAATAAGATGTTATTACTATAGGTAGAAATTATTGGGGTGTTTAGTCATGAAATGGGTTTTGATGTATAATAACTAGATCTAAAACAACTAGATATTGCTATTTTTTAGTCTGTAAAGAAAATTTTTACCTTAATTTGTTCTATTAAATGCCGACCTAAAGAATCCGCCATATTTTGCCTGTAGTTTCCTGTAAAAAATGGCGGGTTCTTTATGTCGGCAACTAATATCTTCTCTTTTTTTTGCTTCTGGCCGTACCTATAAACATTTCTCTATGATCTGTAAGCTTTTAGGTCTAAAATTATCTTCACATTATTTTAATCCAAAGCTCTGATCCCATTAACCCTGAGGGTTAAAAATAAACGTGCTGTACGTGTGTACAAACGGTCAAGATTGTTTGATCAGCGCGAGGGTAAATGGAGACGTAATGTTCTTTTTTATCCGACACTAATACAAAAGCAATACGAACAAACTTTTTTTGTATATATTGTTGCTTTGCGCGCGGGTTTGCGCCCTCAGGCGGTTAATTAGGCGGCTGGCGGGTTAAGCGTTACAGTTTTTTGTCAAATGTGTTATACTCTTGTTATGCTCTTTATGAAAAAAAGTATTTACATTTTTATTAAAATTTACTTGTGGCGCACCCTGTATAAAGTAGGGCATAATAATGTAGATTAAGCTCTGCGTCTTTAATATACTAAAGGCATTAAGTTTTGACCTAGACTATTATGACATTCTTTAATACAATTTTTAAGGCATGTAAGCAGCCACCTACGCAACATCTTTCTTCTGTAAGTTGAAATGAGCGTGTTCACCGAATGGCATGGCTCCAAAACCTCAACCGCACCACACGTTTTTAATGGCGTCCTGTTGGTGTTTACAATGTTGGCTTTGTGCATCGCATGGGTAGCGATTTGTGTTGTAATTTTTCGATATTTCAAAAAGATTTGCCAATTGCGACGGGAACGAAGCCAAGAAGAAGTTGTGCACGCTGCACTCCGGGCTTTGGCTCAATCTCGTGGGGGTTGTACCAACTCTCAGTGCCATTATTATCAAACGCAGGTATAGTAACATGGAATTTTAAAGATTTTTAAATATATTTTCTTTTTTTATTTTTTAATTTTGTTTAAATTGACATTATTTTTTGACTTTTTTACTTAACAAAAATTTTAGTCTACACCTTACGCTGATCTCCCAACCTACGCCGAAGCCTTAACATTGCCACCACCACCGTCTGCAGAACCGCCAAAAGACGAAGCTACATCGTCAACGAATCCTACAGACTCTGCACCGCCTACATATGAGTTGGCTACATCTCGGTTATAATTTTTAAAAATTTTAAATCAGGTAAACTATCATAAAATCATTTATCATTAAATGATCTTCTATTAGTTTAGGTAACTACTTTTTGACTGACATTTTTAATATTTAAAAAATTTGTATGTACATCAAACTTTCATTGTTATTTTATTACGTTGCCAAAAGTTATACGCAATAAATAATATAATACCTATATATTAAATATTAGAACAATAATGAGCTTTAGCGCGGTTTATTCAACATAAAAATTTAATATGTATTATACAATATACATTATACCCGTATTGTTTTGATAAATATTGACAATGTTGGCTAGAATAGGCAAGGCCATTTTGATCAAAAACTTTTGAAATTTTTAAAATTCTACTACTGTATTTTTCCTACTATTGAAAAACATTACTAACCTACTAATATTAAAAAACAAAAATTTTAAATATTATGGCCTGCAAAATCAAAATTGCTTCCAGAAAATATTTCCAAAAACGACACTTCATTGTTATACTTTGTACTGATCTCATTTCGTACCCATTCTCGTAGAGCTTTTCCCAAATATGCATTCATTTCCACTTCTGTAGGTAACTCCCATAACAATTCATTGCCAGAACGATATAAATGCTCATGTTCCACACAAAACTGTGTTCCATCTGGTCGTTCACCACATTCCACCCGCGGTCGTTTTGTCGGCGACGGTAGGAACACAGTTCGGCCGGTTTCGTTGTACTTAAACATACTAAAACATTCGTTACATTTGACTTTATATAAGAGTTTGTTCAGCATATTGCGGAGTTGATGCACTTTTGTGTCCGTACATAGCATCGACTTTCTGAATATTTTGCCATTTCGGTTTTCCAGATAAACGTATGTATACTTTGTGGCCATTCCATGACACGTATCTTCTTTGTAAAACTTCAACTTTGAATATTCAAATATATGAGTTTTTAAGTCGTCACATTTAAATGGGTATAAAAGCCAGGATTTTGACGACTTTTGGTAGCATATCAGCTGAAAATTAAGAATATGATTTCACAAAAGTACCACGCTTTTAATAACTTCACCCCATCTTACGCTGCTCACAAAAAGAAAGCCCTTCCTCCGCTATTAGCAACTAATAATATTATACTTACCATTAATCATAATATCATACTTACCATTAATACTAATATTATACTTACCTTATTGATACTAATATTATACTATTGATACTAATATTATATAATACTTACCTTATTAATACTAATATTATACTTACCTTATTGTGTAGAAACAAACATTGTTTCATTTAGAAACAAAGTATTAGTATAAGTTGTTTCAAAGTGGAAATTGTGTTTTAGAGTTTCGCTTGGAATGTCGTAGATTTTAACGTCGTTTGTCACATCTGAAAATAGTAAAGATAACCACTTTTTGATAACCAAAGCCAAGCGGCGTAAATAAAATTTTTAAAAAAACCGAGCATGGTACCTCTTGTTCAAATACCAAGAACTTTAAAACATTAAAATTATCAGTCTCTCCGCAGAGTGCTACAGCTGCACGGTGCAGTCTCTGGCAAAAATCGCACCCTTTTTATTCCACTGTACCGTGCAGTTTTGTAACATTTTTTTCGGGAAAGACTGGTAACTGTCCGGCTCTGCTAATTTTTTTAATTGAGCATTACAAAAAATAGCTAAGAAGTTTGTTTACAAATAATAGTGCCACAAAAACTTACTATCAAAAATTAATACGCATTCTGTAGCAGGCATTACTTTGTCGTCGCAATTTCCACGACTAATTTCATCACAAAAAACATGTTGTACCGGAAAGCAAGATAACTTTTTTGTCCTCACATTCATCACTACTACTTCACGTTCTGCATCAAACGGTTTCACATGAAATGAAAAGTAGTAGTCGTGATAGTCATTGTATGCACACTTAAACCCAACAACGTCTTTGATGTCAATCTTGTGCGCTTTTAAGGCGTATGGATCATAGACTTCTTTGGTACGTTTGTCATAAATACAAAAGTCGGACATAATGCAGATACGACGCTTTTTCTCCAAATAATCTATCGGATGCTCCCATAGTAGTTTTCGGGACTCCACATCATAGACACGCAGAAAGCCATCAAAAGCAGGCTAAATTATAAAATAACATAACATATACAAAAGGAACAGGGCATACACATTAAATTATAAAAATAACATAACATATACAAAAGGAACAGGGCATACACATTAAATTATAAAAATAACATATACAAAAGTAACAGAGCGTACAGATTATATATGCCTAAAATGCATCTCTAAGAGCTCAAGCCTAACAAATCTGCGCTAAGACCAAAAAGCTTAAGCCTACTAAGCGTCAGTCTAGGGAATATAAGCATACCGTGCCTAAACCTACTAGAACTAAGAAGCAAACCATGTAGAAACAAACACAATAGACAACCATTAAACACTTTAAACTCACCCGTAATATGAACCTTGTTCCTTTGTTGTACAACTTTAGGTGATATGCATAACCCCTTATTTTGAAAGTCTGAATGAAATGGCGATTAAAATCGATTGTAGTGACAATGACCTCATTGTTCAATATTGCCGATATCCGACTCGTGTTCTGGCTAAGCCTCGGTGAGGCAAACAAATTGTAGTAGTGGTTGTCAAACCGTCGACAAACACTAAAAAATATAAATAAAATTAACTATGCATAATGTAAAAAATCAAGATATAATATGAAAATATAAAACATTTAGTTTAAAAAGGTTGTAAAACTTACTGTGAAAAGGCCTCAGACCATAGTTCTCTTGGCAATCGATAGATACCGTTTTGAATACAACGAGTCTTAAAGTCAATGCCAACAATTTTATAGAAATACTTGTTGACAGTTGCTAATGCAGCAATTGTATCAATATCCGGTATTACATTCACAACTTCTTGCCATATCTAAAAGATGTTAAGTGTTAGTTTATTCGAATTAACTACAACTTGAAAACTAAGCCTATTAAGTTTGTTCATAATATACCTACTGTAAAACAAAGCCTATTAAGTTTAATCACAATATACTTGCTGTAACACTAAGCCTATTAAGTTTAGTCACAATATACCTACTTTAACACTAAGCCTATTAAGTCTGATCACAATATACTTAAGTCTAAAACTACTAAAGCTCTACGGCTAAACCTACTAAACTTAAGCCCCCTTTTCTTACTTATAATATCCCTAGGCCTAATTTTTGGTATTGTCAACTTACGTAATTATTTAATTTCCATCTCTCCTTGATCTCTTTACTCATTTTATCCAATAACCTATAATATTTTATGTGAGATTCGATCAGTTTCAATACATAACTCAATTTAAAGCAACTCAATATACAGCTAAATTTCAAGCAACTCTTTGTACAAAACAAAATTAGAATGCTGTTTGACGTGTTATATTCAAATTTAACGTTAAATCCCTTTAAGATAACGCTTTTTATAAAGAAAGAAAAAACTTTTTCCATTAAAACACTTCGCTAACCGCGCCCTGTTAGTCTCTTTTCGTGTAAAAAAACCAGTGGTCTTCTCTTTCTATTCATAAAACCCCCTAAACTCGGCAGACTTAAAAAAGACCTTTACGCAAGTTAAATGATCGATTTGAATATCTTTATTCCGTAGATTAACAAGAATATATAGGGTATTCTTCAAGCGTCTACAAAAAACTTATAAGACACATGGCTGTGTTGCAATAGCAAAAGACATTGAAAATTGTACAGATTATGATAATTGCATCTTAGTATTTTATGAAAGCATAATCAGTATCAGGAGTAGGAGTGTGAAACGGGCTGGCCTTGAGCTAAATATAGGTTGGGCCGGGCCTGAACATTAAAGCTCGACCCGAAAAGCCCGGCACGTTTGCACGTAAAAAAAAATTGGACCGGGCCGGCCTAAGGCAAAAATGAAAATTGGCCGGGCCTAAACATTGGGCCCGGCCCGTTTCTCACCCTTAACCGTCAAGGTGTCTAGACTGAAATGCAAAAAAATCACAAAATATTTAATTTTTTTTAAAAATGCCATTATTTACAATCATTCCTTTAGATTGTTTATACTATTACGCTGTTGCTATTATTTATGCCTTTACACTACTGTACAAACATTACTTTACACTGTGCAGTAGCAACGAATTGACTGTTTCATAGACATAAATTCTTAATGTTTCTTATCAAATAAAAGCCCATGTTTCGGTAGAGGTCAAGTGATCTGCAGGCCATGAGGCAGGCACGTTTTTGATCAAAGTTTCGCTTTTGACTTTTGAGATGGTTACAATTTGGGTGACAATTAACACTATAGCAACAAACTTTTTTACCTTTTTTTGCAATTTATTATTGTTTTTGTGTAGTTTTTTGAGCATAACACGCTGTGCATGGTGATTTTCCTAATAATATAGTCATAATGGAATTGTTACATTTTTTATCGCTCAGTAATGATATAACACATTTAAAGTGTAATTGATTATAAATATAACGACTGATTGATTTCAGAGCAATATATCAGTAGATTGTGGTTTTGCAATTTTTTGGTGTTTGACTTCGTAATTACGAAAGCTACAAAGAGCTGCCTTACGTTAAATATCATTGAGCTACGTATAAGTTAGGCATAAGCTTTCTAAGCCTAAGACTACTAAGTCTAAGGTTACTAAGCCTTAGTCTATCAAGCATAAGCCCACTAGATGTAAATTTTATAAATATAGACCAGCCTAGAAGCACGTGATAAAATCAAGAATAATATCACAAAAAATGGTTTTGCAATTCCACTTTATTTACAATCAAATGGACTGGCGAGTTATTTAGTTTACAAAATAAGTTTTTGTTTGTTCAACTATTTTTCGCCTTTCCAGGTCCTTTTTTATCATTAGGCGTTCTGATTAATTTGATGACTTTGGTGTACAGATAACAAGATGGCTTGTGTCATTGTATTATTACGTTATAGTGATTTTAACGATGTTGATAGGTATTGATACTTAATAGGGATCGTTAGTAAATTATTTTGTTAAAATGTCAGCTTACTTTTTTTGCTTTTATAAAGTTAATCATCAAAGGTCTTTATTGACTACTCTAACTTTCATGAAAGACCTCTTTTTCCCTCCGGGCCAAAAAAATCACGCACACTTACGTGACCGAAGCAAACCTTGTCCAAACTCCTTGAAATTCCCTAAAAATTTAAACCCATTGAAACGACGACCGGGAAAATCTTCGCGTTAACATCGAGACGTCCAAGTTTTATGTTATTTACATTCTACGTGCTTATCCCGAACACTTTTCTCCTCGCCGTTTTTTGGGGAGTTTTTGTCCAAAAGCGTTCCGTGTTTCAATTTTCGGGGCAAAATAAAACAAAACAAATGTTTTCGCTTTTATATTGTTGTAGATCTGATTCAGTTTTTGGGAAAGTTAGGCTGTTTGATATAAAATAAAGCTTTCCTGGCCGATATTTACAAAAACATGGTAAAGTCGCAGTTTTTCTTGAATTTTAGGCGCTTTCTTCGAGAAAAACTCAAAAATTATGTTATCATAGGCATAATTTTCGGTTTTCCGATCAAAAATCTCGGTTTTTTGATCATATTCACGTCGATTTACGTGTAAACAATCACACACAGGCTATTTTTATCAAAAACCGAGTTGTTTTGTTTTTGCCAGCGGCAATTTGCTGGACCAAACAATTTTTTGGCGAATTTTTCAAAAATTTTTTCGGATTTTTTCGCAAAAAACAAGAAGATTTTGATGTTTTAATTGTAAATCTTTGCTTTTTGACATCAATTTTTATTTTATATTATGTATTATTTAAAATTTTGTTATTGTTTTAATGTTAAGAAAAAAATGTTATTTATACATTGCTTTACCGTGTTTTACCTTGTTAACTTCTGTTTTTACCGTGGATAATATAATTTTTTAGTTTCTGGTTGACATGGCTGAGAACGGGAATGGCCGGCTACCACGAAGACAGTCTTCGTCGCGTTTGGTCAAGCAGTTAGCTGTAGGTTTTTTTATATGTTTGATTATAGATGTGGTTATTATCTTTTTTTTGTTAAATTTGAACTTAAATTTGCTATTTTTTGAAACTTTAGGTAATATTAAGTTTTATTACAGCGTAGAATTGTGGTTTTAAGACCTTTTATATTAATTTTTTATTTTTAGGATATGAACATCGCCGACGACGTCATGGACCACGGTGAAACTGCGAGGCACGAGAATCGGTTTGTCTTCGAATGCGCATGGGAAGTCGCAAATAAAGGTATGTATATTTTTGATTGTTTTCTGTTTTAGATTGTTAATGTCTGCATACTTTTGAATATTATGATTGTTTCTACTTAAGCTTCTATAGTATAATGTAATTGTTTCAAGGCTTGCTAATCTTGAGTTTTTCAGTCGGTGGAATTTACACGGTTCTCAGAACCAAAGCTCCAGTGTCAACTGAGGAACTTGGTGATCAATATTGCATGTTAGGACCATATAACGAAGAACAAGTAAAACTGGAGGTTGAGGTGATGGATCCTGACACGGCCGCGATGAAATACACTTTGGACCAGATGCAAGAATGGGGCTTCAGATGTGTTTATGGACGATGGCTGATTGATGGTTACCCAAAAGTGGTGCTATTTGATATTGGATCGGCCGCTTGGAAGTTGGATGCTTGGAAACATGAGGTATGTCTTTGGAATATTTGTATTGTTTTGTCTTTTTTATAGTTTTTAATTTTGACGTTTGTTTTAGCTTTTTGAGAAATGTCACATTGGCATCCCGTACATCGATCGAGAATCGAATGATTGTGTCATCTTTGGTTTCCTCGTAGCTTTGTTCTTGAAAACATTTGCCGATTCTACAGAAGGCCTTTCTCCGTTAGTTGTGGCTCATTTTCATGAATGGCAAGCTGGTGTTGGTCTTATGATGGCTAGATTATGGAAGGTCAAAGTGGCTACAGTATTCACTACTCATGCTACGTTGCTGGGAAGGCATCTGTGTGCTGCCGGGGCCGACTTGTACAACAATTTGGACAAGTTTCAAGTAGATCAGGAAGCGGGAGAGAAGCAGATCTATCATAGGTACTGTTTGGAGCGTGCTGCGTGCTCCATGGCTCATGTTTTTACTACTGTGAGGTAAGTGGAGTACATTTTTAAAATTTTTGGAAATGTTACCTAAATTTGTGTTTTTTACAATAAATTTTAGTGAAATAACCGGAGTTGAGGCCCAATACCTTCTAAAGCGAAAGCCTGACATCCTGACGCCAAACGGATTGAATGTGGTCAAGTTCGCTGCACTACACGAGTTTCAGAATCTCCACGCACAGAGCAAGGAGAAGATCCACAACTTCATTCGTGGTCATTTCTATGGGCACATGAACTTCGACTTGGACAAAACTTTGTACATGTTCACGGCTGGTCGATATGAGTTCAGTAACAAGGGTGGAGATCAGTTCATCGAGTCATTGGCTAGGCTTAATCACATGTTGAAAGTGAGTTTTTTGTTCTGTGCAACAATTTTGATGAAGATTACAAGGTTTTACCTGCTTTAAGGGTTTTGGCGGTAAATTTGATGTTTAGATTGTGAGATTTTTCAAAATTTGTGTAAAAAAGTGAAAATTTTAAAGTATTAATTAAATTTACAATCTTTTATATTATGTTTGCATATTTAAGACTTCGACGGACAAAAGAACAGAAGGTGTTACGGTAATTGCATTCATCATCTATCCGGCAAACGCCAACTCGTTCAACGTGGATTCATTGAGAGGACAGGCTGTTTGTAAGCAATTGAGGGATTCAATTCAGAACATTAAAGACAACCTTGGACAGCGATTGTTTGAATCTTGTTTGAGGTAATATCGAAGCTTTTTTGGATTGATAATTTAAAATTAACTTTTGTTATTAAAGCCTTCTAAATTCGTATTTTTAGAGGCCACATTCCAGAAGTAGAGGACCTTATTTCGCCCACCGAACGCGTTTCCCTAAAAAGATGTTTGTTGAGCTCAAAACGAGACAATCTTCCGCCAATTTGTACGCATAACATGGTCGATGATGGCAATGATCAAGTGCTGAATGCCTTCAGAAGGTGCCATCTCTTCAACCAAGACCACGACAGAGTCAAAGTCATCTTCCATCCTGAGTTTTTGAGCTCGGCGTCACCACTGATTGGTTTGGATTATGAGGACTTTGTCAGGGGATGTCATATGGGTGTCTTCCCGTCTTACTACGAGCCATGGGGCTATACACCAGGTAGGGTGGCGCTTTGTAATGATTGTTTAGGGTTTTGGGATAATTTTTAAAAATTTCTTTTAGTATCAGTCGAAATCAAATATTTTATAAATAATTTTTTTTAAAAATCTTGTTTTCTTTAGCCGAATGCACAGTACGCGGTATTCCATCAATCACCACGAACTTGTCTGGCTTTGGATGTTTTATCGAGAAGCAAGTTCCTGACCATGACAATTATGGTATCTTCGTTGTGGATCGTCGTTTCAAGAGTGGCCACGAGAGCGTACAGCAACTGGCCGAGATCCTGCTCAACTACTGTTCATTGAACCGAAGACAGCGCGTGATTTTAAGGAACAGAACGGAACGTTTGAGTGAACTGCTCGACTGGAAAACTCTTGGAGGGGTAAAGTTTTAAATTTTTTTAAAATTTATGGGGTAATAGGTATAATTATGATAGTATTGGTATTAAAAGCTTGCAAGTTGCAATCAATTATTACGTTTCAGCTGTACCGTGAGGCCAGAAGAATGGCTTTGAAGAAGCTCTACCCCGACCTGGAGATCAAGATTACGGAAGCCTTGGCCAAGATGCCACGCCCATTATCAGCCCCATCGACTCCACGATCCTCAGCCCCACCGTCGGCCGAAAACTCGGACAATGAAAGTGACACGGCTGAAGCAGAGGAGCACGAGAACATTCACTGGCACATCGAAGGGTGATTACTTTTAGTTGCATCTTTTATATTTCAAATTTTCATTGAAACTAAACTTGGAATCTTCTTTTCCAAATATCCTAATTACTTTTTATTGATTCGAACTTTCTAATAGATTTACAACCGTATTTAGTCATTTCATAGCTCATTTTAACTAATTTGTTAGACTCACCTATTCTTTTTATCACAAATTGTTATATTTTATATCGGTGCCATTTTAATTTTGTAGTCTTGCTCAAGTTTACAGTTTTTCATTGTGTTATGTCAGGTATACTATAGTTAATAGAGTATTTGAATAAAGCTAATTGGATTTAAAAGTTATTTGTTTTAGTTTCCATGTGTTTTTATGTTTTTGTTGTTTTTTTAGCATGGTCAGTGTGTTCTGGTTTTGAATTGTTGGCTTTTTGTTTAAGTGCGTTGGTATAGAATTTTCAAACTAAACGTTTAAACCTCCTGCCCATGCCAGGTCCATAAAACTTCAAACGAACTCCAAATAACCCTGAACATGTTGCCCGTAACCCAATATCCTAAACAATCTCATGCACCAGACCAAAACATGCCCGAAGGACTAAACAAAACGCGTGGGCGAGCTAATGGAACGTTTCGAACGTGGCGCTTCTTTCCTCTTTTTTCACCTGAAGACAGGTGTGTTGGGATAAAATGGCATTCCGAGAGGGTTCGGGCCCATGATCATCACTTTGAATATAAATTTTTATCCCCGTTTTATTAAAATTTCCAGCGATTAGCGGCGATTTTAAAGTCCGGCGAGATTTAAACCCTTTATCACACGAGTTTCGAAGTGATTTGGCTTTTAAATTTGAAATTTTGGTCTAGCATTTTATAGGTTTTGTCATAGGAGAAGTGATAGTATTTGTATTAAGACCAATTATCGTAGTTTTACTTTAATTTTTAAACGTTTGGCTACTGAAAATCACTGTGACATCTGCGATACCAGATAGTTTTATTGAAGTTGCAAATGTTTTTTAAAAAGAAAAAACATTTTTGTTTAGAGTTTATTTTTTGACCAACTGCTCAGCCTCCCCCTGAATTTTGATTTTCAGTTAATTAAACAAAAGCCGGATTTTTATTGTTTTTTTTTGTTTTGAAAATGTCAAAATGTATCCATTTATCCGGTGATTTGACGTGAAATTTTTAAATCTGCATTAAAAATGTCTTTTGAAAAACCTGTCATATAAAGTACGTTTTAAAACACGATGGTAATATGATGTCGTGGTTTGGATTTTTGAATTTGTCGAATAGAAAACGCATTTTATCAATATTCTTTATATAAAAATTGACAAGAAAAGAAAATATGCGACATTCAGAGTGCATTAGCAGTTAGTTTATCATTTTATGGCCTTCCTATGCCGATTTTGCTGCCTTTTGGCTATTTTAATTTGAGTTTTAAAACTGTTGAAACTTTTTGGATTCGTGGATAGCTTTCTATTATCAAGCAAACTGGCACACACAAGTGACAAAATTTAGTTGTTTTCATTTCCTGTTCCTTTAATGTTTGTAATAAGTTACACGTGAGTACGTTCTCACCCCGTCATACTTACATCGAAAATTATATTACAGGGCGATGACTCACCTATTTCGGTCTCGATCCCTCGACTTGAGTCATATTCCACGGTAAGCCTACTTTTCTTGACTTTTACCCATATTTAAGCATTTGAATTCTCTATTCAAAATTTATGCTATAAAATTATAAAATAAATACTTAAAATTTCTTTACCACCTTTATGCCTTATTAATTTGACTATAATTTACAGTGGGGAACGATACCTGTCGCGATGGTCGCGCGAAAACACCCCCGTCGACCCATATGGCTCATACTCGCGCAGCACGCGTCGTTCATTCACGCCCGTCCGTGAAACTGCCGGCTATCAGAAGGTGCACGACTATCGCCGCGCCTTCTCTGAAGATCCACAGGGTGCGGGTTCGTTGACCGGCTATCGTCGTCGCGAACCACTAGCCTATGTTCATACGCCATATCACGCAAACTACGGATATTACACGGAGAATCAGCCCATTCGTAAATACGACGTGTTTCAGCTGAGGACATGGTCTTATCCAATTCATAAGTATGTTAATATTTTAGTTGAAGAAGACTGTGAAAGTGTTTTTTTATAATTTAAATTTTAAACTTTAAGTTGTTATGAATTCAATTCCAAACCTTTCAGATACCTATATGGCCGCGACACCCACCACGACCGGCCGTACAGCTACAACCGCGACTATGCCAACACCCCCAAATACACTCCTCCCACAATGACTGCCGAACAAAACTCCCTGACGCAACGCCGCGGCTACTCCGGCTACAACTACATCAGCGGCGGCTCGTACGATGTTGCCGCAAAACCCTGGTCTCTAAGCAACTACCGAACCCTCCGAGCACCACACGTAACCAGCGCTTCATGGTACTGGCACGGAAGGAGCAGTTTAAGACATTACAACAGCTACCGCCCTCCCACCAACTCTTCACGGCTTTCAACATACTGGAAACCATATTTTTAAACCATTATTAAATGTATTTCCGCTGACATTCTTGTAATTTTTGCGTTATAAACCTTCTGAATGTAAAAATCGACAAAAAACTCACGTTGCACATGAGACAGATATGAACTTGGTTTTTTATAAAAAATTTATTAAAATTATAACAAATTACTTTTAATAAAGCCATATATGGACGACCATATAATACCAAAAAAACTAAAAAGCAGGAATTTCAAATGCGACCGATTATACTGAAGTTGCAGTGCAGCTCGCGCCCGGCTGAAAATAAATTTATACGAAAAATGTGAATTTTTATTTTTTAAGAATTTATTTTGCCTAAACAGCAAAATGTTCAACCACAGCGTTGTGTATAACCGTTCGGACGACGATTCGGCCGATGGCAACTTACCAGAATTGTTTGATGATCATTTCACTTCTCAGTTTTACAAACGTAAGTCGTTTTCATTAGTTTTTGTGACAGTTTTAGGCTTTGGGATCGAGCTTTTGTTAATATAGAAGTGTTTGTAAATGTGAGATGAAGTAAAATTATTTTCTATAAGTTTTATATTATGTTAGGGTTGTTTATTAATTGCTTTTCGCATAAAATAACCTGCTTCACCCAATAAAACTTGTGTCATTTCGCAGGAAAAGCCGATACTACACTTCGTTTTCGACGTAAAAAGTGAAAGTAAAACGATTTTAGAAGCTCTATTTTCTTTTGTTTGAAGAATAAAACATGGCGCGGGAAGTTTAAGAAAAAATGGTATATTATATTTTGTTTTTATTCTATTTTTCTTTGAGAAAGTTTTATTATTCTAAGAACTAGCGCTTTATTACGGAAGATCGCAGTTTATGTTGCTTAAAACAGTTAGAACTTGTTTTGAAGCCTCAGTATTGCCTAATTTTTATCTTTTCAGTGATGATTACCAAAGAAAAAAACCTAATGAAAGGATGTCGAGCAATTGTGAAGGAAACAACCGACTTGGAGGTCGATTCAGATGCTACTGATCTCATTGCTCAGTTTGCTGTAATTTTGCTTTTTTTACAGAGTTTATTTCTTAAATTCACCTGTTTTGGTATTAAAAGCGTTTAAAAGCTTGAAGTTTGCTTAGTTTTGACTGTATTTAAAAGGTTTTTCCCATCTAATAGACCTAAGATGTTTAAGAACTTTTGTTGTACAGTCTTGAATGACTTTACTGATGTTTTGTAAAAGATTTTACGGTCCTATTTCTAGGAATGTGCTTTAAAAGTGATGGTAAGAGAATGCTGCATCGATTCGGGAAAAAAGAACGAAAAATTCATCACATATGACACAATTGCTGATGTTGTTCACAGTCGACAGTGTTTCGAGCCTTTGACCATGCAGTTTCCGAAGAAGATCCCTATTGAGGAAGTTAAGGTATTCCGACAAGCCGCTCATAGCGCCAATTGGACCAAGTTCAAGGGAAAAAAGAAGCCCAAACTGAACAAAGTGGTAAAGGAAGAATAACGGGTAAGAGGTGGATTTGTGAAGAAAATAGGGTTTTGTGACAGTGTCTTTAAAATGAGTTGCGTATGTTGTTGTTTTGTTGTTACTCTGTTAAAATTTTTAAGATCTCAACTTATCTTTGTAACTTAAATTTGTTTCCTTTTAAAAAATATTTTTATAAGTTTCATTATTGAAGACATTTACTACCTGTTTTTTGTTGACTTTTGATGTCTTCTATTGTTATATATTTACATTTTATAAAAGTGCATTGCTGAATACCAATTTACAGGTTCTTAATTTTCCAATAAACTTGATTTAAACTGGTATCATTATAAAAATTTTTTAATTATGTATTAACGATTTTTAAAATATTTCAAAAAACAGAATATACGTGCAAATATTTATTATAAAACTATGATCATTTAATGTAAAGTTGATTAAAAAGCAAACTAACATTTAGTGTTTTGTACAGTAAAACCCGTATTATGATTAAGATATGATAGAATTAAGGTTAGTACACGATAGGTTTATGATAGACAATACTTACGGAAACAAAAGAAACGATAAAATAGACCATGAGCAACTATGAGATTATTTTAGGTATGAATTACTAAGCAATTAGTTTTTTAAAAATACAAAATTTTTTCCGAACAAAATTTTGGCCGCCTCTGGAGCATACGGTGTACTAAATTCAGTAAAACTACTTACTGCAGTTAACTTTTGCGGTGCCGTACAACATAGATAGTACAATCAACAAATAAAATAAGACATAACAATATGTTACAATCCAAAAACATCTTATAACAATGTGTTATAGACCCAAAACATGTCGTAACAGTAAGTTACATGTGAATTTATATTAGAAACAATCTTCAACTAGCTCTTCATTGTACGATTCCTCGAATTCCTCCAGTATTCGCTCTTCGTCCTCGTCGATGGCACTCAATTCGGATCGGAACACTCCTTTGACCGTCTCCTTGTCCCACCATACTTCGTGTTCTATCAACTCGAACACAAAATCGTCGTTCTCGTCATCAGCTACACAACATATCGCGTTTAGGTCCTAAAAAAGGTCATTTTATACTTCTAAACATATATTTTTAGTTTAAATTGCAACTTTAAATTTGATCTGTCATTAAATATTTTTAAAAACTTAATTTATGTTCAACCGCATTTACATTAGGACTAAAACAAAGTTTGCTACAGTATCCGTGCCATTGCCAGAAGCGGCATTTCCATGCTAATAAAGCAGTGCCAACAAAGAAGCCAACAACTTTCGTCCAATGCGTTAGGTATACTCGCATAAACCGACCTTACTTAAATTTTTGATTCATAACAGTTATCTTCACGATTACCTTTATCAAACAATAACTATCACGTTCAAAACAATAAATCCAACCCTACAAAAAAGTGAATCTTCGAAAACCTTCAAAAAACGTCGAAAATTCATTTTTAAGTAACTATAAAACCAAAACCTAATGTAAACCCTAAAAAACAGTTAAAGTACATTTCTCAGTTTAATTAAAAGTTAATGCCTAACTAAGTCAGCCTCGTCACGCTGCGTTAACTAAGCGAACAAACATTTGCGGATCAGACGGATGTCGATGGATGGAAAACGAGACGTTTTTTGCAGAGATTTCGTCAAAAAACGGCCTTCAGAAGCGGTGTTATTAACGGAAATGACGTTTTAGTTAATGGGGTGTTTTTTCTCCAGCGTTAAAAAATTTTCGCAATCGTGTGAGTTCAAAAAATGCGTTCAACGTGGTATATGGGTCGTGTAAACAGTAAGTAATCATTTTTGAATGATGACACTTATACGTTGAAGTAAGTGTGGTCGGGGTAATTTTGGTTATTGCAATAGTGAAATGAGCATCTATGGTATCTGCAAAAAAAATCAATGCTCGCCAAAACCCATTACTCGCACTATGACAACTAGAATTGCAGTAGTAACTCTGCTGTTTCAACCTCATGTAACTCTAACTAAACGGATTTGTCGCGCCACAACACAAAAAGTAGTGTTTCGGGTTGTTTGTCTTTCAAAAACTCTTACAATTCTTTTCAACAACACACTATAAAATCCATTTCTACTCCCCCACCAATCCCCCGCCTTTAAAAACTCCTATCAAACCTACAACTGTCATTGGCCGTTACTATGGCAAGATAACATACTACAATAGAAATTACCATGATCACCCTACTGCTGAAACCACAAAACCTAAACAAACCATGGCTGTTTATCGTTTTCGCCAGGTGATTTTTTCAATGACAAAACACTTGACTTTTTTGATTTTCAAAATTTCTACTTTCCGTCTGATAACCCCCGGCGCTATGCAAGTTTGACAATTTATAATCAATGGTTTTTAAGGTTCAAAATTTGACGTTTTAAATTATCTGCAACAAAAAATTGCCTAAAAACTTCCATAATTGAAAACCCCAAATTAAAAAATCTAAAAAGTGAATAAGATTCCAGAAAACTTAGTAATAGTACGTTTTATTGAAAAAAGTAAATATAATTGTGTTTTTGGTCAAAAAACTGATTGTTTTTCTCATCAAAAATCAGTCAAAAATAGCCAGACAATCAACAAAACTTGATCTAGTTTTATTTTTCCTTTAAAAGTATTAATGGAAGAAAACAGTAGAAAAAACCCCAAAGTGAACAAAAACAGTGAACCTATAAAATCCAGTTACGTTTAAAGACACTTTTAACTCAATATTGAACTATTTGAAACCACAGTCTCAAAGGCGTTCGGAAAAACAATTCTCACTCAACAGATTTGAGGACAAAGTTTTTAAAAACGTGACAAGCCTCACTTGACACGCAGCTTTGTGTTTACCTCAAGTTCCAGACGTCAAAGCAAGTTCAGAGTAATCAGACGGACCGATGGGGATAAAAGTCTAATCAGAAGTGCCGAATTAAAGGGCTAATCAGAAAGGTTGAAATAAAAATGCTAATCAAAGAAGCTATTTCAGACAATAAGTCTCTAATAAAAAAAGTCAATAAATATGTACAACTCACTACAATACACATTTCCGCTAATTTTCCCTATATCACACAAATTTGTAGCTCTGAATCAAATGTTTTGAAACAGAATCCCATACTGATTCACGGAAAACCTTTTTAGCCTCACTTATAAAAAGTCGGTTTTTGACCTGTGATAAACCAGCCGGAACTGCCAAAGATATGTAAAAATTGCAGGCTAAATCTCCCGACCAGGCCATGAAGCAAAATTTTTAAATCAAATAGCTTACCATTATTTAGCCCTTCAAAAGATCAAAAGAAAATCAGCCGTTGATTACAAATTAAATATTTTTAAAAAAACTAGCTCATTAAACTAAAAATGGCCAACTTTTAGCAAAAAAAATTCAACATTGACTCACCTCATTATCGTTTCCGGCCTCCGGAAAGTTATAATTCTCGTCTATTTTAGAAGATTTTACTTTCCGTTGCTTCTCAAGCCTATCCAACGTATCTTGACTTATCGTTTTACTGATTCGTCCTGATTTTGGCTCGAACAATGAAGTTTGATCAAATTTTCGTCGTTTCCGTAGTTCTGCTCGTTCCTTGTGCAAAGCACGCCAAGATTTTTGGTTTGGTCGACGATCTGATGCTAAATTATTAACGTATTTAAATTCTATTCAATATAATATTTAAAATCTACATTAACAACGATATTAACTTCTAAAATAAAGCTCGAATCCTTTTATACCTTTAGACTTTAACCCTGGAGAATCGACAATCCTTCTATCATCCACAAATTTAAGATTCGACTCTTCAACCTCATTCTTCGAGTTGTTTAAAACCGGTGACAACGAATTTTCTGAAGGCTCAGAATCCGGCCCGTCCGAAGTTGGCGTAGTCGCTGTTGAACTGGACTGATATTCATAAATGTACAAGTTAGAGTTGTAGTTCTTTTTCAGCTCATACGTGTCCAGAGGCTAAAATTGTAAATTTAGAGATTAAAGTCAATAAATAATGGAATTTTAACTATTAGCTTCTGATCAATGTCAAAATTACTTTAATTTCTTCAAAAATCAATGTTTTCAAATTCAAAAAGCATTAAAATTTATCAAGTGCACCATCTTTAAAAGTTTTATCAAATATGGAGAAAACCTTTCAAATTTTTACAAAAAAACACTCATACCTAAACAAACTCAAAAACAATCCTCATATAACTAAAAAATTTAAAAATTTACTTTCAACTTCTTAAATTCGAAACAGCATAACCACTTCATTTATCACATCCAAACCTTACATTGTAAAAATGACCCAATAGCAAATATCCTTCCATGAATTTTACAAAGGAAAATAAATGCATAAAATTTTACGCTTTTCTTCCATAACGGGAAAAGGCGTGAATCAAAAAACGATTTTTGTTTTCATGAGTTTTTCGTTTGTTTTTAAAAAACGGACCTTATTTTTTACTTTACAGATCCTAGGTATATTATACTAGATCACAACACATTATCCTGGTTAAAAAAACGTTAACTCACTTGATTGGAAGACCATGGTATCAACACGCAATCAGAAGGCATATTACCTATGAATTTTAGGTATCAACAGAGTCAAATGTAGTTAATATACAGTTTAGCAAATCGGTGATAAGCGTGGGTAATATAAATAGTTGACTATTTCCGTGGTTAAGGTTTTTTAGTCGTGACAAAGCTCAACTCGCGAGGTTTTTTTGGCGGGAAATGCCCGGAAAGGACAAATGCGACGCGCCAAACTGATCCACTCAATTTACATGCGACAGATACCTGGAAAGTATTGAATCAATATTATTGTCCTTGAGAAAGAAGGGATTTTTAATGGGTGGTTTCGAACAAGACGGATAATATGTTATTATATCCCGATGGATTGGGTTCAAACAAGATGGGTAATAGGTTATTACAACAAACTAACGAAAACCCAAATATATTGGTATAATAAGGAGAATATTTTTTAATATTAAAACCTAAAATAACAAATATATTAAAATTGAAGGTAAGTAAACGATTAAACGTTTAAAACTTGAATAAGATGCATTAAATATGATTGTTTATTCATTATAAACTACTAAATTACAACGATATGTTCACGTATCACGGTTATACAGTCACTGGAAAAGCTGCTCGTAGTCCTCGACGTTCTCACTGAAAAAACGAATTGTTTTTTATATTGTAAGGCGATTAGAGAAGTCATCGCACCAAACCGATCAAGTCGTGGTTTTCACGTTGGATTTCCTGGTCTCGAAGATACCTTTAACAATCAAAATATTGAAAATTGATATGTTTATGGATGTTTACAAAAGCATGAACGCTTTCGTACTGTTTAGTGTCATGTTATGAGTTTTATAAAGTTTAATTTTTGAATTCTCAATGTTATTTACGGTAACAAGCTTAAAACTCGCTTAAAACTGTGTCATCAAGTTTAAAAAACCTTTAAGCTTATTTAGGCTTACATAAAACTAATTTTTAAAATATGGGCTTAAATTCAATGACGTGTTTTATAAAATTTGTCACGATTTGTTCAACTAATGTTATCATATATAACTAACATTTAAAGCCAATCTAAGACACGGCCTGATAACCAATTTTCTAAATAATAAAGAAGCCTATCCTACTGCCTACGCTTAAGTTTCATCGATAAGCACAATAAACAATGACGTATTGATTAAGTATAAAAGCTTGTGGCATTTGATTTTTATTCACTTTTGAAGGTTGTTTTATACTGCTGTAAAAATGTTGTCAAAGGTTTTGATATTGTGCTTGATCGGCTTTGTTTTTTCGAGTAATGTCATTCGAATGGACTTGAAAAGGGAGTTAAAGAACAAGAATGACAAGATAAACGCGGTAAGAAACGGCCAAATAATCGACTATAGCTCGCTGGATCAGGTTTATGTTGGTAAGAATCATCTTTTCTTATTCCACTTCGAAGTTTTGCCCTATTTTTATAACCTTTACCACTTGTTGTCAAATTACTGTAACGCTTTTTTACAAACTTCAAGTGCCATTATAATGGAATATGATTTTTTTAGGAACTATTTCGCTTGGAACCCCACTACAAGACATAAATGTTGCGTTTGATACAGAATCCGGGATCTTATGGGTACCTGATAATAACTGCCCTTGTGCGGAAGAATGCTCTATTGGTAAGAATGTTGAGCGTTTTGTTCTTTAATCTTCGCTAATTTAATACTGAAGTTACCAATCACAACTATGTAGCACCAAAGTTTTGTTTAATTTCAGAAGCCTTATGCTACGATTTATGCAGCCCCCATTGTTGTAGCCAAAAAGACAATACCACTACGTTGCTAGAAGACCTTGCATCAGAACTGAATGCAGTTTGTACCAACAAGAATGTCTACAACCCAAAAACGTCGTCCTCTTACATTAGTCGACGCAAGCAATTGGATCAATCCTTTCTCGAAGACAACATTACTGTAAACTTGGCTTACGAAACCGTTCGACTTGGCCCACATCATACCGGCGCTTTTACCACCAAATTCTTGGCTTTCGGTCATGTTTCGGATTTGCCTGAACCTTACGATAACGCCGCTTTCGACGGAGTTTTTGGTATTGGTCGAGCGGGACCGAACGGCGAGAAAGCACCAATCAAGCAGCTAGCTGAAAAACGTGTGATTTCTAGCGCTGTTGTCACCATTTCATTATCTGATACTGAAGATGAAGCTAGCTTTTACGATGGCGTTCTATCCATTGGTCAGGTCGACCAAAGCTTGTGCTCTTTTGGCAGTAAAAACTTTGTTCCAGTAGCGTCGTCTGACAGGTGGAATTTCCGTGTGTTTACGGCTGTTTTGAATAGCACCAAGTTTAGCGACCTGACTTGGACCGTAAGTTTCACGTTTCTGACCAAGGCAGAGAAGCGAGGACGATAAGACAAGCAGAAAGCCCAAAAAATAGTTAAAAAATATTATTTTAGGCTCGAGTTGATCCATCTACGCCCTACATTCACATTCCGAAGAAAATATTTGACAAACTGAGACCAGAATTCACTTATGTCGCGGAAAATGACCGCTACACCGTAGAACGCTCTACCGGCTTAAAAATGTTTGGAGAGTTCAGAATCTCGATTGGAAACACGACTCCACTAATTTCGTCCAAAAAGGTACTAATTGGCGCTGGATCTGAGTTAGAAGTTCTGGTTCGACCTTCAGTCGATGGCGACGATAGCTGGGTGTTGGGAAGACCGTTCTTAAGAGGAAGATGTGCCGCACTTGACTATGATGGAAGAATTGGTCTTGCGGTGTTAGATTCTTCTACGTAAAATAAAGGACCAAACTCATAAAGAAAAATAAATTATGCAAAAGATTTTATGCAAGCCTAAGTTATCGTGAGAAAACATTAGATAAGCCTAACGTGCCGCGGAGGGTCTAATACAAGCCTAAACTACCTAAGGATATAAGCCTAAATTACCTAAAGGGTATAAGCTCAAATAACTGTGAGAAATCTAATCTAAGCCTAAGTTACCGTGAGATATAAATCCACAAACTATTCAGTAACCAATATTAATATAAAACTCACTTTTCGACATACGCTCTTCCATGCTCTCCAAGGCTGCTGTACCAATTTAACGGAGTGGTACCTTGTTCCAAAAGGCTAGCTGTCCATGTAGGTAACAAGTAAACCCAAGCGATTACATTTCCCTTTATCTTCTCCCCATTTTTATCACTTATCAGTTCAAATTTCTCTTCGTGACGAACGTAGAAGTGAGGATGGTTTTCAAGTTCATCTAACTCGACCAGTTTTTCGTCTTCTACATTGTAGAGCTCGCCTTGGACGTACTGAAACAATGATTTTAGTATTTTATGGACAATGGCTTGATTTTTGGAAGAATAGGGGGGGGGGGAGAGGGGGTAGTTTGAGAATAAATGTCTATAAAAAATAAAAATATTTCAAAATTTTGAAAATTCAGTGACTTTCCAGGGGAAACGCAAGGTTAAAGCAAAAAAAATTGAGGACAAACCCTAGGTGACAAAAACAGGTAAATAATACGGTTAGCTGTTCAGACACGCAAAAGAGCAAAGTTTACTTTTCCAGCGTCTTAAAGCGCTGTGATAACAATTGTCAATAGGATTGCGCGAAAAGAAAAAAAATTGCAAAAACGATTTAAAAAGTGTTAAGCGACTTAAAAGTTTTTAGATTCTTTGAATTTTTGTTCTTTTTTAAAATGAAACGATTTAAAATGGAAAAAAATTAAAAATCTTTAATTTTAATAATATAACAGGTTAAAAATGCCTAGTAATCTTTAAGTTTAAAATCTCTATCTTTACTTTAAGTCTTAAAATTTGCATTTTCTACAGAAGTTTTTAAGTGCCTGTTTTTAAGAAAATTCAAAATCCCGCGGTAAATTGTGACCTTCAAAAACTACAAAAAAGAAAAGAAAACAACCACAAAAAACAATTAAAATTAGTTTAAACTTCCTTTCAACCTCTTAATCTGCCTCCGATTTTAAGTTGAACGTACCCTTTAACTACTTGACTTCTAGCGGGTAATTTTGCGGTCATAAAGTTAAGAAATGACCAAGTGGGCAGGTCAAAAAGAGTTGAAATGTTTGAAAGGGTTAACTTTTAAAAAAGAAGGTTAAATTTAAAAAAAATTATTTTACAATATATAATAGAGTGTACACAACCAAAATTCAAAAATTTTCAAAATTTAAAACCCACCAGCCGGCTGGCAAATTTGCTTGTACGATTGCCTTTTCTCTCCCCACGTCCCCCCAAGCTATATCAATCATCATTCGCTTTGTTTTCAAATGCATTAAGCGTGTTATTGATAATAAAACCTCAACGTTTTTCAAAAAATGGATGAAAAACAAAAACCAGAGGTTAACAAGACAAAATGAGTACTCATAAAACGGCACCCTAGTTTGAAAAAAAAATCAAACTTTACATTACTTTTGGTATATCAAAAACAAAAACAACGTTTTTCTAGGTTGTGTTTGAGTAAGCAATAGTATATACTAAAGCAAACATAGCTTTGCATGTTCTGAACGCACAGTATAAAAGTTAAAACATATACTGCGCTCATTTTTAATATTAACGTTCTGTACATCGTATTATCTTATAAAGATATTATGTATAATAATCTAACCATTTTTTCGCTCTACAGTAACGTAAAACCTTAGAAGTCAAAATACGAGCTAATATGGGAAAGTATAGTAATAACAATAATATCCCAAACCAGTATTTTAATTAAATTTAATTAAAGACACGGGAAACAAACGCGGAACGGTCTTTTACAATATCGTATTATAGTTTTGATCAGGTTTGACCTTTGGGAAAATAAACAGAAGAAAAAGCAATTAACTTTGGTTTACATATTATAAGGTTTTGGTTCAAATCAGCTTTGACTTTACATAGTTAGAACATAATTGTCGAATTTTTAGATATTTTATTACCTAAAAATATTTAATAAAATACTTTGGAATAATATAATAAGCCCAAGCGTGTAGATTTAATAAATTCGAGAATATATCATAACCACATGTCAAACATCTTTGGGTTTTTAACCTTGAACCGCATATAAATCAACAAGAAGAATTAATTTATTGCAACTTTTATGGTTATAACTTATTCCAAATGTCATATAGTTACAGTACTCTCTCTACATATATAAAAAACCTAAAGGGACCGACATTTTGTGTTTACTATAAGGGGTGTTGCCTTTACTGAGAGACCTTTTAGTGAAAATTGACTTGACGGGGCCAAATCTTTTGTTTACTATAAGGAGAGTTGCTTATACAGATGGTTCAGTATATAGAGAGACCACTGTAGTAAAAAAAGCCGCATCTCATAAAGAAAATACCGTAATATTCTTAAAAAGTCTTACTGTAGTTCTTTGACTGTCCTAGTTTTAAAAAATTGAACGGAGCCCAGAACTAGTTTCATCTATTAAAACTAAACTACCGCTCAAACCCCCCCCCTTCCACCTAAATCATAAAGTAAAGTTGAGCAAAAAAAGCTTGTAATAACTATACAATGTTTGAATAAGGTTGAAATAATGTAGAAAATGTTTTGAGACCAAAAATTGTTGTTTTCGAATAAAGCCGGACGTCGGAAAAAAGGGCGCGCTGTCCCTGATTTTCAGCCAGCCATCTGGACAATATATAGTTTTTTGGAAACGAAGGTTCTTTTGAAAGGTGATAAATTGCGAAATTAGTGAAAAATAAAAAATTAAGACTTCTGCTAATTTTGGAAAAGTGCCATACTGATCTTGCACATCCTACAATGTATACTGTTAAAAAATTTTTCACACCTCGCCCTCCCAACCACCTCCCTTTTCCCAAATTTTTTTTTCTTGACCAGTCCTAATAAACTTCTATTCTATCTCAACCGCCCCCTAACGTCTCAATATTGTTTATTTTTGAAAAGTAAATATAAATAATCCGACTGACCTCACCGTTTCCCGCGTCCTTTAACAAGAACGGAATGTTGTACTGGGTTGATATGATCAGCGGGTACTTCTGAGTCATTCGAGCCGTTCCCGCGAACGATGCCACGCCGCGTAACGTATTCGACATCACCTGGTGGTTGGGCTCATTCCTCTTCAACGTTCCGTATACAAACACCAGATGCTTTGACATTAAGTAACTGAATTAAGCGTGTCATTTAGTGATTAATTAATGAAACGTTTGTGAACTTTGAAGTGGTGAGCAAGAATTGAAAAATTGGGAAATATATATAATATATAATAACAAATATTGCAAAAAATACAAGCCTACATACTTAATAATTAATATAAAATAAATAAATAAGCCAAAAAAATCTTTTTAAAAATATTTTTCTACTAACCAGCTCAATAATTTCAAACAATAAAGCTCATAAATATACTTTAAAACCCCAGACATTGTAATAAAAATTAAAAGCCTTCCAAAAATAATCTCTTCTGATCAAAGAGCTGAATATATGAAAGTGCAAAAAATGTCCAAAATCATTTGTGAAACCTAAATGAAGCGTCAAAAAAACGTTTTTTTTAAACGAACACCTGGTTGCTTTATCTAATTAGAAAGTATCCAGTGACAGTTTGCTCTAAAATGGCATAAAAAGAAACATTGCAGGGTATTTTACATATATCGTGACCTAACTTATTACAAACACAAACACTTTTTATAAATCTCATTTGCTTTCAAAAAATTTAAAATGGCTCTTTGTATTTTACGGTATAAAAAGTTTAGAAAGTCCGAGCAACTCGAAAAATAAGAAATCAAATGTAACCTTATCAGCGAAAAAGCTTGCTAGACATGAATATCAACCTAGAATTCAAGTTTTTATTACAAATCATAAAATATGTACCATAATACTATTAGTATCGGAAAATATATGTACAATAATACTGTCAGTAATAGAAAATATACTGTAATATGTGTACTTACTTGCGTTTTTATGTACCAATCACTTGTATTTAAAAATTTTATTGTGCATTTAAAAGCAAGTCATTTTTAATTGATTCTTTTGTAATTTTCTGGCCTTATCATAATAATCATAAAAACTCCGTTCTTTTTTAAATTTTACTTATCCTTTTGTTTAAAATTTTTAAAATTAATTACTGTATTTTTTTTTCACAAATTTTTAAATTTAATGATTTTCATTACAAATATTCCTTTTTAAATATCATTTTTACACTCAAAAAGCATATGCTATACGTTGTGCGAACACTTTGTCGCCATCCAATAATGTACTTTGTCTTTTTTGACGAAAGCACTATACTTCATCCTTTTTTTTGACAAAAACATTTAAAAAAAAACAATATCATTTTTGAAACGTGGGGTTTTCCTTACAACCGCCGCCTTTTTTTTCGCGTTTTTTGGACCAAAACTGGCTGTTTCAGTCACCTGTACAAATTCTTCTTTCTTCCATTCTTGACGTGGCGTGCAAAAGGAAGCAAAAATTTGTAAATGTTAAAGGAGTTTTGCCTTATTTTTGCATAAATTTTTGTTTTTTGCGAGATGTAAGACTTTTTGCGTAAATTTTGATTTTTTGAGTGACTTAGAAGGTTGATTTGTAATTTCCAAAAGGTGATATGCTGATAAAAGATAAAAAATAGTTAAGCCTAACTTTTTTCCACGTTCATTTAGAACACGGTGAATTAAAATTCAATCAAAAATTTGAAAAACAGTTTTTCTAATATTACTATTGTTTTTCTAACAACATAACCAAAGAATTTTATTTTTTTATTTTTAAAATTTTAATTTGACAAATTTTCATTTTTTAGCCAAAACTACAATTTTGGTTTATTTCAGTTCCCACGACTCATATGACGTTGCTATGAGCTTTAAATTGTTATGTAGATTTTTAATACCTCGACGTTTTGAAAATGCGGTTAATACTATCTTGACTATTGTACTAGTGATCTGTGTTTTGTATTTCTACAACGAATATCGGAAGTTTCATCCGGAAAAACTGCCATATCAAGAGGGAAAAGTATGGCCTACTACTGCGCTTGTTTTACATACGAAACCACAGGTTGGGGTGGAAAGGAATGGTATGTAAATGAGGTTTTAGACGTGTATTTTACTTAGGCAGTTGTATAATTATTTGAAAATTTTTAAATTTTTAAAAAATATTTTTAATTTAAATTTTAAGACATATATTTTAAACGAGTTCTTAATATTTTTTGAATTTTTTAGGTCCTGGAGAGAATGGAGGTCCCGTAATACTAAAAGGCAAGGAAAAAGTAAAGGGACAGCAGGATATGAAGACATGGTTTATGAACGTTGTAGCCAGGTAAAACTATTTTACTATGACATATTTTTAACATCAACTGAAGTTATTTTTAGTGACAAAATATCTCTCGACCGCTCAGTTCCCGACTCTCGCCATCCAAAGTGTAAAAACGTGAAATACGACAATGATCTACCATCAGCAACTGTTGTAATTATCTTCACTGACGAAGCATGGACGCCGCTACTACGCACGGTACACTCAGTTGTAAACCGATCACCTGAATCCATTTTAAAAGAAGTTGTCTTAATAGACGATAACAGTCAACGGCCGGAATTGATCACAAAGCTACCGGACTATATCAAAAAATTTGGCGGGTTAGTACGATTGGTGCGGAAAACAGAACGACATGGATTGATTAGAGCTAAAATCGCTGGAGCTAGAGAAGCTCGTGGTGATGTTGTAGTGTTTCTGGACTCTCATTGCGAAGCAAATGTAGGATGGTTAGAACCAATCGTACAAAGAATCAAAGACAATCCAACAGCCGTCGTCTGTCCGACTATTGACCATATATCGGCCCAAAGCATGGCATACAATGGTGATCCGAATGCTGAAGCTGTTGGTGGATTTTGGTGGTCACTTCATTTTAAATGGGATCCGCTTCCAGAATCCGAAAGGAAACGAAGAAAAAACCCCACAGAGTATATAAGATCTCCTACTATGGCTGGAGGATTGTTGGCCGCCGATCGGAAGTACTTTTTATACGTTGGTAGCTACGATGCTGAAATGGACATTTGGGGAGGAGAAAATCTGGAGATTTCGTTCAGGGTAAGACAAACATTGAAATTTTACCGAAAAATTAATTTTTAGGTATGGATGTGTGGAGGATCGATAGAAATTTTACCTTGCTCAAGAGTTGGTCACATTTTCCGTGATGGCCATCCATACAATATGACTGGTCGTGGTGGTAACAAAGATGTGCATGGTACAAACTCAAAACGATTGGCCGAAGTTTGGATGGATGATTACAAGCGGTTGTACTACCTTCATCGACGGGATTTGAAAGACAAGGCAAGCATTAAAAGATTTAATAGATTAAGTTTAGCTTAAATTTATTAGGCTTAGATTTACTAGTTTCATGTGCGTAAAGTTAAATAGGCTTAGGTTAGGACAGCTTAGGGGAATGCTTAGTAAGTTTAGACTTTGTAAAATTATGTAATAATGCCGCTTTATAATCAATGTCCGCGTCTATATATACTCATAATATATGGCACATAAAAAGTTATTGCGTACACAAAAATAATATATTGCGTAAGATTAGGTCTAGGCGTAGGCTGAAGCTTAAGCTTAGGCTTAGTCTTAGGCTTAGGCTTAGGCTTAGGCTTAGGCTTAGGCTTAGGCTTAGGCTTAGGCTTAGGCTTAGGCTTAGGCTTAGGCTTAGGCTTAGGCTTAGGCTTAGGCTTAGGCTTAGGCTTAGGCTTAGGCTTAGGCTTAGGCTTAGGCTTAGGCTTAGGCTTAGGCTTAGGCTTAGGCTTAGGCTTAGGTAGGCGTAGTTTTAGGCTTACCTAGTAATGATGTCGTGTAACTGCAGAAGACAGGTTTATATACTCTTAGAATATGGCAGATAAAAGCTGCCTGGTACAGAAAATTGTTACAAACAAGCGCTCGTGGTAATTTTGTGCTTTGTTTTACATCGGGGCAACTATTAAGACCTTACGAAAATACAATTTTTTTAATTTCTTAAATGTTGTGTATAATATATACATATCAGTGGTATAGATGACGCCATTTTTTTAAATCTGTTACAAAAAGGATATGAGAATACGATTTATGAAACTTTACATCTCCTTGTAACTTAAAAACCTGCAATTTGAAGATAATGTTACTTTTCAGTACGTAGGCCCGCTAGAAGATCGTCATATTTTACGTAAACGTTTGAAATGTCGCAGTTTCAAGTGGTTTTTGGATAATGTAACTCCAAATAAGTTTGTACCAGATGAAGATGCATCGTTTTTTGGATCTGTGAAAGCGGGTGAAAATTCGTTATGTATGGATACGATGCAGCGTGACGAAAAAATGGAATACAAACTAGGATTGTTCTTTTGTCAAGGTGAAGGCAGCGCAGCACAGGTAAGTTTTTAGTAAGATTATGATGGTTACTAAGCATTGGCGAATGGTATTGCTGGCGGCAGGATGAACTTTCTGTATATCTGTTGAGTGATGTAATAATAATGCGCTATTTATTACTGTAATTGCTTTTACAGATGATGTCGCTAACTCCAAATGGCCAATTTCGACGTGAAGAATCCTGTGCTAACGTAGAAACCAGTACGAGAGAAATTAAAATGACACCATGTAGATCACGTGACGTGTATACTGATTGGGAGTACGATCAAGATGTATGTTTGCACACTGGTTTAAATATTTTTTGCAAATTGAAATTTTGATTTTATATGACATATTTTTTTAATTTTGTAAATTATCAACTTACAAAATGACTTGTTCCAGAGCAAGCAACTAAAACACAAGCCTACTGGCCTGTGCATCGATGCATCAGGCCTTAAAAGCGGGTCAAATGTTAAGGTATCGGAATGCAAGGCTAATTCTTTAGGACAACAATGGAAGTTTAATCATTGAAACTAATTTATAATTTAATTATATTGTTTTATATAGTAATATTTAGTAATTTATAAGCATTTGTAACGCAATACTGTGATTAACGTGCGGGTAATAAAGGTTGTTGTTGTTTGAGTTGGTACATTGATTTACTTTTAAAAAGCAGATTTACTAGCCTTGGACCTTGATAATACTTAAAATACTACTTTACTTACATATACGTACTATTGTGTACGAAAAGTACGAGGAGAAAAATTCATAAATGTCCCTTTATGTTGTTTCCAGCCGTTTAATCCGTGTTTAGGAACTTGCCAAAAGCGTTTTTACATCTGTTTTGGAATTTTTGGGCCGAAAATAACTTTTTTCGGCCTGCAAAGGAAGTTACTTTTATATAAAAAGAAATTTAAATTATAATGTGGCCGAAACGGCGGTTAATGTAATAACAGCTTATAAAACTATTGGATTTCTTATTGTCAATGTTAATATCTTTTTAAAGTAGAAAATTAGAAAATCATTTTTTATTATAACACAATATTTTTTGCTATTGATATTTTCTTAAATTATAATTTACAAAAGTTTTAACTATTTATTATATTTAAAATGACGGTACCATAGTTAGTTGCCTTTTACGATTTTCGGACATCTTTGCCCGTATAACAAAATGCGGGCGCAGTTCGCACTCATTATTTTATCGAAGACCGCGAAAGGACGCACCTCCGCTCGGCTAGGGCCGAAACCAAGTCGGGACCGGCGAGAGCTCTTCGCCAGCTGTGTGTCAGTCCGCATCTTCAACGTATCTATGCCTTCTCTACCCATCACATGGTATTTTCGTCTGCGAATTTTATTTTTCCCTTATTTTTGAGAGTAAATTAGGATTTTCGTCTATTTGCTTTGGTTTCTCGTCTTCTACTTGCTTTGAGCGTGTGTGGATTCAGGCTTTTGCACGATGTGCGGGTGTGCTAATGCCGTCTTTGCAATTGAGCATTGAGTTGAGGGAGTTTTAAATAATTTAGAAGGCTGTTTTAGAAGAAGCGACTGGAATTTCAGCACTTTGTTATGATTTTTCGTTTTTTTCGGGTACAAAGTGCGCTTTTTTCAAAATTGTGGTTTGTTATTTTCTTTGCTGCTTTACGAAGGTGGGAGAAATGTCTACGAAGTTTCGTGAAATTGAAGTAGATGTTTTACAAGCTTTACAGGGCGATTTAAAAGTCTATGCACGATATTTCTATCGGCAACTTTATGGTAATGGGGTTTTTAAAGATTTGTCAATTTAGGTATAAAAGTATATCAAAGCTATTATTTTCTGTTTGATTTTTGCTTCTATTGTGTTTCTGGAGAAGTTTTCTCATTTTTATTGTTCATCGAGCATTCGATTCAATAATCATTTGTAATTTTTTATCAATGTATGATGTATTGGAAGGACAGCTTGATAAATTGTTTGGTTAATTTTATTTCTATATCTAAAATGTGATCAAAACTCATATTATTGAATAGCTTTGGAGCTGTTTAATGTTTTTAAATTTATATTTTTTGACTATACGTTTTCCAAAGTTTAAGTTTTGTTCTTAAAGCGCAAATCTACTTGAAAAAGGTCGAAATCGCAACGAGGGAAATGAATATTTTTCGTTGAAAAATTGTTGAACTCTGACGAAAGAAGCTCAAAAGTTAGTTGAGCAGAAATCAACTGAACTAATCCAATTAGCCGATGCATTTTTTTGCATTTGCTTCCAGGATTTTATTGTTATTTTTAAGGTATTTGGAATTATAGGTATATGACTCATCATGCCACTTTTTTCTTAAATTTCGAGTTGTCTTTGTGCATTTTTTCTATGATAATATTTATGTATTTTCTTAATTACCTACTTTTAGATAATGTTTTAAATTTGGGCTTACGTAACATCACAAAAACCAAATTGCTGTGTATAGAATACGTGTAGCAAGGGTGTAGCAATGTTGACTTATGGCCGGCTTTTGATCCGAGTTGCTGTGCCGCATGGCAAGGACATCAGCAATATACGGCCGGTCGCTTTCGCTAAAAACTTTTGTTCAACAGCGCGAACTACTGCCGCCACTTCGACCGATTCGGCGGCCACGAATGCGACGAAAACTGCCCAAAAGGTGGACTCGAGTTGTTGTGGATTTGCCAAAGACTTGATTGGAGGACCATCAACGGTGTTGGATCATGGAAAATTTGGGGAAGATGCTTGTTTTGTTACGCATTTTAAGCACACTCATGTTGCTGGTAAGTTTCTTAATTTTTGTTTATGTTTTAGGTAACCATAAACATAGTTGTAGGCCGTTTTTGGGAAAACCCAAAAAATCGTCAAAGTAGGAGGATATTTAGATTAACATTCTAAAAGAAAAGCATTAAAAAACAGAAATTTATTAAGCTTTATTTTTATTTTTAAATCTTTAACTTTACAATTTTAGGCGTAGCCGATGGTGTTGGGGGATGGAGAAAGTACGGCATTGATCCTAGTGAATTCTCATCAAATCTCATGAAACATTGTGAAAAGATTGTAGAGGCTGGAGAATTCAAACCAGATCGACCAGATTTGATTATCAGCAAAGCTTTCGAGCGATTAGCAGTATCGCCTAGGCCAATTGGGTAAGTTAAACTTGTAATATCATTCTTTTAAATAGAATTTTTTCAAACAGAAAGAGCTGCTTATTTGAGTTTTTTAAAACAAATTTCTGTCTTTCACACTTTAAAGTGGTATATTTCAGAAGTTCAACAGCTTGCGTAGTAGTAATTCATCAACACACCTTGTACACAGCTAACCTGGGTGATTCAGGCTACTTGGTATATCGCGATGGAAAGGTTGTACAAAAGTCAACAGAACAAGTTCATTATTTTAATGCTCCCTTCCAGTTAACATTACTACCTGAACAATGTGGTAAGCTTTTTCGGTCAAGGAGGTATATAGAATAAACAAAAGACAATTTTGGTTTCTTTTTAGTTTTTTCTGGTAACTTTTGAAACAAAGTAAATAATATTTCACATTTGGTTGTAAAAATAAGGTTATTCTTTTATAGAATTGGAAGGATTCATCCGTGACACGCCGGAAAACTCGGATCTCAATGTGCTAGATTTAGAAAAGGGTGATGTTGTTCTATTAGCCACTGATGGATTATGGGATAATGTTCCAGATGCTTTAATATGTGAAGCTTTAGAGGTGAGTTTAATTTTGCTTTTAGGAAAATTAAAAAGCGTTTTTTATAGATTGCTCTAATATTGATTTGTTTTAGGGAGTGAATGCTCAGAATCTACAACAAAAATGCAATACGATCGCTCTGATCGCGCGACGATTGTCATGCGACGTGCACCATCTGAGTCCGTTTGCCAAGAAGGCTAGCGAACATGGAATCCGCACGAAAGGCGGCAAGCAAGATGACATTACCTGCGTTTTACTCTACATCTCATAGTATTGTAGGACCGAGTAGCCCCAAGTTGTTAAATTGTTTAGAGGTCTCGTTCAAATTAGGGTAATGAGTTATCAGAAATTTTTATTATTTGGTTTTTTGTATTTGTGTAAATTTTTATAAGTTTGGGCACTGTGTACGGATGATTAGGTTTTTCTTGTATTCAACTCGCTTGATTTTTGTTATCCTAAACTACAGTACGTTTCAAAAAGAATAAAAATTTGTACACAGTTACCCAATGAATTGACGAACTAAACATAATAGTTTGTCGTACAAGTATACTTTCTATATTTACCATATTGTCGTATGTTCTCTTGCTCAAATGATTTCTAGCATTTTTTTGTTGTCATAGAACAAAATTAACATGAGTTTAGGTGTATCAATGTCAAAACGGGTGTTGAGCCCGTAATTTCGGTCAATATGCAGCCATTTTTGTTAATTGTTGTACGTGTTTTTTCAATAAATGAGGTCTTAAGTGAGGTTTTGTAATTCCGATGTTGAGGGTGTGTTGACTAAATTTTTTTAGCCAAAGGGTTTAACTGTGGGGACGCCATAAACGTTTTTTCCTCAGCGCATAGCCCCTATAACAGGGTATAATCTTAAACTGCTACAACCCTATAAAGTAGCTCCGAATTGTGTAAAAAACTATTTTTCCTAATCGTCATCATTCATTGGGACTCCTCCTTAAAACGCGCGTCCAAGTGCCAAGTATTATGGAAAAGGGCTTAAGCGAATTTTATGTGTCGTCCTAAGCCCTCAAGGCATTGTTTGTGTTAGTTTCGATGAATTCTCAAATCTGGCCAAATTTCGTGTTTGGAAAATTGTTTTTTGTCTGGATTTTTAAATTTTTATGATTTTTTGGTTTTTCTGAACTAAACCTTTTGTAAAGTTTTGTAGCTTTGAAGTAGTGACCCACACTGGTGCCTAACCATGGCAATGCCAATTCCATCGATAAAACCACGAGTGAGCGATGCTGGTCGTCGACTCCAAGATTGGACCAATAAGAATGTTTTCATTGGTTCGTTCGAAGAAACTGAATTACCATCGTACCAAAATTCGAGTAGAAAACCATCGTTGGATCCAGTAGAACAAGAACCAGACAATACCCCACCAGCTGATCCTCATACTCCAGATGGAAAAAAGATCACAGCTTTGCAGGCAGCGTGGAATGTTACAAATGCTATTCAGGGAATGTTCATTGTTGGCTTGCCGTATGCTGTCAAGGTAAGCAATTGTTATTTTTGCAGTATAGTTTTATAATTTCATACTGCATCCTATACTACTTTATATTACCCATTAAAGTTAGTTGTTCCATATATTAAGGTAGGTGGATGGTGGACGATAGTAGCTCTAGTAGGAGCAGCCTACGTGTGCTATCGGACTGGCTTGTCGCTTATCGACTGTTTGTACGACGACGACGGCAAAAAGGTGCGACACAGTTTTCGCGAAGTGGCCGAAGCTGTTCGTCCTGGGTTTGGAAAACTGGTGCTGGCAGCACAATTGACTGAGTTACTGTCCACTTGTATTATATACCTTGTTTTGGCTGGGGACTTGTTACAGGGATGTGTACCAGCCATTGACAAACCGGCGGGTATGATGCTGGTGGCTAGTGTGTTACTAGGTACGGCGTTAGTAGATGATATGAAATTGGTAAGTCTCTGGATAGTTTTAATATATTTTTTTAACAAACTTTTCTATTAAAAATATTATTTAAAAAAGATTTTCAGGTCAGCCAAATTTCATTTTACAACGCAGTATCTCATCTCATAATCAATGCTATCATGGTGCTGTACTGTTTATCGCAAATCAGTGATTGGAGCTTAGGATCAGTAGCATTCTTGCCTAGTCTACGCCTATTGCCTACAATTATGGGTGTAGTTGTGTTTGGCTACACCTCACATATATTCTTGCCTGCACTAGAGGCTTCAATGAAGGTTTGACAATTTAAAATTTTTTTTTTGCTTTAACAAATTTTTAAAATTTAGCCTATCCCATAAATAAAACTTTATCAAAGTTTGTAATTTTCAGGAGCCAACCGAATTCAAGACCATGTTAAGCCAGTCCCACATAGCCGCGGCCCTATTTAAAGCCATTTTCGGGCTTATTGGGTACCTGACTTTTGCCCAATTTACCGAACGGGAAATTTCAAACTCATTGCCTAACCAAATGTTTAAGATTATTGTGAACATGGTTTTAGTAGTAAAGGCTCTACTCTCCTATCCTCTACCGTTCTATGCGATTGTACAATTAATGGGCGACAACTTTTTCCGCGGCGTTCAGGTTACACTGTTTTCAAGGTAATTTGTGAACCGTCGTTTTTTACGCTGAATCAGTTTTTAAAAACTGTTTGTAAGTCATATTATAAAACGCATTTTGTATACCAAAAAGAAAACATTTTCAGTTGCTACGGAACAGACAAAAACCTTCGCGAGTGGGCAATGGGACTTCGAATCTTTTTGGTACTATTCACTTTAATCATGGCATTAAGCGTGCCGTATTTGATCGAAGTTATGGGGTTGGTTGGTAACATTACTGGCACAATGTTATCATTAATATGGCCTGCTGTGTTCCATTTGAAGCTAAAGGGCCATAAACTAACGCCGGAAGAAATCAAGTTTAACAAAATAGTCATTTGCGGCGGGATTATCGTATGTGTTATTGGAGTATATTACTCTGCAATTGAACTAGTCAATGCTATACGGTACGACACTAACTAATGTTACTACTGTCGTAAAAATAATTGTACAAACTAATACTATCATACGTAAGCCAGTCTATATGTGAACGTAATTAGTGCTACCATCAAATGTTTAAGACACATATATTACTTACTGCCTTTTATAATTACTGAACCTTTTTATATTAAAAAATTTAAAGATATTAAGTTCAGCATTCCATTTTCTTTATTATTATATTGAAAAGTCTAATTAGACGTAACAATTAATAAATATAAAATCTGAATAACAATTTTGTCGTTCGTACAGTCAGTACAATGTCCTACTATGCATTTTTAAAAAACGGCTATGTTATTGTAAGTTAAACAACACAGGTTTCGTGCCAAAAGATCATCGTTATAAATGCCCCAATACTGACTGCAAACTGTTGAAATGTTTACGTTTTAGAAATATTGAACTAAAAATTCAAAAAAGAAAAAATGTTGTTTAAAACACTTTAATGCAAAAATTCTTAATAAACTATTCAGGCAAAAACTAAAAAATCTTAAACACAAGCTGTTCCAAAAGTTTTTGTGTTATATTACCTACTTATAGAAAATAAAACATCACGGTCCTTGACCTTCCATAATAAAAAATCTACAGACTTTAAGATTAAAAATTAGCATCTCAGATAACAAAACTTTTGACAATTAATCAATACAAAAACTTTTAGAACGCCTTTGTGTTACAAATTTCCAAATACGTGGTATAAACCTTCAAAATTATGAAAAAATTGTAAAAAACATTTAAAAAACCCGAGTTTGATAACGATAATTGAAACAAAAACACGATTCCAATCAAACAGTTACGTTTGCAACGTCTTTGTTCTGTGGTGAGCTGACCGTGATCATGTTTCGCATCTGAAAATAATGGATTTAAGCATGTTATGATAAACAGTGTACCCTTATAAGTTCTACACACACAATAACTCAAAAATTTTCAGTTGTCAAGTTTAAAAACAAAAAATTTAAAACAACGACCCATTTTAGACTAAGCTACAAACCTCTCGAGTAAGTTATGATCTAAAAGCAAAAAAACTCAAAACGTTAAACTTACAGGTATATGTCCATCCTTTTTACTATTATTATCCGGTACGTAGAGCACTGATAAGCTATCCGACTGCTTTAGTGCCACTTTTTTAGGAAGTTCGTAGTTAGGATACTGACTTGTGCACAATGCTTTAGCTAGGTTCTGCCAACAGCCTTCGGTGAAAGGATTGTAGCCTGATCGGAATTTACCCGTTACTTGTTCGTTAGTAGTTCGTGCTCGCACCACCAATACCACATGAAAACCAGTCAGACCGATTATGGGGAAGCACAGTAAGACAAACAATCCCATTAAGATCAGTGAGCAGAGATAAGGCGGTGATAAGTATTCGTGTCGAAGATTTACTCTAAAATATGATTTTTGTTTAACTTATTCAAAGAAACTAACTAAAGATCAAAAACAAAACTTACCCAGTAGTAAGGCAGAAGGTAAGGCACAAGCTGAATATTGAGATCATATGCAATGTTAGGAATATTAAGAATAAGAAAAAGTATCTGTAGTTCCTTCGTCCGACACAATTGTGAACCCACGGGCAGTGATGGTCAAAGCAGTCAATACACTTGTCACATACTGAACAATGTGAAGATCGTGGAGGTCGATAGAAGCGACATGTAACACACCATTTCATTCGTACTGTAATACCATTAACTTCGACGTTTTTGTACAGCGGTGAACGAAAATCATCAACGGATTCTTCAGAAGCTATTGCTGAAAGAATTTTGTAAAGTGTAATGTCAATTTAAAGTACAAGGTGTATAAAATAATAATCAATTTACCAGCTGGATGTCGTCCTGGATCCATAGTCGTTGCCATAAAAAGGTTGGCAATCAAGAATAAGAAGAATAATAGGTCAAGCGACGATAAAACCATTCCTAGCGTGCCCAACTGTTTTATAATTGCCGGTACTACTAGATAGAAAAATGCTGATGTACATCCCAATATTAAAAACCAAGTAAATAGAGCTGGCATTGCCTGTCCGATCGACTTAACCGCCCTCTTCATGGTAAACACTGGCCGACGTGCTGGAGCTGAAGATTTGAGATACAGAGTCGGCTCAACATGAATCTGTAAAATAAAATGAAAGATAAACGTTTTTAGGTGACACTCAGGGACGTCGTTTGGGGGGGGTGGTTCGGGGTGACTCCCCCCCAGAGCCCATCCGAAAAAATCCACAGGTAGGTACCTGTACGTGAAAAAACGAAAAAAAAAATTTTGCGAAAAATCGCCTGTGGACCAAAAAATTTTTTTGCCCCCCAGAGAAAAACCGTAGCGACGTCCCTGGTGACACTTCAACAAAAAAGCGTTTAGGCAACAATTCAGCTTTAAAAAAGTCTTTTCCCACTATAGTCTTATCTAAAAACAAAAAAGATTATTAAAAATACTCACGTTGTGCTCCTTCCGAAAGTCAGCACCCGATTGTCGAACAACAAAGTTGCGTGCTGGGGTCTTCTGCACCTCGTGCTCGTCCACCTGCGCCTTCAACAAACGTTGCGTACTGTCGTTGCGGACGTGCCGCGGCTCCAAATCAGTGGGAAACTTTCCGGGACCCGGCCCGTACCCGCTAGACGTTGTGGAATTCACTTTGTTCGTTCGGTAAGCAAAGCTCAAGTTAGTTGTGTGAGATCGATCCTACGTCAAGGATCTCGTAAATGCAGTATACAAAAAATATAGTAAATTACGATATCATTAATGTGTTCGAACGCCTAAAAACATTGTATAACAAGACTTTTCATGCTTAACATTCAAAACTCCGCGGAATTTACATGAGAAAAATACCCGAAAATAATTTTTTAAATCTAAATTAAGAAAAACGCAAAAATTAACTTAAATTCCTTAAGAAACTCCAGACTTTTACCAAATATTTGAAAATATTCGATCAGGAAAATTAATTCCTATTCCTCCTCATTTTACCAAAAGATGAATCACGGCCCCAGCGAATTAAATACACTGTATAAACACAACAGAAGCTGTTTTGATATTATAATATATTTGGCTCGTGCAAACAAAAGAACAACGAGGTCGACTAAATGTGTGAAATTTGAGAAAAAAAGTCAAGAAAACCTTGAGCACGAACTTGCTCACTCTTCCAAAATTCTGACGAAGAAATAAAAAGCGTTTTGGCAGCTTGCAAAGAAACAATTTGCATGCCGCAAAGCCGTTTTATACGATATAACATTTTTCCTTGTTCATTTTTCTTAATAAAAGCGAGCGAATTAGTAAGGAAAAATCAGTTTAGCAATAAATAATAAAAAATTTTAACATAAAATGTTATCTGTAACATAAAATTCACGTTTTTAAAAGCAAAACAATAAAAACGGCCAAAAAAAGAAAAAAGTTAAGTGTGAACGCTAAATTGCCTGCTGTTTTGGCCAGTGCAAAAACTTCCAAGACCTCAATTTTCTTTGTCTGCAAGAACGTATTCATTCTGACTTGAAAAATATATTTTTTTGCTACAAAAAATTTATATTGCCGTATTAATAGTAAAGCGATGAGAATATTGTAGTATGAAAGCAACAATTTATAATTTTTTAAAATGTTATAAAAATTGTTGCTCTTGAGTACATGAGCACATAATAATACATAATAAACGTGTTGTATTGTTTAAGGCAAAACCATCTTAAGTAATCTCAAGGACATAACAGAAGCGGCCTTTTAATGTGTATTGTGGCATCCAAACTTCCGTTTATTTACTTACTATTAGTGGGCAAAAATTGTTTTGCTAAGCGAACATTAAAGACGTGATGACGGTTGTGTTAAAATAACATATATCTATTACATTTTTGGTTTTATATTGATACGTTGTTTAGTTTCGAAATGTAATATAAACGGCAACACAAATAAATAAAAAAAATTGTAAAATTGTGCATACCAAGTAAAAAGTTTGTCAATAATTTTATGAAAAACAACAATATACTGCAACAATTTACAACTTTGATTTAAAGTCAGAAGAATCAAACAAATTATTGGCAGCAAATATATTCTTGGGATCCAGTTCTTGTTTCAATGCCTTTAGGACATTGACGCCAGTGGAACTGATCGTAGATTGTAGCCAGCGTTTTCGAAGTTTACCAATGCCGTGATGGTGTGATATGCTTCCACCACATGAGATTACTTCGTCGCGCGCTGATACCTGGAATTTAAAATAAGTACATGACGTGTTATATTGCTAATAATGAGTTTACAGATGCACAGAACGGGTTTCAATACTCATAAATGGACCATAAAACGTAATTCTGTACAGTAAAATAATAAGGCTAGGCTTGGCTTGGCTTAGGCTTAGCTTAGGTACAATTAATAATGACGCTCTCTAACAGCAGAGTACAGATTTATACTCATAAAGCAGCAGGTAAAAAGTAATAGCATCATGCAGGAGTTCGGAATGAGATCCCAGCACTCGCAGTAATAGGTTAGGTCGTTTTACCACGAGGCAACTATTACAAAAGTAAAAATATTACATAAGAAAAGTTGCGCAACACTTTTGCTTATTTAGGCTTAGTTTAAGCTTAGATTAGGCTTAGTTTAGGCTTAGGCTTAGCTTAGGCTTAGCTTAGGCTTAGCTTAGGCTTAGCTTAGGCTTAGCTTAGGCTTAGCTTAGGCTTAGCTTAGGCTTAGCTTAGGCTTATCTTAGGCTTAGCTTAGGCTTAGCTTAGGCTTAACTTAGGCTTAAATTAGGCTTAACTTAGGCTTAAATTAGGCTCAACTTAGGCTTAAATTAGGCTCAACTTAGGCTTAAATTAGGCTTAACTTAGGCTTAAATTAAGCTAACTTAGATTTGGAAATAATTAGTAATGAGGCACTATAACAGCGGAGTACACATTTATATACCTATAAAGTGGCAGGTAAAAAGTAGTACCCTGCAGAAAATCAGAATGAGATCAGCACTCGCAGTAATATCTTCGTTCTAAATCAAGGCAAATATTAAATAAGAACAGTTGCGCAACAATTTTTCTGATGGTTTCTTTAAGACTATTTAGATTTACCATAATGTAAGGTAATGCAGCTTTTGTCTTTTAAGAACATTGTGTAATTTAGGATGACCTCTTATTATTTTATAAACTACTGTAACGAAATATAAAAACTTACTTCAATAGCATCATAAACGGCCAATGGATCTTGTAAACCATGGCAATTAAAGCCGAAGTAGAAATATACACAAGCACCGGCATCATAAACTTGTGTTACACTTAAAAGTTTTGTTATACAATTCTTAGTTTAAACTCTTCCTTGTTTTAAGTATAATATATGTTAATAAATAAAACTTTTCTATAATTTTTTAAATTTAAGATAAAATTTTAAAAAAGCTTACCGACAACTACTCAAAATAGGATACTTAACGCCGAGTTCTGCAGCTTGCCGTTTCAAAAGTTCCTTCACATTCCGGCACAAAGCTTCCACTTTGTCCCAGGCTACCGAAGTCTCAAATGATTCGCCAATAACTCCGTATTCCATGCCCAAATCCCTAAGGTAAGCAATGGCAAATGTGAGTCGATAGCCGTACCGACCATTCTCCTCACCGCCTATAACACCTTCAAATTGAGAAGCCAAGTCGTATAACCGTTTAGACTGTTGAGCCACTTCTTCGGCCGTTCCTTCAAAAACGCATGTGGCTGCTACCATTTCATCTACCTTAAATTTTTGAAAATTTACTTTAAAAAAAATTTTTAAATAAAATAAATGCGATTTTATTTTAAAATTTAAAACACTAAAATTCTTGCTTGAAATCCTTTCCATTTAGTAATGTAAGCTTTGCTGATCGACGATGATAGCGTAGATAACCAACTGGTCGACTGAGTTTTCATCGACTGACCCATGATAAACTGTTCATTATCTACTAACCTCAATGATGCTGGCTGGCAGCGCTAAAACCTTTTTATTTTAAAAAATTATAAACTGTAAATTTTTAAAAAGAAAATCTCGGTTATTTTTCTTGTTACCAGTAGGTTTAATATAAATCAGTACGTACCTGTTTTGCCACTTCTCTAAAAATTTAACTCCATTTGAGAATCTTGGAAACACAATCGAACCAAACTGTCTGACTTCAGGTAGGGGAAATATCTTCATACTGACTTCGGTAACAACCCCCAAAGTTCCTTCGGAACCGAGTACAAGCTGATGCAAATCAGGGCCGGCCGAAATTCGTGGAACTTGACATTGTTTTCGAATGATACCTTTAGCTGTGACAAGGTTAATGTGAACAATAAGATCTTCAATGTTTCCGTACTTGTTCTTCTTCATTCCAGACGCACGTGTTGAAACCCATCCACCTACCGTGCTGAATTCAAGTGAATCGGGTTCATGTCCGCATGTAAATCCCTTTTCATTTAATATCTTTTCCAATTGGATTCCAGTGAGGCCGGGTTGCACTCTAGCTATCAGATTGGCCTCATCGATATAGAGGATGTCGGTCATAATCTGCATATCCAACGAACAAATTGTTCTGGTTTCTTCATTAGGACAGTTCACAGCGTTGGTGACCGAAGTTCCCCCGCCAATTGGAATGATAACAACGTTGAACTTGTTGGCCGCTGTTACTACCTAAATTATTGAAAGTACGTAATAGGTACTAAATTTTTTTGCACCAAAAACTTCGCTTAAGTGCTTGTGTATTTTTTTAAATCTCAAACACAAAAATAAGTTCACCTGCTGAACCTGCATTTCGTTCCGCGGCCAAACAACAATATCTGGTACTCTCTCCAAATGGTTATATCGTACTGCAAACATGTCATGGACTGTATGGCCATGACATCGATTAACGCGGTAGACATCTTTGTTAGAAAATGAAATTGAATTATTTTGCAAAAACTCAATAAACTCGTTGTTACTTATAGGATTAGGTATAGTAAGTTTGTTGAATGGAACGGCTGGAGTGGGTTTGTTCAAATCAACCTTCATATTGTTTTCAAACCACGGCCTTAGATTAGGTATAATTTTCCCACTGATTTCGTATCTATCTCCTGTCATATAAGCGTCTTTTGACTTGGATAAAGCAAAGTAAGAGTCGTTGTAGCCCCAACCATTATATTTAAGTATAGTGTCGCTGAAAGAGTATTCTATTAAAAGTAACAGTATGAAACGTGCTATATTTTCCAGTTCATAAACACAAGCATTACATTTTCTTCGCTAGTATAAGTAAAATAATAAGATAAACATACCGTGCCACACGTGGTACATCCAACTCAATAATCGGTGCCATTTGAAACCCTACAGCAAGTGTTTTTATACAGAAAAGATAAATTGCAACTAAAATGTTATCAAAACACGCTCGCTCTTCAATTTTTCTATTATTTTTTACAAATTCTTATTTAACTTTTAAAAACTTTCCTTCATACTCATTTCCCAAATACCAACAAAATCCATCGTTCTAACAAACAATCTTTTTGAACCTATGCAACATTAGGTCAAGTACACGTAGATAAAACTCTATTTCCCACATTTTCTGATTTTAGGCCGGGTTGATAAGAAGTATTCGGCGCCGATAAACGCTAGACATTGTCACTTAAACCTCAGTTTTTAAGAAGCGACTCATTTTGAGGTCAAGGGTTGATAAAAGTTATAAAGTGCAACGTGTTTTTCGTCAACAAAGAACGATAATACGTATTTTACAGAAAAAAGTGATTAGTACTACCCAGTGTAAAGGAATAAACAAAGAACAGACAAACAATTTACCAGAACTTCAACAATCAAAAAAACTATCCCAACAACAAAAATTTATTCCACGAGACGAAATAACTTCACAAAATACAATAGAAGCAAGCTTCTACTAATTCAACATCATCTACAAAAAGTTAGCAACAACATAACAACTGAATACACAACTTAAGTGGTTAAACCATTCACACCGTTCACAGTACAGAAATTTTAACGGTACCCACATCCTAATAACAATATAAATATACAAATTTAAAAATTCCTGAGATAACTTTGTAACATTTGACTTTTTTCTACTCAAATATTTTCGCCAGTCTTCTCTTTACATTGCCTCATTCGCCTTCTATTGTAAACAGCCTTCTCCATATATCCCTTGTCGTTGTTTCGGCTGACCAGAATGTCAATATTGGCTTGTGGAAATCCCTTCAGCAAATGTGTCAAATATTCTCGTTGTTCACCTCTTGTTGGATAAAACTTTCTATAACAAAACAATATATTTTCCTCCTTAAATATTTGACAATATCAACAATAAAAAACAAAATTTTACATCATAGTAGAGTTTTACATACTTAGTCTTCATAACCAAAAAAATTTTTAAGAAATCGACTATTGAAAACTATACTATAATACCAATGCAATATAAAGTTTATAAACAATAAAAATAGCTTACTTCGCACAATAATCCAACACAGGATCACATACCATCGTACACAACGTCTTTATTCCGGCTGCACCAGGCCAACCACCTTCTCGCAACAGTTCCATAAGTTTTCGGCCTTCCTCAGTCCGACATAACTGCCCATCAAGGGAGTATGTGAAAATAGTAGGATGTAATGGCAATGAAATTCTCGGCTGCTTCTCTTTCGTTGAATTTGAGTCCTTCAGCGACCGTTTTCTTCCACGTTTGGGTTTTTCAGTTGACACGTCGGGTTCTTTACCAAAAATATCGGTTTGTAGAGGTACCTAAACAGAAATTCATTATAAATCAAAAACTAAATACTTTCTAAATATAAAATAATATAAAGAAAACGTAAAAGATCAGTTGAACGGTCAATATAGAAACAACTTCCAAAAATAACAAAAACCGGAACTAAAATTATATTACCTATGCTCAAAAAATATTAAAAAAGATGAATAAATCAGAACTTACTTCTAATTCTGTTAGCTTCTCTGGTTGCTCCCCTATCTCCTTTTCTCTAGGTCCTAATTGATTCTCCTTGTTTACGTCATTAACTTCAGAATTCGGTACGTAATCAGAACATTCCAATAAATCCGAAACCTCGAACTTGATCTTGTTCATTGTTTTAAATTACAAGTAATTTAAAACCTCCTAATTCAACCTTTTACCCTAACTTTCGAGTAAAACAAAATTAATTTGTTGAATTTTAGATTTTCAAAAAAACAACGCTTGCACGGTGCAAACGGGACGTTTTGCGTTTTCGTTGTGGGACCTATTAATATCTTTAGTGCCTGTAGACTTGCTATCGAAAAAAATCATAACTACACATGTAGTCCTTAAATTAAATTTGTAATTTTAAAATAAAAATATCCTTTCTTATAATTTTTATGTTTACTATAAAATTTCTCTTCACTTTAATTATGAGAAATATAAATTAACCTACGTAATTATTGCTGATGATTCTCATATGTAATTATAAGCTTCTCACTGTTTCCTGTTCCTTATTATTAACATTGTAAGCAATTTTCTTTATATCTTGAAAAAAACGTATGTCGTTATTTAAATTCCATTGTTTTGCATGTTATTTCCGCATTTTCCGTTCGAAGTCTGGCTACAAACCCATTACTTTTATAGCCAAGGAATGAAGTTTTTGTTTTATAATTTTATTTTAGGCTTTTTATTAGAAAAGAAAATTAAAACAATAATATACATGCCGTCTATTACTCTTGGTTTTAATTACTTTCTGTGCAGTTTTTTGCTTTCCGTGATACGTCATAGCACGATATGTCGCGACGCCTTAAAATTTACTTGCCTGTTAATAATGTTCTTGATTTCGTATTTTTTGTTAGTGTTTTGTAAAAATTGTGTTGGATAGACAATTTTTAATTATAAATGTGTTAACTACAGGTTTTTAATAGAATTTATGGATAAAAACGATACATTTTTTCTAAACTATCATTCTGACAACGGAACTGGTACTGTGATTGTTCATAATGGTACTACCGAAGATAATATTCGCAACATTTTTCACAAGCTTTTGATTATTGTTTTGTAAGTTTATTTTAACAGTCACTTTATATATTAATAATGTTTGTGTATCATTATTAAAATGTTTTTTATAAATTTTTTCTCGAAGGGTCTATACGGTTTTTATACATTAAAAGTTTAATTTTCAGTTTTGTTGCTCTGTTTGTGTTCATAACTTGTCAGCTTGTGGAGTTGTGTCGAAAAAAGAGGACCTATCGTACTGATAAAATGTTGGAAATGCGACTAGCATCGAACGAAAAGGTGTGAAGCTGTTATACTGTAAGTTATTTTGAGTTTTTAAGTTCTATTTTGTTTTATCTTAACAATTTTTTTGGCACTATAACATTATATAAAATAATATTACTTATGCGATAAGTATAAGGTTTAGCTAAAATTTAGCTGTTTTTTCTAGCATTGGCTTTCTTTTTTAGGCTGCCACTTTTAGGCCCAGACGCTCGGTTTAGTTCTAGGACCAATACTATGCGTTTGAGTAAATTCGCTTTTTTTCAAAAAAAGTTTTTGATGCCTTTAGGGTTTTTGAAATGTGTTTTAACTGTCAGATAACCCTTCAATTCTCCGGAGACCCATTTGAGCAACAAATAAATATTCTTTTCGCTTTTTGTTTCGGCAATTTTTTGAGGCTTTGAGAAATGGACATTCCGGCCTCGGACTATTGGCAATTTTTGGTTTTTTATACTCAGTAGCGTGGCTGGAGTTGATTAGCACTGTGATGGCGATTAGAAGGTTAACTGTGAAAAAAAATTATGTGATGTGATTTTTAAGAAAATCGTGACTCAATCATAATTTTTTTTGATGATAAAGCTAGTTTAGACAATTTTTTATTCCTGCATAATACTGTATATATTCGTTGATGTTATATACTTAATCTCATGTACATTAGCCATGATGTACATCCTAACTTTATTGGTTTTGCTCTAACCAGTTTTTGTTTTTTTTCAGCTTAAAAACAAACCGAATTTACATCCTGAACCTTCTTAAATAGTCGACGTCCCGTCGGGAATACTCAAATGTACTCGCCAAGGATGGTAAGTTTATCATTGTATTTATGGGCTGAGGAAAGCAGTACATTACGATTTTAAAAGAGTCTTGTTAATATTTAAGGAAAATATTGTTTAGACATCATTAGGCAAAGTAAAATATTAGTTACTTAAATATTTATTTGCCATATGGTCACAGTTGACGTATATGGTCACTTTTATGCACTTGCAACATAAAAGTGTTCATTAAATTTTCTAAAACATTTAATAACTTAAACGCATGGTTATGATACTTAGGCTTAGCACACAATTTAAATTCTTACCACCAGCCGACTGCTTAAAATTTGGCAATTGGTAAAATTAAAATAAAATCGCTGCTGGAGTGCCGTGAATTTGATTCTGTAATCCTTTTGGTCGAGCCACCTAAATCCTCGAGGGTTTTAATTTTAAAGTCAAACTCCATTTTTAAAACGCGGTTTTGAAATGAAATTTGAATTTGCGTTTGACATATACGCTGATATAGGGACATTTGTTGTGTTGTTGATTGCAATATTGAGAGGTGAACATCGGAAGGGGACGCAAGGGGGTGTTATATATATATTTTTAAACCATTTTTTAAATGTATCGTTAAATTATGCACTCGGAACTCATTATTTACGTCGCTTGCTCACCTAAAATTTCACTTATTTCGAGAAGGGTTATCTACCCATTAATTATTTGAAACGCTGCACCCCTGCGGCCATGTTTGGCCTCGCCGGTCACTAAGGACACACATCAGGGTAACCTTAAAAATAATCCAGGAGAACCGCGCACCCCCACCCGTCCTTGTGCTGTCTTTTTTGCTTAATTAGACCTCGGAGCGCGCCCTGCCATACCAGCCCACCCTCTCCCTCCGTCCTTTCATGGTCGTCGTCGCTTTTGGCCTTATGGCCACTCATCAGTCTTTTTTACTATAGAGACTGTGTTGTTAAATGGAGAAGAGTTGGGTTTATGTTAAGTGAGACCGCTTTTACCGCGTTTTTAATTAATTTGTGGTTTTGACCATGTTGAGTTGTTGCTACATCTTCTATTTTTAATTGTTGTAATTTTTACTGTTTTTAATGAATTGTAAAATATTTTTATGAAAGTTTTGATGAATATTAATTAGTTTTTTCTTCATCTTAAGGGTGTTTTAAAAGATTGTCTTTGTTGTCATCTTTTTCATTTTTTGCCTACCTTTGATACTATTTTTCTTCAAAAATCAGAAAATTTAAAAAAATTTGATTACAAATTTACAAAAAGTATACTTACACATTCCGACCATTCTCACCGTTATTCCTTCAGAGCGTGTTTTAATATAACAACAATTTGGAAGCCTCTTCTCCTCAAATTTATTCTCCTAAAAGGTTTTTTTTTGTCTTCGGCGTCACGGCCGAACGCCCCAAACTTGGCGTTCTGTTCTTTTGTGGCCACAAAAAAAGCCGAAAAGAAGATATTCTACTCAATACTTTTTTGATAAATTTAATGCTTTGCCGTGGGGTTGAGAATAACGAAGTTTTTGCAAAGAATTACCATTTTTGTAACTTCTTAACTTGTTGACAAATTGCAAATTTTTTATTTTTGAGCAATTCAGAATGTCCTAAGTGATTTATAGTGTGTTTAAAACGTGTGTTAATTTATGTATGCTAATGTTTTTTGAATGTTTTTGTGAATGTTTGGTAATTTTAAGTGTGGACGATGTAGATATTAGTGAGTTTTATATATTTTTCTAATATTTAAGAAAATTTGAAATTTTTTAACCAGATTAAATAAAAAGCAGTTTTTTTTTTAATTTTTTGCTTAATATCGAATGCTTTTTCAACCTTTTATATTGAAAATAGTCGAACGTTTGTTTTTGCTTTGCACGTTATCTTGTGTCGTTTTTGCTGTGCTGTTTTACTTAATTCCAAAACCCGTACCTTATGATAATCACGAAATTTAAGGCGCCTTGATTCCGTTTATACCGTCGCATTTTCAGTGGGAAGTCGCGACACGCGCGCACATGCGCGAACTCTCCACCTCACGCGGCGACGTACAATCCATCGGTTCGAGTCAATTGGACGCCATTTCATCTACTACCATGTCACGCTCACATCCCGCACCATCTGCGTCCGCCTTGAATTCGGCCGCTCCGCCGGGTGGTACAGGTGGTGGTGGAGCACAGCCGTATTGCTGTGAATGCGCAGCCACACAAAATCGCTGTTCCACCGATATGTGTCCATGCTTCGCATCGCGGCGAATGTGCGACGAACATTGCGAAAGCGCACGGTATGTATTGTATAAAATAAGTAGGCTTTATCAGAGCAGTAGGCTTTGTACTAGTATTATGATAGAAAGCATTATAAGTAGTTGGTACTTTTTTATATTATGTCTTTAATGACCATTAGCAAATATTAAAATTTCAAGTCATATTTTTGTAATATTTGCCTGAAACAAATTTAGCCGGCGATTGTGTTGTGGGTTTATTTGAATAACGCCATGTTCTTCGTTATGCCCGGAACATCTGTTCAGGCAAGCGAAAACACAAAAATGGACAGGCCAAATGAGCGCTATTCAACTTTTTTCGCCAAAATTTCAAGTGGCTTTCATGATTTTCTAGTAGAACATAAATATAAAAAATGAAACAATTAAAGTTTTGAAATTGTGAATTTAAAAAAATATAGTTAACCCTACTGAGAAAGCCATCGGCAAATAAATGTCAACAAAATTTTTAAATTTTGGAAAATGGTTTGATTCTTATTTTAACCCTAGCTGCTTTCAGCTACCGTGGTGACTGTCTAAATCAAGCAATATGCAAATGTGCGTGCGAAGTGGATCCGGCCAAGCCAGCCAAGAATGCGTGTTCAAAGTCCGAACGTTGCGACTGTTTACGGATCAAAGAAGGATGCTCTAAGTTATGTGCGTGCAAACAAATTTGTAAGAACAAAGAACCACCCAAGAAAGTGCTCAAAGTCAACAAACCGACAACCGGCTGTCAATGCTGTAAAAGCAAGAAACAATGCGTAAAGAAAGAATGTCCATGTCGGTTGATGTACGAGTTCTGTTCTAGCAGGTGAGATCATTTTTTAAGATCAGTTATTATTTTTTAGCTTTAATATTTACATTAAGGTTTTTAACCATAGTTTTTAATATTTTTAATTTTATTTGAAAAAATTCGCAACTTGAAATTTTATTTATCTGTTCAGCTGCAAATGTTCTGGAGACTGTACAAACGGCCCAGCCAAGTTTCATGTGCCAAAACACGTCCAAAGCTGTTTTCTGGAACACAAGAATGAAAGTAGCGGTCTGATAGTAACACTAATTGGCAATGATTACATTTATCGTGGCGACTTTTACCATGAAAGCAAAAACGAACCACACGTGGAAGAACAACTTGTTGCTGCTATTTACGACCTTATCTCTAAATACAAAGTAGAGTTGTACGAGATTATCATCTTTGTTTCGAAATCACCTTGTTTCCATCAGGATTGCGACCCTAAATGTGAGGTTGTCGATGAATGTAAAAGTAACAAAGCATGTGCCAAATTGTTAGGACTGTTGTTGTCCAAAGTTCGGAAGGAATTGAGCAAGGTGGATGTGAGAATGTCAGTTAAGTTTTTGTATCCGCATCTTAACAGAGGAGATTTGTACACGAAACAAGGGATACTGTCAATGTTGCAGGTAAGGCTTGGTTTTTACTTGATGTTTAGGCTTTATTAAACAAAACCAATGATATTAAGGAATTTTATTACAAAATTTTTTGAATATGAACTGAGATTTCCACAAATAGCCTATCTTTTTATAGGCCGGAATAAAGGTAGAACCCCTTCTGATGAAAGACTGGTCCGCTGTTATGGACTGGTCACCGAACGCTGATCACAAAGGTGAATATCTCCAACTATGGAATAATCATAACCTTGACAAGTGCAATGCTCAATCACAGTCTTTTATCAACGAATGTCGACGAGCTTTGGGGCTTTCGATGAAATTCTGGGTAGCTGAGATACACGAAATCGTAAAGAATACGATTTTGCACTACTCTGAGATACGTTCAAAGTGCAATGAACTCAATGATGCTTTAAAACAGGTAAGAGTTTTTTTAACTATATAAAAGGTTTTCCTAACGCGTGACATTTGCTAATGACAAAACTTTAGCTTGACCTAACAGCCACCCCACATAAAATACGATCGACTCCAAGTAAACGTCGCAGTTTTACCGGAATGCTAGAGCTGAAAGATAAACTACTCCATCGTGGACAATCGGACAAAAACAAAAATGGTAGCAACGTGTCTGTGGCAAGGTAAGCTGCGCTTGTTTTGCAGTTTTATTACTTACAACTGTGTTTTTATGACACAACAAATAAAAAGGCCTAAAAGAAAAACCGTCATTGGCCCATTGTTTTTGTAAGTTTATAACGTATGCATTGCAGCGAGGAAGCACACGCCCAAGCTATGGTCGCCTCATTCTGTGGACGGTCTTTTGACGACGGTGAAACCAACGAAATCGCACAACGCATCAGACGTGCTACCGCCAACATAAACGTCGAGATTGAGACATTGTTGGAGTTTTTGACGCACAAAGGAGCCATTGGATAAATTTTTCAACTGAAGATTAATTAAAATATTTATGGTCCGACGGTAACGACATCTTGTGGTCGGAGCATAACCATCTTCCAATGGTCATTTTAACTAAAATATGCTGGAAATGATCTATACTTGTAACTTTCTTTAAACTAGTCATCAAAACAAATGCAATTTGATCTGATTTTTAAATTAAAATTGTTGTTTCTCATTTTTCACAAGATCTCACGCAAACCAATAAATTACTGCCAGACTAAAAACTCCTACCTACTTTTGTTTTTAACTTTCCTTTGTCAAAGTGTAAAAACGTTAATTTTAAATAATAGAAAATCCACTTTAGTACACTTATTTTCGGATTTTTAAGTTCCATTCTGGACTATTCTTACTACCATTGAAAACAAAATTGTAACACATCCCCTATCAACACTCGAAGTAGTTACGTTCAAATCGGAACTATTGTTATAATAGATATTTTAACATATTACAATAGTAAATCTGTTTGAACCTACCTACCTATAAATCCCAATTTTTATCCTGCCATTCTGTCCGTAATGTTAAGAAAAAGGTTATGCTTCACATAACTATCACAAAAGCGTTTTTCATTTGATAAATTATGATTTATTAATAAATACGGTACCCGGAGATTAGTTTTCGTATCACAGTATAATATACAATATAGATCTAAATTTAACAAACAATAGTATTAACAAAAATAAATAGAATTTAAAGGAAATCAAATTTTTAAAAATCTTAAATGTTGGAAAAACAATTCAAAGTCAAAAATCGTATTTTACCACTCAGGAGCCTCAAACTCAAATTTTTGATGTTTGGATTCTTGTTGACATTCTTCAAATACCAAATCATCGCCCGCGTTAACATTTGATACTGACAAGCACTTGTCTATGGTTTTTAAACGCAACATGCCATTCTGTAAATATAATACTGTATCCTTTGTTAATACTAACCGAAACAAACTTATATCTATACGTAAGTCTAAAATTTTAAACTTATTTCCTGCTTACTTTATATTCAAATGATTTTCCATTCCCGTTGATATTACATTCAGAGAGTTGTAGTTTCTGTTTACCATCTTCATTAATAACATCTGAACAGACCGTTTCACGTCTCAAACTTCCATCTTTAGTCAAGGAAAACATCTGTAACATAAAATTCGTCGACTTATACACATGCTTCTTAAAATTGCAATACTATTTTTCTTAAAATCGTAACACTATTTTTCAAACGTACCTGCGCAGAACTAGACGGATATTGACAATGAAAAATACCCAATATGATCGAATGTTTAAATTCGTTCCGCTGAAGCGTATCGAAACACAATCCGGTATGAGGATTTTTGACTCTACCGTAACCCTTGACATTTTCATCTGGAATGAACTTCTCGTTTGCTACGTTATCAAGATACCACTTGAATGATTTACACTTTAGTCGATTTCTGATGGCTTTCCGTTCTGTTAAATCGCCAACATCTTTGTCCTAAACAAAAAAATTTTGAAAGCTATAACTTTACATGAATTTAGATCAAACCGTATATATATATATTAAAGCCAAACGTACTTTAAAATCATAAAGTTATGAAGTAAAAATCGTACCTTTAGTTCATGCCGATGTAAATAATAAAACTTTTTGTAATTATCCATCCAAACTTCGGCCAATCTTTTTGAATTAGTACCATGAACATCTTTGTTACCACCTCTACCAGTCATGTTGTACGGATGTCCATTACGGTTTATATGACCAACGTGAGAACAAGGAATAATTTCAACTGATCCTCCACACATCCATGCCTACAAAACCTCTGTCTTAATCTTTCCACAAAACGCTTTGTAGCAAAAGTACTGGACATACTCTGAAAGAAATTTCCAAATTCTCTCCGCCCCATATGTCCATCTGATCGTCATATGCTCCAAAATTAAAAAATGTGTCTCGCCGTACGGCAAAAAGTCCTCCAGCCATCGTAGGGGTCCGTACATAGTCTACGTGTGGATTTTTTCTTCGCTTCTTCTCGATTTCTGGCATAACATCCATTTTGTAGTGCAACGACCACCAAAATGATCCTATACCTCCAACACTGCCACCTTGGTACTCCATGTCGTCTGCACTGATTGAGTCAATATTCGGACTTATGAAGGCGTTAGGAGCGTCTTTTATACGTTGAAGTAAAGGCTCTATCCTGAAACTTCCAATGTTAGTTAAATTATGTGCTGTATAAAATATAATAGTCAAAATTCAATTGTTTCAGAAATAAAAGATAATAGTCTGCAACTTGCCATCCTTTAGAAGCTTCACAATGAGCATCCAAGAATATAAATACTTGTCCTGTCGCGTATCTAGCACCAGTTGATCTTGCCTTTATCAATCCTAATCTTTCTTTCCCTCTGACCAATCTTAATTTCGATCCAAATCTTGTCAAATATTGTTCAAGTTTACCATGAAGATCCTCTGAAATATTTTTATATTCAAATTAAATATTATATATAAATCAATCTAAAAGATTGTACATACAAATATAATAAAACACAAAATATTTTTACCCTAAAAAATTTTTAAAATTTACCCCTTTGACTAAAATCATCAACCAACACAACTTGATGCAAAAACTTTTTAGGTGTACGATTAAATACCGAATGTACCGTTCTAAGTAACGGTGTCCATGCTTCATCAGTAAATACTATCACTACAGAAGCAGCTGGTAAATCAGTGTCGTACTCTATAGCTCGGCAGTCCTTGTGACGCTGATCGCGTAAAGAACGGTCCAATGAAACCTTGTCACTAAAAATAAGCATTAACACAAAATAATCAAAAAAACGTCATTAAATTTACCGTAAAACCATAGTATAATATTAAAAAAGTCATTATATAACAACATTACAGCGAATTATGTCAGACTAGCACATTACCTTGCCACAAGATTCATAAACCATTCCGTCATTGCCTTATTCCCTGCGTCCTTCAAAGGTCCTTCAAGACGTACAGCTTGACCTTGTTCACCAGGGCCTTTCATCCTCGATTCCATCTTCTCATACTCTTCCATGCTAAAATGTGTACCATTTCCAAAATAATCAACCACAGTAAAAATGCCGTCGTTTCGAATTACCATATTTTCATCTTCGTAAACTATTGGCCGGCTTTTTAGCTCTGAATTTACAGGGATCTCATCGTTCAATGTTGGGCTAATAGAGATCAAGTGTATTAGACTAAACAAAAACAATGCCAATGTTATACCAAGAACCAAGCGTACCCATTTAATCGGGATTTTTGGCATAACCTACAATAAAAAATAAATAACAATGTTATTAGGTATCTAAAAAATAAATTTTGCAAATCTCGGGCTTGAATGTCAAAATATAATAAATAAGAAAAACTCGATTTAGACAAATCGTTTAGACTATGTTGTTTTCAGGTAACTATTCTACATCTACACAAAATTTTAATATTATCCTTATCAGAAACCAACATTTTCACTTGCTTTTTACCTTACACGTTTCTTCTAAAGCGTAAAAACGATAAAAACATCCGTAGCATAAAGTTTTAAAGAAATACGTATTTAAAAACGTTCATAAAGACGTTTTTTAAACCAAAAACAATATAAAACGCGTGGAAACAAAACCAATTTACGAACTAATCGAGCAAAATTCGGTTTTTACCATTTTTCGATTATTTTTTTGGAAAATATTTAAGCGACATTTTATACGATAAAACGTGCCTATAACTAATGAACAGTTTTCTAAAAAATTAAATTCGCTACTAAATTTAAAACTTCATAATCATATGGGCTGAGTAAAAATTTTTATCTATTTTTAATTAAATTTCAATGTATCTATGTTTCATTTAACTCCAATCTGTTTCCCACAATATTTTCTCTGACCAACGTTAGATTGCACAGTGTCCACTGTTTCAAATTAAACCTTTTACTTTTAATATGTATGAATGTTATATTTGGATTATTGCAAAATATTTAAGAGTACTTTCTAACAGTAAGCGTTTTCACTTTCCCGTTAGTTGACATGTTTAGATAATCCTTTAAGAAAGCGATTAGAGTTGGACGCGCAATGTAATCTTATAGTGTTTATCGCTTTTGCCGTGGGCCAAACAGTTTTAAAATGAATTCTTAAAGAAGATCGCAAAAAATGTAAAATTTCATACTAATTTAGGCCTAAAACTTGTTGTAGATTATGGTTCTTAGGCTTCGAGTTTATAGAGATTTATATTATGTCGTCAGTTTTTTCTTTTGCTTTTGTATCAAATTTATACTTAAAGACGCAGTTTTATGAAGCAAAAACTATGTGATATTTACAACAATAAGCATCAGCTTCAAAAAAGTTTGAAGTTCGTCTTTAACTGTATGAAAATACATTGACTTTGATCTTTTTATATGGCTACTTCATTTTAACGATGTGTGTGACGTAATACATCTTGAGAGCAAATAAAATCGAGGAGTGAAAATATAGAAGAGTGAAGAAGGGTGATGTAAAGTTGAAAAGCGAAAAAATCAGCAGAATAAAGAGCGCGCTCGGACGAAAAGCCAGGCAGTCTTGCTGCAGTAAAACAACGAAAAACTCGTTTCAATTATAAAATCTTTGTTATGTTACTTTTTCTAATAACAGTATTTTTTAACTACGGCTTTATGTGTATACTCTTAAGTCATTATACTTTAAATGTTATAATAGGTTAAATTAAAATTCTAGAAAATGAATAAATTTTTTACAACGCATCTTTATAGTAGATGTTTTTGCACACATTAATTGAAATCTATAATGATTTGTATACCTAATATTGAACAAACTTAACATTCAAACAACACTAAACCGACATTAATTACAGCACACGTCAGGCTCCGCCTTGTTTTGAAAGTTTATATCAGAGAAAAAATACGTCGCTTACATACTTTTTATTCCCCTTCTCTACTTTTTAGTCTTTGAATTGTTTACGATGAAAAATAGGGCGGCAACCGAGAAGGCAGTCCGGCCCAGAGAAACAGTGCTCAAAACCATGTTGTTTGGGAGAGGGTGCAAAGAGTTTTTGTCATAATACGTTTCAATAACATCCCTATATAATTTTTACATCTTTGTAAAAGGAAACATTACACGTTAATATTTATTTGTAATTTACAGATATATAAATGTAAATAAAGATTTTATATAAACATAAAAAGACCGAGTACTAGTCTGATGAATGGTTTACATTTTAAAAACTAAAAACACAGTACCAAAAATACATCAAATACTATACAATTTAAACATTCTTTACAATAGATATTTAAAAATTGAATACAATTTAAATTTAAGTCCCTTCCAGAAGGCATTATGTCTTTTTATGTGTGTAAACTGGCTTTTTACAGCGCTCGAAAAATGAAACGAAGAATTAAGACTTTGGCGCAAAAGTCTTCGAATCTCTAATGACAGGTGTAACGCCATCTAGGTCAAATGACATAATCATGAAATGATGGCTTGAGGAACCATCACAATAGAAGTTGTATTAAGAACTTTTAATATACTTAAGAGAATTTTAAATTTGTAAAATATAGTTTTATTTTTTGTACATTGACAATATTATTAAAATTAAAAAGCTGAAAAAGACACGAAATCATCTTTCAAACTTTAAAAGTTAAGCCTGATTCAAAAATGATAAGATTGTGATATATTTGATTAAAAGCATAGATTACACAAATAAATAAATGCAAAATAATAATTATACTTTTAACTAGGACAACTATGCAAATTTATAACCTAAAAGTATTGATTTAAGATGCAATTACGCTAATTTATACAAAAATTTAGAACTTTTTTATGATTGGAAACCAATAACCAGCCAAGGGATCATGACGAAAATCAGCCGACATAGAAATAAAATTAATTTTAAAAAAACCCAGTGTTGATGACGTAATAATTAGTATTACTGGAATATCTAGTACAATTGTTACAATAATCTGCTAATCTAGAGAGCACGATATCACAATAGGGTTTATTGAAACGATAAACATCAGAAAAATAGCACACAAATCACATTGAACGTTAGAGAAATTCCGTGTAGCGCGAGGCTGTAAAGACGCGTCTGAGACCGGCAGACAGGGCAGAGTGATAGGCGAGAGAACATGGCGGCTAGCGTGTCTGTCGCGCCTCGCACTCTTTTCCCCACTCGTTCTCTTTTTTCTCTTGCGCCTTCGCGGACCCGCGGTTGGGGGACAGGATCCGAAAAAAACCCGGGGTTCGATTCGTATTTTTGGTTTTTGGGTCAATTTTCAAACGTGCATTTTGGTGCTGATTACATTGCCGTATAGCCAAGATGTTCAGCTACACAGTGGTGTAACGCATGTTACAGTTTTGTGTTGGCAAGGGGTTGATTTTTGGGTTTTTCCGCGGAGAAATAGAAATTTTTTGTTGCTACTGTAACTTTGTAAGGCCATAACTTCTGACAACTACTGAATTTTGTCGCGAAAACTTTTCCAACGGAAAGTATAGAGTTTTCGCTATACGGGGATATATTATTTATATGAGTTGTGTTTTGTTAGTATTGTCAATTTAACGTCAAAACAGAACACATATTAGATCGAGTTTTTGAAAGCTTTAATTACAATGCTGGTGTACACTCACTACAAGTAGATACAATTCTGAAAGTTATATGTTCCTATAGGTAACTGAAGACATTCTACAGATACATAAATTTTAGATTCAAAATTTTTGGAAAAGGTGTGATTTGGAGCGATAAAGTAATATTATAATCGTTTTCGATTGGTGAATATTTGTAATCTTTGTTGTTTTTTTTATAATTGTATTGGTTGTGAGTTTGATTTTTCATATTTCCGGATGCTGGGGTATGTTATAAATGCATTGTCTTACATTTTACGACATTTACACTTTACGTTGTAAAGTTATGAGGGTATAGACGTACAATACTTTTGCATTATTGATTTCTTTCATTTATTGAAATCTTTTTTAAATGTTTCATGTATAATGTACGGTTTGACTATTACTTATTTTTAACGTAATAATTCCTTGATATTTTAAGTGAGTTTGTATGACAGTGCCTGTAAAAAACTGACGTGTTTATCATGTTTACCGTGTTTTTGAATGTCGACCATTTTAAAACATGTTATGGTTGTACATGATTAACTAGTAGTGGTACTTTAAATTTACTTTGGTGCTTTTTTCAAAATTTGTGAATTTAATATGAGTTGTTGACCGATATTGTTTAACATACGTTGTGTATATCGATTTCGTAAATTGTGCAAAGATACGATTAATATTTAATATTTTTGTAAGAAATTTTGGGTTTTGGTATAGTATATGTATGTTAAATTATAGGTTCAAAAATTTATGACTTTTCATTTTAAGTTTTACTCGTATATTGTAAGTCTATTAGATTTTTTGGTGTATTCTTTAATTCAAATACTTTCAATATCTTTTTATTGACATATGACATACTAATGTAATCTTACAATTGTTTGTATGTTTAATTATATTTTTGCCTTGCAAATGTTCATCGAGTGCTATTTTAACGTCGTCGCGTTTTTTGGGGATTTTGGTTCGGAAAACCGAGTGAAAAAAACTGGCAGTTAAAAATGAAAAGGGAGGGGGGAGGGGACCCGAAACGAGCGAGAGAGAGAGACACGAGGGGTGCTGAATTCCCGCCGGTCCCCTGTCGTTGTTTCTCTTCAAAATGCACCGCTTGCCACTCCTCCTCGACTTCCTTGTGGCTGCGAAGCCGCGAATGGACACGAGGTTTGAAGAGAGTGCAGTTGCTACGACGGCTAAAGTGTGTGTGGTACGAATAAGAAGCTAGGGAATATCTTTGCTTATAAAGAGTGAGTGGTCAAACAAGATTGCACTAGCACAGACATTAGAGAACACGGGTTCAAGCAGGAAAACGGGTTACTACATGTGGTTCATAAGATAATATAGCTTGTAGAAATTGCTTCAATGATTACCTTATTTGTCTGTACACCTTGTACATAATTAGACTGAAAATGGAAATTATTAAAGCCAGTATTAAATAGTATTTCAGATAAAACAGCGTGACTAATTACATTAGGCGGTCTTTAGTTTTATAATTTATTGTAGTTATTTACATAAATCTTCTAGTTGAAACCATACAACGAATTAAATCAGTCGTATTAGACGCATTTTGTAGGTATGAAAACTCTTAATCTTTGTCTTTAAGCGACTTCGCTACCAAAAAATCTTCAAAACATTAGGATATTTCAAAACTATCACGTGGAACCGGTCAGCAGTTTGCAGAACGTATAACAACAAGAGAGCACACGGCGATAAAGAAAATAATAAGTAAAACTACAGTTGTAGCTACAAAATAGTAGAATCAGTAAAGCCACATACACTAGCGAAGAAGATAAGAAGCATGTGCGCACATTTTGCCGAACTATTAAGATGTCGGTTCGGACATGACGAAGGTCATGTTGCGTAACAAGTATTTTATTAATATAAACAGCTAGTTGAAGAACGGGGCGCAGATAACTGAAGAGATCAATACTTAATAATGTCGACAGACTCTTCAAAAGTTTGTGGTAACCATTGATTTGCTGTAACAATGTGCTTAGTATTATGCTTTTTCAGTTAAAATGACTGCGTAAACTAGGTAGAACATAAATAGCATGAGCTTATAAACTAGGTATTAACTGTTTACTTATATTGATGGTCTTAAGCCGCAAAAATGCTATTTTTTTCATGAAAGATGACGCATTAAACAAACAATTTTGACCTAGAATTTCGTCGGTTTACGAACTCTTGAACTCATTTGCATTTTTTTTTCTCTCACTCTCTTTCTCTCTCTTCTCCTTCACTGTGACAAACCCTCCACAAGAGCTTTACAGCCGTCAAAAATTCGTCGCTTGTAATTAACAGATTGCTTGCGTACTCGAGTTTTTTTTAAACAGCAGTGAGTCATCATTAAAAATTAGCTTTTACACTGAGAGGTATATTATTATCAGTTTACTAGCAATATTCCTTTTATTTGACTTGGTATTATGCTCCTAACTCAATTACAGATAAAGTGAAAACCTTTGTTAGTTTCTATACAAAAATACGTTTTTTTCTATTATGAAATCTACACACTTGTTATTCGCACAAATGGTGGAATTCCTATTCTAAAATATTACTCTTCAAGGTTCAAAGAACGCACACGAGTAACTGTGCCAATTTAAGAGAGCGAAAACAAACTGACAAACATGAAAAATTTCATGAAGATATAAGAGAACAAACATGCATTTTACGAAATAATGAAAAGTTACTTAAATTGAGAGAGTTGAGAAATCGAGAGTTAATCTAAATTATGAGGGCCAGACGTTGCAAGAGTCAACGCACATAAGCACGTATATACGAGTACATCATACAGGACATATTTGTAGAAAGTGCCCAAAAAGGAAGGAGCAGGCAGTTTAGGTAATGCGTGGGAGAATTGCACATTAAAGCGGTTAATAGTAAATTAGAAGCAAATTAACTACCAAATTGGTTAGCAGTTTAAAAACGCCTATAAAAAGAATTAAACCATACTATAATATAATACTGTATAATTATTTTACCGATATAAAAATGTGAGCAATAATTAACTACTTTAGTTCCAAAATTCGATTTACATAATAATTGCTAGTGAACTGAAATGTTAAATTAGGCTTAGTTTAGGCTTAGACTGACTGCCAGGCTTAGAATTGCTCATAATGAAGCTTGTACAACAGAGTATGTACTCATAAAATATAACAGATAAAAATTGGTTCCATAGACAAAAACGGAGCAGATACAGCAGTCAAAAAGTAATTTTTTATATCGAAAAATCTTCAAAATCAGGCAGAATTAATAGTTATAGTGTGTTCAGCCGTTATTAATTTATCTTTGAGACGTTAGCAAAGTTTTTAATTTTTTCAGTACTTTTTTCAACTTTACAAAGTTGTGCTTATTCTGGCCTTTTGTAAAACATACAAATTTTTAAAAATAAAGCATTAAAATTCTTAAAAATGTGCTTCTGCCTGCTCTTATTTCCCAATATTCTTTTGCCTGTCCTTGAAAGGTCGCGTGTTTGCACTTATAAAACGGCGTCTTCTCTCGTCTATTCAATCTCATAAAAACTGGAAGCAATAATAGAGACTGACAATAACTGAAGCTAGACTGTAAAGACCGTGATTCAATCGGTAATATCATGAGAGTGGAAGAGGAAGAAAAGAAAGTTGAAATGAACAAATTTAAACAATAAATTTGCAATAATGACTTACACCCTAATTTTATTGTGACACAAAAATTTAATATGGTTAATAAAACAATATTTAAAAAATAATCAACGAAGAAACCAAACAGTAAAACATTTGAAATGTAAAAATAAACGACACGGTATAGAAAAATGATTTGTTTTCTAGATAAATGACGCATTTTTTGGACGATAATGTTTTTCTTACGAAAAAATGGATTTTTTGAATTTTTGTTTTACCAATTTTAAAGTTAATTTTTATGTTTTTTATAATTTGAAAAAAAATGTATTGTTATACTTTTACCTGTGTTTTGCGAGTTTTTATACAATTATTAAAATTATCGGTCTGGAACTTGTTTTTATCAATCTAATTTTAATCTTACTTTCAGGCCATTTTGGTCTTCCTTGTTGACCACTATTTCCTTGATCTTTTCTGTTGTTGTACAACTGGTTGACTTTTGTAACTTATTGTTTGTACCTATTTGGTTTTAGTTTTCATGCGTTTACTTCGACACAACATTGCCTTTCGGTAAGCTTTTAACAATATTTAAATTTTAAATGTTTCTTGAGGCATTTATTACAGTGCTTTTTATTAATTTAGGTAAAATTTAAGCTATCTCGGCTTTGAGTAATATTTTTGGGGGTTTAAAGGTTTTAGGTCAAGCTTTAGAAACAAAAAACATTTTTGTGTTTTTGATAAGTTTTATCTTACTGTTGTCAACTGTTTTTGGTTTTATTGTAAAATTTAAAATACAATTATTTTAACGTTTAAAAATTCTAGGGTTTGCTGATTTAATTCTTGAAAGCCATGTTTCCAAATGGCAGTTCGGCAAGTGGTGCTTCCGGGCAAAATGGTCAACTCGGGTTTCCGATGGCCTCATTGATGAACGCGACACAAGGCCAAGCTCTTCAAAATCTAAGCCAACAACAACTTTACGATATACTTCAGAATTTCAGCGAAAATCAGAAGCGAACGGCTGGTGCTGGTAAGTAAATTAAAACTGCTAATAAGGTTTGATGACGCTTTTGCTTTTTAAAGTTATTTTTGTTAATATAGGGCAAAAAGATGAGTTTTAAACGTTAGGTAACAAGAAATATATTTTAGTTGCGTTGGCTCAACAACAAGCTGCCCAACAAGCACAGCAACAACAACAGCAACGGGAGCGTGAACTAAAGGAACAGCGTGAACGCGAGCAAAAACAACGAGAACGCGAGCAGCAATTGAAACGTGAACAACAACTACAGAATATGATGCGAATGCAACAACAAGCGAATCAGAAGGCCGCTCAACAAGCTCAGCATACTCCGACGGCGTCTGCATCGACCGCGAATCAAAACCAAACATTACAGAATTTTGTAAGATTTTTATTTTTTTTTCTACTATTTTATTGTTGATTTTATATTGCTTAAAATTTTTAAACAACAACTTTTTAGATGATGTTACTACAACAACAGCAGAACAACCGCCAGCTTCAGCCGAACTCATTAATATCGCAAATGGGCAATTCAGCTAACCAAACGCTTCAATTGCAACAAATTCAACAATTTTTAACACCAAATTCTTTGTCAACTCCGCAAATGTTTCAGCAATACCAGCAAGCCCTTCTTAGGCAATCTCAACAACAAGCTGCTGCGACAACTCGTGCTGATGAACCCCGCCGTCCATCTTTAATGTCAAATTTGCAACAAACTCCGCAATCTCAGTTGAATCTTAATTTATGTGAGTTATTTTTACTTACGATTAAGTTTTTTTAAAACATTTAATTTTGCCTTTGATTATTAAGTTTTTTTTTGTATTTTGCAATGTCATATAGTTTAATACCTGAAATTTTAGTAAATAATGAGCAAAAACCATCTAATCTCGGTTCGATAACTACCGGTGTACCACTAAGACCAAACACAAATTATGGTATTGGTGTCTCGGCACAAACGGCTACAACGACAACTCTCAATAAACCAGCTGAACAAAAAGCGATGACTTCACAACAGCAGGGATTGGAGGAAAAACGGGAAAAGAAAGATGTTAGGGACAAAATTGACAAAACTGAAGCTGATATGAAAGTGGTATGTGTTTTTTCTTATAGAAAATTAGATTTCTTTACCAAAAATTATGAGAAATTAAATTCATAAAGTAATGTTGTATGTAAATTGACGTTAGAATTTTCACATAACTTTTTAGATTGACGCCCAATATGCGGCCACGAAAAAGAAGCGCGAACAACTTCAAGCTCTGATCCGAAGCCGCAAGGAAGAGATGGAGCGTGAACGTGTTGAAGCTGAAGCCGAAGCCCGTGCTGCGGCTGCAAAAGCCGCGGCTAACGCTGAAGCTATCAGATCGAGGATTCCGATGATAGAAAAAATCGAAAGCGAAAACTTGGCTATCATAGAAGAAAAGGTTAAGAAGATGAACTTGGAGATACCTGTATGTGTATTTTCTTGTGAAATATTTTTAAATTTACAGTTAATGCTAGCCAGATCAAATTTTATTTTTTAATACATTTGAACCTCATTTTTAGTCTTCCGCGCCATCATCCAGCTTAACCGCGATAAATGAACGTTACAAAGTTATAAGGCCATTTCTTATCGATCAGTTACGAAGGAAAAACGCGATGCAAACTAAGAAAATGAAAGAGCATGAAGAAGCATACGAAGCCAAGTATCAACAATGGCTAAAACGCGTCGAAAAGGCTGAAAAAGCGCCTAAAAAGGTGGCCAGGGATCAGAAGAACCGAGAATTATTTGAGAAAGTCTTCCCTGAAATCAAGAAGGAACGTGAAGATCGGGAGCGAAATGAACGGCACGAAAGAATTCAACAAGCGGCTGAAGGGATAATTAAGACAAAAGAAGAGGTACGTGTTTACAGTAATTTACAGTTTGTAAATTTTTAGCGTCGTATTTAAAATTAAAAATGATTTTTTTGATATTAGTTTTATTTTTTCGCCTAACGCGATTTACAAATTATTTTTTTAGAAAGTAACAGAGCGTTCATGCCAAGTACCGCTACTGGCGTTAAATCGAGAAAAATTTGCGTTTATCAACAACAATAACTTAATATCGGACGATGAGTTGAGCCGCACCAACGAAGCCATATCTGATTTTGTCGATAGCTGGACGGAAGATGAGAAAAAAACTTTTAATGATAAAATACGGATTTTCGGCAAAAATTTTCACGCTTTGTCACATTTTTATTGGACCAAGGTGAGCTTATCATAGAGTTTTTACAATACATTTGAAACTAAATTTTTGTCTTTTTTGCTGCTCATGTGAAGCTGAGAAGTATATAGGTTATGATAGAATGTCGAAAGCCATATTGTCTTGGATTTATATTTTTTCTTTATTTGCAAAAACTGTAAACGGATTAGAAATTGTGAAAACATAACATTGTGTATAACACGTATCTTGCCTAGCACCGGCTGTCATATACAATAACTATTTTTGTTTTTTTAAAGCACGGTTTAAAAGTGCAAGAACTAAGGTTGTGCTTCAATGTCATGGGTTATAGTTATTTTTATATTAAACTTGTGGCTAAAATTGGGGATTAGTTATTAATTATCTTTTTGCTCATTTAGCCAAGTTTTAAATTAAAAAATTATATATTTATTAAAATTATTAAAAATCCAAGCAATAAAAAATGGTTTTTAAGACCTTATTTGTTTTTTAATACTGTTTTTGTCCGGCACCAAAAATTGCAAATAACTTGATTATTTGTTGTAATAAAGTTAAATTTTAATGATGTTACTAAACCAGCTTTAAATTATGTGAACTTTGTTTACTAACTTATGGGCAAAAATTTCAAACATCAATGGCCACATGTACTCGAACACTTTCTTTTTCTTTTTACTTGTTTTTGTACAAATATCGCTTGTACTCGGTTGGTTGTTGAGCTCTTTCTTTTACTTTTATTCTTGCAAAATTCATATTTTTATTAGTTTTTGGGACTTTATTTTAAAACAATTTTTTTTATTTTAGACCGCTACAGATATGGTCAAGTACTACTACGCGACCAAATCCGAGATGAAGTACAAAAACTCGTACCCGAAAAACAAAAAGAAGCCGAATAAACTGGCCAAACCTATTCAAATGCCGGAGTTTAGAGACATGTTTGATCATCTCATGGAAACTTGTAGTATGTTTATGTGACACTTGGGTTTAAAATAGTAATTTTTTTTTATCTATGGGAGTTAAAAAGTCTTTTATATGGATTTTTAAGAATAATAAAATTGCAGGTAAACCGGACATTTTCACACACATTTGTTGTATTATTTGCGATGGTGACATGAAAATCTTTAAAACCGTTCCATCGATGTCGACCGAGAAGGACAAACTGTACAAAAAGATCCTGAAGGAACAAGAATTACGGCAGAAAATGCCGATTTGCACGAAATGTTTTGGGTCCTTCAAAAAGACTGCTATGTAGGTTTTTTAGAAGCTTTCTCGTGGTAAAAGTTTTTAAAAAACTATTAGTTTATGATTTTCAGGATCTAAAATTAGTTTTTGAATAAAAAAAATTATTTTTATATTTTTAGTCGTTGTCCAGTCGGTACTTGTCCTGGGGGAAAAAGAAAACAAAAACCATCAAGAGCACCGCCTACCGAATTTTACGATCAACCGTTGGAAACACAGTGCGCGATTGTGCGCCAATTACGGTTTCATCCTGCAACACCAAAAATTTGCTCAAATTGTTACAAACGAATTCAACAGGAAATTGAAAATGCAAGTTTTTTTGAAAGTAATTTTGAGAAATGTAAAAATGTAAATTTGAATATTTTTGTTGTTAAAATTTTATAACACTGAAAATTTTAGATTGAATCTAATCCGTACTATCGGCAAGTGCTACCAGTACCTCTTTCTAAGCGTAAACCGGCTTGGAACATACATCGTATTCACAAGTTGTTTGATTTAGTCCGAGAATTGGGTCGCGAATGGCTTCTAATCAGTCAGCGGTTGGCCGAACCCCAACATACTTTCAAGCCAAGTCCACGACAATGTCGCGCGATTCACGAACGACTACGCTACTTTTGGCTTTTGAAAGAGCGCCGTATGATGCTACAGAAACAGGCTAAGAAAATCAGCAAACAGTACCGCAGGATTCGTAGATCAAATCGACATCTGAAGAAGGAGGAATCTGTAGAAAGCGATATTATCGTGATAGAGGAGATCAAACCAAATAAATCTGTTGAAAATGGAATGGACAGACTGGATGCGTCAAGTGCTCGTTTGCTTAAAAATGAAGATATAAAGCCAATTATTGGAATAAAACGACCTTTACAAGAGAATGACATTGTACCAGATTCAATCAAGAGCCAGCTCGAAGCTAGAATAAAGGGACATCTCAGTGGTGCAGATATGGGTTGTCGAGGACAAACGCCAGTTGATATTAACCGTATGGGTTCTGGTCAAACGGCTGTTGATATTACTCACTTAATGCAGCCGGCTGAAATGTTTAATTCTTCTTCAATCTCTGGAAGTTATCCTTATCCTGGTCAATATGGTCATGTTAAATCTGACACGAAGGATGCAAATATGGATTCAAAACAAAATGCCGAAGGCAAAAACTTTAATATGAATAATATGTCAACACCGAACATTATGCAACAACATCACAATCTTATGGCGGGTTTGGCATCACAAAACTTGCCTAAAAGTATGGTTCACAATATTCCTCAAAGCCTGGTAAATCACAGTGTACAAAACTTGGCCCACGGTCAAAATATGGCGCATTCTGCTCACAACTTGGCACATTCTGCACAAAATTTGGTCACTTCTTCCGGTCAGCCTAGCCAACTTAGTCCAGTAGGGGCTCAAAAATCAACGTTGTCTTCAAAACTGGACTTAAACCAACTTTCCAAAGCGATTCAACAACATTTTCCTCGCAATTTACAACTTTCTAACTCACCAATGGGATTCATGTCTGCGCACGGTTTCAACACGTCAACGGAAGAAACAATAAAACTTTTGTTATTGCATTTCAAAATTCCGGTTACGAGTCCAAATTGGCGTGAACAACTCGAAGCTTGTCTTCAGAAGTCAACACAACAGGAGCTGGCTTTGCTTCAGTATAGAATCAACGGTTTTCGACAGTCCGGCTACGAAGAACCGAAGTGTATTACTGGTAGGTTTTTTAGAGTTAAAAGGGTTTTTATTTATTACTTATGTGTTTTTTGTATCCGAGTTTATGGTGTTGTTTCTTTGTATAATATGTCATTTTTAGGTATAGGAATAAAATGCCCGGTGAACGGTGTGGTAGCGATGGCTCAACAACAAGCATCAACAACTGTTCAATCGCCTCCGGCTAAGAAAATGAAAGAAGATAGACCGGTTGATGAGAACCGTCCAAACCGAAAATCTGGACTAGCTACCGCAGTTTTGGATCAAACTAAACGTCCACAAGCTGCGCAGAACGCGAAACAGTTGGCTCCGCCGAACAACACACATAGACCAGCCAGTACTCCGTTAGTGGAGGATTCGGAACGGAAACCACTAAAGCAGGAGTTGGCGAACATACAACAAGCTAGAACACCTGATCCTTCTTTGGCCATGGAAGTTGATGGTAAGTTTTTGGTATTTTATAGAGGCGTACAGGGCCGAACGTAAAGGGGAGAGTAAGGTTTGGTTTTGGATAATTATAATATTTATTTTTCTTGATTAATAATTTATTTTTTAGTTGAGTTAAATACTCGAGATGTACCCAAAAAAGTGTTGTCGTCGACCGGATTAAGCACGAAGATCAAGCAGAATACTACGGAAAACACGGCACCAATATACGAAGAACTGAGCGATTCGGATTCAGATCAAAGCCGCCCACCCTCTGCCAACGGCACATCGCAAGTTGTCATTGAAAAAAATATCAAAGGTAAGGCAATATTTAAGTTGTTGTTGATAGTAGCCATGATATACAATAAAAAGAGGGCATAGTGTACTTCTTGCATTGTAAAAAACTGTTATCTAGTTTTATTTGCAGTTTTTTAAAATTTTTATATTTAGATTGGCCTCCCATGGTAAACATGTGGAACTTAGAGCCAGAAGACTTGGAAAAGATCCGAGCTGTGCGGGTACCATTAATAAAATTGCCGCCTATAAAATACCCCGAACCAGGTCAGTTGCCCAGTCCACCATACGAAGACCTGTCAGACTGAAATGGTTTAAACCTTTACGTTGTGTTACCATTGTTGAATTGTTTTGGTAGACATTACTATCTGGATATTGCTGGAAAATCCAGTAGTGAGGAATCTGTATAATTTAATAACGCTTCTTTTTATATTTTTATTTTTACTACCGGTGAATAGATTTTGAATAACTGTGCGTGTACTTTAACTATATCTAACTGCATTGTATTATATTCTCTATCTTATAGTATATTTAAAATTATTTTAAACTATTTAACTTAAAAGCTAGTGTTCTAAGGTTCAAGTATATTATAAACTTATTTCTTTGCTAAATGTTGTAGCCATTTTCGAATACAATGCAGTAACTTTTTATATATTGTTTAATAACAAATTTGTTATCTTCACTTAGACAGCTGATTCAAATATTGTTTTTGTTTAGTCTCAATAATCAATCACACTTGAACGGGTATTGTTATTTTTTGAACGTATTACGATTGTATTTGAATAAAATTAATGATGTTTTTAGTTGGTTCAACTATCACATGGGCGGCAAAATTACTATCATTTTTTCGGGCCAAAGATAGAAAGTTTTACACAGACATTTTTTAAAGTTTTTTTTCTGAAGGAAAGGGAACTGCTCAAATACTTGATAATAATATGCTTAAATCTCAGATATACTTGACGATGGCGGTCACAGTTTTTATAAAACCATGGCTTAATGGCCGTTTTGGGAACGGACCAATACGAATTCGAAAAGATAAAGAGGGCTCAGGAAATGCCCTTTATCCGAAACTCCCAGTTTTGTTTCAACTCTTCTGTTTTTGAACTTTAATTTCTTGACCAGCACGCTGCTTTAAGAACTATAGGCAAAATTAAAATGATGGCGCTAAGTGGTATATCAAGTTTAAATTTTCCTTATTTTATGTAAGCATAGTTAAGCCATCTATTTTTTAACTTGTTTATATTGTTACACCATGACCGATACATCTTGTGACTTTTGTCTATAACATCAGCGTTCCAAAATAGCTTTCGATTTCTATTTTTAACACTTTGTACTACGAAATGTTACTTTTAACAAAACTGCTCTGGGAAGAGTTACTTTTTATTGGAAAAGCTTTGTCCTAGCTGTTGGCTTTTACTGTAGTGCAACTTAATTTTGTAAGTTTATTGATGTCGAACTTCTAAAAGGGATCGTGACTCAAATTTCTAACACGACACGGGTGTAAATTTTGAAAATTTTTATGGTTCCATTTTGCCTGCTAAATCAATGACATTTTATTTACGACTATTGTCAAACTCCCATAATTTAAAATTGGTATTTTTCATTTATTTTGGAGGCGTTTTAATGAAAAACCAATATTTTTAAACTAAACTTTTGGCTTTGGAAGATCATTGCAAACGTATTTAGAAATTCTGACGCCGCAATTTGTTTATCGACCAGTTGAACTGCTCGTGTTTAAAGACGCGGAACTGGAGACGTGTAATCTTAAAAGGGTTACAAAGTGCTACGTATCGTATTTAGGAACGTTTAAGGATTATATTTTGAATATGTTTTTTTAAAGAGGCAAAAAAGGTCAATTTTTATTATTATTTTTTTTTAAATGCCAAAAGCGTTTTCAGGTGCTTATTTTAATAAAACTTTAATTAATAAATAAGTAAGTCTAAGACATACCAAAACGAAATATAAAATTTTAATGCGTGGGACAACTTTATAAAAGTATAAAGGACGTAATTGTTCGTTTTTCGTAAAGTCATACGGTTTAGTTGCAATTTGAGCCAATAAAACTAGTCATTAGCTAATTGCAACAATGAAAAAAAAAACGAATTTTTCTTTTCTTTTAAATATGCACTTTAGTTGAGCGTCAACTGACCAGATTGATAGTTCAGCTTATTTTATTTAAAAATTTTGACATATTGGTGGAAGAGGAGGGGGAGACGAGTAACACCCACGTGTTTTATAAAGTTGTAAAGTTTTTCCAGTAAGTAACATTCAAATGAAGTAGACAAAAAATCCTGTGTTTGACATTGATTTTAAGCCTTCAGGGAATTTAAAGAAGCGTCAAACCAACCCGTCTTATGAATTTTACTTTTGTTTTCATGGTTTTTCGATATTAATGCAAAGAGGTTACGTATATGGTAAAAAAATAAGTTTGGCTTTTAAGATATCTTTTATACACTTAGTTTTACGCTTACTTTTTAAATTGTAGCTTTCAAATAGGCGTAAAAACGTTTGGATACCCAAAAGCATTAAACCTAGTTATCATAACAAATATTTAAATTGAGTTATTTGTCTACGTTAAAATACTCCCTTGGCGCGTTACTTTTTTTGTTTTTGCGGTGTTAAAAACATTGTTTTACATACATAAATTGAGTGAAAATGGAAAAAGAGAAAAATTAAAGTTAAACTGTCTATTTCCTTCAATTTTTTGCTTTAAACTTAAGCCTAATCTATAGTACTGTAGATATCAAATCAACGTTGTTTTAATGACCGACTTGTTAGTCATACGTTAATCGATCTCGAAATTTTTTGGCCTATATTTTAAAAAACGTTTTATATTAGGGTAAATAACACTTTCACCAATATGCTAACTTAAAATCCTTTTTTTGCACTTTGCTACGTAAGGTCACATTTTATGACTAATGTCGCGTTATACATATCTCAAGTTTCTTTATTCCCTGAGGCAATGTCAAAATTTTTGTTTTAAAACTTAAAAATCTTTTTAGTTTTTCGGCCGTTTAAACATTTGACTGGCGCAACGTAAATTTTGGTCTTTTTTCGTTGTTATTTTACTTTGATCTGATAAGATATACAAGATAGTAAATGCAACATGCCTTATAAATGATATCATATGCACGTATTCTAAAATATGTGTATATGAAAATAACAGTTTTGGAATTAAAATTCAGTTTTTTTATTTTACGATTACCCTATTTGATTAGATAGTAAATTTTTCGACGTCAATACGACCTAGTCACATTTTCCATTGACCTTTTGGGTTCTAGGAACGTATGAATACTAAATACTGCATCTGTAAAATGTTCTACATTTAATACTCTTAGCTGTTACGTGTTTACTTTTTTGTTTATTTCTAGTACTATTTCACCAAAAAACAAAGAAATGAAACGTGGTTTTTGTGAATGACTATAATATTACTTTATAAAACATTTAAATTTTATTTCTGTAGGTTGATCGAAAAATGAGCAAAACTATGCATGCTATTATGGCTGATCATCAGCACCATAATCAAGAATGTATGGGTTTATTGCCAGACCATCGATGCGGTAGTAAAGTAGCCGCTACGTTGAATCAAGATGAAATGCCATGTAGAGTAAGATTTTATAGTAGCTTTGTTGTTAACTGCACATAACCAGATTTTTTAAATAGAAATGATCAACATAGACAAAAAATAATTTACAAATCTTATATTTTAGGTACAAACAAAAGAAAAACCGGTAGTATTGATGATTGCACCTCAAACGATCCTAACCGACCCTGATTCAGAAGAAGCCCGCCGCGAACTTGCTAGACTACGCACTAATTAAAGTTTTTTAAAATTATATTCATTTTGTACAGTTTCTTTTAATTTTGTAGCTTTTCGACAATTAAAAATTTTTTTTTGACATATTGATTAATCTTTGTGTCTTTTAATTTTTTTACTGATTATGTAAAACAGAATACTTTTTGGTTAAAGAAAATGTGTTTTGTGTCTTATTATAACGGACAATAAAATAAAAAATTAATAACAACGTCAAAATGCTTAAAAAAACTATCCATAGTACCACAATAAGGAATATTGCAACAAAAATATATTGTTATAACGAAAAATTAAAGATATATTGAAAAAAAAGGTCGCTTTAAGTTAATGAAATATCACTGTGTATGATATTTTGTTGTTTGCGCCAAATTAACTGTAGGATACTGTTACGGTAGCCTTCAATGCATAATATGCCAGCATATGGATTAAACAACGGTGCGATGGTAAGCAAAGAATTGATTATATACTGATATGTGTCGTTTTCATAATGAAATACATACATTACCCACACTAAGGTTGCTGCTGGAGTTGATATAACTAACGGAACGCACATCTATGATGATAATTCTTTTTAAATTTTTAGGCTAATGATTAGTATGCGTAGGTTTTTAAACTTAAACTCAGGCTTAGTTTTGATACGACTTAGGCTTAATATTTAATATAGTTACGTTTTTAAATGAGAGCTGGGGTATTTTACTCGCAAACTATGCCGAACCTACCTGAATAACCATTACTCTTGCAATTTGTTTATTCACTTCATACCATTTTGAAAATTCGTTGCGTACCCGAAATGTTGCTACAACTTTGTATAGCAACACCGATGTTGCAATGTATGAAAAACATATTGTAAACATACCAAACGTCGTAGACAGTCCGGCCTCTAGGTGACTCTAAATGACCGTTTAAAGAAATTGCTCTAATACACAACTTGATCCCAAGTAGGATACTTACATTAATGCTCAATGCTGCAACGTTTGTATTTTTCAACAAACGGGATGTTGTATTATTGACAATATTGTGGAAAGTAAAAAGTTTGTCGTCACTTGGGAATACCGACCACCAATTTGTCAAGCAGTTTAGTAACGGTATAGCACTGCATAACATAGCAAGAAAAATAAAGCGTACCGGTTCTATGATATATGCACTAAACAATATGTTTTTAATTTTTTACATATGTGTATGAATTTGATAAATTTATATTTAACATTAATGATAATGTCGAATATCCAATATATTAAAAATGAAACTACCTTATAACTTACTTGCATACAACTTGATAGCGGTAATAACAACTGAATGGCACTACAACAAATAGTTGATAAAATACAAAAACAAATACATCGTATTTAAGAAAGTCGTACAAAGCAGAATTATAACTTTGCGGTGTTAACATAAACATATTGCCATTGTAAATAACAAAAAACTGAAAAAAATATTGTGTAATTTTTTTTATAATTTGATATGAATTATCAATTAAGAAAAAATATTGATCAAATACTAAAAATTTTTACCGGTCTGCAAAGAAACGAAGCAATAGTCAAAGCAACCTCTGAATAACAGTTATAAAGCAACATTATCCGATACACTTCCATTTCCTGGTCGGTATTTAGAATTATCATAAAAAAGAATAAAATGTTGCCAATCATTGCGATGGCAAAAGCGTATATTTCAAACCAGTTGTTGAACGTTACTTCCATTGCTAAACAAATTTATAAAATAGCTTTTTGACAGAATGCCAATGTTATCCAATATAGTTTTGAAGGCCTTCAAATATAAAATTTAACAAATCTCAGTCATTAGTACAAAGTATCAACCTCTCGTGATTGACACCGTTCACAAAAACTAATATTTTTACATTTATAACAGTATTATGAAGAAAAGACACGCAACACACTTACTAAACTTCACTTTGTCATATAACACTATTAATGAACAATGTAATTACACCTAATTCTGTACCACGTACATGTCGTATAAGATTAAAGCCAGCTTTATAATGTCTTAGATTACAGCGTAGTAACAAGTAGATGGCATTTTTAAGATGTAATAGAAACGCCAACTAGCAATTAAGCAATGCTTTCAAGTACGGTTGTAAAAAGTTACGGTAGCGTAAAAAACATGTATGATATCACAATTAGTAATTGTAATACAAGTAGATATTTATCATTTAGTAATTAGTTGTAAGTCTAACAAATCTATGAAGAATCGGAGTAGCACAATAAATCGATTTTTTATTATAATAAAATAAAAATTTTTACTTTTATTATTTGTCATGCAAACTAATAATAATGTTTTAGTTGTTAGTACGTAATTACCACACACAATATCTTTAAATAAAGTTATGCAAAACTGCGTTACCATGAATAATGTTTTTTCATTTTTTTTACATTTTTATTTTGACAATATAAAACGCCCAGCAGCCAGCATATATCAAGTTTATTACAGTATACAAAAAATGAAAGGCAGGTTGGTATGGCAGTATTGAACTTAAGAGAAGTAAAAGTTATCTAAAACGTCGTGTTTTACTTATCTTCTATGACAAAACACGTTTTCTATACATTAAAACTTTGGAATTGTCTTAGAACTTTGGTGGGCGCTGAATTTTGCGTTGAGTTCGACGACGTCGCAACATAAATCTGGCCAATCGCATAAAGTCGTTAATATCAGCCATGTTTAGCTTCTTGGCTACGCCAGGTGGTGGCCGGATCGCAGGTGGTGCATCTGACAGTGCTGTTGACACTTTGAATCCTCGAAGTGGTGGTGGAGCTAAATTTGGTATTGGTCGTCGTTGTGATGGTGTGCTTGGCCTAAAGTTTATTTTTTATAAACGTTGGAAGGTTTCAAGCATACTCTTAACAAATTTTGCTTAAACTCAGTAAAAAATCATTTATAAATATTCACTTACAAAACTCTCATAGTGGTAGCAGTTTTCCTAGGCGGTACCACACGAATTGGTGCAGCTGTAGCTGACTGGAAGCGTGTAGTTAAACTGGTACGTAGAGCAATATTAGGATTTGGTGTAGTCTGTTTTCGATTTTTTTTATTAACTCTGACACCAATTAGAGGGCGTATAGGTGCAATACCTGGCAGTGATCGTCTATTTGATACTTAAAAAATTCGTTAAAATAACAAAGAATTTCTAAAAATTATTTGGTTTTATGACAAACCTAAACGTACCCCTAGCTCCTGTGTTAGCCATATTTCGGTTTGAGGCATTGCTAAAAGCATGATCTTTGTTTAAAACATTTTTTTTTCTAATTTCAGCTACAAGTTTCAACTAATAAGATTTTTTTATTTTGTTTATTGCTCAAATCAAAACTTCTTTATTTTTTAAAAATTGTTACGGTAATAATATTAAAAATTTATTTTTCCATCACTCACGTCCTTGCTCTTGTTCTTCTAGCCACTTGACCATCAACAGCTACTTGAATCACTAATACCACCAATAATAATATTAACGTAAAACGCATGCTAAAATTCTCTCTGTTGGTTATAATATCTGGGCTATAAGTAACATTTTAAAAAATTTTCGAGAAACATTTAGAAAATAGTAAAACCAGACTTAATAACTAAAATTCAAAAATCTAATTTTATACTTCATAAGCTAAAAATAAAAAAAACTAACAAAACACATCCGTACAAAAATACATAGTAAAATATATTCTCACTTAAAAATCACTAAGAAACACAGCATTTTTTAAGACAATCAATTTTACACATGATTAACATACAAAAACATCTAAGTATTGTAAATTTGTTACAATTTTATGGATTTTTTGTTTTTCTGTTGACTCCAAACTGTTTTTTATGTTGTTCGGTAATTCCTAGTTGACCCCGCCTCAGAAAAAAAGAGAAACTGATTTTACCGATAATAGACAGTGTAAAGTGCGTGTTTCTTTTCTGGACACAAACAAAAAACAAAAGCCCACTTTCTGGAATGCCATATGATCAACAAAAATAGTTTTTGTACGTTTTACAAGCCTGTCAAATGGTATTGTAAAGGCTTGAAAAATGATATTGTAAAGATAATAAAAGTGAGAGTATACAACTTCGAATTTAAAAACTATCGTGTACAGTACGATTATAGTCAATCCTATTATAAAAAACGTGAATTCAAGAGCATTTTCCACAATCATGGCAGCCTAAAAGCCTAAATCCTAAAAATCGGCCATTTAAAACGATACATGTTATAAGTCCGAATAGGTAAAGAAAAAAATTAAATTGCATAAAGATATTACCAAAAAATAAAAACTTTTAAATACTGCTTAAGCACAAAGTATACGTATTCAACTGAAAATGTTTCAAAAAGAGTTACAAAAAAGTGAAGCCTTTTTCTATTTTAATCAACGGCCATTACTGTTGCGTGTTTGAACAAGAACTTCAATTTTACATTACTGTCTAGTAAACAGAAGGGTGTTTTCGTAACTCAATGACATTACTATTAACATGATAAAAACATATATGCATTACATAAATTTTAAAATTAAAAAAATTTAATATTGAAAATATACTGTATGACTCCTAAGCTAATCAAAATCTAGGTTATAATATACAAATCACTTGAGCCTAAATTAATTTTAAAAGGTATGCAATAACTTCTAAAACAGTAAAAGTAAAAACACAATGACCTACTAAACCGCATTCCAACAGACATACGTGAAATACTAACCGCAACAACCTAACATAAGCCTATTGTCAACTTTTGAAAAGATATAAAAAAACAATAGAAGACTTGATAATCTTGTACAATTTAAAAAAACACCGTTCTACATTTAAGATCTCCCGCTGGGTAAAAGGAATGGTATTTCTGATTCGAATTTTATTGTCTTGTAAACTTAATAGTCAATTTAAATTGTTTTTGAAAGGCTAAAGGTTATTTCAATTTAAAGTTTAAAATATTTTTAAAGAGACTTTATTTGTAATAATACCTAATTAATTTTTAAAAAAATCAAAGAAAAATTTTTAGTTCGAATAAAAGCCTTCTACAAAAAAATAATTACAGTAAGTTTTTAGTAGCGCCTCAATAATTTTTAACCGCTTTTCTTAAAAATAACAAAATGATTTTTGAGGAAGTAAAGAAAACGATTAGACGGCTTCTGAAGTGGCAAGTTCAACACCAATTCTCTTAACGATTTAACCCTCTTGACTTTACGCAACCATAACTTCTCAGACCTTACTTGATCAAAATTTTGAAATTAAAATTTGCTCACCTCGAAAAAATTTTTTTTACATATTATATAAAATTTTTGTTTTATTTTTTTATTTTCTCCCTTCGCATTTCTTATTGTCTGTCATCGTATTTAGAAAAAAAACAATATTAATTTTAATATTATGAAAAATTATATTCCAGAATATTGTACATTAAAACATGTTTGTAAAAAACTCTCACACTTTAATTAACATAACAATAAAGGTCTACGACGTTGTTTTATTGGAAGCGGCTTGCACCGATAACTTCAGTTATGACATTTCCAAAAAACAGAAAAAATAAAGCATATAAAAGGTGCTGAAAATTGTACTCAAAAATCAAAATGTTAAACAAAAAACTTGCTTTAAAAAGTTTTAAAAAACAATTAATCAGATAACACATACTGTAGAATATTCCAAAAAACATACAATACGATTTTCTAAATCAGATAATTTAAAAGAATGTTTTTTACTGTATAAGACAATTAAAAAATCAGACTTGTAACAGATGTATATATATCAGTATACGTTTTGAAAAAAAATTAAAAAGTCAAACTTTATAGACTACAATGTTTAAACAATAACCTTGACTGTTAGTAACTCACGTTTGATGTTCTACAAAAATACAAATTTTGACTCCGCCTACGTTTTTATTTACGACTGAAGAATTGTTTTTGAACCTACAAATTTTAAACTTTGTATTGTAGAATGTGTATTGTAAAAAGTTACATTTAAACGTAAGTCAAGCCAAGCCGATAAAAAAAATAACTGAAATTAAAAATTTTTAAAATTACATTTTTGTAATTTTTTTTTCACTTTTTTTGCAAGGTCATTAAGTCAAATTCAGTTTGTTATTGATTGACGTCTGATTTTGTACAAGTTTCAAAAAATTACTAAATTGGTATTGTTTTTACTTTTTTATGTTTACCATCTGCCTTTTGTAGCGCTAGTTCAAGACGAATGGTTTACAAAAGAACATGACAAAAAAACGTAACAAAGTGCGAATTTTTATTGTTTATTGGCTTTTAATTTACAATTTGACATTGCTTGATAAACCTTCAGCAGACAAGATCTTTTTAAATTAGATTAACATAAAATGAAATGGCAAAAAAGTGTTGCATTAGTGCATTACATATGGCAAGGTTTTATTTTCATTATTTCAATTACAGTTCTCTCTTTATATAAGCAGCCCGAAGGGACCGACATTTTTTGTTTACTATAAGGAGTGTTGTCTTTACAGAGAAACTTTTTAGTGAAAATTGGCTTGGCGGGGCCAAATTTCTTGTTTACTATAAAAAGAGTTGCTTATACAGATGGTTCAATATTCAGAGAGACCACAGTACTAGCAGGTTTTTTATAAGAACATCCTTATTATGATCACCCAGAAATGCCTCAGGATGATTTAAATAATTTCTTGGACTACAATTCATTTTTATCCATTGTATCATGCCCAACATGACGTCTTTTATTAAAAATTGTGTCCTTAGCTCTTTAAGTTGATTAATGATCTGGACCTTGCTCGAAGCGTTTGCGAAATTAATTTTAGTCACTCAGCTCAGGAAAAGAAAAGTGATGATAATATTATACACACTCACATGCCAAGAACAAATTTTTTGACATTTTAAAAGTATTTTGATTATACTAATACAGATTACTATTCATATTAGCTATGTTTTGGAAAATATTAAGCATTACCATTTATAAATGCCTTCGGGAACGACCTGATGCAAGCAGGTCGATGCCGAATTGGAAAATTCAGTTGGAGACCGATCCGCTCACGTTTTTTGAGAAAAATTATTTCACTTGAAATTGCCTGGTTTTTTGAAACAAAATGCCAATGATTTTCGAGGACTTTTTGTGGTTTTTAAAAAAAATGTCACTTATAAATAGCTTGCTCTTTCTGGTACGCAAGAGAATATTATCCGCTCTATAAAAAAATGAAGTCTTTTGACTTTAGTTATTTAAAAATTGTCTTAAATAACCTTTTTAAAATTATCATGATCGTCATTAAAAGTATTGTGAGAAATCTTTTTTCCTAGATCAAAGTTACCTTCTCTGCATTGTATATATTATATCAATCGTAGCATGTTTTAACATTGATAAATAGTACTTTGTACTTTCTGTCGTGCGGGTAAATTATCTTCAAAGTTTATTTTAAAGATTTTTAAGTAAAAAACCTTCGCCATCAAAGTCGTGTTAAAAAGATTTCGAAATTGTATACCATTACTAATCACCATTCTCAGCATTTTTTTTTAAATTGGCGAATAATATGCGTCTTCAATAAAGGCGCTTTGCAACAGTGTTCAGTTTTGTCGAGGTTTCTTACTTGAACAAACGCGTCCTTTTTTATTGTGCAAATTTTTTGCTCGCGCGCACTTTTCAAAACCTCGCGACTCTTTCGCTAAAATACTCGCGTTATTAACTATAAAATTTTGTAAAAAGTGACTTAAGGCAAATACAAATACAGTTTTTTTAATGATTTTTAAGCAGTTTAGTTTTATTTAAAAAATACGTTTAAAAATTATTTATTAATTAATTTTTTTACTTTAAATTTAAAAAGAATAAATTTTGCAAAAATAAGTATTTTATAGTAAGTTTAACCGTATAAACTCTAATAATCTAACATTACTATCTTTATTCTTAAAAGTTTTAGTTTTAGCTTTTTTAATCTCATCCTCCCAATAGTTTTGCCTTTACTTTCAAATATCTTTTCATTTTTAGCTTTACAACACTTTTAGGTCCTCAGTCCTCGCTTAACCGCTTTTCGTCTGTTTCTTTCTCAACTCCTCTCCTACTGCAATGTTTCGTATTTGAAAAGAGAAAAGGACTATTGTGTTAATGGGTTTTTCCATGATTTTTTAGTTTTTTAGTCTAAGGGGGCACAAAGAGAGCGAGACCAAATTTAATTGAGAAATTTTGATGTAAATTGACGGGATTTACTTTTCCCCGATTTTTACGTTACAATAACTCTTTAGTGACTGTAGTGACGGGCGAGGAATTATGTTTTTAAGGATTGGCAAGAGGGGTAATACGTTTTTTGGAATAACGGACAGGTTAAAAAATTTTTATTTAAGTTTTTATGTATAAAATTTTTCTTTAAAGTGCAGCGTATGACAAAGCAAACGGTTAAGAATTGTTATCTTAACATGTTGTTTTTGCCCAAAGCACAATAATAATAATACAATCTATTTTTTAAGTTCACTTTTGATGTGCTTCTTATATTTCAATGAAAAATCTTTTTATTTGCTCCAACCAAAGTAAACTATCGGCTTAGAAAAAATTTGTATTTATAATAAGTTAAATATAAAAAAGTGAAAAAAATGAAAAACTTTTTACTAACCTTTACGCAATAACGTAAAGTTTGAAAAAATGTTGTTTAGTAGGCAAAAATTTGCTTACGAATGCATTCCAATAGTAAAAACTCGTTCCCTACCCCTTTCCTCTATATTAATGTTTTGGCGTTTCTCTTGCGAAATCTTTTCAAAACTAAAAAATATCTAGATTATTAAACGTGTGCCGGAAAAGTAGAAAGCCTGTATTAAATCAACTATAATTTATTCAAATTGGGTTTTGAGTTTTATTTTCTTCCATTGGTTTACTGGTTTTAACATAAAATTTTTAGTCATAGACAAGCTTCAGGGAGATTTTTATTAGTTGTCACACCGTTTTATCATCAAATACAACAAAACTCCCATTTTTTTAAAGAAAACGTTTTATTAATTTACTGTCATACTTAGCGAGTTACTGTTTACAAAATAGAGATATGCTTTCGAAAATCGTTTTTTATTATTTTTACGATGACTCAAGTTGTTTTTGCCCCGGACCTTTTGTATTCGATTTGTCGTCCTGTGCCGGTTTATTAAATTTTACACTTATTTTTGATTAATTTTTCAACCATGTGTGGATTTATTTAATGATTATTTATGAAATTTTAATTTTATGGTGCACCTTCATAGTGAAGTTATTTTTTTTGTTTTATGTAAATATAAACTTTTGACGATGTGTGCCTTCATCAAAAACGTATCATAATATTCCAAATTCTACACACCTAACGTCTTAAGACAGCAAAATATCTCACATCTAAAAACCGTGTTGTTTCCGTGGTCTCTTCAGCTCCGTCGAGAGAGCATTGGGAATGTTGAGCGAATCCAGGAACACATACAAAAACACTTGACTCTTTTCCCTAACCCTAAGCGTAACACTTGACACAGGAGTGAGAAAAAACTAGTTTCGTATTGCATGAGACAGAGAAAAAATTTTGGGGAAAAGGACGATTGGAGCCCGTGTGCTAGCCTCGAATGTTTTTCAATCAAAATATTTTTATGGATTAATTTTGCGTTTTCAAACTAATTTTCGATTGAGTTTTTGTCAACTTTTGGTATCGATTTTATTTGCTAACTATTTTTTGGTCTCTTTGATGTGTGACTAGGCAAAAATTGTAAAAAATGAATAGCAATATGTACTAGAAATGCATTCGATTATACCGGGCGATGGATAAAAAGTTAATGATTTAAAAAATGATATTTAGAAAGTGATAGTATAAAAAGTTTAGTACGTAAAGATATTGTCATCTATTTTCTTTATAACTACGAATTATTTGTAGCTGTAATTTTTTGACATAACGTATGTAACTGTAATTTGTCCTTCGTAATTCTTTAATATGTAAGCACTGTTGGCGTAACCAAGTTGGTGAATCAAATTTACTATTCTCTAGTATTTTTATGGCAACTTGTATTAAATTAGTGACATCATGTAGTTGTGTTTATAATAGTTCGGGCAACTTAAAATTTTAAATTATTTAAGTGAAAATTTCTTCAGTTTCAGTTTAAGACGACCAGCACAAAAGTAGTCGGACGCATAGAATACACCCGACCTCGTGTTGTTTGTTAACAAAGTCAAAACTTGGTGTTGGTAAAATACGCGGTGTGTAGACGTTATGGCAGAGGGTGTAGCCGTTCAGGACGAAACGTGTAATAAAGCCGAGAAAAAGTGGGCTAGTTTTGCCGATTCGCTTCGCAACACACAAACTGGTATAATTTTGTTTTGTATCTGTTTTTAGAATCATTTGACTATTAATAGTGCCACTATACTATTAGTGTTGACAGCACTAATATCACTGTGTACTAATCCAAATTCAGGTGAAGGATCCGACACCATAATTGACGAATCAACTGTAGAAGACGCACAACCAAATTCAAGAAATTCCAGCGGTTCTACGCTCCAGCCAGAAGAAGAAGGCTTTGAAATTGTATCGCATAACAAAAAACTAAAGAAAACACAGAAACAACAAATTGAAAAACTGGAACGTCGTCCACGAGCTCAAACTATTAGTACGGCTACACTTCACCGAAAACCGGGGAAAATTGAAAAGGAACGTGAAATAGTGACGGTACCAATAAAGGCATCAGTCGAGGAAGTAAAAAAGAGCGGTAGGTTTACTTTGCAGACGTCAAAACTGGCAGTTTTTTAAGTAATTTTTGACTTGTATGACGATTATTTTATGTAGTTATTAACTATATTCGTTGGAAAATTTTATTCGTGGCGTTCAGGATAAGAGGGAGGCTGAGGGTTTTGGAAAGATATTGATAGGCAGAACCATTATTAGTAATTTCTTTATGTAAGTATTATTGCCATTGTTACCCTTCATTTAATAAAAAAATTTTAACCCATAATTGTCAGCCTAGCCGTGGGATAATTTTACAAAAAATGTAAGCCAAACTTAAATTTACAATTGAGTTTGTTGCAACGACCCAAGATAACTCGCTAATCCTTTTCATATATTTTTGCCGAGAGGTTTTTAATATTTGGTTGCCCTCATCCACGGCACCGTCTTAGCCCTTTTTTGAAACGAGAGACCCGCAGGGGTTTGTAGAGGATAGCAGAGAGAAAGCTAAATATTTTTTGTCTTTTACTTTTTTTACACTCGGATTCCGAAGTGGGTCGGACGCTGGACGTTTCAACGAGTTGAGGGGCTACTAGTTTGTCATTTTTTGAGAATAATTGTGTAATTCTGTTTTTACGGTGTTTTTATCAAACCATGATGCATTTATTAGCACTATTTATATTTTATTGTTAACACCTTATGGTGAAACTTTTATAGAGAGAAAAAATAAAATAACAGTGGGTTTGTGATGCAACAGGGCCACGTTAAAAGTTTTGTGAAAAAAAACCATAAGTGATTCTTCCCTCACAGGACATTTATGTAAATTTTGGAAATTACTAAAATAAAATATTTTAAATGCGCTTTTAAGTCACATTAAACGTACGCGTTGTTAAACGAGCCCGATTCGCGCCAAAAAGACGATAGGGTTCGGCTAAAAATGATCGCTCTTAAGTAACACAAGCCTGGCAAAGAGCAATGCGCATAAATCGCAAAAAAGCGTACGCCGCGATTAGAATAAAACTTCTTTTTCGATTTCAATGTTTCAAAAGTTCTTCATTTCAGAGCCTGCCAAACCAAATATTGCAGAAGAAGTCGAGCACGACGCTTCAAATCACAGCTCCGACAGTGCATTTGCCGAAAATGTAAGTAACTTAAGAATAAAACTACTTTAAATAGAATAGCATTGATTTAATGTTAAGATTCATTTGAAATTTATTTTATGGAGCGTTAAATTTTAAAAAATTTAAAAAAAAAATAATAAAAAAACAATTTAAAGGCTAAATAAGATCAACTTGATTTTTCGCTATTATCTTTGAAAATTCGTACGCTCAACGATTTTCTTGTTGGAAAGGTGAGAAAAAAAGATTATAGAAAAGCGGAGACAAGTAGAGAAATGAAAAGTTTTTCGGAGAGGCAGTGATGGACCTCAATGATAAGCATTTGGTTTTAACGAAAAAATCGAAATCTGAAACGTTTTATTAATAACGGAGAATTCAAGATAAATGAAATAGTAGTCTTTTTGTATGAGTAAATATATTATACCAGCGTTTTATCGTAATTCTATAATTTTACGAAATTCTTCTAAAAATTATCTTTTTCGTTTCAGCCTTCTCCAAGTCACGGTTCATCAACATCGCTTCATTACGCGGCCGACGCCGAAAATCAAGAGTTGTCCGACTCCGTGGTGGCTCTGAGCGACGAAGAAAAGTGGCCCGAATTGTCCGTGGCTACCAACGCTGGAGCTATTCGTGGTCCAACAAACGTGATGTCGTCTCCAGTTTCTAGTAAAAAAGTAAGCAATATTTTTGTTTTTTAAAATTTAGATTTTATGTACAATCATATTAATAATCACATCAAAAACAGCATTTTAGGTATCGCCTGTAATGTTTAATTTAACAAAAACAATTTTAGTTACCATCTCCGAAGTCGTCAGAACACGACGACGATCCGACCGGACAACGCAGAAACTCCAAGACTCATTGGAGGAAGGTAGACATAGATGTCAGTTATCAGCGTCCTACCGGAAAGCGGTCAAATGTTGGCGGCCGACAAAGGCCTACACAACCTCAAAGCCACGGTTCGTTGGACTCTGCCGAAATCAAATCGCGAGAAACGCGAAAATCACTGCCAGCAAGAACACTGAGCCAGAAGTACAATAATTCAGAAAGCGCTGGCAACAGTGACACAAACGGTGTCAAAGACGATGAAAAAGAACGTCAGAACAGAAGGTAAGATAAATTGAAAACACCATAATAGATTTTATAAATTCATTTCTGTTATCTCTCAGTTTCTACGGAAAAACGTAAACGATGACGAAAACGTGCCTCAGATAGACTACTTGTGTTATATTAGCTAGTTAAACTAGAAAACAACGCATCTTCGGGGTCTAAAGGCTGACTTTAGGCACAGGGGCCATCTGAGTTTATTTAAAAATTTCATCTAACCCACACATCCTAGAAAGACTGTATACGAAAATTGTTTATGGCAACTTAATAAAACAATAAATAATTCAGCTTTTTAAGTGCTCGTTATTCTGCGTCTGCACGTTACGATAATGATACTGACGACAGTCAATCAAATGTAACGTATAACCAACGTTCGGAAAATACTGAAAAAGATCAAAACCTGAACCACAACCAATCTTATCAGCCAAATCATTCACACCAACGGCGCTACAATCGTCCACACCAACAACGACTTTCTCGGCATTCCATTCCTGCGATGCCGTTGATTCCGTTTTATTATATGGCTGATCCAACGCAGGTAATCGCCGCGGTTCAACAGCAACAAAGTCAAGAAAATGGAACTACGAGTACCAACAATAACACTGTGAATACGAGTAGTACCGCTGCCGCTTTTATACCAATAACTCAAAGTAACTTATTTTATAATGTGCCTACTGCCAATTTTTTTATGCCTTTTCCACCTGCTCTTGCTCAATTTAATGGTAAGTTTGGGGTTTTTAACCATCTATTTAAACTCATGATGTTTAACGCATAGTTTTAAAATTTCAGTCATTTAAGTACTTAGTAACATAAGGAAAAAACAAGCAAATAAAGTGTGTTTTTAATAGGTCAAACCTCAATGCCACAATTTGTGCAGCCACCTTTAATGTATCAAGGAGTTATGCCCGTAGTTGCCGCATCTTCATCTTCACAACTCCCAGCCACTAGCACTCCATCTACTACAAACAACATTCAAGATCATACGCCTATAATGGCACCAATTGGCGTACCGCCACCTCCTGTAGGTCAATTTGTGCCAATGGCTGGGCTAGACCCATTCGGCCTTCCCCCAACGTCGTTTTTAAATACCCAGCAGAACTTCGGTTATCCGGTTAATGAAAGTTCAATACAATTTGCAAAAGAGATAGGCAATTTGGTAAAACGGTACTTTCCCGCATCAACAGACAAAATTCTGGGCGATTTGTCTTCGCACCAACCGATTGTCGAAAATTTTGAACGTCAAGATAGGTTACTGGTATTACGATATCAATTGTAAGTTTAAGAGATTTTATTATAGTGTTATTTAGTACAAATCTTATGATAGTGGCTAATTTTTTGTTTTATAGGCAGTTCTACTTTTCTCCGAAGAATCTGCTAAAAGATTGGTATTTGTGTTCTCGAATGGACTCAGAAGGATTTGTACCATTAAGTGAGATTGCAAAGTTTCCCAGGGTTAAAATGCTTCACTTGGAATTAAAAGACCTTATTGATGCCATTCAAAACAGCGATGTTCTTGAATTAAAAGACGCTGACACCGATGTAAGCTCTTTTCTAGGAAGTTGTAAATAGCACTATTCTCTGTGAAAAAAAAATTGCACCTTTTTTAAGTCTTTGTACAAAGTTAAAAATATATATTCATATATTTTGTAGACCCCTTTAATTCGGACACGTATAAATCCAACACAATGGGCAGCACTATCCGGAAGAAAACATTCTGGAATCACTTCAGCGGCTCAGTCTGCCGACGAGCAACAAGCTCCAGCACGACGGCTAACTATTGGCACAGATGTGTCGGTCGACGACGTACGCCAAAGATTAATGAAAACGCGTTTCCAAAGCACTGATTTGCCCCCACCAGTGATTAATGGTAACGGTATCAAAGAACCACAGTCAAACGACGTTTTTGAAGACGACGGCAGCGACTGGGCTAACGTCAAAGGGAAAAAGAAATCAAAAAAAGGACGGTATGTCATAAATACTGCTTTTGCGTAACATATTTTAGACTGCTTATTGTAGAATAAATATCTAAAAAATTTCAGGATCTCAAACGAACTTACCGGTGATCACAAATGAGTGGTGGGCACTCAATCCAGATGATATAATCAGATTCTATAAATACAAAGAGACGTGACAGTTACTGTAGATTACTTTTTCCGTCTCTTTATTTGTTATTTAGTCAAACCTTTTTCATTTTTTACAGATTTATTACTTTCAACCAATTTATTATTTTTAAAACTAGGCCAGTCTAAAAGATCGTTTCAGAGAATGTATATTTAGCGGTTTAAAACGTAAAAAGGAATAGGTTCTTACAGTAGGTAAAACCTTAGCTGATCTCAAAAATGGCAACTGAACCACCATAGATAGTTCATGCAATTATGGGTTACATTCAACAGTAACTTAGTTTGGGCAGTATTTGTCGTTTTTAAAAGAATTATAGTAAATATCCGTACTTTTAATAGAGAGCCGCGTTTTTTACAGTGTATGCAAACTATAACACTTGTTTCTTTCAAAACAATAAGTTTATTTTAGAATTACAGTGTTAAAAAAGTATCTTATCAAGGCGGTAGTGTGTATTACAGTTAAAATAACTGGCTTATAGTTTATATTTTAAAACTCACAGACAAAACAACACATCTTGCCGTCTTCTATGTCATCTTAGTTTTAATGTGTTTTTTTCTGGCTTGCTAGAAAGCGGGTGAAATTTGTATTTTTTAATCGCTGCGTTTCAATATTTTTCTGCCCAGACATGTTTAAAAGCTGAGAAAGAATATAATAATTATACGTGAAAGGAGCTAAACAGCTCAACGCATTGCTGTTAAAATCTGACAATTTTCATTAAATTTTTAGTAGACATGCAGTATACGTATCAGTAAAAGCTTATGTACTTACAACAGTAACATTCAAGCCTGACTTGTCTTTACTAGACGGCGTTTGCTCTCTTAACAAATAACTCTTAATAGGATAAAAATTGCTATAAAAACATGTTTGTTGTGAATTTCGAGCTTTTTTACTTTTACTCAAAGTAACTTTTACAAACTCTGCATTATTATTAAGACTGGCTTATAATTTTTAAATATTATTGTCAGTTTTTTGGTATGTATGTATTGTTAGCGAGCTAATCAATTTGTTACGATCTGTAAAAGATGTTTTACGAAATATATCCTATTTTCTCTCTATGTTCATAAATATTTGCTCTCTGTATTTAGAGGGATCTAAAATTTATTTCTGGATATGTTATTAATTTTTTAAAAGTCGGTATGAAACAATACAAAAACAGGTCTAAATTAACTTTTTTTACATTGTAATAATTATTGCGCAGATATCCAAACTTGTTGTTTTATGTTATTCAATGTCTTTTTGGAAATATTTGACTTATGCCTTATTGTGTTTTGGTTATTTTTATTCGAATTAATTTTCTCATTTTTGGGAAGATGTGAACTTTTTGCTTTTAGAATACATGTACTGCAAAAATTTAGATACCGTAAACGTCTTAATTTATACTAAAACTCCTAGTTGTAAGCCGTCAAAGATAAAACTAACCAAACGCCGACATGTTGTTTTTCAAACTTTTAAGCGCACTTATTATAATTTTTTCTTGAATGAATGTTGTTATGCGCAGATCGGACTTTATTTCTTAAAACATTTCAAATGACTAGGTATTAAAAACAAAATATAAATTATACTTTAGAGGGAACAAAGAGCTTTATTCGAGAACGTATGTTTTATACAATAATAGGTGACCTTGGATGGTTGGGGATCATTGGACATAGATAGCTTGGTTTCAGTCGTCATACATGGCTGAAAAAAACGAAATTAGCGCCATATTAAGATAATGTTATTTTCATTTTTCAACTTAAATACAAAAAACGTTTTTTTTCAAAAATTTAAAAATGTATACAACTAGGACAACAAAATTGAAAATAAAACTAGTAGGTTGAAAATTTACTGTTAGGATTCCATTGACGACCGGTTTCCTCCCACAACAAACAAATCTCGTGCAGTGCTTCTTCAGTCGGATCGAAACTTTCTCCTGGACCAAACCCTGGCAGACCAATTCCACTGTAAATATTTGACATTAATTCAAACAAAGCTCCGAAATAACTATACAAAATCAAAAATGAAACTCTAAATGACTTACTCAACTTGAACAAGGCGTTTTTGATCAGGTAATTTTTCGTACTGGCAGTAGTTCTTAATTCTGAAAAAATGACATTTTAGTTAATAACAAGATTTTTAGGATCCTTTTTACAACATTTGTCTATAATAACAAACATAAAAAAGCTTTCTTTATAGAAAGGATACTCGACCCTGACAGGACTCGAACCTACAATCTTCGGATCCGAAGTCCGACGCGTTATCCATTACGCCACAAGGCCACCATCTTTTCATAAAGCAATAATCAAAATGCACCATTTGAGAAGCAAAAAAGCATAGAAATAATAAAATATATTTTAAAATAAAATTCGCAATATAGAAAGGTTCTTTCATGTAGTAAATATAAAGCTTACATATACTTGACATAGGCATGGCTGTAGTCTTTATGGGTCGGGTGTGGATGATCCATTAAGCGTTGAGCTGAACGACGATTTCTGCGATGACGGTGGCGAGCAGTAACCGTGCACACTATAACTGGCTAGTTAAGAAATTGAAAAGATATAAAATATACATAAACGTTTCAAACCGTGAAAACGAAAGATAAAAAGTACCACAACTATAACAAAAACATCGTAGATATGACGTAAACATCAGAAAAATGATACTAACGGTAAAGATTAAACCGATACCATAAAAATTGCAAAAAATCCATACCCAGCGCGATAACAATAAACAACAAGAAGATTCTCATTTCCACCTCTCCTCGACGAAACAAAACACAAGAATGAAGGGGTTTGGTAAATGTTGATGTGAAATCGACTGTGCACTTATCAACGACAACAAAAATTTCAAAATTTAAGATTTTTTTTGCTTTTTGGAAAAATTTGCAGCTACACTATATTTAATGTTCTAACTATTTTGAAATTCAAAATTTTTTTCGCAGTTTTTGTGAATTTTCAAAAACTTTTTTTAAAGTTTTTTTACTTTAATTATGAATATATTCTTTTAGCACATACAAAAACCTTGAAAAAAATTTTGTACGAAGAAGAAAGGCGTTAATTAGGCCTTTAATTTGATAAAAAAAAAATGTTTTTGTTATTTGATTTTACTCGTAAATAAACAAGAAGTTGGCCAAGTCATAGTTGATGTTTGACGTACGACGCTCCCACTCTTATGTCGTCTTAGAATATTTTTGTACAGTATGGCATTAATGTAATTATTCTACAGATTTATATGAATTTGACCTTTGTATGAACTACTAATTACAGATAAGAATTCCAATTGCTGATAAATGTTTATGGTTTATTAAATATATGGTACTTCCTTGTCATTTTTTTAGTAACAGTATATACAAGTATTGATATTATTTTTCTAATGCAAAACGTACTAGAACGGCCAACCGGGTTAAATTACTCAAAAATAAAATTAGACTTTAGATGTGCTTAACCTATGTAGATAAATTAGCCGGAATAAAAGATTCCGTAATATAAAGAATTGTTTTATGCTTTCTAGAAGCTATTTTTTCGTAAATATTTAAATTTAATTTCCTGACTTGTTTCAAAACAGAATTTTTTGTAGGCATAATTTACTGTTACGTGAGACAACAGAAAATAAGTTTTTTAATACTTGAAATGCGTGAAGTTGATCGTACACAGTGTTTAATGTAGTAGACTATTTAAATTTCTGATGCAACTACTCAAAATAACAGTTACATACATATTCAAAATCAGTGTAGGAAAAAATGCATTTTAAATTTTCTTGCGACAACAAGGATTACATTTTAGGTGACAGATCTAAAAGGCTTTTGGCAGAACGGGAGGTGGGTATTGAGGATAATATCCATATTATGTTTAGAAGGGAAGAGTCGAAATTTTGTCAAGTTTTTAATAATAATTTCTTATGAAGATGAATTGAAATTATTTTATTTATAAATTTTATTTTGTCCTTATCTCTAGTTTCTTTTTGTATGCTGCCGATTTTGTAAATTATTTAGTTTTAAAATTAATTTTTTGAACTAGGCTTGTTTATTTTATGAAACATTAAGCTTTATTTTGAACACGCCATGTAGACATACGATCTGCAACGTAAAGTTAGTCTTCATTTATGTAAAATACGTTGGCACACGTTTATCTTAGTGGGCTTTTAACATTTTTTCAAAATGAAATTTTTTTAACTAAATATTTAGATTTTAGCTTTGGTTTGTTAACGAATTTAATTATATGTAAAATTAACGTTTTTAATACGCGACGAACCTCGACGTAATCGTACTTTTCTAAAAATTTACTGTGAATACGGTAATTTGTAGCTAATGTAGTCTACTCTGTGTACTGTTGAGTAATACATAAGCCAAAGTATAAAATGTGTTACACTAAAGAGACCTCTTAAAACTTGTCATTCCACATGACATCTTAGGAATGACAAATTTTAAGATGTATTAAAAAAGTACATAAAAACTGAATCATTGTTTTTATTAATGTAGGACTCAAAAATCAAGCTTATTACCGTAATTATTTTAAGAAGTATACTTTTTTAAAGTTTTTATTGATAAAAACTGTAATTTTTTAAATAAAAACGAAAATGATATTTAAAAAGAAAGAAATGCAAATTAATATGCATAAAAAATTTTGGACGTGTATACGAAAACTTTAAATACAAGTTAGAGGGCGTTTTCCGGACAATGTTAACAAACTTTAGTTTTGCTATTAATGGCCTAATTTGGACTTGAAATTGAAATTTTAATGTGTTTCTGGTAAAGTAGTGATCTTGAATGACTTGTATGTAAGAATTACTCTTTACTGCATTTCTCTGTTTCAACTACTTACGGTATCTTTATATTTTTTATAGCTGGTTATGTAACTTTTAGAAATTTAAAACTTCTAGTTTATTAAATTTTTTTATATTGTTTATTGTATATTAAGTGGTGAGACAAATTTGCGTATTTCGATTTAACACCACAAACAAAATTATAAATAATAATTATATTTTTAAGTCAGAATAATAACTTGATATACGTGTTGTAGAAAGCATTTTTAAATATTACGTCATTTTATCTTTATATAATAAACGGAAAAGGCGGAACATAAGCTAAACCAATTTGTGGGCGGAGTTTGTTTTCAGGCCGAGCAAGCGGCCAATGGGATAACAATACAGAAAACATTTTACAATTTCCTTAAAATTTTAGCATTATGATACGCTTAACAATATTTATTAAGAGCTTCGTAGATTTGCTGAATTTTTTTATAGTCTTGGTTTTTCACCATTCATCTTTTAATTTTTTTATTTCTGAACTAAACACTTCTGCGAATAAAGCGTGGCCTGAATGCAGAGGGCTACAAATAAAGTTATGCGCTCAATTACACATGAACGATTTAACTGCTTCCGGTCAGTACGATAAAAATTTTTATAAGAATCATCAGCCAGTAAGACAACAAATACTGGTTTGTATAACTTTAATTGTGTGTGTATTTTTGTAATTTCTTGGGTATTATGATTAAATTTAAGATGCATGTTACTTTTTTTATTTTTTGGACGATGAGTGCTTTTTTGCTTTGGACTTCATTTTGCAGTATTATGATTTTTGTGTGTAAGTAGTAAAAGGAGATTGGTTTTTAATAAAAAGTTCAATAATTGAATAAAATTTAATGTTTACAAAGCCTATCTACAGTAAACAATCAAAATAGGGGTGAGTTTTTATTGTTTTTTGTTTACCCCATGAAGCTTTTTTATTTTTATTCAATTTATGTACTAAGTGACCTACGAAAAATCCGGTCAAGCAGTTTGTTTGGCAGCTGCCCAAAAACTTCTTATTTAAGAGCAATAAGATAATTAAGTAAAGTTGCGTTTTTAAAGATACTAACCTTCAGTTTTCTTACAAGAATGAAAAAGTACTGCTGTAAGCTTCTAATTTTTTTAATACGTTTTCTAAAGTGAGTAAATCTCTATTCTAACATACAAAACCTAACCTCTTTATTACATTTATTTTTGATAATTGTTTTATATAAAATAAAGCTAGTGTGCAACAAGATTTTTTTTTGGTATATCACGTATGTCTGTTTATTGTATTTAATTTTTTACAGTACGCCAACGTATTGTTGTTTCTTATGTACGGTGACAAGTAGTCCATCACATCAATCACAATCTATTTACTTTTCCAAGATAAAAGGAAGTCCAGCAGTGCATTGTGGTACTTTTGGCACATAGTTAATGAAAAGCGATGAATAATTACCATTATTGCGTTCGTGTTAAAAACTCATCAATTGCGGCTTTTATCAGACACTATTTATTTGTTTTGTCGTATTTAAGTAGAGTTTACGATTGTTCGTCTACTACATTATTGTGTCTGTATTAAGAATAAAAGAAAAGTTGATACATGCGTTATTACCTTAACTGCATGCATATATCCGGTCTGTCTTTATATCTTTGTCTATATTCAAGGCCGTGTTTAACATATTCATATAATACAAAACCTTTTTTCTTTACTTGCACGTTTTCTAGTAAAACTGCAACTCTAACTAAATTAAACAAATTTCATTTTTAGACAAAACTTGGCTACTACTCAGATTTTTAATTTGTGTATCGTCACACCAAAGAAACCTCAACGCTCTTTGTAGAAACGCACATTGCACAAAGATGAATTTTCTCACAGTATTGTTCGTATTCATCGCTTTAATCGTGTCTGCCGTCAGTGCACAGTGGGGTAAGTTTTATCATATGATCCTGTAACTTACAAAAATCATAAGTTTTTAACATAATAATTAGTAAAACGTCCTGAAGGAGAGGTCGTTGTCACTGAAAAATTAAAAAATGCAAGTTTTTTATTAAGAAACTTTTGGAACCTTCCTTTACATAGTTGATCACCCACAAAAGCCTTTTTAGAATGCATTTAAAAGTTGTAAGGTTCATGTTAAGCAAAATTTCATCTTCAAAAAAGTTTCTTCCTCATAGAGAAAAACTAATTAAACTTTTTTAAATGAAGTTTTAAACCCATAAGCAATAGAGTTTACTAATGTGGTTAGTCAACAGGATTAAGGAGTTTGTCGGAATTGGAAACTTTACGTACTATCAAGTAAGCCTATACAAAGATTATTTTTCGACAAAAATTAAACTTTAATAACACATAGTTTATATAAAATTCCAAATGTGCAAAACGTCTAAGATTATATAAATTATATAAAGGTTTTAAAACTTAATTTTTATATATCTAAGTTGTAGCATTTACAGATTTAACCAGCCAAGGAGACGAACAAATAATGGTTCCATGTAAGTTTTTTTCTTGCCTTACCGTATCTTTAGTAAAAAAAGAAAATGAAGTGTGTGAAAAACAATATATTACACTCTGTCATTTGTTTAATTTTTATTTATAACACCACCTACATTTCCCATAGGCAAACATAATGAATACATATAGAAAAAAACTGTGTATGTAGGGTGTAAAAGACTATAATTGATGATTAAATTTAATTATTTTAGCAAATTTAAAAACATCAAAAAACAGCGCTAACATTGATTTTGACTGCTTTGCAAAAATATGCAGAAAAGCTAATAGGTTATTTTATTAAGCTTAAGAATATAACATAGTACAACTCACAGATCTCAAAAATAGCTAAGTTCAAAAAGTTTTACAACAATACACATTCCCACTAATAGACGAAAGTAGGGTAACGCCATTTTCAGTTCTATTGAAAACTTACGTGGTACGGAATAGTTTTGCAAAGATACATAAACAATGCGCTGAGTTATATTTATTAAATTTTTTTATAATTTGAAAAAGTGTTGAGTATTAAGAAAATTTAAAAACATTTTGGTAGTTAAAAGACAAAACGCTAAAAAAGCATATTTTCTAGATGGAAACAAATTACAACTAATTAGTATTTGTAGTACTTAAAAAAAGTACAACAAACAGTAAATACGTACGCTTTGTTGTTGTTGCCACTAATTTGTAATATATACTTGTTGTCGCAAACAATGGCATAATTTTAATGATGTATTTTCCCACCATTTCAAACTTTTTTATAAAAACGAAGTGAGATTGAGCGACACAACAACAATATTATCTTTATGGATTTGAAGCGTATTTAGTGGTCATTTAATATCAAATAACCTTAGTTAATTTGCAAATAATTTTAGTTGATTTTGTTTTGTTAAATTTAACTTTTGAAATGAAGTATATTTATATTACTCATGAAATAATGTGTTCAAATTTTAGTGAAAAAAGGCCGACCACGTGGTCCACCCAGATTTGGGAAGCGCTCCAGCCCGCTCGCCGGTCATTTTTACGGTGGGCGAGCAGCTCGTGCCGTTTTGCTGCCCGAACCTCTACCCTACTACTATGATCTCGAATAAAACGCTTTAATAAATACCAAGTTTGTGGAGTAACTATGCCCAATAACTAACGAAACATCCTTTCACAAATGTCAAAAAATTATTTTTATATATTGTATTTGTATAAACGTAGTAAATAATTGTATTGTTTGTCTTGGATTTGCTGGAAATTATAGTAAAAATTTTATGAATAGCACAATCTTCATAATCAGCATACTACACGTGTAGCTGTAAGTTTGGCCATTTCAATTTTTTTAATTGCAGCAAGACACATTTAAAAGATCAAAAAAATTATAACATATGTTTTGTTGTGTGCCATGATACGTTTATGGTACGTTGTAGCACTTATACTTTTTATATTTGCAAACATTTTGCGAGTTTCTCCGAAGTTTTCATTAGTGTCATCTGTCTTTTACTAATACGCGTAACATTTAGAAACTGCAAATGTAGTTTAAAACAATTCAAGCGGTCTTGGCATCTTACGTCAAACGGCAGATTGGCGATTTTTATCTAGCAGAATAATTTTTTAGACTTAACGGGTAATAATAATATTTTTAACTTGCAGTGAAGGGCCACGAAAAAGGGGTAGATGTTTGGTAAAGTACATATCAGATGAAACGAATGATAGGTGCATATAAAATTTTTCTGAAATTTCAAATGTCGTTTTACTGTAAGAAGAACGGCCTATTCTTTCTTTCAGCGCTCAGCACTATCTAAATGTATTAGTGATTTTCGGGCATTTAAACTTGCACTTTGCTTACATTAATACTACGTTTAAATAGTTACAACGCAGAAACAGATACCCAGTGTTTGAAAACCGTACGGGCGTATTTTAATGAATTCTGGGTAGATTTTTAAAATTTTAAAATACAATATTGCCCTTACAAATCTTTTTAAATTTGTAGTTTCAGACATGGCGTGTCATTTCACCGATTCAAATTTTTCGTCCAAATTACGTAGTATGGAATGCGGCTGGCTTTTTATTAAAGTAACTTTGAATAAAGATGAACTAACGTGAACCAGGGCCAAGTATCTACTGTTATTTTTTTTATTTTCATTGATAGCGCAGGAATCTTAAGATAATACATTGAAGTAAAATTGCTTTTTATTGTTACTATTTGTGTTTCACTTTGTAATCAAGATTGTTCAAATTGACGCTTGGATTTTTTTTCAAATAGCAATATCTGTTACCTTATAAGTACATCATCTGTCCGCTATATTGTTTATAAAATGTTTTAATCACACTACACTAGTAGTTTTTAAGTTATCTATAGTAAAAAATAGTTCATTTTTGAATTAAGTTTACAGTCATATGTATATTATTATACTATATTTCTAACACGAGATGTTGAGTACACCTAAAAAAGCTCCAACTTTGTTACAACAAATTCTAGCGCCAACTTTTGGTGTTAAAATAAACCTTTCAATCATTATGCACCAATTATTTGCTTCTATTTTTACATTTTCAAAGTTTTGGGCCATCAAGTGTGTGGTGAGACGTTGGGTTGCCTGAATGCAGGTCTAATGAATTCTCCACACTAGTTCAATGTTTCTAATGAACAATATTGCGAATGTCATCAGGTGTTAAAAAGCAAAAATTTAAGTGTGACAAAATTTTTTGGAAAACTTTTTTAAATTCTACTTTTTATTCAGAGGCAACGAAAAATGTGTAGAATTGTAATTGCGGCTTGTCGGGCAGGTTTTGACCTCAACCACTTGAAGTCAAAATTTTTAAGGGCAGAACGGGTTTATTTGTTAAAGAACAACAATGCGTATTCGAAAATCATTGGCGTTTTGTTTCATAAATCAGGCAATTTCATTTAAAATCGTTTTTCTTTTTTACAAAAAAATTAAGGTCAAAAATGCCTGATTTTTGACACAACACGCCAATGATTTTTGAGGACGTTTTGTGTTTTTTTAAAAACGTTTAAGCACTGTGAACCTTTAAACTTAGGTTGGTGTTTATTATTTTGGAATTATTTTATAGCATTAGAATAAGAATTTTTTGTATTAATTTTTGTATAATTTATTTAATAGTAATTATACTTCATGTAAGATTAGGATTTAAATTTTTTATACAATCAGAACCTCCATATTGCTTTGTTTTACGATTTAACTTCGTTTAACTTAAGTAATTTTTAAATTTTTACATTACATTTTTAGTGTCATTTTTTATAGTAAAGTTTTTTAAAAACACAGTATAGAAAGTATTTTTTCAAGGATTATAATTGGTTTTTATTGTTTTTTATAACTGTCTGTAAAAAGGATTATTATGAAATCACCTTAAAACCAATTTTTAGATGGCAATGTTGAGAGCTACACCAGGTCCGCCTGTACAGAGGACCCTTAAAGAGATTTTTGTAGACTCTTTAATATACAATGATGTTTTGGCTCTTCTACTTGGTGTTTTATTCAATTCTTTACTTATATTGGCAATTCGAATGTCACGGCGCAAGTCTAGCGCACAGTACGTCAAGTTGGTGCTAATTGCGGCTTGTTTTGACTGTAGTTTTGCTATTGAAGAGCTGATTACACAACATGTAAGACATTTTATGATTTTTTTGTCTAAAATTATTTAAACTATTAACAATTTTTGTTTTAAAACACGTTTTTTGTCCACAAATTCTAATGGTAGCAAAAAAACATTTGGTGTTGACAGGGGTGTTTAATCTTACGAAATGCGTAGTTAAAATCAAAGTTTTTACACCTAATTTTACGTTTACGCAAAATCTTAAAGTTTTTATATATCAGTATGTGTATTTTGAATTATTGCTTATTTTTAGCAACTTCACGTCAAAGGAGGTGTGATATACATATTAGCACATGGCATAGAGCAATTTGTGCCAGAGAAGTTTTACTGGTTATGCTTAATACCTCATGGATTTTTTACCGTACACGGGCTATTCATTCTTTCTGGATTATACCACTTTAGGTACACAATGATGATAAAGTAAGTTTTTACATTAAGTGCCCAGTAAATTATTTTATAATAATATATATAAGCTGTTCTTTAATTTTTTTAAAACATTATTTACAACAATGATTTTCAGTGTGAATACGTCAACGTGGATTTTGGCTCGCAATATATGTATCACCTCAACATGTGCATTAGTTACGGCATGTTCTTTAGCGTATGGAGTAACGCAAGGAGAAAAGTTAAGAGGTTACAGTTACTACTACAAAAAACTTGAAAACGAATGGTTTGGAAAATACGGACAAAATTATTTTGTATATGCAGCTGATTTGGTATGTTGGAGCATTCACAAACTTACACTTTTTAGAATTTTTCATAAGGTTATATTTTTATAAAAATAATATTAACAATATATTAACAGAGTGTTTCTAACAATGTATGTATATATCATTTCAGGACTTTTCGGGTACGAAGTTATATTTTTTTCTTGGTCTTACGTTAGCATCAACTTCGGTTTTTTTAATATTCTTTTATGCTTATAAAGCGTGGAGATTTGTGAATCCAAACGCTCATTCCAGTAGCGCAAAAACAAAGGCTATGCAAGCTCAATTTACACGTGCCATTTTAATACAAGCAAGTTTAAAAAAATTTTGTTATTGTTAAGAGTGCAAGTATTATTTTTTTCTATTTTTGTTCAAAATTTTAAGTCTGCAGGACTTTTTTTGAATTTGATTTTTAAGGATTTTTTGATAATCAAAGAAACTATTTATAAGGAAAAAATAACTATATTTTTTTAGACAGTCAATGCATTCGTGTTTGCATTTTTCCCTGTTGGTTTGTTTACCTTTTTGGCGCTGTTTCGACTAAATGGTGAATACTTAGGTATCCTCGTAATGGCCGTAGTTTCTTGGTTACCTGCTGCAAATGGAGCCATAACAATATATGTAGTTAAAGACTTTAGAAACTTTGTCAAGAACTTTGTTGGTTGTAGGCGAATTAAGGTCATGAGCGCCACGGTAAGCGTTATTGGTAGTTCTACAATGCCAAAATATTCGCGAACGACACGCAACTTGACAAGTCAAACGGCTGAAAAAGTTCCTCCGAACTAATTTTTTGGCAACTTTTTAAACCTTTGTATTCTGAAACCAATACATTTCACTTGCTAAATTTGTTTTTACGCTTTTCTATCAATTATCTTGTATTCATATATGAAAGTAATTTGCGATGCTTATTTTAACTTACCTTGTGGTTTTATGTAACATAATTCGGTGTTTTTCACATTGTAAATTGTTATGTTTTAAAATTAAATTTTTGTTTAGATTGTTTGCTACAAATTGTTATCGTAACCTAACTAATACATGCTTGAGGAATAAAATGAAATTATAACAGATTGATTTGACAAATTATTATACTGAACCAAGACCAGCATATGTAGTTTGTTAAAGTTGGTTTAGGCCTATAAGGATATAACTTTTAGCTTTAAACTTTGTTACGGAATAGTGTGGTCCTTTAAAAAACTATTGCACAAAAAAATCAACTAATTTTTTAGCCTTTACTTATTTATTTAGACTTATCAATCTCAGCTCATTGTGTGGTATGAATTTATAGATTGGTTTTTTTTCAAAAATTTACTTAATGCAACGCTTATATGATTAAAATCAAACGTGAATTCGTTAATCTCAGAAATTTTTTAGGCCTGTTCAAACATAAAACAGTCACTTTTTTAATTTTTGTTTAGTGTTTATGCTTTTATAAACTGTTGGCTTTTATCATTTTTTATTTTATAATTATAAGTTAAAATGCAATAATAAATTTTTTAATACACTTATGTGGTCAAATTTAGTGTACTAGGAGGGAGGGGGGGATTCCCGCTTCGGACCGTACCCGCCAGTGTTTTGCCCGGACCGGTCCGGAGCGTTTTTCACCGGTCCGGCGATTTTTTGGGTCCGGTCCGGTCCAAACTTCAAATTTTTTGGGTCCGGTCCGGACCGGTCCAAACCCAAAATTTTTGGGTCCGGTCCCTGTCCGGTCCGCAAAAAAATTTTTTTTAATTTTTAAAAAAAGCAAGGGTCGCTAAAACTGCTTTCTTTTTGCTTAAAAACTCCTAAAAATATGTTTTATTTTTAAAACAGTTTTCTTAAAATAAAAAAAAAATTTTCTTCCGGACCGGTCCGGACCCAAAATTTTTGGGTCCGGTCCGGTCCGCAAAAATTTCTGTTTCGGTCCGTCCGGTCCGGTCCGGTCCGGCAAAACACTGGTACCCGCAGTTCCCAATTCCGCTGAAATTTTTATTTTTGGAAAATTTGCACTGAATTACGAAAATTCCCCCTACCCTCCCCGCCGCCGAGAACACTAGTCACATTTTCATTATTTTTTGTCATTTTTTGCATTTTTTTTTATGTTTGATAGAAACTTTTTTTCTTGATTTATCAAAGTACGGAATGCAGTTTAGTTAAAAATCTGCCTTACCTTTATTTTTAATGATGCACTTGTCTCAAAAGACAAGCGTTCTATTGACGCTGCCATGACAGTTGCATCCATGGAATGAAGAATTGTTTATGACGTAGCCATTAGCTAGATGAAATTTTAGCTTTTTTAATTTTATTGTTTTAAAATTTTGCAAAAAATTGGATACGTTGCTGAATGTAAACTTCAGTTTACGTTTGATAATAGGTTGGAATTAGACATCAGGAACGGTACGGGCCGGACCGGGCCTGACCTAAATTTATGTTGGCCCGGTCTGAGCAAAATTTTGATCGGACCAGGCCTAACATACACACCCGGCTTATTCCTCATTTCTAGTCGGAATTTGTATTTATACGAAGAAATTTAAATGTAACGAAGCAAGACTAACATTCACTATGTTTTCTCATATAGCTACAGTGTGATCAAAACTAAAGTTTTTTATAATTCAATTGTTTTGAATTTTATGTTTGTTGTTTTTAACATAAATCTATAGCTTAACAGTTCCGTGTTTTTATTTTATCTATCAGACCTTCTTTCTCAAAATTATTTATCACGAATGCCGGCTGACATTTGTGTTTTGAACGGGAAGAGCGGGTCTTCTTGGCCTTCGGACGGACTTTGGATCATGTCTGTTCTAGCAAACAAAAGCATTCTAAGATTTTTTAAAATTATGCATTTTTTGGTTATATTTTCATAAAAATGGTGAAAGAATGACTTATTATTTATGTATTTACAAGGAAAGTACTCATCTTTAAATTTACTTATTTCTTGTACCCTTTTATTAAAATAAGTATTTTAGTTATGGTCCTCAACTTTTGGCTGAATAGAAATGTTTCGGTTTGATTGAAATTCAAATCCAGGTTTTTGCAAAAGCTTAGAAAAAGTTGACGTAAAATTTGATACGAAGCGTTTTGTAATTGAGAACATGTGTAGTGATTCCTAGTTCTAAGGAAACGTAAGTTTGCAAAGCTTTTGATGTTTTATATGTTATAGAAAAATTACTATTTTGATTTTAACACTTTTATTTTCTATAATAATAAGTCATAAGCAGGGAGAGGACATGCGATTTTGGTCTGGAGGAAGGCAATGAGGGAAAAAAATTGAAAATTTGGTATTTAATTGACATTTTTAAATCGCATTTTTGACATTTTATAGTTTTATGTGTTGTTATCAACGCTTTGAGACCCTATTACTCTACAGATTTAGTCTGACTGCTCAAGGTCATTTGTTGAGGGTGTATAAACACTTTCTATCTTTTGTAACAGAAAAATTGAAAAAATTGTCTCAATAGTAGTGCAAACAAACCAAATCATGTGACCAAATTTGGCAAGTTTTATTTACTAGGTATGAAAAAGGTTATTTAGCTACTATACGTTTACCGTTTACCTGCATATAGTGCAAGTCTGATAATTAGTAATACTATAGTTTTCCAAATTTGTTATTAAAATTGGAATGCAACAAAACCTGCTATTGCCTAGTACTACGAACTTTATCATTCACACTATATTTATTACCGATAAAGTACAATGTATACTAGTTGAGCTTTTTACAGAAATGATAACGCTGATAGTTGGCGTGATTCCGATCATACAATTGACGTCATCAGCCACTTCTGAGCACCCGCTCAATTCATTCTTTTCAGGCTTTTTAGAGCAATTGGGGAGCGAAAATAAAATTATTTGAATTTTATTATAGTTACTGATGATATGCTAGATGTTACAGTGAAAAAGGTATGTGAGTAGTTGAAACATATTAATTTTACACAATTTTAAAACTTCAGTAACACTTGTGGTATTCATAATATTTGCTCTAAAATTTGAAGTAGGAGATAGACGATCACATGGAATATTTTATTTGATTTTAATGTTTATCGTGATTTTCGGGAAATAAAATGGCTTTGTTGTGCGAATATGATAGTGAAAGTGCTTGAACTTTTTGCTTTCCTGCTTTTAAATGTCTTTAATACTAGTTTATTAAAATGAAATCTACAAGCAAATCGCGCTTTATAATCAACTTCGAAAAACCGAAAACAAAAAATTACGTTTTGGGTTCCTCCTCGCCAAATTGGCATTGTGTTTCAAGCTTTTAAGTTTGTCTTTTTAAACATTTAATCATTGTTTATAAGGGCTATTAGTAATAAGAAGAATTCATATAAAGCATGTGAGCTGATTCTGAGCGGGACAGGTGGGACAATTTCCTTATAGTGTTTAAGATTTGATTTTCCCAACTTCTTTAGCAACCATTACGTAACGGGATTTTGTGATCAAATGGCTTTGCCAGGTCTGTTGCATGCCGAATGTTTTTTTTATATCGGCCAATTTTTTCGGTATTGAGAAAAGGTAAAAAAGATTTGAAAGGCTAAAGGTTTGAACTAGTCGTCTAGACTTCACATGTTTAAAAAAAGGGTAGGGGGGGGGGGGGGTGGAAAACAAGAGGGACATGTTGCACAAATTTTTTGTGAGCAACTCGCATGTAGTTTGATTATATCATTTTTATGCTGCCCTACAATTTCTACAATATGATTATTTAAACGTTTTTCAGGTTCTTCCAGGATTATATCAGCAAACTGACACTGAGGGTATTATATCATGAAAAATAATATTGACGGATAGGTGTGTCTGAAATTATTTTATTCTCGTCTCTGAAAACAATTCTTTTGGGGTTTTAAGTAATGCCAGATAGGTTGCTTGGGAATATTATAACGGTTATGAGAGTAAGTATCCATAAAGTTATGTTTGATGATAGTTGGGAATTAAGTATTTTGTTTTTATATCATGTTTTTATTGCAACAGCTTAATGCCAATTTTTAGCGTAGCTTGCCTTCAAATTACTTAATTTTACACAATAAAATAGAAAGGCGACTTATCACAACAAAGATTTTATAGGTTTCAGCGGCGTCCCAATAGTCGTTAAATAAGCGTTTATATTTGAAATTGCTCAAAGGTCACTTAGTCTGCCCAAAACTTTATTTGATAATGCTTTTATTTAACTCGATTTTTTATACGTAAGTTACAGTGAAAGTTTTTCAGTTCCGTTCCGCAAAATCTTTTTTAAGAAAACTGACATTAACGAATAGGTGTTAATACAATATATAGTTGAATAAAAAAATTTTAAATAAGGATTTTCTGAAACGATTTTCTTTGATACTTTACGTTTTTTTCCATGAACATTCTTTGATACATTTTAATTTCGTTTCAAACAGAAAAAAAAATCTTTTTGAAGTAAAATTTTGATCCAGATGTTCTTGAAAAACATAAGCCATTAACCTCAACCGGCACTAAATCAAAACCACACACGTTACATATCTATTTAAAAAAGACTTACAGAAATCGTTTCTATATTTATACATGCTAAGGCCAGCAAGTCTAAAAAACCATAAAGTATTTACATTTTAAGTTATCATATCTACTTGCAAAAAAAAATAATCTTGAGTATATTTTCTTTACGCATTCTCTTTTTTTCAGTCTAGCCGAAACGTTCATATGACACTCAGGTGTGTAATTTATTCAAATCGCGTCAAAGACCTGCCTCAGGGCCCGTTTTTCTCATCCTTCAAATGTTTGTTAGAAAGACAGCTTAAGGAAAAAAAACTTTCTGACAAAACAATTTTTGCTGCAGGAAATCAGTGTAAAAGTTCAACAAGTTTTCAGCCGTCTCTGTTTTTTTGTGTGAAAGCCGGCTTCCCGAAAACCCTCTTACTATGCAATTCGACGTCTGTCTGTTTTCAGTACCTTTGATCCATTGCCTCTGGGCCTGTTCGGCTTTTGGCCAAACTTTTTGGCTTTTGCTACGTTATAACTTTACAGGTCACAAATATCGCATACTCATTTATAGTTTATTAAAGGATCTCTTAAATTAAAGGGTTACGTATTCGCAAGGCATGAAAGTAACAAGTAAAGTTTTGCATAATGTGAAAAAATGCTTCTGACTATATAATATACCGTAGTAGTATCTTTTACACCTTTGCTTTTTTAACAAACATACATTTTGTTATTGAATTGCCCGATAGCGTTTACAAAGTAATCACCAGTAGTATAAGAATATGTTTTATGTCATTTCAGATATCTGTTTATTTGTGACTCAAAGAACATGTCGTCTCGGCGCCGGTTGTCATCGCAGCCAGCCAACAGCACTTTTGTCTTCACAAAAAGGGGGATGGGCTAAAAAATGCTGAGAGGATAAAGGGTTAAGGTGTGTGTGAACAAACACCGCCCAAAGCCTGTGATCCTTGACAAGGATCAGGATAAAGACACACTACTTAATTATAACGCATTTTTAAGTGGATTTTTGCGGTCGAAGTCACTTTATGCTCAAACACATCTTGAACAAGCTTAAAGGTTATAGGCCGTAGGTCACTTTTTTCTTATTTCCTGGGTTTCGTTAGACATGAGAAACGGGCCGGTCCGGCCTTGAGCAAAATTCCGATCGGGCCGGGCCTGAAAATTGGGCCCGGCCCGTTTCTCATGTCTAGGTTTTGTATGTGATATTTTTTCATGTTTAATTGTTTAATATGCGGAACGAATGTTCACTTAGAATTAATAATTTTTTTAGCCTTGATATTATAATTGTCTAAAGCAGAACATGATCACAAGACTTTTATTTGTAGTTTATGTTCTTTGTAATATTAAAACGGTTTTTTCCAAATCACATATTATAGCAAATTCAATCTTTATAACTGCGTTACGTCTTATAAAACCTGAAATTTGCTTTTTTCTGTATAACATACGCAAAATAAATTTGTCTACACGCACTACTTTTAATACTGTAAATCTTTATAATACTACACCTACAATCCTGAAAACAATAAACCTTGTTTTGGCATTGTCTCCCGTACTTCGAGATCTTTTTTTCAACTGGCAGTGTTTTGCTTCCACATTTTTGCCATAATATGTACACTCTCTTCCTGAGAAACCGAAGGCGGCTCTCAGAACCTAGAACACTATTTTCCCACCTTCTCTAACCACTTAAAAACGGAGAAAAGATCTCGAATCTTGGCCTTCAAAATCCTTAAAAACATTGCAAACGGGAATTTGAGAACCTAAAAAGTTGAGTTTTGAATGCTTCATGGCCGTTTTTACAAGGGTTATATCAGATTTTTATATTTTTAGTTACGATTTTTTGACAAAAAATAGTATTTTTCTACCTAATTAGTTTTACAGGTGACCGACTGGGTGAATTTGACAAAAATTGTGTTATACAATACAGCCTTTAAAAATTTTTCGTAGGAAAAAATTATAAAAATTGTCTAAAATAATGTTGTTGGGACCAATGAAGATACCAGGACGTTTTTTAAAGCCATGTTCGCTTTTTGGTCAGCTCAATTCATAATTATTCTATGCTGACGTTGGCTTTTTGTTTTGGTTTCGCAAAGACATCGCGAAAATTCTTTTTGCAGACACTTTTTGGCATTCCGCTTCAGGTTTGTTGGCGTTTTTTGTGGTGGGCACTTGTTTTCCCAACTGATCAACGCCACCAGATAGGCAATCAATGTGTGGTTACAAACTGTCTCGTGTTTTAATAATTATGCAAACAATTTTTATATGAATCTAAACAAAGGGTTTATATTGTACTATAGGTATTTGGAGATTTTTTTTCAAAGTATACGTCGCGTTTTTACAAAAAGTAATTGTAAATTATAAAATCTTGTAAAAGAATTTATAAAAATAAAAATTTATTTGTATTGTTTTATGGTTTTTCAAAATTAAATATTGGTGCTTGAAATTGTATTTCTACAGTTACTTTTTGTCTTATTTTTGTACACGTGGCATTTTTCGTGTTTGAAATTATGAGTTTATAACCCAACCTTAATTCTAATTGTTTTAGGGCGTTAATGGAGGACGCTCACGCCAAGAGCGCCGATGAGGTGCTTCGGTTCTTTGGGACCGGCCCTGACGGTCTTAGCGAAGATCAAGTAGAACGATTACGCCAGAAGTATGGTCCAAATGGTAAGCATTTGTTTGTTGTTAGAGTTTAGGTGCAAAAAATTGTTTTTTTTTCTGGTTTTGGTGTGAAATCTTAACAATTTTCTTTGCAGAAATGCCAACTGAAGAAGGAAAGAAGTTGTGGGAATTGATTTTGGAGCAGTTTGACGACTTGTTGGTTAAAATCTTGCTTTTGGCCGCCATTATTTCCTTTGTTTTGGCTTTATTTGAAGAACATGACGATCAGACTAGTGCCGTTACCGCTTTTGTTGAGCCTTTTGTCATCTTGCTTATCTTGATTGCTAATGCCACAGTCGGTGTATGGCAAGAAAGAAACGCTGAGTCTGCCATTGAAGCCCTCAAGGAGTATGAACCAGAAATGGCCAAGGTTGTACGAGCTGGAAAACACGGTATTCAAATGATTCGTGCTCGCGAGTTGGTTCCTGGTGATCTGGTTGAAGTATCAGGTAAGGATTCCGATTTTATTCTACTATTTTGTGATATTAAATTCGAAAAAATATTTAGTATTTAGCTTTTGACTAACTGAGTAATGACATATTTTTGCTTGTTTAAAACGGAAAAAACTAGATATTTCAATAATTATAAATTTTTTAGTTGGTGACAAAATTCCGTCTGATCTTCGTCTTATCAAGATCTACTCAACTACTATCAGAATCGACCAATCCATTTTAACTGGTGAATCGGTCTCTGTTATCAAGAACTTGGACACTGTTCCCGACCCACGTGCTGTCAACCAAGACAAGAAGAACTGTCTGTTCTCCGGAACCAACGTGTCATCAGGAAAAGCTCGTGGCATCGTTTTCGGAACCGGCTTGAACACCGAAATTGGAAAAATTCGTACGGAGATGGCCGAAACCGAATCGGAAAAGACTCCATTGCAACAGAAGTTAGATGAGTTTGGAGAACAATTGTCTAAAGTTATTTCTATCATTTGTGTTGCTGTATGGGCTATCAACATTGGTCACTTCAACGATCCAGCGCACGGTGGTTCATGGCTTAAGGGTGCTATCTACTACTTCAAGGTAGTTTATTAATTTTTTTAATTAATACAGAGTTACTTTAAGGCATTTTACAAAGCAGTTTTTTTATTTTTGGTTACGTTAATTATGTTATGGGAAGGTTATTGGTTATTTATTGCAGATTGCTGTTGCTCTTGCTGTCGCTGCCATTCCAGAAGGTCTTCCAGCTGTAATCACTACCTGTTTGGCTCTTGGTACTCGTCGTATGGCCAAAAAGAATGCAATTGTTCGTTCTCTTCCCTCTGTCGAAACTTTGGGTTGCACATCTGTCATCTGTTCCGATAAGACCGGAACACTTACTACCAACCAAATGTCTGTGTCGAAAATGTTTACCGTTCGTGACGCTTCGGGAGAGGACATCAAGTTTGAAGAATTCACAATCTCTGGATCTACTTACGAGCCAGTTGGACAGGTTTTCCACAATGGAAACGCTATTAACTGTTCGAGTGGTGACTTTGAAAGCTTGACTGAACTTGCTACCATCTGCTCTATGTGTAACGACTCTGCTGTTGACTACAATGAAGCGAAGCACTGCTACGAAAAAGTTGGAGAAGCCACAGAAACAGCTTTGGTTGTTTTGGCCGAAAAAATGAACGTTTACGGAACTCAAAAGTCTGGTCTTTCTCCACGCGACTTGGGCAATGTTTGCAACCGTGTTATTCAACAAAAATGGCAAAAGGAGTTCACCCTTGAGTTTTCACGTGACCGTAAATCTATGTCTTCTTACTGTACCCCAGCTTCTGGCGGATCCGGTGCTAAGATGTTTGTTAAGGGAGCCCCAGAAGGTGTTTTGAACAGATGTACTCATGTCCGTGTCAATGGACAAAAGCTTCCATTGACTCCAGCCATGACTCAAAAGATTGTCGATCAATGTGTTCAGTACGGTACTGGTCGTGACACTTTGAGATGTTTGGCTTTAGGTACAGTAGATGCTCCACCAAGCACTAACAGGTATTTTTTGTAATTTTATTAAAATATTCATGATTTTCGACAAGTTTCTTTATTCTGCATTTTAGAAATAAATTATTTAAATTCTTGTTTCAGCATGAACTTGGAAGACGCCACTAAATTTGCGGAATACGAACGTGACATTACTTTTGTCGGTGTTGTTGGTATGTTGGACCCTCCACGCATGGAAGTTTCTGGATCTATTGTTTCTTGTCGCGAAGCCGGTATTCGTGTTATTATGATTACTGGTGACAACAAGAATACTGCTGAAGCTATCGGTCGCCGTATTGGATTGTTCTCTGAGAACGAAGACACTTATGGAAAATCATTCACTGGACGTGAATTTGATGATTTGCCTCCAGAGCAACAGTCGGATGCTTGTCGTCGTGCCAAGTTGTTCGCTCGTGTAGAACCAGCTCACAAATCGAAGATTGTTGAGTTTTTGCAAAGCCATGGCGAAATCACGGCTATGACTGGTGATGGTGTAAACGATGCTCCAGCTTTAAAGAAGGCTGAAATTGGTATTGCTATGGGATCTGGTACTGCCGTCGCTAAGTCAGCCGCTGAAATGGTTCTTGCTGATGACAACTTCTCTACAATTGTTGCTGCCGTAGAAGAAGGTCGTGCCATCTACAACAACATGAAGCAATTCATACGCTACTTGATTTCTTCTAACATTGGTGAAGTTGTTTCGATCTTCATGGTGGCCGCTTTGGGTATTCCTGAAGCTTTGATTCCAGTTCAATTGTTGTGGGTCAACTTGGTTACTGACGGTCTGCCAGCTACTGCTTTGGGTTTCAATCCTCCAGATTTGGACATTATGGACCGCCCACCAAGATCTGCTCAAGAGAGTTTGATCTCTAAATGGTTGTTCTTCCGTTACATGGCTATTGGCAGTAAGTATATCTATTAAAGTTGTTTTCACTTTTTTATTTTATTATTGAGCAATAATACGAATAGTATATGTTTCTTATGTAATGTTTTTTCAGCATATGTTGGTGTTGCCACTGTTGGAGCTTCAATGTGGTGGTTCTTGTTGTACGAAGAAGGACCACAAATCAGTTATTATCAACTCACTCACTGGATGCGTTGTGAAATCGAACCCGAAAATTTCTCAGACTTGGATTGTGCCGTGTTTGAAGACAATCATCCAAATGCCATGGCCTTGTCAGTATTAGTAACGATTGAGATGTTGAACGCCGTCAACTCATTGTCAGAAAACCAATCTATCCTCAAGATGCCACCGTGGACCAACATCTGGTTGTGTGCTGCTATCGCTTTGTCGATGTCGCTCCACTTTGTCATTCTTTACGTTGACATCATGAGCACAATCTTCCAGATCACACCATTGTCTATTGTTGAATGGATTGCCGTACTTAAGATCTCATTGCCAGTCATCTTGCTCGATGAAGTATTGAAGTTTGTTGCAAGAAACTACATCGAAGGTAGGTTGAATAAGTTGAAGTGAAAGTTTTAACGTTTTATTTTAAATTAGCAATATTAATTTTCGATTGCAAAATCAATACCGTTTTATTTTTTTGAAGCTTTTTTGTGGTGAAATAATACGTTCTTTATTTTTATAACTTTGGATTGAAAATAATGAAATGATTTTTAATTAAACTAATATAACGGGTATTTTTCTAAATTTACATTACAAATAAAGTGATTGTCTTGTCCTTGTTGATTAAAACGAAAACGTCCGAAACAAATAATTTTTCTTGTCACAATGCCTAACATATCCCCTTAACCTTTGTGCTTTATTTAGATCACAAGACGGCTCGCGAGGAGTTGGAACGACATGAACGTGAACAAGAACTTAAACGTGAAGGCGGAAAGAAGATCAGGAAGACAGAAGAGCCGGCTTCAAAGAAAAGAACTAATCCATTGTTTTGGGTGCAGTTAGGGCTGTTTTTTGTTGCTATTGGAGCATATTTTTATTTCATTTTGGCTCCATACGGAGTGGAACTGTCTCATGCCGTCGGAATAAAGCAAGGCGGGCCAAACATGAAATTTTCAAAACTAAGGAGCGAACTGTGAAAGTGATCTTGAATATTGAATGGGTATTTTAAACAGATCTGGAAACGCTTGAGAGGGTAGTTTATTTATTGAAAATGATTTTTTTACTTTTATTTATCTAAAGGAATTTTGAAACTCTGTAAACTACAGAAGTGTATTTTTCTCAAATTGTATTAAACATCAGGACATTTTTAATCAACTGTTTTTGTAATCTCTTGATGTTAGAAGAAATAAATAAATAAGCTCTTAAGCGTTTTTATGCTCAACCCTTTTTAAGTCCGGGAGGTCTTGTTTGTTGTTTAATAACTTATTTGTACTATTATTAATTTGTTGTGGATAAACCAGTTTTCTTAACATGTTAATATTCGATTTTTTTGCGTTTTTAAAGGTTTTTTAAATATTGGCGATGTTTTATGATTATTAATTGAATTTTGACGTAAATTGTAAGGAAACGAATTTAACTATTTTTTTCAAATTTCTGGCAATATTTGTTTAATATTAGCAGTTAAACTTTTGGATAGAAATTTATAGTTTACAGTACGTAAATTAGATTTACCGTTTTTTCTTTAGCAAGCTTAACGGTCCGTTTTTGCCTAGTAGGTACCTACAAAGGTTTGCGTCGTAATAAATGAAAGTGTAAATGTTGTTTGATTATTGTTGTTGACACGTTTGATTGTGCTTGTTTTTTGATAATGATTATCTGTTTTCTAACTCCTTGCTTACTGACAGTTTTGTTTGTTGCGGTAAGTTCGAAACGTTTTCTTTTGCTATTCTTAAACATTTTGCAACTTGTTTAACGTGGTCGTATTATTCAAGTATTGTCACAGTGTTCCTTATTTAATAAATATCATTTTAGTGTCTCCAACGGAAGCCGCTAAGAAACGCAACTAAACAACCAAAAAGTCATCAAATTCTCCAGAAAACGTATATCTACAGTAATCAATAGGATTTTTTTGTAATTTTTGTTTGTTACATGGGTATTCCAACAGCCTAATAGTGTTTTGCATGTCGTACAGTACTTTCAACTGATTTCTACGTCATGTTGAGTAGTTAGGACTATATCACAGTACTCTGCTAAACAGAGTAGTTAAATCCTAAGCAGCTACCAAGGCATATTAATGTCGACAGGATGTTTGTTACCTTTGTAACTTTCAATTTCATAAATTGTATTAACATTAATTTGCCTGGTCAGCAGTTTAGGATTATATTAAAAACACTGTAGTAGATTAAATGTCACAATTTTTTTTATATATAAATTTTTTCGTTTTTAAAAAAGATAATATTCACACTGTAACAACTATTTTCATTGTTTTTTCCCACTTTGCGGGAAAACAATGAGAACTGGAGTTGCGGTCAAAAATTCATGTCATCTCTTCTTTACTCTACGTCTATATTTGTACGGAAAAAATTTAACATTGTTGTAAAACTTTATGTATTCATTTTCGTTTTTAATAAAAAAAAATACAATAAAAATGGCAATATGATTTCGAGCACTCGTATTTGGACAAAATTAATTAAAAAATAATTTTACCAACACACAACTTTATTCATTAAATTTTTTGCATTACAAGCGTATACATATAAACTTTTTTTTTTAATTTACAGAAATATGTTTTAGTTCTCAATTGGTAAATAGATTAAACTAACGTTTGTGTATTTTCCGTCTTCGACAGAAAACCTTAATTGAAATGGATGTCTGGGTCCAGACGGATCAGCTGTCAGCTCTTCGTCAGTAGTGCATGTGCTATAATTCTAAAAAACTAAATTTTAAAAACTTGAATTATTATTCCAAAGCAATATATATACAGTGAAACCTCTGTATGACGAATCGCTAGGAGATTTAAAATTTGTTCGTTATGCGGAGGTTTCGTTATACAGATGTTTTAAATGCACTGTGTAGTGTTAGCCGGGGTTCGAAAGTTATTCCTTATAAGGTTCCACTGTATACTTCTTCCGTTCTTATACCATTGAATTTACTGATGTCTTTTATTCTACATAATTCATTTATGTTTCAAGAAATGTTATAAAGAAATCGTGATTTAAACACATACCACTTTTTTACATTTTGTACTTTTACTGGCAATATACATATCATAATTCCAAACGTCATCATTTTCAATTTTCGTGCCATTCATAAAATAAAGAGCCAAAACATATTCATCTGAAGTCGAATACTCATCAAGAAATCGTTGAACATGCGCAGTAAAAGCTAAGTCAGCTTTTAAATCAGGATTGATAAATTCTGCTCTTATGCAAACCATAAAAAATAATATTGCTAAATTTAAGAAAATACACATTGTTTAATGTTGATATTAGTAAATCGTAATGCTTATATACGCAAAGTGAACTGAATGTTATTTTAATTAAATTTCTAATGAAAGAAATTTGCATTACATAAAAAAATTGATTTAAATTTTTTAATTTAAAATTTAACGGTAGATACAATAGCTTATTTTGTTAAAGACAAGCCTATTTATACAGAATACTTGTTAGCCGGTCCTGCAACGATTAACTTGGGCTTTTATGTTTGGCACTCTGTATTATTTCGTTTTTTGGATGCTCATAAAAAACAAATCCGGATTGTGTTTGATAAAAAAGTTCTAAATCATGTCTAAAGAGGCAGAAGCTTTAAAACTTCAAGGCAATGAGCATTTTAAACAAAAGAAGTTTAATAATGCTTTAAAGTCTTATTCTAAAGCCATCGAATTTGAAGTAACTCCGGTGATCTTAGCTAATCGGTCACAAGCTTACTTGAAAATGCAAAGGTAGGTTAAAGGATAGTTTTTATATAAAAATTTTTAAATTTTTTAGTTTACTCGATTATTTAAACTTGATTTTTATTTTTAATCTTTTTTAAGCTACGAGAAGGCGTTATCCGATGCCACAGAAGCACTAAATCTGGATCCTAAGTATGGAAAGGCTTTGTATAGGCGAGCGTGGGCTGCTGAAAAGCTTAAATTGTATGGTTGGGCTAAAGAAGACGTGAATCGGTTACTTGACATTGATCCTATGAATAGAGATGTAGTTCAAATGTGGGAACGAATTGGAAACCAAGTACGAATTATTGTTGTTGTTCTTGTTTTAGATACATATTTATGTAAAAAGAAACGTAAAAGTGTATCAATAATGGATGGCTATATTTACTTATAGCCAGTTTTCACTGCCAAAAAATATTAAATTCCCTTTAGTATGCTTTGAAGTGGCCAACTTTAAATTAAAGTAATTAGGTCATATTTGAATTTGCATAAATATAATATTGTTTAGGTAAACGAACCTCAACTACAAATAAAGACTTTCACAAAATCTGAAGCAGTGCAATCTAAGACAACATTGAAAGAAGTACAGATAAAGTTGTTCAACGGCAAGGACGTAAACTTGGATAAAATCAATTTGAATATGGCTGCAATTAACGTTGACGAAAATAAGGAAACTGAAAGTGTTAAAATTGATGCTGATGATCACGACAAAGACTGTGAACTTTTACCAGAACCTCCTCAAACGCCTTCTGACTTTTATTCCGTTTTCGTGGATATGAAGCATGATTGTAAAACTTTTGCTAAGTATTTCTTGGTACGTTTTGGTTATTTTCTCAAATTGATTTTTTAGTTAGTTTGGAAAGCATGTTGACTAAAAGAATTGTTTATACTGTGATTACATTAAAGTAATGGTTTTAGACAATTGACTTATTTAAATATGAAGCTATTTTTGGTGGTGTGTTAGATTTTGAAACGTTAATTTTGTTATGCCGAGGATTACGTGAAGCAGCACTGGTTGGGGATTATGTTTTGGAAAGATTGATGGCGCTGACAAAGGTTTCAAGATTTGATTTGTGTATTTTGATGGCTGCTGATGATATTCGAACTGGTAAGTGTTTATAGTTTAATAATTTTGTATACGCAAATGGTAGTAAGAAGAAATTTTACTTGTAAGAAGGTATAGTTTGGCGGTAAGCTTTGTTATGTATAACATTCTTGTTTTTTTTATCAACGTAATGATATTTATACGTTTAAAAACTTTTACAACGTTTTCCGTCTATCTGTATTTTAGATTTGGAAAATCACCTTAGCAGTTATCCAGCTAGTTCTGCAGATGTTGTACAGCAAGTTAAACGCGCTTTCTTATGTTGTTGACAAATTCGGGCTCTATGTGTTTACAATTGTAATAGTTGTTGAGTTTCAAGTCTTGTATATATACAAAGAAAAATTACAATTCATGCTGTAGCTGTTTTTTGGTGAAGAACTTGTTTTAGCAATTTTCACAGATAACTTTTTGCGCGTTGTCTGTTTTATTTTTGTACTACGCCGGTAACGAAAAAAAAGCTTTTTACACAGGTGTTTTGAACCGCACTCGGACTTTGGTTTGCTAATTGGAATTAGTGTCGTTTTTTGAAAGGCATTAATGGGTGATTTTTTTGACGCATTTAATCTGTCCTTTATAGCTAAACATAAAAGCTATACCAATGCTTCTGGGTTGTGCTTCTGAAGTTGACTTTTTATGTTTTGGCGCAAGCAGATGACTGTCAAGAACCCTGTAAATTAACATTATAACTTTAAAAACAACAAAATTACAAAAACAGCTGAATAATTTATGTTTCAAAAATACATCGTTCTGAAAGCAAAACTCCTATCTTCGTTAATAATTGGCAAAAAATGGTCTGACGCAGCATCAATAGTGCAAGCGTGTATTTATATGTATAATAGTAGCACATTTAATGTAATAATTTATTCATCAAACGCGTTTTTAGTAGTAAAAATTAAGGGTCAAAGTTTTTGCTTGTTTAAGCAGCGTTGTTAACGTCTTCTGGAATCACTACTGGACTAACTTTAAAAAGCGGTGCTGGGCTAACATTAGCGACATCTGGTGTATTGTCATCCACAGCTGTTTTGAGTTGTTCTTCTACGTCCGCTATAACTTTTTCCAATGGTTCTGGGCTTATGCGGTAGTTTTTCAAGTCAGCGGCAAAGCTTCCAACGATGAAAATGTATGCAAATCCAAGAAACCATTCTGAGATCGACGCGACTAAACGATTCACAAACCACTGAAATTAAAAAAAGAAATTTTAATTTAAAGTAGTTATGGTGTGTAAAGCCAAGGTTTTTTGATATGTAAGTTTTTTTAATGAAAATGAATTAAAAATTGAACTTTATTTCTATTATGTTAAGCTAGAACAAAACATAATGCTAATGTTCTTTTGAAATTAAGTTATTTACCGGATCATTACGACTTATGCGATCAATTCCATCTGCTTTTCGCTTTGGTTTTTCCGGTATTACTCCGTCAACTTCTTGAACAATAATCGCTGTGTCCAAAAATGTCATGTCTAAAAAAGTATTTTCATTGTAGCAGATCCAAAATTTATTAAAAATTTAAGTACCAAATCAAAAAAATAATAAGTGAATACCTACGTAAAACAATACAAAATGTAGTTATAAAAATTAATACACCTCTAACAATTGTCAACCATAGTGGTGTATATCGTGGGGTTGCTTTAATTGAGAATGCAATATACGAATACACATACATCACACCCCCGATAAATGTCATGGTGGCCCCGTGACCGTGCATGAATCTGACGTCGCTGATTTGAAAGTTTGCCACCCAAGTGAGACCAACAGCAGAAACCCATGCTACACCCAACATGAAGTATAACAAATACACCAACTTTGAGCCTGGGTTATTTGCTTGAAGATGTAGCTTCATGTTTGTGTGAAGAAATGTGGCAGTCAGAACCCCTATAAAAATCCGTAGCAATTGTATCGTACTGGTTATGGTACTAAAAATAAAAGATCTATTCTTCGTTCTGATATAAAACATTTTATTGTAAGGAATTTATGTTTTAAGACAATTAGAAAAAAAAGACTTACAACAAAACGCAGCATAATTTAAAAGCGATGAAAATATACAACTTTCTGGGGGGAGAGCACCACCTTCACTAATAATCGGCAAAAATGCATCAATATGGCCGAGCGACACGCCCATGCTGTATCTAAAAAATGACATATTTAATAAAAAACTTTTATGGGCATTATTTATATGCTAAATGGGATTATAATATATATTATGTAGAATTAGACCGTTACAAACCATACCCAGAAATGAAACCAGTTAGGCAGAACACTGCCATCATAATAGGAAAAAGCGGCGCCCATACAAAAAACATCGGTGGGTTCAAAAAAGCAGCAATCGACCGGTTGATTATACAAAAATTGAAACATGAAAAACTTGTAAATTTTTAATTAACTTACATTAGCTTGATAAAATTAAGTTTAATGTGAATTATAATAATGTAAAATTATCTTGATTATCTTGAAACATAGCTGGGCTTTAAAACAACACAATTTGAAGTTCATTATAAGTTTACTCCTTTCATTTCAAAAATACCAATTGGGTATTTAAAATGACTGTAAAAACAAGGTTTTTCAAAATTTGCATAAATTTTGTGTTTTTGTCATTAATTACATTTTTTTTGTTTTCTTACTGTTTTTATGTTGGTCGGTCGAGTTACTGACGATAAATTTTCCTTTGCTTCAGAATCGCGGTAAGTTGTTTCATCAAAGTTTTTTTTAATTTACGGTTATAATTGCACATTACAGTCTGAATTATACAACTTGAGTGATTTTGTAACGATATTAATCTTGTCAGTACATTAACCGATTTACTCATTTTAGCTGAAGCGAGAAATGCATGTACATAGTCTGGGATCTGAAAAGTCCTCGTTTCATACAGGTATCGAATTGTCCAGACGCGGTGACAGCGAAGTACTGATGAAACAAGCAGCTGAAAGCCTATCACAAATTTTGATGACTGCCCAAAGCAACAGTTTAGTCAACGTTGCACGAAAAAAGAACGCCACTTTGTTTACACAAGTAATTTTTAAGATTGTCTAAACCAGAAGAGAAAGTTTTTCGACTTAAGACTATAAAGCAGTCAATTTTTTATATTGAAGACTTTTATTAAAATTTCAACCAGTTTGGGTGCTTTTTTTACTTAATTCATATAATAATGCACGTTTTGTTTTTTATGACTATAAAATGATATATTATTGTATTTTTAGAAAACACAAAATGATATAGGCCATTCTGACTTGGAGCCTAAAAAAGCGAATTCAGAAATAAAAATTTCCGAGGAAGAGAACAATCGAATTTCGGTTGAAGAATGTAACGCCGTTTTAAAAACTTTAAAGGTAAGTCTATTTTGGAAATTTTCATTACCCTCTAATACAATTTTTACATTTATTTATCAAATTTATATTTTACTCTTCATTATAATACAACATTATAGTTCACTTATTTTTTCTTGCACGTGTAACGATTTTTAATAAATCATTTTGTTTTGTAATTCAGTTTGGACCTCAAAGCCTGCATTATGTTGTGTTGAAGAAAATAGCGTCAGGAGGATTTTCGTCAGTTTACGGGGGTTATGAAAAGTCCTCACCTACAAAGTCGTTAGCTGTCAAAAGGGTAAACGTGGAAAAAGACGAAACATTGAAGGCACAACTATTGTTTGAAGCAGAAGTTTTGGCACGGCTAGGCGCAAACAAGTATACAATAGAAATGTATGATCATGCAGTTGTTGGAAACGAGTTGTTTTTGATATTAGAACTTGGGTCGGAAGCTTTTATTGACTACTTGTGCAAGTATCAACGGAATAGGTCGGACATTGAGCACAAGTTTATACGCAAGTACTTTAGACAAATGGTCAGGGCATGCGAGTTCATTCATCATAAAGGTAAGGCATTCCTACTTATGCATTTTGCATTCGTTCCTGGTCGATAAATTTTTCCGGCTAAGTACACAATAAAAATTTTTACATAAATATATGTAGACGTTGTTCACTGCGACGTCAAAGGGGACAATTTTATTCGAATGCCGAACGGTCGTCTAAAACTCGTGGATTTCGGATGTGCCGCTTTGATCGGATGCATGAATGAAGGTGTTTACAGACGCCGTCGACTGGGCACAAAGCATTACATGTCTCCTGAGTACATTAAACACTCATATGCGTCTCGTGCACTGGATGTTTGGTCGTTGGGATGCATCTTGTACGATATAATACACGAAAAAACGCCGTTCGACTCCGCCAAAGATGTGCGAAAAGCGATTATTGAAAGCGAGCCCGATATTTCGCTTGTTACTGACATTGACATGGTGCACATATTAGGGGTAAAATTTTGAATGTTTTGTTTTTTTTATTTTTTGTTTAATTTGTCTATTATATTAACTTTTAGATGATGTTTGAACGAGATCATCACGAAAGAATTACTTGTCGTCAACTTACTCAAGAAACCTACTTTTCAAGTAAGTATATTACAAAAGTTATCATTTTCTCAGTACTACACAACTTTAGATGTGTGGTTAGTATTTTGTATGGTATTATAATTTTTTTTATTAATAAATCAAAATTGTTTTTAGGAACAGACGAAGAACCTACTGTGCCTATTGTAAGAAACGACACCAAGACTGTAAAAATATCTGCACCATCCATTCGCCTAAATGAAGAATTGTCAAAGATTTGATACAACCTTAGGCTCATTTATTATCTTACTTGGGAACGTAGTGTATAAACTTGTTTTAGTTTGCATAATCTCTGAAGTTTTTATTTTTTTTATATATACTGTTGGTGTATACACTATGAATAGATGATCACGTGAAATGCATGCCGGCTTTTTTTAGTCTAAAAATTGAGAAACCATAAGGTCAAAATTGTCTGTCTAGTCGTAGGTTGTTTACAAACGTTTTTTTCTTTTTCTTGATTTACAGTATTGGCATACTTTTGAGAAAATATAATATCAGTATATTATATATATATACAAAAAAAATAATGACGATTGTGAGAGTCATGCTAATTTTTGATGACATTATTTTTAAAATGAAAATTTTGAAAATCTGTGAAAAAATTTGGAAAAATTTTGAAAAAAAGAGCGGTTGGTTTCTTAGAATATTTTATGGAAGGTACAATGCATTACAATGATACGACATACTTATTTGAGTATAATACTTAATTTTAAGTTAAAAAAATAAATCTTTCGTATCATAGGATGACCGAAGGGCATTGGTTGATCTTTTTTTAATATGAATACTCTTCTACATGAAAATTTAAAGAAATAATGTTTTGATTGTTATTTTAAAGCAGATAAATACACTAATCGTAAAAAGTTGTGTCCAAAGAACGTTGCAGCTGTTCTTGAATGATTCTTTGGGTTGATTAGTGTGTGCTTTGGAGTTTTGCCGAGTTTATTCATTTTTCACGGTTTATTTTATCACTTCAATAATATTTTTGTTTACGTTAAGTTTTCGGTTTTGATATTTTAATATCTATCTATATATGTATATATATTCATTATTTTCTTAGTTATATAAATACAAATACTTCACGTGTCAATAAGGTTAAAGTACGCAATCTTTAAAAGTCTGGAAAACTGTAAAAGTTGTTTATCTAAATTTAGTTTTTTCCTGCCAATGTTTGACCTTTAACTTTCTTCATGATACCATCATTACTCTTGTTTGTCTCTTTCGTTTCAATGATAAGATAAAAATAAACAGGAGAGAAATCTTAACAAGGGGTCACTGGCACGTTGTAGTACTCAATATTCGAAAACAATTTTGTTTGTTATTTTGCAAACTCACCGTTTACTTTAGTAAGGTTTTGTTTTATATTAAAGTTTTAAAAGTTCAGCTAAGGATGTTAAACTAAAATACAGTGAAACCTCGCTACTAGGTCTCCGCTTACCACGAAGCTTTCGTTATAGCGAATTGTTTTGATATATCTAAAAAAATCAGCACCGTGTTTTAAATAAAATAATTGTGGATATAACGAAACCCCGCTACAGCGAACGATCTTTTAATCCTCTTGCGATTCGTTGTAACGGGAGTTTACTGTACATGTATTTTTCTCTATATAATTCTCAAAAAACAAGCAAAAAATAAGCTTGTAATAAAAGATTTCGATGTGTATAATTTTTTTTTATCTAAATTTTTCCAATTTAAGTTCAAATGTTTAGCGAGGAACTTGTATGAGACGGACCTTCACAAAAGTTATTTATTTTTTAAAACTTCAAACCATAAGCTTAAAAGTTATTTTGAACTTTACAATTTTTGAAAATCCGGACCGGACCGGACCCGGTCCGGCAAAACACTGGGACGAATGATGCATTGCAAATCATCACAGTTCAAAGAATTAATTGTAAAAGTCAATTCGTGCGGAAAATTCAAAAACCGTTTTTTTACAATTTATTTTGATTGATAAAAACTTTTTTGTGCTCAAATGCAGATCATAAAAGCTCTATCGGCCCGCCCCAAAATTCAAAATGAAGGAATGATGAAAAGTAAAACATTATTGTAATGTTAGGTGCGATGACAAACTAAAATTGCGGGTAGCATTTAATTGTTCTGTATCATAATTTTTTCTCCATTATTTATTTAGTTGTATACGAAGTGCTGTCATTATAAACTTATAAATGAATACATATAAAATACACTGGATGTATAACGAATCGCTAGAGGATTTAAAATTTGTTCGTTATGAAGAAATTTCGTTATACAGAAGTTGTAAATGCACTGCTTAGAGTTAGCCGCGGATTCAAGACTTGCTTTTTATACAGGGGTTTCGCTATATAGAGGCTTCTTATACAGAGGTTCCACTGTATTAAAATAAAGTTTTTTCAGCCTTTACATACCTCATTTATCTTCTTTCTCAAGATGGTTCAGAAAAAAGTTACCATTATTGGATCTGGAAATTGGGGATCGGCAATTGCACGAATTGTTGGCCAAACCACTCAACAAAACCCTGATGTCTTCGACAAGACTGTTCGCATGTGGGTGTTCGAAGAGATTGTCAATGGAGAAAAACTTAGCGAGGTCATCAATACACGCCATGAAAATGTTAAGTACTTACCTGGAAAAAAGTTGCCAGAAAATGTTGTTGCTGTACCGGATCTACTTGACTCGGCTAGAAATGCAGATGTCCTTATTTTCGTCATTCCCCATCAGTTTGTGGAACGGACATGTGCTCAACTCAAAGGACATTTGAAGCAAGGTGCTGAAGTTGTGTCACTCATTAAAGTAAGTATATTCTAATAATAAACAGGACATTTTAAAATAATTGAATCAACCTTTTACTAATTGTTTGTAAAAGTCTGAACGTTGTATTTAACAAAGATAATTTTTAGGGTGTGTCGGTAGGCCACGGTGGTGGCATTCACTTGATCTCAGAAATCATCCGTGCTACCTTGGATGTCGAAGTCTCCGTTCTTATGGGTGCAAACTTGGCTCCTGAGGTTGCTAACGAAAACTTCTGCGAAGCTACTATTGGAACTAAAGATTTAGAGGCTGGACTTGCGCTAAAGACTCTTTTCCACACTAACTACTTCAGAATCAACGTTGTTAAAGACGCTCACACTGTTGAGTTGTGTGGTGCGTTAAAGGTATGGAAAAAGAATATTTTAAAGCAAATTATACATGTTTTTACCTATATGTTTTTATGTACTAAGAAATTAAATATATTTTTTTTGTTGTGGAAAATATTCCCTAATATGTATTCAAAAACATTTGAGTAACACGAAATTTAGAACATCGTAGCATGTGCTGCCGGCTTCTCAGATGGCTTAGGCTACGGAGATAATACTAAAGCCGCAATTATTCGACTAGGACTTATGGAGACTATCAGAGTAAGTTTGAGAAATGAAACTATTAAAATCATGATAATTCCATTATTTAATGTTAAAATAATTGCTTGTTTCATTTAGTTTGTCGAAGAATTCTATCCGGGATCTTCATTTACAACATTCTTTGAAAGTTGTGGTATTGCCGACTTAGTAACTACTTGCTATGGTGGACGCAACCGCAAGATTTGTGAAGCTTTTGCCAGAACTGGAAAGAGTATCGAAGAGTTAGAGAAGGAACTTTTGAACGGTCAAAGTGCTCAAGGGCCACCAACTGCCGCTGAATTGTGCGCTTCGTTAAAGAGCAGGGGAGTGGAACATAAGTTCCCATTGTTTGTTGCTGTGCACAAGATCTGCACCAATCAATTGCCAGCCAACAAACTGATTGATCAAATCCGCGACCATCCAGAACACCACCAAAAACCTCACGTATTTTAAGACTCTTATGAAATATTTTTAAACCTAGTATTACATAGTTAACGGAAAATGAAATATTTAAAAGAACATTTGAATGAAATATAATACATTATGGGTATGCATACAAACGTTGAAAAAGTTGTAATGAAAAAATCACTGAACATATAATACGACTGCCATTTATATTGGTTGTCGGGATAAATGTTCTTGTTGAAATAAAATCAAATAAATGACAGTGCAATTTATTCACTGTTTCTTTAAGTATTTTGAATTAGTAAATCAGCAGAAAAATGTATTCAAATATTTACGAAAAAGCTAAACTTATAGTTTATTACCCGTTACAAGTCAAAAATCAATATGTATATAGACATGCAAAGTTGCTAATTGCACTTTTATACTTATAATACGAAAACCGATCAAAAAGTCCTCAAAACCGTAAAAACATTTTAACAATAAAAAACAATAGATAAATGTCAAAATCGATTCTATATAAAAAAACTTAAAAAAAGTATGACTTATTTATAAGAATCTAATCAAACTGTAACAATGTTAAAAAAATACCTATTCATTCAACATAACGTATGTTAACGATGGTTAATTTAAAAAAATTTTAAAAACAGACAGGTATATCAACAATCAAAGTACAACAGATCTCCTGTGACAATAATAATCAAGCATAAAGTCTTCCATCAGCTGAATTTGAACCGCGATATAAACTGGGAGAACTTCTAACTCCTTTCATGAAAAAATCGCTATCCGTACTCAACTTTTTATATCCAAACTCTTTTTTAAAAGCAGAAAATGAGTGAGAGTTAGCGGACTTCAGTTGCCGTGTTACAATTAGTACCAACATCGCTGCAACTATCACCAGAGCAACAATAAATAAGATTGGATAGATGGTTGAAGAGTTCGTCTCGATGTGCCTAAGATTTTTAAGAATTTAAATAATAGTGCAAAATATATGCAAGCTTCCACTTACATATCTAAAACTAGTTAAAAATAAACGCAACATTAAATTAACATAGTAAACCCAATAAAAACATAGCATAAGATAAACTATAAACTTACTGTGCTTTAATAATCTCCCGATTCGCCAATTTCAAAGGAAAATACCTCATTTGGTAAATTAACGCTCCCAACGCCCACTGTACTTCTTGATTTCGTATTTTCAGCGCACTTTGAAATTGGTTATTCAATTCAGATACATGAAATCCATCATGAAGAATGCCATGAATCCAAGCCGATTTGAAACATTGCGCTTCTAGACGGGTTACATCAATCTTCGAATATTCTGTTTTTCGAATCGCTTTCCAAGATGTTCCACAATATTTGCGCGCCATTTCCTCAAACTTGTTGTGATCGTATCTTCCACCAAGAGACAGAACGTCGTGAGAAGAGTACCAGTATTCACTAAAACCATACAATTCAATCGAAGATAGGTCGACAGTTGGTGCTGAAACTCCACCAAAGAAACACTTAAGAGCTTCTGAACAATCACCAGCTTCTTTAATTACTTTAACTATAGAAGAAACACATTGGTCCCAGTTTCCGGTACCCTAAAATGTAAAAATACTGTTTACACTTTACAATAACCATTAAATATTATATCAAAATTATAAAATAATAAATAAACCTAATATACATTTAAAAAATGTCTTACCACTTTGACATACTGCTGTCCATCTTCCATCGAGGAAACTCTGATGTAATTCAATGGAAGACAATCATCTTTAATAGCTGGCACTTCACTAACATTTCCAGTAGTCTGCTTCTCAGCCATCATTTTGTCAATTAATTTGTCGTACTTTTTAGAACCCTCATTAACGCCAAAACCCAAAAACGTTGTTACAAACAAGTTGTACTTAAACCTTGAATCATCATCCAACGATCCTAAGTTTACTTGTTGTAGCGTTGGTCCAGCAAATTTCGTATCCTGCGGTAATTCAAATGCTATTTGAACTGAAGCTCCGCCCATGTCAATCATACCTAAATTAGAAAGTAAAAATTTGAATTATTTGAAAAAAGTGAACAATTTTGAAAATTTTCGTTCAAAACAAGTACATTAAACACATTATTATGTAACATACCAGCAGTTTTATCCCTCACAGCGTGATGTGTAACATCTTCACGTACGTTGAACCTTCCTAACACATAATTCACTGCAATCCAACTGTAAATTCCTTCCCATTTTCCATCTATTACCTGAATATGCTCGGGCAATACTTGAAGACGAGTTAAAGAAGGTAGTTGAGTTCGAACTGCACGCAAAATTTCATCTTGTTTTCTGTAAAAATTTGCTTTGTGTTATTTGTTATAACTTTTTGTAACTAAAAATTCAAAATCATTAAAAAACCTTACTGTTGAGGCAAAAGTCGCATTCCAGCAGTCGCAAAAATAAAAACTGGTGTGAAGGGTTGCAACTCTTCAGGAATATATTTAGAAGCATAATCAAGTAGAGGTTTGTAGTATCCGGCCGCATCATTCGGACTGTTTTCAAAAGAAGAGAGTCCTGGTGACACTTTTTTCACGACATCAACGTTGAATTCGTCTTTTACCGGTCGTACGCTAATTAGGTCATTTGTCGTCCCTGATGTAAATGCGTAAAGGAATAGTCGAGAACCGGTTGACCCCGCATCTATTACAATTCCGTAGCTTAGGTCCGGATCTAAAACGGGAAAAATTATTTAGCTAAAGTTTTCAAACTAAATCACAATAACTTTCGACACGAAAGTGTAAGAGTTTAAAACTGGACAAAATCTGAAAAAAAACTACTCTTACCGTGTTTTATTTGACTTTGGATATCATTCTGTACCTGACTGTCGCTACCAATTACTGACGAAAAACTAAGATATACAATAAAAAGCAGACCGCTAACCATTAACACTGACCATAAACGTCGGGGCATCAGATTTGCGCTAACATCAACCTAAAAGTTAACGAGACTTATCTAAAAAAATCAAAGATTCTAAAGATCAAGATTGTTTTCGCCACGAATAAGAATTACATTTTTTATTAATTTCATTAAAAAATATTAGCTAACTAATTATAAATATTACAGCTGTTAACAAACAAACACTAACTTTTTTACATAAGCTGAACCAAAAATTTTTTATTATTTAAATATAAATTTTTAGTTAAGAATACGACATACCACATTATCGACCTCCATTTTCAACGATTGCTTCAAAACAAAATATAAAAAAAGTTAGTAGAATACTATATTGCCAACGCAGCATAAACCAAATACTTTATAAATATGGTAATCTACATCATAAAAACAGTTCTTCACAAAAATCGAAAACCCCGTAAAATTAAAGTAAAAAACGACCATAAAACTACCTTAGAAATAAAAATTAATTGAAATATTTCATTATCAAAAAGTTACATTGACAGCAGCTTTTTACAATTTTGCATCGTGGATTTTTTATTTCTGCAGAATGCGCCCGAAACATATTTTGAATGGCTGCGCCCAGCTATTGCAGTCTGCGAATAAAGTTTTAAAGCGTATTTTTGTGTCTTCCTCGTATTATAAACCATAATTTTTTTCATTTTCATATCAATTAAATATTTATACATGTTTTATTTTTTGCTAGTTTTATTTCAACATTAACTATATAAATGATTTTTTCTCGTTTTTTCTGTTTACAAACGTGAGAAAGTCTAAACTTGTAATGTGTTAATGGATTTAAATTGAAGTTTGGTATTTTAACATAGTTTTTACATTAATTTCAACAGAAAAATTTTAAACTACAACGTTATAATTAGAAATCGTAAAACATTTTGATAGTATAACGTGTTACGTGATGTATTAATTTAAAGTTTTAGTTTAAATAATGTCGGACACTACAGCGGGAACTTCGTCTGATACCCTAAAGGATACCCCAAAAATAATTTTGCAATTAAAAGATGATGAATATGAACTTGAGTTAGATTTGGCTTTTCAATCACGTGTTTTATACGACATGTTGGTTACTTTAATTGCTGATTTTGATAACTTTGACAATCCGATTGAAGTACCGGTTTCAAAGATATCAGTTGCAACAATTATGATAGTCAAGGTAAGTGTTTTACTTGTTTTTTTGCTTTTTAGTTTTTTTAGAAAACTTTTTTGAAAAAAAGTGTTAAAAGATCGATTTGCAAAATAATTTTGTTAATGTCTTTCCCTAATTACTGAACTTAGTTTAGGAGTGGATGTTAGCCCACAAAGAAGATGGAGACATGTTTAAAAACGAAACTACGTCTGAATGGGATTCAACATTGACCGAAAGTGAACGTGCCTTTTTCCATAAACTATCAGAAAATGAGTTATACGAATTAATATCAGCTGCAAACTTTCTTGACATGCCTCATTTACTAGACAAAGCATGCGAGTTGGTTGCTGGTATGGTACGAGGGCGTTCTTCGGAAGAAATAGCTCAAATTTTTGGGCTAAATTCGTTGGCAGCTGCTAAGCGTAACACAGTAGACGTTGAAAATCAATGGTTGGGAGATTGATTTTTTTAAGTTTGATAGGAAGCGGAGAAAGTTGAAAATTTTATATTTTTATAACAAGATAATAATTAAGCAATTTCATATTAGATTATTATTATTGTACATTTAAAAGTACGTGTATAAATTTTATTTTACTGTTTTATGAGACATAGAAGAAATAAAATACGTATTTATAAAAAATTTACTACTTTGTTTTATTATTAGCGTGTTTAACATTGCATGAGAACCATTATTGTAAACCATATATCATTACTTGAAACCAACGTAGCTCTTGTTCAGTTAAATTATGGAAACTATGAGTTTGTTTGCTGATGTGTTTAAAATTCTAAAATTATGCAATGTATACGGCAGCACAAATTTAGTCTTCATCTACTTTTTTAACATTAAAAAGTAGAATATATTCATTTTCATCTCTATTATTTAATTTTTTTTTGCATTACCTCTAAATTTTGCGTTTTACTGGTTTGGACGTAAAATGCTTGTTTGCCTTCTTCGTCATGGTTTACATTATACGTAACCCCAACGCCGACGCGTTCTAAACATCGACGTACTTGTTTTAAATTGCAATTTTTAAAAGGTCGTGATTTTGCCAAGAGGTCAAGACCTATGCGATTTGATATTAACATAAAATATGTTGAATTTACAGGCTGAAATAAAAACTTTTACAAACTATCGTTTAGATTGCAATTTAACCTAACAATAAATTAAAGTTTTAAATCGATGAACATGTAATACTTACATTTTCTATCACTGCATAAGCAGCTGAATCGCTTGGTAATTGTTTTAAATACAGTGCCAAGTTTTCTATCATAATGAAGCTTGAAACTTGGGTGAACACGTACCAGGTATAGGTGTTGTGCATAACAGACAAGTACGACGCGAGCCATCTAAATTATCATTTCAAGGTTCGCTTATAACGCAAAGTTTATTTTGTGTGGCACTTACCGTATTTCTAAACTACTTGTTTTCACGTTGTTTGGGATTTGAACTTGATTATGAGAGGTCCAATCCAATAGCTTATGAGTAAATACTTCGTGTTTAACGTCTTTTAACCAGGTTTTAGTTGCTGCATTTGTCTAAAAAAAGTATATTTAGAGGTATTTTCGTACTGCGTCATTTCTAGGGTTCTTACAGAAGTGTTTGTCGACCATTTTTGTTCAATTAATGCCACAAAGAAAGAATTTTTTTGTTGATTTACAGTACGCTTTCTGCTTTGGTAATGTTCATGTTGATCTGATTTTTCGAGTACAAAGCGGAAATAGAGGTATATTATCCAAATTACCGTTAACGCTGACAAGTTTTTTGACCTCATCTAGGGTTATTATTTTTTAAAATTGATAAAAGTTTTTTAGGTTTATATATTGCAGTTATTGCGATGATAGAGTTAGTAATGCATTTTTATATGATGGAGGATGTAAAAATTCATATGCACAGCATACTTTCGCGCAAGAATACTAACATTGCAAAAATAGTAAAAAAAATAAAAAAGTGATTAATTACTTTAACTGAACCGAAGCTTCTATAAGTAAGGTAATTGCTGAGCGGCATCCGAGAACTTCCGTTGGCTTGAATGCACATGAAGATTTCTTTAGGTGATGAGATTTTGAGATTAAGATAGGTTTACAGATGTCATGTAAACCAATAAAAAAATGACGAAATAATGTTCATTATTTACAAATAGATAAAGTTTAATATGGGGCAATGTAGTATTTTAATTCTTTTTAGTTATCTTTGTGACAAAAGTGTAACCCCAGCTTTATGCAGTGTAAAACGGAACACATTACTGCAAAGGACGTGAAGCCAGCCTATGAGAAGCAGCAGAAACCAGCTCTGTAAATGTGTACGTAGTACGGTTATAGGTAAAAATGAATTGTGTTTAACAAGTAAAGATAAAACTTATTTGCAATTGCTTTCTAATATTATATTTTTTTCATTGTAAATACTTGCCTTTAAGTATAAGCAACATTCATATTTTTCACAGCACTTGTAGTAGAACAGTATGTCAGATTCCGGGCAATTTTCGCATAAAGACTGTTTATCAATGTTTGTATCTAGCTGAAAAGGTTTAATTTTTCATTTCTTGTACTTACAGTTACTTGAAAAACTTACGTTTCGGGCATTAACAATCAGAAAGCAAATCAACGTCACGACTTGAACAAGCGTTTTTTTAAACATTTATAGTTTTAAAGAGTTGATGATAACTAATGTCGAAGCGTTCAAATTATTTTTGGATGATGAATTGGCTATTGTGTGGTGGGGGTGGTTAAAACACGGTCTTTTCATTTTAGATTTTAACTTTTCATCATTAAATTTTTAACTATAAAATAAAAAACGCTTGAATGATAGTTTCTTTCAGTTAAACGTTTTATATAAACAAAATTTATTTTTGTATGCGTAAAAATTTTTATACTCAGTTTATTGCATTAAAATTTTTTATACACATTTCATTGCTTTAATTAAACAAAAGATCTTGATAATACCGTGAACAATGTAATAACCCAGTTTTGCACATTTCAGTTGTTCTGACAACCGAAAGCCGGTCAGCCCGTTCAAAATTGGATCTGACAAGCTCATAGTACTGCCCGTCGCTAAGTACGACGGAATGAAGTCGTAGGCATTTCAACCTAAGCACGTCAATAAATTTGGAAGATTTGTCGGAAAACCGTAGCGTTTCATCATCCCAACGTATTTCCAAACGTCGTAATTGATGACAATTCTGGGCAATGCAATCAATAAATTGGTCAATATGTATTTTTGCTACAACTTTTGGGCAACAGTCTTCGGCCATACCCATAACAAGTACTCTAATATTGCGCAAATGCGGAATCATGTTCATCCAAAAATATTCCAGCAATTTATCATGCCCTCCCAAGTTGAGCGCTTGAAATTGTAGACCATGGCGCAGTACCATTTCAGTGACAATTCCATCGCTTAGCGAATCGCATGTGTCCAAACTTAGGTATTGCATTGTGTTGATTTTTCCGGAAGTCATCCATGCTTCTAGAACCTGATCGGTGAAATTTTCAAGCCAGCTGGCATCTAGCCATTTTAAGTGATTTAAACGTGTTAGTACGAGAATAATAGTTTCCGCGGACAATTCTGTTCCTCGTATGTCAAGCTCTTCAATTTGAGTTTTTTCCCATGGCAATTCTTGGATTACTTTGTTATCAAGACCTTAATCAGCATACGATATTAACGATTTATTATTGCTTTGTTTCTTGATAAAAATTCAATCAAGAATATAAGTTATTATAATTAATATTAAAAAATATTTTTTTAAATACTACTTACGTGCGTGAGCCAAAAACAGAGATTTGAGACGTTTGCATCGCTGCATCACCAATTTCAAGCAAGTACCCGTTACTTTTTGGCAATAATTTACACAAAGGCATTCTAAATGCGCCGTATTTGAACTCAGAGCATCAACATGGTCATCGTTTACAAATGGCACACCCCAAAGGTTGACAACACGTAAGTTTGGTGTAAACTGTTTTAATTTGTAAAAGTTCAATGTTTCGTAAACTTCTTCTTCTTCATCTTCTACTTTTTCATATGTTCCTGAACGTATGATGTTATTTTTTAATACTGTTGTAAATAAAAATAAATTAAATATCATTTTGTAGAACTTCTAAAATAAAGCGCTTTGAAACTTATATGTACTAATACGTACCTACGACATGCAAAAACTCCACGCTAGAAATAAAGGTGTATACTTTTCTCAAGAATCCTTCTAAAAAAATGTTTTCGCTTAAACATAACGTTAAAGTTTTAAGGCGACTCGGAAATGTTTGTAGATCTGTAAAGTCATGCAGCTGCATGGCTGTTGAGAAGTCTAACGTTAAACTGGTTAAATGTGAGCATCTGTTGGCTAATTCGTGCAAGACGTTTGGAGTGATAAGGTCAGTAGCCAATTCACAATGGCGAAGTTTTGTAAACCGGTGGCCTATGAGGTTCACAAAGTAGTCAAGGTTTGTTACCTTAAAGTTTATTTACTATAATATTTTCTCAATTGGATTTTTTCGAAATTAAAAATTTTTCTTTCTACTAATTATAATTAACTTTGATTTACTTGAATTCCACCATGAGAAGCTCTAAACGACACGTTCGTCCATAAGTTTTCACTATAAGCTATTTCCTTCCATCGTCTACAAACCTGACCGGCTATCAGTAATTGTTGTGGATGCAGGTAGGAAAAAATTTGTTCAAGCACTTTATTGGGCAGCTTTTCAACTGACTGAAAATTCAAAATTAGAGATATGTAAAATCAATATTTTGTTAGTAGATGATACGTTATGCAAATTTATTCGAAAAATGTTTTCATACTTAATTTATAATGTTATTCAGTGCACTCAGTATTATACCAACATAACTGTATTTGTCAAAACAAATGTTTTTGGGTAGAACGTAGAACGATTTTTAAGAGGGTAGTAAACTAAAATTTAAATTATTTGTTTGTCAGAGGTAAAAAAAGGGTATTTCCTAAAATTATGCTTGCTTTGAGTGCACCAAATTCGCCCGGTAGTCCCGCGTATACTTTGTCAGCCGCTTCCTGTAGTGCTCTATGAATTGGCTGATAGTTGGCTGGTGATGGTGTACGAGGCGGTGTCATTACATCTGTATGTGGATCAAGAAACATAGATTGTCGACGTTCTTCGTCGAGTTTTGCCACTTTAATATCATCTTGCACAACAGCCCGTGATAAATCGTATATAGCCGCTGCCATGCTTATGGTAACGGCACTATACAGCTTCTAAGTTTACAAGAATTTTAATACTATTAAAACACGAGTTTTTCTTGTAAAACATTTTAACGTTTAAATGTCACCATACGTCTTATTTTTAACAAAACAACTTTTGAAACAGGTTGGACATTTTGGTAGCTCGAAAATCCATGAACTTAAAAAAATAAACGAAAAATTCTATGATCAAGCTCAAAATGAAGCCTACTTAATACTAAACCAGGAAAACTACTGGCAAAACAATGCTTTCAAAAAGCCAAAAAATGGAATGAAACGGAAAAATCACTGCAGTCTGTTTTTAACTTAAAGCCACGGCTGTTTGAGGCCGTCATTCGATCAGATTCGTATGACTTGAAAGATTCGATTTGAATCCAAAAACAAATATATGGCCGCAGAAACAGAGCATAAACATGAGAAAGTATCTAAAATTTACCTTGACTTCGTTGCACTTGTCTTTAAGTTCTTCAATTTCTAGAATAGTTGAACCTTCGATAGATTGAGACATTTTTTTTGTTACTAGGGTAGTAATAAAGTATACTTGCAATATAAAACTAATTATAAGCTGAGATAGTTTTAAACTTAATGAATATCATACAAGTTTCAGCTTTTTGTTAAACAAGTATCTAAAAAAAAAGATTTACAAGTAACAGATAGCGCGCAAGTGAAACAAAAGTGCTTAAACGCGTCCTAACAACTTTCACAGGCTTGAGAGATCAGCTAATTTAAAATTACGGAATACAAACCGTATTCATAGCGTTTTTGTCACAATATTTCAATTTCTTTTGAAGTTTGATAACAATGATTAAAATTCGGTATAAAAAATGACAGAAAAAATAGAAATGTTCTTGAACAGCAATTATTAATTTTTTTTGCATTAAAATTATCTCGTAAAAAAACTTGAAAAATCAAACAATCTTTTATAAAGTAAATGCACAACAAACTGTTAATAACTAAAATAAATTTTCTTCTTACAGGCATTCGAGATAAAAGAAGGTTTAAATTCAATTTTCCTAAAACCTTCATTTTGACAATAATCCGTCGTCTTTTCTGCTTCCATTCTTCGGTATCCCGAAAATGTTTCTTCTTTGGTAGCCATTTTATATTGTCCGGGGCCTTTCCTGCTTTTTCGTCTTCTAATTCTTGCTAAAGTTAGCAGTATTTGTTAGTTATATTATGGAATGCAAAAATACAATATAAATCATATAAAAATTGAAAATATAAAACATTTAAAGACCGTATAAAACGTATTTTAAACTCAAACTATTTTATCCTATTTAAACCTTACCTTAGATTTGAGTCCTTTAAACAATAACATTTAGAGTTAAGTATAACCAACATTAAGTATTCATTATTTGCGACAACTTAAGAAACAACTCTTAAGTATGTTTTGTTTGTTAAGTGAGAGATGTTCTAAGTGAGGTCCAAATCTGTTTTTGTGTCTTAAATTTCGCTTTGAAGCACTCGAAAAGTTTCTAGACAAGAAATGACGATATTTACACGTTAAAATAATTTTTTTTTTGAAACAAGCAAATGCTCGAAAAAATGAGTGTTGTACATGAATACAAAGGTTTTTTACTAACAGGGAATGTACCCAACCTGCCCCGCTCAGAATCAGCTAAAAAATTTTATATGAATTCTCTGTACCACCAGTAGTACCCACAAAAATTTTAACTCGCGCTTTTAAGTTTTAAGTTTGAAATATTTGGGTTCTCCAATTTGACAATTTTGGCATTGTGTTTTAAGCACTTTTTCCGACTTTCCAGACAAGGTACGCTTGCAAATTTAAATGGGTAAGTTCATTTAAAAATTTCCTTATAGTATTATATATTAAAGAAAAATATTTAAAAGTCAAAAAATGCTAAAGTTGTACGCTTGAAACACAATGCCAATTTGGCGAGAAATTCAAAACGTCATTTTTTATTTCGATTTTCTCGAGATTTCCTGGGAAGCGCGATTACTTTGCTAAAGATCTTATATTTGCATGACTTTTCTATACAAAAAGTTTGAAGTCAATCAAAGCGGGGAAGGTCGGGTACTTTCCTTGTAAATAGAAACTGAACAATTAGGCATATAAATTAAAGCTTACGAAATACACTTGCAAAAAATCCATCAAGTCTTTTTGAAAACTTATATTACCAATAAATTAGCGTTGACCTGTTTTTATCCATTAAAAAACGTTCACCTACACTGTCCTCGCATTTTGTTACCGTGCCAGGTAACACACTGGTTCAAAAAAGGTGAAGCATTAAAAAATCTTATTTAAAAAATGAAGGTCAAAAAAGTTTTGTGCCGCCTCCGTTTGTGCCTTCAAGACCTATGGCCAGTTGTCTTTAATATTGCTCTCTTTAATACACTGTTTAAAGCCGTTTATTTTGTTTGGTATTAAAATATGAAATAACCTTAAACATCCTGGTTTTAAAAAAAATTCAGTTTAATATGAGTTTTTTACATAGCAATTGTATTGAAAAAGTTATCATACCAGAAACAACCATTGCAAATAAAATTTAAAACAAGCAGTAAAAAAAGATCAATGATAAGGCATGTTAACACAACAAGCAGCATAAAAAAGTATTTGTTTAAAACTTACTATTAATGGACTTTCTTTATAACTGATCTCACTTTTTCGTCGTTCCAAATTGTAAGCAACTGTCATTGTCAGGTAGAGTTGCAACTTTTACAATAAACTAATGCACACGCTAAAAAAAGTTTTAATTAATAATTTTATTAAAAAAAATTAAGAAATTTTTGTGTTATAACTTTTTAAAATCAATGTAAGAAATAAACAAAAAAGTTCATCAAGCAGTACTCAAAAATGTTTAAAGTTTTTGAATAGTTGCCAGTTGTGCATACTTAATTAAATAGTAGAAAGCACTTAGTTTCAAGATGCAAATTTGCCACTTGCGTTTTAACTACTAATAGCCATCTGGTATGAAAGAGCTTGCAAAATTTGTTATAATATTAATTAAAACCAGCAACTAAATTTAAAATTTAAACAAGTAAAGTATAAAAAATACCATGAAAAAAGTCTACCTTATTTAAAATTTATTAGAAAATACGATTTAAAATATAGGCTTAAAAAGATTAAAATCGATAAATCAAAAAACCTTGAAACTTTTCTTGAGAAACATAAAATTAACAGAGAAACAAAAGAGAAAAACAAGGCACGAAACCCATCTGTTCTTTTCAGAAAATATTAAATGTGTCCAGATATAATTTGTTGTACACGAAGTCCAAAATAGAAAAAATATTTTATATTTGCATGATATTGGCGGATACTGTGAACTAACAAGTTATTAAGTAAGTTGCCCTAAATATCAAGTTCTCTAATGTCTTTTGAATTTACAATTTAAAGTGTTTTTTCAGACTATACTAAAAATTGTCGTTACAATAAATACTCCTCAATCAAGTCCTCGCGCTCGGCCGCGTCGATAAAGTAATCCTCATTAAAACCAGTTTTCAATATCAACAAAATGAAGCTATTTTGAAATTTTTGGTACTGCATGGTCGTGTATGGTACCTTTTCCCTAAATTGCCTAAATTTTAATAAAATTTTATAGTGTATGGTACTAATTGACACATAAATGTTAAATGTTTTATTTTTTGACTCTGTATAGTAATTAGTATCTTTATATTTCGTTACGCTATATACATAGAACTAAATGATATCAACGTGACACATATTTAAGTTTATAAAAAATAGCAAAATGCAAATATTATGCAAGCTATGAAAAATATAAATAGTATTTTAAAAATATAAAGAGAAAAAACACCGTTTTGTCCGTACTAATTCCACCAATTCCATTAAAACTTTCCCATTGTATATAGATAGTACCATGAAGTACCACATAAGGTCAGGAAAAAAAACCTTCACGTTTTTATAGAAGTCGTATTATTTAGTACCGTAAACTTAAAAAAGTATTAAAACCTTTCCAATATATAAAGCTAATACCATTCATTGTCATATAATACATTACCAAAACATTCCAAAGTAGCACTACTACGCTGAATTTACAAATTCGTTTTAATAGAAGGACTTGATCGACCTGATTGAGAAAGCTACTTTTTCAGTACCTACTTAAAAGATGAGGACCTGTTCATTCCAGACAATTTTGTTATTAAAAATATGTTCAATCCAAAAATATCTTTAAATAATGAAACATAATACATTCAAAACAACTCAACTTTTGCAGTGTGCAATTTAAAAATCATGTTTTATAAAATTTTATTTTCTACCCTACAGATTAACTAGTTTCTTATAAAAATAACCAAATAAGATTTACCCATTTATTTCCATAAAAAGATTACAAAAAACAACAAAAACCGGCTTGACAAAGTTCAAAGTTTTCATGCAATGCCAAAACATATTTCAACTTAAAACAACACGTTTTACGAAAATGGTGTTGCAGTACCAAAGTGCAAATAGGCATAAAAATACAACTCTGTAGAGTAGGTAAACAAGTTTAAACATGTGTGGTGTATTACCTAATGCAAAATTTACCTTTTATGCATTTCGAAGAAAAAGTACAAAAATAACCGAACCAGATGAAGAAACCTATAGCCTGGAACGACTTCAACACGAGACCGTACAGAGACCACAAACGTTTTCCAACAGGCAAAATCATGACATTAAAATGCAAAAAATGCATTCGTCTTAATTTTCCAAAAATTTTGATTTAAGCTTTAGATGCATTTTTCTGTTGAAGGTACTCATCATAGTGGGCACTGTTTTTAAAAAATGCGAATTTTACGTTGCAAAGCACGAGCATCATCCAAAAAGCGGTTACGTGCATCTTTGGTCATAGCCTAAAATTAAAAATATATATTTAGTAACAGAAAAGATAACTAATATGTTATGAATAATAAAAAACCCTATTAAAATTACTTTTTTTTAATTTTACTAAAATTTTTTTTACAAAAAAATTACTAAATTTTCAATACCTCATAATTTTCACCGTAAGTTTCCATCATATGGACACAGTATTCAACGTCTTGTGGGGCAAGCCGGGTCGTTCGTTGCCGTTTCACTGGTGCAGGCTGTGGAGGCAACGGCTTTGGTACGTTGAAAACAAAAGCTTTTCTTGGTTCCGAGTGTACTACCTAAAAAATTAAGATCTTTTTCTTTAATTACTGCTTACATTAGAGCTGCTGAGCTTTTGTTGAGCGTAAGTCACGAATTCCGTAATCTGTTCAAAGATTTGACTTTGTTGTTGTCGAATATCTTCTACCGGTTGTTGTACAGTTTTCTCGACAGTCGGAGTTTGAATTCCTTGCGGCTCCTCAGAGATCGACTCGTTTGAACTGGATTTATGAGAAGAACGCAGTTCATCACTGCTGAAGTCGATTCCACTGTCTACCGAATGCTTCTAAAATAAGTCATCTGTAAAATTCGTGGTTTAATGCTAATTTTTACGATTTCATATTTGCATCACTCTTAAATGTTGTGAAAAACATAGAAAAAGTTTAATTAGAAAGTTGAGCAAATTAAAACATCTAGGTGAACTGTCGAGAAAACTTGTAGCATCAAAAGTGAGTAAAACACACAGATATAAAGAAATAAAAGCCTTGTGATATATAGTAGTCATAAAACAGAGAAATAAAGGAAAACCAAAAGATGATACACACAAGCATCAGTGTCTCAAAAGACCAGCTTTGTAATCGATCTTTTCTTTACTTATGAAACATTAACGTAAGCAAACACAAAATTGAAGCATAAACAATCTCAAGTGTGCATGAAAAGCAAGAAAAAGCGTTTATTCAAGTGAATTTATAAGTTAACCTTTGGCCTGATAACTTGTCTTTCCACCTTTTCTTTGCGAGAAGTTCTGACCACTTCTGACATTAAGAGTACGATAAATCAGTTGTCTTCCTAGTATGTTAAGCTTCTTTTGCAACCACATTTGTATTCACTATAGTACTTCTTTTTACTTCACTGTAAAAAAATCGTACAATCGTTCTTGACCATAATCTATTTTGTTGTAACATATCAGAACAAAATTGACACATGCACATATATATATGCACAAGTATAAAAAGTGCAAACAAAACAAACATAAAATAAAGCAACATAGTACAGCGTGACTTATTTAATACCATCTTAAGATACAAAGACTGTACATTTGTGACAAAAGCAGTTTTGTAAAACCATCAAACACTGAAATGTGCACCCAAAAATGTATTAAAATAAACCTTACTAATCTTAAAAAAAACAATTTTTAAATAGCGGACTAAACGTTAACACTTTGAAAAAGCAGTTTCCTAGAGACATTTACTACTAAAATACAGATTGTTATAGACAATTTTTAAAAACCTATATGCTATCTAAAACTTTTTTCAAAGTTCTACTTGAAAGGCCACCATTTACTCTTTTTTGGACTTTTGCCAGGACTCTTGTCGTTGCTTACCATACGAGCTCCTCCATTTGAAGGCTGGTTAACGTCTACACTCAACGGACCATTAGATGATTCTTGTTGAGGAAACTACAATTTAAATAATTAATGGTTTTTTTAACTTGCAAATTCAAATCATAATCTGTATATTAAAATTAGAAACTGTTGAATTAAACGCTGACATATACAATACAAGACAGGTGAGAAACAAAAAAAAGGATGTCGCCAGCAACGACAGGAAAAAAAAGATTACGGAAAAATTAGTCAAGTCATCACGATTTTTTGACTGATCTTTCCATCCGAAATATTTTGGCGCTAGGACAAATGCGGTTTTTGGACATTTGCGGATCTGCGGTTTTTAGACACTTGCGGATCTTCGGTTTTTGGACGCTTGCGGATTTTGGACATTTGCGGATTTTTTAAAAGTTTTTTTTATTTTTTTTAGATAATTTAGTTGTATTATGGTACTAAATTGTACTAAAGTTTGAATTGGTACGGTTTTAACATAACAATACCTTTTTGGGCTTTTAGTACTATTTAGTACCAAAAATATAAAAACAGTACCGATTAAAAATTTAGTACTATTTAACATTAAGAAATATTAAGACAGTGCCAATCTAAACTTTAGTACAATTTAGTACCATACTACAAATAAATCAAATAAAAAATAAAAAAAAACCCCTTTAAAAAATCCGCAAATGTCCAAAATCCGCAAGTGTCCAAAAACCGAAGATCCGCAAGTGTTTAAAAACCGCAGATCCGCAAATGTCCAAAAACCGCATTTGTCCTAGCGCCAACATTTTTCATGTCTCTTATTTATGTAATTACAAAAAAACTAATAATCGGAATATTAGAAAATTTGTAAAAATTTAACAATGAGCCTAAAATTTAAAATACAAACAAGTTTTCTTTATGTGTCTAATTAATAATATTTCAACTTTTTACTTTACCTGTTTTTTTTCAATAATTTCGGTTGTGCCATTGCTTTGTTGACTGCTGGAGCTAATAGTTCTATCCTTGTTCTTTCTGTTCTTGTTTTTCTTCTTGTTTTTCGAACCACCAGCTTCTTCAACAACATCACTATCTTGTACAAAGTTTTCCGATTTTTCTTGTAATGCAACAGCCTCTTTTTCTTGCTCGGCTTTTGCTTCAGCTTGTTGTTTAGCGTTTCCTTCATTTTTTAGAGTCTTCAGTTCTGCTTCTTTTTTTGCCTGTGCCCATTCATCTTTCAATGTGTTTCCTTTGTTCTTGTTCTTCTTGTTTTTGGACTTTTTGTTAAGTTCTTCTTCATAAACTGAAGCTGCTTCTGTTTTTTGTGAAGCGGTTTCTTCAGTTTCTAATTTGAGTTTTTCTTCTACGTCTTTTCTTTCCTTTGCGTCGGCTTCTTGTCTCGCCTTTAATTCTTCTTCCTGTTTTAATTTTAATTCAGCGGCTTCTTTTTCATTTTGGATTTTGACTTCAGCTTCTTTTTTCGCCTTGTTTTCGGCTTCTTCTTTAGCCTTGGCTTCAGCCTCTTTCTTAGCCTTAGCTTGTTTTTTAGCTTTTGCTTCAGCCTCCTTCGTAGCCTTAGCTTCGGCTTCAATTTGTGCAACAGCTTCAGCTTCCTGTTGTGCCTTCAGTTCAGCTTCTTTTTCTTTACGAATCTTTTCTTGCTCCTTTTGCGCGTTTTCTTCAGCTAGTCTTTTTGTTTCGATTTCTTCCTTTTGTTTTAATTTTTCAGCTTCCTTTTTGGCCTTTTGCGCCGCTTCATTCTTAGCTTTCTTTTCAGCATCTTTTCGATTCTTGGCTTCAGTTTCTTGTTGTTTTTTATTTGACTTTTCCTTTTGCTGGTTCTTCTAAAGTAAATTAAAATGAAAAAGTTGTAGAATTTTTTTAAACATATTTCAAGGGTTTTTAATTCTACAACTTTTTAGTTCTTTTGGTTTACCTATTGTCTTAACTTAATAATTCCTTGTTAAATACTTACTACTTCACCATTTTGTTTGGCTTCTTGCTTCTTAACGACTTTTTCAATTACTTTATCTTCGCCATTCTTGGGTTCCGTTTTCGAATATCTAACAGGCACAGATTGAACTTTCGTGGGTATCAACCATGTGCATTCAGTGTAAACCAACGTTTTCCTTAAAAATTAAAATTAGTTTTTATTAATATATATTTAATAATTGTTTAAAGGCAACAACTTCAAATGCTGATGGTTTTTAACACATAAAATAACCGTATAAATATCAACATGACATTTCAAAATTATCATACCAATTGGCAACGAAATCACGCTTTTTCTGGAGCGCCTGCCATTTGTGATGAGTACGAGAACGTACTGGACAGTACACGTGACGCCTACGAACAGCTTTTTCTGATTTCATGATGATTTCTAAAAATGACAAAATTTATTGTTTAAATTCTGATTATGAAAATAAAAAGTTAAAAATAAAAACTTTAAATTAAAACCAAACACAAATACAAAAAATATAAATTAGCATAGGAACATACGATATAGTTGATAAAGTTTCAGAGACCTACGCAGCCTTCTTAAAATTAACAAAGAATAGTAGGTAAAATTAATGTGAAAGAAACAAAAATAGAACCTTGAAGCCGTTAGATAGTTGTATATTTTCGTTTAGAAAAACCAAGTGAGAGCAAGAAATGTTCAAAAAGTTTGTTACAGAAAGGTTAAGAGAGCCCCTCGAGGCGGAGCTAACAACCCCCACGCGTCAACCGTTCCAAAGCTTAACAGCGGCACAAATGACAACAATATACACGGCAAAAACTTCATTAACGAAGTATTTTCTTTAAAACACCGTGGAATACCCTCTTCAAAACCACAATATTTAATTAAAAGCTCTTTTGTGAAGCATTAAATTACTATTTGTAGGAAAAAATTGTAGATTAAACAAAACAGTAGCTGATTCGGAATCGTTAAAACTGAGTTTTTATTGCCATTTTACATAATTATAACTACTTTTGACAAAATCTCTTTCTAAAAAATAACCTTTCTGTCCCTATACCATGCAACACAAATTTTTTCCCCCATTTCTTCGTCAAGTCTTCCGTTAAAAAACAGCCGGCTGTCTGAACGTCATCAAAAGGTTCAAAAAAAAAGAGTGAGAGGTCGCAGGCCTTTTTTCTTCGTGCGAATGAATTATCCCTGTCAGGTAAACAGGGTCGTTTTGGCCTAACTCCGCCGAAACTAATGGCTCAGCCAAAATTTTTATTTTTTATAAAAAATAAAAAAGTAAAGGTATACCTCAATACAAAAAGTAAATAAAAATATAGTTAAAACAACCTACAAAATTCTAATTATTTAAATTTAAAACCCTGTAATAAGTCGATCGTAAAAATAAAAGTGAAAGACATTGTATTAAAATTGACGACGCTTTTTATTTTCAGAAAGCAACTCGGCGCCATATGGCTTTAAAAAGATCTATGAATTTAAATAAAATAACACGGATAGTATTATGAAATATGCAAATTCGTACAAGAAACAACGACACAAAAATTGCGTCGAAAACCGAAAAATAGTATCAAACGAAAAAGGAAAAAATGTCAAAATTTAACAGTATAAACTAGTTAATAGATATTATTACATATTTCTAACCTAAGTTTTTATCCCGTTTAGAAATATAGAACTTTTTATCCATACTAATCAATCAACAAAGTAAAGCAAAAAAGAAAAAAAATTTTCATCGACGAAAAAAGTCAACAAATAAGTAGCTCGTTAACGCCCTTAAAGCCCCCCGGAAAAAGATAATAGTAAAAATACGCCAACATACAACGCCGTGTTTTAATGCTTGGTATTAAAAATTCATTAAATGTAAAAGCATGATATGGTATTTCACAAATCAATAAAAACCCTAAAATAAACCGCAACTTTAAAACACAATCGCCATGTAATCATTTTCCATACATCAAAACCTTAAAAAACTTAAATCTAGAAAAACTTGTCCAAGACTCACAGAAAGCTGACACCTGTTCGTACGTTAGTACCTTTAACTCGAAAATTAAAACAACCCTTGAAAGAGGAACGTGTATTTGTTTCACGTTTCGTACAGCAAACCTTGTGATGAATCTTTTCACCGCTTTTTTTTAACAAATCATGAAATCAATATATTCTAGAAAACGCCAGGATTGATTCCAATTTAAATTTATACAAAATAATAAATCGTTTAGAGTTTACGATGACTCACACCAAAATACAAGCCACAGTTACGCACAAACTGAATTAGTAATTATGTCTATGCTTTTTAAACAAACTTTAAGATCAGTTTATACTATATGTAACTCAAGTTTTACATTGTATTACACGATGTGTAAGAAAAAAAAATAAAAAATATTCACGAAGCTGGTTAGCAAATCGTGTTTCCCAAAACGCTTAATGGCGTAACAGAACTCTAAAACCAACCAAGATTAAAATGGGCCAGCGAGCATTTTTTCATCCTTCCCCGTATGGTTTGAAAAGCATTTAAAAATGGTTTTACTTTTGTAAAAGCAAGCATGTTATCATAAATTAGTTTTTTAAATTCGTCTTGCCACGTGTAATAATCTTTTTAATTCTATAAAACTCAAATCTTCACCCTCAGAAAAGCTGAAATGGCTATTTCGAATACATGCATACTCGCATGCCCAGACGTTCATCCATGAAAACAAAAAGGAATAGTCAACAAAAAGTGGTGTTTTAGCGTTTTTTTTTTCATCTCGCATGCCCTTGGACTGGAGTCTTGTCTTTACCTCACTTTTGTTCTGTTATTTACAATAAAACGCAAAGGTCAACAACAGCGTTCCCTTAAAATTTAAACAATTTTTTTTTAACTATGTAAAATTATATGTCTAAAATAGGTGCATAAATTAGCAAAAGAAAAACTAGAATCAAAAAATTAAACTAATAATTGTCGGAACGATAAACATGCGGATGTCCCTTTAAGGTCGTCATGGTGAGAAAACACAAAAACATCTGACGCTAAGAGAATCCGTATACAATTAAACACAACGGTTTAAATATTGAATTTGCAATTGGTTAAAAAGGTTTTAAAAAAATCACCAGAAGTAAGCAGGACTCATAAAATAGTTAATACAAAGTTATACAGTCCCTCATAAGTAATATTTTTATCCCAAATATTAATATTACCATGTTTTTCGTTTTAAAGTCATTTCCGAGTTTTCATGATAAAAACAGCCTTCAACGTGACATATGTTTATGTTTTTGCGCAAACACAAAGGTCATACTCGATAAAAATATAATGCACAACAACACATTCAATTAAGTAATCATTATTTACTATTTACAATGCGCAGCGTTATCGTTTAACAGTCTAGTAAGAAAACCAATCATCAAGTTAATGAAAAATAACAATTAATTATGAAAAACGTTTTCTACTGTTATTTATATTTAACCACCAAACGGGTGCTTTCTGTGCAATTAAAGCAAAACGCAAATTTTTTACAGAAAAAAAATTAAAAAACTTATATAGAAAACACAACAGTTGAAAGCCTTCCTGACATTGAATATATTTTTACTAAATACAGTGACCACAAAATATTTATAAAACATACGTAAAATAAAGAGACAATTCAAATGGCTTGTCTACAAAGTTTCGCAATTTTTGTTTAAAATCGCTGGCTTCGTTTAACGCTGTTTCGAAATACATGTTACAATACATGAAAGAGCGTTCTGAAAGTTTAATGAAGAAGGTCAATTGCAGTGTCCTATACGAATTGCTATAAATTTCTTACACAATCTTGTCAGACATTGAACACTTAATTTGAAAACCTAAACTAAATAAATACTGCGTAAATATTATTCTCCAAATGTACCACAAATTATAATTGTTTACTTAAGCGACGTGCCTTATTAGTTAACGAAATCATATAGTCAAACTACAGGTTTACATTTATTAACTTGACAATACCCGTAAAATAAATGATCCTACAAGAAATCAGTCGTACAAGTCAATCGCTGTCAAAGAATGCTCGTATTTTGCAGGCACATTTTTGTATAACCGTTTAAGCGCTTTAAACTGTTTGTTTCTTCTGAAGCCAGCATCTGCCAAATACTCTATTTTCATGTACAATGCAGCCGACATACAAAACAATGCCTCGTTATTATATTGCAAAGAGTAAATAAACACACGCCTGAAAATGTCACGCATACAATGATTGTATATGAAAAAATCAAGACATTACTGGTTTAGCCATTAGGTTAATAAATTACAGCACATTTTCAGTATTCCGCTATATTCGAAAAATTTAAAGGTCATAATATGTTTACTCTAAATAAAAAATCTAAAAAAAACTTACAAAACAGCTCTAAAAGCATTGTTATAATCAGCAAGTTGAGCCATAGCAGTGCCATAGTATAAGATAGCTCTGCCACACATAAAATCGTCGTTCATCTTTAATGCCACTTTAAACTGTGCTTCAGAAATCTTCAATGCTTTCAAAGCCTAAAATTAGGGGTGAGAAGCGGGCCGGGCCCACTTTTGAGCCCAAGGTTTAGACCCGGCCCGTTTCTCACTCCTACCTAAAATTGTGTATTTAAAAAAACTTAAAGTCAGCATTTATCAAAAAAAAACGTAACTACACTGTTTTTACTTAAGTTCATTATTTTATACTTACCGATTCACGATCTCCACAATCGCCCAGTGAAGAAAACCCACCACCCAATGTTGACAAAAACCACATTCCACTCTCCATCCTCAAGCTTTTATAGAACACACTCAACACTAAAAGGCAACTTGGAAAATCTTGAAAGTATACGTTGACTTACCCATGAAAGTCAAGCTGACACAAATTACTTGATCTTTCAAAAATTATTATCAGATAAGCCTAAAAACTTCTCTAATTAGTAATTTTTAACTTTAGTGCATCGCCTAAAAACGGAAAAACAACAAAACACTCACTTTTTCAGTAAGTAAACCAAAATAACAACGCAAATCTTGAAACAGCCGGTCTCTGACATGATAACACAGTTTGGTTTTCTTGAGAAACAACTGAAAGTACGTCAAATCCAAAAGAAAGAACACATTTTCCAATGAACCATACTGTTGCCCATGTAGATAGAACGTTCCCAAGCATCGCCGATTTACTTTTGGTTTATAGGAACCACAGAATGTTTTCATTTTCAATAAAAAGGCATTAAAAATAAAAAATTTTTTATTCTCTCTTTATTAGTCGAAATGCCACAAAAATTGACACTTCGTTAATTTTTCATGAATATAACAATAAGTATAGTATCGGGGGTCAGAAACTTTGGAATTTTTGGGGCAAAAACTTTCGAGGCGGGTAATTTTTCGGGCAATTTCAAAAAGTTTCAAATTTCATTATAGCTCGATATTTTTTATAGGTAAAAATTTATATTTTATACAAAACGACTATTTTTTACCATAGAATAAAAAAATTTTTAAATTAAAAGTTTATAAATATACTCAAATAAACAAATAGCAGTATTAATAGTGTTAATTTTTTGGAGCCGGAACTTTCGGGGTGAGAACCTTTAGGGCCGGATTTTCAATCGTTAATTATATAAATAAAATTTAATTAACGATAACGAAGAGAGTTATTTTTTAGAGTTTTAAATTATTTTATATGTCTTAACCATAAATTCACTGCAAGCTCGTTTTGCAAGTTTACTAATTTCAGAATATAATAAAAACATAAATAAAAACAATAAAAATATTTTACTAAATTCTGTATTACAACTCGTCGTGTTTTGGTTTCAGTGCTGGATAAACGTTTTCAACAAACCAGCTGAAAGGTTTACAATCCAGTTTCTGTTTAATACTTAGGCGTTCGCTAAGATCTCCAGCATCTAAACGAGCAGCGCTCCTTCTGACTTTAAAGTAGTCTTTTTCATGATCACCCAGCCAAACTTTTGCAATTCTTAGTGTATTCAAGGCATTGGTGTCAACACCAGGTTTAGACTTATAAGGACGACGCATTCTGAAGACGTGACCAACGCGACTACAGGGTGCAATTTTAATCTTCCCGCCGCAAAGCCAAGTCTAAAATTGAGAAAATATTTGGGGTTTCTTTGTAAATATTATATTTGCAAAAATGAAAAAAAAAATTAACAGGTATGCCAATTTTCACTTTTCATTCATCATAGCGGCTTTTTTGGTCATAGATATTAATTCGTTGTTAACTTGCTCTGATAGAGATCTCGATGTTTTCACCGCCCCATATTTCCATTCCCATGTCGAATTCTCCAATTTCTTTGAAGTATTCACGATCAATTGCCATCAAGCCACCGGATAAAGCAGGAGACTCAAACGGCATTACATTATGATCTTCTGTATCGAAATACGACCAATCAAAGTATTCCCATTTAAAGTTCAAAGCCCAATCGAATCCACCTTTGGCAACCATACTTTGCTCGTACACAAAGTTTTGGGGATTAATCAAGTCAACAATTGGCGCAACGATTCTAAATAGAAATTTCTGTTTTAAAAATTTGAAACTAAAAGCATTCAAAGTTTCCTACTATCTTTAAATATCATTTCTTACTAACTCTATATTTTATACGATTTTCTTTCAAATATTTATTTTCAAAAACGTAAACTCCTTACGTTTTTCGATCTTCTTGTATAACTTTCAGCAACGGTTCCAACCATCTTTCATTGACTTCGCAATGCGAGTCCAACACAACAACGACATCTCCAGTAGCTTCTCTGGCTGCTAATGTTTTTGCTCTAATCAAACCTTGACGTTCTGTAGCTGCCAAAAACTTGACTTTTGACCATTTGTGAAATTCTGCGTACTCTTTCAATGATTCTTCGATGCTCAAGTGTGATTCAGAGTAATCGTCGAATAGAATAATTTCCTGAAGAAGGTTCTCTGGAGTACGATCAAAAATTCCGTTGATCATGCGTACAAGAACAGACAGCGCTTCGTTATGGTATATTATAATAATCGACGCTGTTTTCGATACATCGCTGTAGTCGACTTTTTCACATCTAAAAGGTGAAAAATAAAAAAATAAATCTAAACACAAAGCATCTTATAAATAATTTATAAATCTATACAATAATAAGTACGCTGCACTTTTCTAATCTATTTTATTATTTGATGTTGTCTTTTAGAAGTGTAATATAACGTTTCGCTAAACTTTCTTAACACTTACAATTCATGGAACGTCTTTGGCACATTTCTTTTCGGTCCTATTTTGTCACTTGTCAACACATTAAATGAATAGGAGTTGACACCTTCTTCGTAATACTTATAATGTTTATGTTCGTTATTCAATTTGTGTTCGGTAACATTGCATTCGCTACGATCCAACGAATCCCATTCTTTAAGTTTGCGATTAGGATTTATATGCTCACATTCGGACTCTTCAGCTTTTACTGAGAGCAAAGTAAAAAGTGCTACAATGAATACGGTGTACTCACGCATCGTCATGCAACACGGTTTTCAACTAAAAATATTTACTTTACATTCAGGTAAATGTTTTAATGTAAAAATGATGCCTTTTTATATTTTCTTACAAAATCTTAAGTTCGTACACGAAACTGTTATCGTAAAGTTTCAAAAATTTATTTATTTTATTCAAATGTAAACTATAAAAACTATTTTAACAAACTGGACAAAATCTGTTTAATGAAAAGAAAACACGACCAAAAGTGGACGGAGAAAACACTTTCTCAAGGCCTTTTTGCAGCGTCAAGGGTAACCTATCGCGTTTTATAGGTTACGCTTTTTTCTTACAACGACAGAAGTCTTCACTGCGTTGGAGATTCGCGTGATTCCAGAACAATCTCCAGTAGCTGGTTCTTGTAATTACACGTAACCAAAAAATATAAATTAAAGCGGGATACCTTATTTTAAAAACGTAGTCATAATAAGAATACAATACCTTTTTTATTTCTTGCTATTTTCCGGTCCCGAACGTTGTAAGATTATAGAGGGCCGAAAAAAAAACACTTGTATTCTACATGCTTTATTTTTATAAATTAACAATTATTTAATTATACGAAATACGAAGTATTACAATATTAAAAATCTACATAAGGCACAAACTCAAAGTGAAGATATAGAATTAGGCCCTTTATCATGCCCGGCCATCGAGTTGTTGAGCGGAGCATAGAATACGTCTTGATCGTAAATTTCCTTTTGAAAACGGTCTTCCAATTCCTAAAATTTGAGTTATATGAAAGTATGGTAGAAACAGTATTGTCTGTACAAGAATAATAAACAAATAAAAAACAGTTATGTAAAAAATAAATAAATCTGCAAGATTTACAAAAAAATGGAAATAGTGCTTAGATTTAGGCAATATAAAAAATAATAAAAAGACAACATTTATTAAACATTTTTCAACAAATAACAAACCAGCTATCGCTAAAAACAATTATTTCCTACTATTAGTAGATCATACCCAGAAAAGCTAGTTTTCATACAAAATATTAATTATTGGAGCATACCACTAATAAAATAGCTCCTTACAAATATTACAGATACAAAAGAGAACACCTATTAAAACTTATCTATAAAATTAAAAAAAGTGCAAAAATTAAAATCAATTATTGAAAACATTAAAATATTTTGCAGTCTGCAGTACTCATTTTTAATGGTCCCGCGAATATAAGTAAAATAAAAATACCGTCAACTACTGTCAGACATACAGAATAGCATTAAGACTTAAAACAAGTATCTATTGCATTGCTGAAGAACAATCGTTAAAATCATATAAATGTCTCAATTACATTTATGAAAATCATAGTGTTCCTCTCATCTTCCTATAAATCCAACTCCTAAAAGATGAATTCAAATTTTGAATAGAATGTTGAGACAAATTTTGAGTAACATCTTCCAGACTTTTGTTATAGAGTGCGTGGGGCAAAGTTGCTGAATGTACTTCAGTTCGCTTGCGCGATATCACGTTTTCGTGTTCCATTTGCCGAAAGCCTTGATACGGTCTATCCGCTTCCGAAAAACTGGTGTGAGCACTGTTTTTTGGAGATGATGTGTGTGATGCCGTTTCTTCTTCGAATCGATTGCCTAATCGACGCAGACGTTGCCGAAGGCACAATGCAAGAGTATAGTCAGGATTGAGACGTGAAGACAAAGGCTCTTCCATGTTCTGTGGAAAATAAGACGTATAATTAGATAAAATACGTATAAACTTTTTAAAAAAATGTACAGCTTTTATAAAAAGAAAACCCCCAAACCAACGTTAAGACATACCATAAACGAGACGTTTGTTAGGTAAGACTTCGACAGATTAAACTGTTGAGACGTAGAGGAACAAAAACTCTGAGAAAGACGTGGTTTAACTGAACCTGAACGTACGCGTTTTCTAAAAGGTAACTGTTGCTCCCAATCGGCCAAAACTTGTTTGTACTCTTCTTCATACTCCGCCACTTTCTGCTCTTCGCTTTTCAAAATCATTTCTGATTTTTCGGTCTGAAAAAACAAAATTAAAAGACTATTTAAATTTTACACTCCTCAAAAAATATAAAAATTGTACATTTATTTTTTACAGCTCCAAAATGTTCAGCATAAATAAAGCAACAATACTAATTTTTCGCCCCTATTAGAAACTAATTACCTGAATCTGTTCCAACTCTCTTTGTGCGATTTCGTTACTTTCGCGTAACTCTTCCAATCTTCGTTTACATTTCAGATCGTACTCGTCCAGCTTTTGTCGTATGCTTCGTTTTTCGTGCTCCTCAAAATCTCGAATTCTGTCGTGCCACTGTTGAGATGACTCATTCTAAAAGAACGACGATAAACCAGTAAGATACTGTTATGCCAGTTTTAAACATTTTATAATATGTCTAGTATTTTGCGAATATCAACGTATTCCTTTAAAAATCTGAATTAAAAGGTTTTACCGGATAATTGATCCTCAACGATTCCCTGAAGATCTGCACTCTGGTTTTACTTTCACTTCTCAGCGTTTTAGGCATGTGTTTTTTCGCCGCAGCCAGTGATCGTATGAGATGTTCTTCTGACGCCTGGTGTGCTTTCTGTATGTGTTCTGTCTCGAGAGTGTGCCTTTGCTGCATCAGGTAACGCTGGTTGTTAAAATTCCCCTAAAATAACATTTATTTCTTATCAAATAAAAGTCTTCTGTCCAATACGTAGAATCTTTAAGTTATTACAAAATTATTAAAAACTTTTAAAAAAATACAGTGGAACCTCTGTATAACGAATTGCTAGGATATTTTAAATTTGTTCGTTATAAAGAGGTTTGGTTATACAGGAGGACTTGTATAGTATCAACCGGGTTTTAAGTGTTCGTTATACAGGGGCTTCGTTATACAGAGGTTCCACTGTAATATACTAATAATATTACCTTTAGTTGCTGTCTCCGCAATGCAAACCGTTCTTTCATTTGCTGTCTTTCCTGTTCCCACAACGTGCTTTCCACTGTTCGCTGCAAATCCTGTTTATCTTTTAAGAATTGTCGATCTAACCGGGCTAAAGCCTCTTGATGACGTTGTTGAAGATCATCCAACACCTTGTTTGCAGCCATTTGTCTGTGAGCAAAAAATGAATTCTCCTAAACAAAAGCTACAGCTCTCGTTTTCAAAAAAGTAAAAATATTATTGTATATTAATGCAAAAATTTGAACTTAGCAAACTTAAAAACAGCCGCATAAAACTTAAAGTTACCCTGTTTGCTTGTATGTGTTCCAATTGCTCTTTTCTAATTCTAAACGTATCTTTTCGTTGATTTTTTGGTAATAAATCCGTCTCGTATTTTAAACGCTTCAGCTCTTCCCTTTGTTGAATTTGGAAATCACGGTATTCCTTCTCTTGAGTTATTCTTATGTTCTTTGCCACTTGTTTTTTCTCTTCATCTTGTATTCGCTCTAACTCTTCCATTCGTTTCTTTTGTAATTTGCATAACTGTTCCATTTCAGTATCAAAAGCTTTGATAACGTTCTAAAGTCATTCTTTATTATCAACTTAATTCGTCAGCTGTAACAAAAAAACATGCATCGTTCAAAACTCAATGTTTACATAAACTTTTGTGAGAATTTCCTAAAACATGACTTACGTATCTAAAGTCAGTAAACTTTCGATCTTGAACTTCCTTTTCTTGTTCATTTCTTTCATTTAGTAACTGTCGGTCCCGGGCTTCTTGTCTTTGCAGTCTTTTCAATTCTTGAAGTTCTTTTTTCCTAAAATTGAGTTTTTTTGTAAAAATTAGAATGGGTCATCAAATTATAAAAATACCACATTAAATTTTTGAAAACCAAAAAAAACTCTATTAAATCTTAAAATTTAAATAATTACCTCATAGCATAATCCTGCTGTGCCCCAAGAACGTGTAAGGTCGTACTAGTAACCTGTACCCCATCTACCATGTACGTTCTTGTCTTTCGCGTCACCGTTGCCCTATTAGGTTGCTGCCGATGTAACATTGAAGTAATTTGTGGTATTCCTTGTAATTTAGCACTATTTATAGAGCCCTGACTTTCAATCGGTCGATTTTCTTTTTCATTACAGTAATCTATCTTCTTCAAAGATTCAGATGAACATGATGGAAGCTTGGGCTCCTCGTCCGCCGCCTGTCTTAAATGTGGATTGTTTTCCATTGCTGAGATTGAAGATATGGGTTCGACATAAACATCGCGTATATGTTTCGACCGCCGTGGCGACGTACTAGAACGTAGAGAATTTCCATCGGATTTGACAAAACTTTGAGGCCTATCCACATTGAAAGCATTATTCCTGATACTAATATTTCTTGAAGTTGAAAATCCCTGGTTGTTCTTTGTTTCGTCGTAATCAATTGGTGGTTCAGGAGGTGGTGGAGTTGAGTTTTCTAAAGTAAAACTTTAATTCATGAAAAACCAACTTGGTTAAACAAAATTTATATTCCAATTTGCTTCGTATCTAAAAATAAAAAAAACAATTCAAAGCGCCCACCTTCATCATTATCGAGAACATTATCCAAATCATCCAGAATCTCAAGCGCTTCTTTTCCTGGCGAAATGTTTCGTTTTTGTTTTGGACTGTTTTCAGAAATCTGTAGTTCGCTCAGTGGTTCTTCAAAACGTGTTAAACTTTTAGCAAAACCATTTCGACATGGTGTCTCTTTAACATCCTGATTCTACAAATGTTAATACAAATACAAATAAAGAACAAATAAGTTTTCCCAAAAAATATTGCTTTAATCAACGAAAAGATGTTAAACTTAAGTCACCATTTTTACGTACCTCCTCAGTCCTATCTTGATGTATTGCCAATGGTGTATGGTCCTCATCAGGAGGTTTTGGAGCAGCAAATCTTTTCTTAGCCACTTTCCCATTAACTTCATTCGCTATCGGCGTGGCATCTGGACTTAATTTTTCAGCCAACCGCTTGTGGCCATGTGAAAAATCAGAAGACGTACCAGGAGCCGAAAACTTTTGAGAACCAACCTCTGACGACGAATCAAAATCAACAGTTTTTACCGAACCTGACTCATCAACAGAGCCTGTTTCTTCTAGTAGCACCTCTTCATTTACAATGTCAGCATTCTTTTCGTTTAACAACATGATTATAGGTCGCTTGTCCGGTGCCTCGTTCACAAAGGGATGCTATAAAATTTATAAAAATTTTCAACGCTAAATTCATAAACCAAAAGTTTTAATTTTTTACCAAGAAAATTTCAATTAAAAACCCACCGTTTTTAAATTCTTTGCTGCCGGCCTATCGTTAGGATTTTTTACCAAACAACTAGCAATAAAGTCATTAAACAGTGTCGACCAACGTTGCGGATTGTCGAGAGTAGGAGGGTTGGCTTTCTGGATCTTCACAACCACTCGAATTGTACTTATTTGATAATGTGGAGGATCTACTTGCGCCATTTCGATACATGTTATACCCAACGACCAAATATCAGATATGCAATCGTACGGATTGTCTTTGAACGTCTCACACACTAAAACTTCCGGCGCCATCCTAAAGTTTATAAATAAATAAGTTAAAAAATATAAAAAGGAATTTTTTGACCTCCCCCCCTCTCAAAAGAAAAACCGTAGCGACGCCCCTGACAAGCAAACTTCGAAAAAAAACCAATTTGCTTCATTGTTTTGATTTTAAATTAAGTAGTAAAAACAAAGTAAATTTAAAAAGAAATTGGGCTAAGCCGGTAATCGAAACCGGGACCTCTCGCACCCGAAGCGTGAATCATACCACTAGACCACTCAGCCGCGCTTTCTTCGTGTATTATTTTCCTTCGCAAATTGTTGCCCGCAAATCAAGTCAATTTTAAAGCTTTACGCATTTGAAGATAGATTTTTGTATTGTACCACCGTTTTCTATACCCCAAGGCACTAAAAACGTCAACACGAAAAATTTTAAATAAGCTTACCAATACGGGGTTCCTATGAAGGTAGTTCGTTTTTCATTTTTTTCCTTCATCATGGCCGAAACACCAAAATCTGCCAATTTTACAGTTCCATCCGATGTTAACAAAATATTCCCGGCCTTCAAGTCACGATGTATTACCAAATTAGCATGAAGATATTCTAATGCTAACAGCACGTAATGTGTAATATAACAAATTTGGCTTTCATTCAACGGCTTCCCCAATTCCAACATTATATCGTCGACCGCTCCTCCAGCGCAAAACTCTAACATCATCTGAAAATTTCAGATAACAAATAACATAACGTGTAAACAAACAAAATTACAATGTAAACTTTGACCTTACACTTATTTTGTTTTCGATAAAATATGCATCAATTAACCCAACTACATTTGAATGAGGGTACGCACTCAAAATGGCAATTTCGACTACTAAATCTTCTAATTCTTCTCCGTCCTCAAGGGAAATGCACTATAAATAAGCTTTATAAAATAAAAATTATCAATTAAATAATCAATCGAACAAGCTTTTTAAAAAATTGTAAACTATTATTACCTAAAAATTCATAATAATCATTAAAAACTAACCTTCGCTGCTGCAAATCTCCCATGATCGTTTATTCTTTGCACTTTCTGCACCATTCCAAAAGCTCCATCGCCAAGGTCTTCAACAACTTGCCATTCCAATGCCGGATCAACATCATACTTGATCACATGAGTTAACAATCTTTTAGTAGAAGCTGGTTGAGAACCACTACGAAAAAAACTTTTAAATCTGTCAATAATTGGTGCCATACCCAAAAGCTTTCACCTCATCTAAAAAAATTAAATAAGAAGTTTAAAAAGAAAGAATAAAAGTTAAAAAGTTGAAATTTCCTAAAAACACATTATTTTATTGCTTTTGACACTTTATTTCAAGATTTTGCCTAAAATGCACAAAAAGCATTGAGAGAAAAATAAACCAAAATTTTGCTGTAAAAAACAACTAATCATAAATTACAGTTTAAAATCAAAGGATTTCCTTTAAAACACGGCTAATCCGTCAGAGAATTCGATTTTCCGACGACAAAATGAAGCGAAAAAATGTTTTCGAAAGGGAAATTTTTACTTTCAAATGAAGAAATTGCGCCAAATTTGACGGGTTTTAATCAAGCGAACTAAAGCAAAAGATAAAACCGGATTTCAGAATTAGAAATAATGAAAGTTTTTTAAACAATCTACAATATGTCGGGACCGTTTTTAAACTTTTTATCTTAATGTAATTCCAAGAAAGAAGTAATATGGGCATTAAAGTTTTGGAAAAAAATCTAGGAAAGAAAAAAGTCAGTTGATTTTATAAATGGTTCTAAATCTTTGTTTTATTTTACCAATAGTTCTAGCAGTGGGCATTGCCCTACTTCTGTTCTTCAATTTTAGGCTAATCCCGATTACACAACGTAGACATGAGGAACCTTATACAAAAAATATCGGTTTTCCTATAAAAATCGTATTCTGATTCATAGGGCCATTGAAACGTATGTCTCAAAAAAAAGAAAAATGAGTCGCACATTTGAAAAGGCGATTTTAAGCATTTTTAAATTTAAATGGATTCATAGGTTTTTATCGGTTATGGAATAAAATACGAATGTAATAAACGTCAAGATAAAAACGAATATTCTTGAAGCAATCAAAAGTTCTATCTTAAAAATTTTTCAGACAATGTATGATGACTGATGCAATGATTAAAAAATCTCACATCAAAAATACAATGAAAAAATAGCTAACGTTTGTAAAACACGCTGTATGAAAGACAATTAAAATTGAGGTTTTAAAAGGTTTTTAATTCTTAGAAAATCATCAACGTGTGTTTGTTATTTATTTATATTCCCTAGCTCTATGTAAAAGTTGTATAAAAATTAAATAATTCGAACCCAAAAGAATTTTCATACAAGAAAAAATGTTTGAACAAGTTGAAGATAAATATAAGGCGAGGTAGTGCAAACGCAGAGTGGTATTTTTTTGCGCTCTCGACGAAAAAGCGAAAATCTTGCGGTAAATTCTTTCACCACTCTCTGCGATTGCACTGCTCCCTTTCGTTCGTTATAGTTTTATAGGGGCTTTTGTACGAGCAGAATTTGTTTGTCTGGATGTCTATATTCGATGCGGTATCTCTCATTGCTTCGATTGTGCGCGCTAAATGAAAAAAAGGAGTATGGAGATGGATTGATTAAGATAAACTATGCGTTTACAATGTTACAAATTGATAAATATTAGTAACGTAATGCTAATTTCAGCCCCAAAATAACTTCAGTACCAAAAAGTCAAAACAAATCCAATGCAGTACCAATAAGCTAGCTTTAGTACCAAACGCAAATTTTAGTACCTAGCAGTCAAAAGAAACACACTTGGTACCAATAAGCTAATTTTAGTACTGATACTAATTTACATTGTGATCGTCCATGATTTTTTTGCACATATTTGTTTTCCGCCCATAATTGCTTTCGCCCATTGTTGGAATCGCCCATGTTTGTGTTTCCAAATTAAGCAAATTTTTACATAATTTTAAATAAAAGTAATTAGCTTTAAAATTATATTCAATGTTTATTTTTAATAAAATTTTTGGAAACATCATTTCAATAAAAAATATTATCTTTTTTTCTTTACGAAAATTACGTTTAACTTTTCAAAGCTATTGTTAAGATGAAGATATTTGTGATGCTGAATGATGCGTAGTGGGATCGTGTACAGTCGATCTTTTTTGACAAAAAACAACGCCACGGATAAATTCTCTGTGTGTTTTAACAACAAGCAAAGAAAATGTTCCATTAACCGCCGGTAACCATGAAATTGGGATCATCACGAGGATCCCAAGTGTTTCGTTTTGCACTTGGAAAATAGTACAGAATGTCAGTAGACTAATTGGAGTAAATGAAAACAAAAACGCCGTTATACCCTAAGAAGTTTAACGTAAAACTATGTACATAAAAACTAAGGTTATTCCTTCTTTTGGAAAATTATATTACTTTAATTTTAGTTGATTTACTACAAACCTGTATAACGATGACTATAGTAAACTGTCGTTGTAACTTTTTTGTATTTTGGCTTGTGTTATTGACGTTTCCATATACAAAATGTAATATTTTATAAACGTAATATACTGAACACCAGAAGAATATAGTAGTAACAGCACCCACAAAGTAGAAGTATATAAAGGCTTCAGTGTAACTCTGAAAGGTGTATAAAGTTGAGGCAATATAATTAACTGCATAATAAAACTGACTTACAGTATCTAATGCGTACGCGTAAGTTTTATTTCCTTCAGTGGACCAATAAGGGCCAATTTTGCTTAAGTAGTATTTAGGTGGATTTTCGCGAGATAATTTAAGAGGCCATATTGAAACGTCACCACAAATAAAAGCTGCTACACCAGCTATTAGTAAATTGCGAATTAAAAGTGCTGAACCAACACGAGATCTGTAATTATTTTTTATGTAAATAAATGCTGTTACCCCGTAAATTGTTTTGTATGTGTTATGCAAATTTTCGACTTTAAGAAAAAAATACCGTGACAACAACGCATATCGGTAGTGATACTGTGCTAGCAAAATGTATAAACCCATACTGCAAACAAATATATGTAGGAGATAAAATACTGGATAATATTCTGGAAAGTATTTTTCTACTCCTTTAGGTATCATTATCATACAACCATCTTTTGTTACCACTTGCTAAAAATGTTACTCTTATTTAGAATTGCCGTACAAACATGTTTTTATTACTCTGAAAAAATTTAAAAGTTACATGTTGCGTTAAAAGTTCTACTGTAGAGAAAACAATGTCGTAAACAGCCGAAGCTTGCAGCATTCGAGCATATTCCATAGTTGATTTGTTTGAAGTAACATTTATAGCAACTAACAAGACTAGGTTTAATAAAATTCCAAAAAAGCTGCCAGTCGTATCCCATAGCCAAAAAAGAACTTGTAAGTAACGCATTTTTATAAAATCAAAGAGGAATTAAGTGAATAGAGTTAGAAATAGCGAATAAGTGTTGCGGTAAAAACGGTTAAATATTCAAAATGTAATGTTAATATGAAAAGAATCTCGAATTTTTAAATGCTAATTTATTCCGTTACTGTACTAGGTAACGTAAGTGTGTAAAATGGGTATTTTTATCCGTAAATTTGCTCAATTATAAAATTATCATTAAAGCGCTTAGCTGTAATTTACATAATTATACAAAATTAGTTGTCGTTTTTTGCCTTTACGAAATTGAATTTAGTATATTTTTTGGCAGTAACTGTTGAACTTAAAATACCACTGCTCATTTTTTTAAAATAAAATAATAGGGATTTAAATAAACGCATATTTTGACAAACCAGTAACTTCTAATATCAGCATCGCATACAATAAATAAGGTCTTCTTATGTAGGCAGTAAAACATAATGAAAGAATAAAGACTTAGTAGGGTAGGGTAGGGTAGGGTAGGGTAGGGTAGGGTAGGGTAGGGTAGGGTAGGGTAGAACTTAAACAGGTAGTGGAAGGCTTAAGTAGGCAGAAGTAGGGCTTAAATGGGCTGGGGTTATCTTGGTCTGGGCTAAAAGGAGCAGGGGCAAATGGTGTAGAGCTAAAACGACCAGTGTATGCTTGGAAAGGGGTAATATCGGCAGGAGTAGACTTGGGTAGAATATAACAATTTTGAGCAATTTTGAGCAGGGCAGGTTAGGTACCTCCTCTGTAAACCGGCTTTTAATACGTTACTGCTTTAATTTTAATTTTCTAAAAGCATTGCTTACAAAATTATAAAAATTGTAAAAATTACATTTTTTGTGATAACTTTTCATTTTTACAAATTTATTTTAAAATGTGGCTATACTTTTTTTACATTTTATCATTTTCGCTGGTGGCGTCTAATGGATTACCTGAAAGAGAACGTGCGAAATTTCTCACTAATATTCTTCGAAAGTTGATAATGACTCATTTGAATCAAGGAAGTGTTCCACGAGTAATTGAACCGCGATTAAATTACAAGCATGACTTTATCTATATTAAAAAAGTAAGAAGATTTACTTTAAAGTTGAAAATGTTTTAAATTTAAAAACAAAAATAAATTTTAATTTCAGGACGTAAGTGATAATGCCAAGACACCTCGTATTGTAAGTTTTTAATGTTACTTTTTATTTGTTATAATTAATTTTAATGTTCATATCTTTTATAGTTATAAATTTTGGATGGCTAAAGATATATTTGTAGCTTCAGTGCGACGAGCCTTTAAATTCTGGAGCGTTACCACCATTCGTGAACGCGCTGCATAATATGATTCATATTAAGAACGACACTGCTGAAAAATACGTTGATTGTTGGATAGAACAGTTACAAGATCCGCAGAACCATATTTGTCAGCACAAAAATTCAAGTTGTGTCATTGTTCTTGCAAGGAACTTTACATTGTTAACTTGTTTAGACGTGGGTTTTTAATTTTTCAGTGTACTTTATATGACTGCTAAAATCATGATTAAATCATACTTTTGTACAACAAAACTTTTATGACAAAATTCCTTCATAGCGAACCAATTTTAAATCTCCAGCGATTTGTTATACGGGAGTTCCAGTGTATAAAATAATCCTAATAATTTAGATAATGTTTTTTTTTCTTTTACTTTAGGTTAAGACATATAACTTTACCGCTCCAAAACTTGGTCCTCATTTTTTACATACAAAGTATCCTATAGTACAACTGAATGGTCAGAATCTCTTTCAAAGTTTAACAGACTGCAAAGATCAAAGTGAACATAAAACATGTAGATTACTCACAGTGAACGCGTTTCAACATGCAATATTGGAAGACTTGAGCTGTTGCTGCAACGGAGAGAACTGTGTCGATGTTATACTAGACCAAGTAAGTAAAGAAAATTTAGGGGTTATCGTCGTAGGGTTTTTTATTGCTAAGATAGAAATACGCGAAACTCAAAAGCGGTAGTAAGATTTATTCCCAATTTCTAAAAGCTATGATTTATGGCTGGAGACTTATACTTCAAATTTTTTTCACAAAAATATTTTTTTTCTCAGTGAAAACCAAAAAATGGCGCAGGAAAATACAAAATTCTGCGCCGTTTTAAAAAGAGAGCACAATAAAACAAGAGACAATAGAGAAAAGACTCTCTCTCTTTCAAACGATATTTTTTTCAAATGGCGCAGGATTCTGTATTTTTCTGCGCCATTTTTTAATTTTCACTGAGAAAAAAAATATTTTTAAAGAAAAAAATATGAAGTATAAGTCTCCAGCCATATTTAATAACAGACTATTTAAAAATTTTTTAAAATAAGATTATAATATATACATTATTAAACTTAAAAAGTTTAAAAAGTTTTTACAGTAAATTTTATTTAAGTAAAGCTTATTATTGATCAAAATTTAGGCTAGCAATGGCCCAATAATGCGAATTCAAATCGACCTTTCTGTGTCACATGCATCCAAACCCATTTTCATGAACATCGGTTATGCGAACAAAGTGAGAAGTGATAGCAATTACGATTGGGTTGTGTGGATTATGCCTATTCCATTCTTATTAGTTATCTTGGGACTCGCGATATACTTTTTCTACACAGAATGTAGCATTGAGAAGCAACGGAGTGACTTTACCTTAAATTTGTATCACGAAGGACACACAACCCCGTTGGAAGAAGTAATCATAGAGCTGGCTAATAAAGAATGATTTTATTTCTCATGTTTGTTAAAGGGATATATACATATAATTTTGATTTAGTTTTAATATAAACAATTTTGTAAAAATATTTTTATTTGTTGAACGTTGTTATTCAGTTTCATTATTTTCAATCAATTGAGTTTTATATTGTCGTTGAAAATAGTATTTTAAATGTTAAGAATTATTGATGATTCAATGAGATGTAAAGCTTGGTGAGCTTGCATTTTTTCCGGTAGTTGTTGAGACAGTTGCCGTAGGTTTAATATTGATGCTTTTTAACAAACAAAAGTTTGTCAAAAAGTAGTCACGATATCGTTTAACTCCCATAAGCGAAAACATTCCGTTAACAAAAGGTAACCATGAAAGAGGCATCATAACAAGAACACCGATAGCTTCAATGTGTAGGTAGAATAAAACCGCAACAGCAACTAAGCTAAGTGGAATAAATGCAAAAAAAAATGTATTGATACCCTAAATTGTTTTCATAAAATATTGCTTATTCTTTTTAACATCATGTACACACTGTTAAAAATATAACTGTTACATGTCTTGCGTTTTACTCTTCTTTAACCACGTACCTGCATAATGATGACTTTTGTGAATTGTTGCTGAAGTTTTTTGGTTTTTTCGCTTTGTTTATTCTCAGAAGATCGTATGAAAGTCAGAATTTTGTAAATGTAAAAAATAGCAGTTACAAAAAAGATGTTTGATAAGATTCCAGCAAGGTAAAAATAAGTTAATGCTGATGTGTCTTGCTGCAGGAATTAAAGTGGTTTAAGTACAAACAATGCAAATTATTTTAAGAATAATAAAACTTACTAGTTGATGTTATTTTTTAATTATAAAAAATATTATCAAAATTTTAGATAAAAGAATTACCGTGTCCATTGCAAATATATAAGTTTCATTTCCTTCTGTTGCCCAGTAAGGACTTATTTGTGACCAATAATATTGAGGATCACGACTCCGAGATGAATATTGCCCAAAAATACCAGGAATTGCATTTGCCGTTGCTCCAGTTGCAGAAATAGCTAAGTTCCGAAACAATGTAAACGTTGATACACTAGACGGACTATAAATTTCAGTTTTATTTTTTTGTTTTTTTGAGGGGTTCGTTTGATCTTACTATTCATAACACAAAATATTTAGAACGTATAAACAGTAAAATGGCTTACTCTGTTAACAACTTGTAGCGATAATGATACTGTGCTGGTAATATAAAACATCCCATTGAACATAGAAACAAATGCGGGAAGAAAAACAAAGGGCATATTTCATGATTAATCATGTTTTCAATGCCTTTTGGTATAATAAACATTATTCCGTTTTTAATTACTAACTCCTAAACATGCTATATTATGTGAAAAAATATAAATTTAAGAACAATACTCTAAAATTTACTTATAATTTGCAACTTACTGAGTTATACTTATGCCTATTTAAGTTATGATGGAAAGAAAAAAAATTAAAGTTATGATGCAAAATTAAGTTATGATGGAAAGGGCTGGGAGAACCTCCGCTTAATTTTTTTTTGAAAAAAAATTGAAGGTTTCATGTAGGCTAAATTTTTTCGATAGCTTCCCCCTCCCCCCCCCCTCTCTCCAGGAGCTCACCCGGTACTGTTGATGAACTTACGTGTTGTTGTACTATCTCCACTAGACTAAAAGTAAAGTCGTAGCATGCTGACACAACCAGCATTTTAGAATAAGCGTTTGTAGTTTTATTTGCCGTTTTTGAAATGACAAATAATACGCAAACGTTGGTTACCATACCCAACAATGATCCTGTTGTATCACTTATGCGATAGAATAATTGTAGGTCCATGTTATAATTCTTACTTAATTAAAGCCAAATAAAATAATACGATAAGTCTAAAACCAACTGAGGTCTTTAAGCAAAAAATAATGCAACAAAGTTAGTTATATAGGTGCTTACTTACGTATATTAATCTTAAGTAATCTAAGCAGATTCTAATTTCTTAGAAATTGTGTTCTTATGTTTCATAGTCATAAGAATCTATAAAAACACAAAGATTAAGTTACCGTAATATAAGTAAATTTTTTGTTAAAAATAAAGATGAATATTTGCAGTTGTAATATTTATTTCAGAAATAGTATTTCCTTAGTAAATAGTTTTTAGTATATACATGATAAATACCCGTTAACTGACAACTAAAAATTATTAAAAAGTTTTGTGTCTTATAAATCTACAATAAAGATTATAATTTAAACATAAACTTAAAAACAGCTAAAAAATTTTTAAAAATTTAAATGAGTGGACAATCAATAAAAACCGGGCAACAAATTGCAAATTATTTAAACAAAGATAAAACAATGAGCCTATTGGATAATAATGTAATGACTTATGCTAAAATAATACACAAATTGTAAAGTACAATGTAAATACAAAATTAAAATATATTACAAGAAGGTTTTTCAAATATTGTCTCTTCCTAAATCATCATAATCTTTAAACGGTACCGCTGTTATGTGTATAGTACTATCATTGACGCCCATACGATTATGCATTGTGTTTAAACAAACTCCCATCGACGAAATCGGCGGGTAATCAGAAGGCGATAATTTCAATAAACTTTGATCATCAAGTATAGCATGTTGCGGAATGATGGTTGTAGGACGATGATAAGCCTGGTAAGCACCATTTCCATTCGTTTGGCTTGACCCTCGGACTATTCGTTGTGTACGAATTCCGCCATTGTAATTGCGCCACGGAACGTCGTATCCAGAATCTGAAGTTGACGTGTTTTGAGTTGATGGACTAGAGGATTCCGAACGTCGCATTGAACGCGACAACTTTCGATTAATCCGACACATCACAGCGCAAGCAACAAGCAATGTTAAAGCTAAAATTGTTGTCACAATGCTGATTATAGTAAGTAGGGTCGAAGAAGCATCTGCAACTTGTTTTTCTTCAGCAATTATCGACTCCGCGTTAAATATGCACCACGGACATGCATTTTCATGCACACTCAAATATATTACTGCTTTAAAACAGTTTCCTTTCAGATTAAAGTGGTATAACTTGCGATCAGAACTCTGCAAGAATAGTATTACTTTTAAGTTACTAGTATCTTTTACTGTTGTGTTTAAAGTTATGTTAGCTAAAAATACCATTTTCAAAGATAATCTATGTTTTAATCCGTTTTTATTTACGTAATAAAGTAAGCTCAATTTAGTATTCTACTCTTACTAAGATTACATAATGCCAAAATCACACATAGATTTTCTAATGTCACAGCAAATACATTCCAGCTAGCAGTTCAAACTACCTTCTTATTTTCTTTGATGAATTAAAAGCACATTCGTTATACTTAAATTTTTAAAATCTTACTTTAATGCCAATATTTTTAATGTTAAAAACACTTACAAGTTCATCAACTGGTACAAGTAGCTGATGTTTTGTGGAATTGTCGCAAGTTCTAACGAAATTAAAAGCAGGGTCCGTACCAATAATTTCAGCGTATACATAGACATCACTAAGTTTTATTGAATCAACTGGGTTGCTAACCATTCGATCCAACAAGTCGCTCTGTTATAAAAAAAAATTTTTATTAACCTTTTATTTTTTGTTAATTATTCAAGTATGCTAAAGTACACAATTGAGTGTTGATGCTTAACCATAACAAAGAAATCAGACTAGAAACAACCTATTTGTTCATAAAACAAAATTATAGTCATTACTAAATAATATTTGAATTTAAAATTTACTTGAAGTGTGTTGTTAAGATTGAGCAAAGATGATAAAGTCGTATCAAATCCAGTCTTCAATTGGGTTTTGAGTTGAGGCTCACGACACAGCTCGCTTACAATGCAGTTTGGTTCAAGTTGAAATCTCTTTAGTTCCATTACCATCCATTTAACATTATATGCCGTTGTAATCCAAGGCAGAACAAATGAGTATATAAGGAAAAAATGCATTTTCTTATATGTATATCCTATAAAAAATTGTTGTCATAATATATCAAACGTAAAAAATTGAGCAATTTTTAAAAGCTGAAGAAATTTTTAGCAACTTAAAAAAAGTTGTCATTACAATTAACAAACGGTTAAATAAACGCCCTTCAATTGTGCCGAGTGACCCTCCCTTTTTGCGGCACCCATACTAACTATTTTTCGGTTACCCTTCCTCAATTTTCTTAAAAAAGTCGCGCACTCTTGACAATAGCAAATGAGAAAAACCAAAATACGTCACAATACCTTTAAAAAAGCAGAAGGAAATTGGTTGAAAAGTTACAAATAACGGTTGATTTAGTCAGGTTACACAAATTTAAGTTTTTAGCCAAATAAATTTAATTTTAATCTTAAAAACGTTATTTTTAATGTCAGGAAACCATAATTTTGCAAAAACATATAACATTAAATTATTCTTGAATACAGCGTTCAAGATCAGACATAGTTGACCTATCGTAACGTTTCTTTGCTATCGCAGTGACGTGTCGTTAATAACAAAGCCTTATTGTTTATAGCACCCCATCAACTTTAATTCGTTGTATCGCAACTTCGAGCGCCAACTTGAAATTAACATACATAATAATTTCATTTAAGTTGTGGAATAGACATGTGCACATGCATGTGTTTCTTACAAAGAAAGTTCCCGACCTGCCCCGCTCTGATTGACTTCAAACTTTTTATAAAGAAAGATCATGTAAATATAAGATCTTCAGCAAAGTACTAAATCGCGCTTTCCAGTAAATCTCGAACAAATCGAGATTAAAAAATGACATTTTGAATTTCTTGCCAACTTGGCATTGTGTTTTAAGCTTGTAACTTTATAATTTATTGACTTTTAACTATTTTTTTTCGATATACTAGTAGAACACCTTTAAATGGCACTACATTTTTAAATTTTTTGTAAGCGTATCTTGTCTGGAAAACCAAAAAAGTTTTTTAAACACAATGCCAAATTTTCCAAGTTGGCGGGAAACCCAAATAATTTATATTTAAAACTCAAAAAGCTAAAATTTCTTATGGGTACTACTGGTGGTACAAAGAATTCATATAAAAATTTTGAGCTGATTCTGAGCGGGGCAGATAGGGTACTTTCCATGTTATTTAAAGCAAAAAATTGTGTTTTAATGTTAGATAGTTAAAAATAATATAACAATTACTCTCTAAAAAATAGATAAATTGGGAAAGTTGTCATAAAACCAACTAATATCCTAACCAAGTAATTAACATTGTACCGCGTTATTCTGACATTCAGCTTCTCTGCGAATCCGAATTACTAATTTCGTGTTGAGTTTATGAATTATTAATAAAGCCAAATTTTTGGCAAAGGTAAAATGCTAATTCAAAAAAAAATTCTTTTAGTTAATGTTAAAAAAGTTTTTTTTTGATCCAACGTTTCATAAACGTTTTTCGATAAAAAAACTTAATTAGTTATATTATGTGAAATATGCTATACAAAGTAATCACAAATGCCTGAATTGGTTATTAAACAAAAGCAAAAAAACGTTTCATGCTAAACGCAAAATATTTTCAAGAACTACGTTTAATTTCAATTCCTGATTGTTATCTAATGTTGTTCTACTTTAAATTTCAAAAAAAAAGAAAAGATGTATACTCCTTTCACTTGTGACATCTAAAACACAGGTTATTCTTTTTTAAACATTTACCTTCTAAAACATTAACTTTAAAACAAATAACTTCGCTCCTAAATCTTATAATCCCACAATTTGTAAAAGCGGCAATATCTTTTGATCTATTCAGAATAAATTCTTTAAAATCTTATAAAAATGAACGCATTGTCATTATCGGCATACATTCCTTATAAAAACCGACTAAGACGTAAACATACTTGTTAATAAAGGTCATGGTTGTCATAACAGCGTAAAAACTAAGTGCCAACAAACTATTGTTCGAAAAAGTTGAAAATGGTCTCTGCGGCTTAAGATGCAGGCATTCATTAGTTTTTTTAAAAAGCGGCTTTTTTTTGTAATTTTATGATGCCTGGCTAACAGAATCATGAAAATCATTACGTTAGTCTACGTGTCATAAACGCCTTGATCCAAACGCGCTATCAAAGAAAACTTCAATGGGGAGAAGATTTGGTTAAAATTGTGGTTTTTAATTTTTTGGTGAAAAAAAAACCGCAACCCGCACTTAAAAAATTGTTAAATGTCTGCCGCCTAAATCATAATTCAATTATTACATTTTAAAATCAAGTAAATAAATTACTATAACTTAAAAACTTGACAAACCACACAGTTTCTCACCCCACCTGCACCCGTACTCAATATTTTCTGAGCATGAACGTCTCAAATTACGCGCTTTTTTGTTCAACAAGACGGCTTTATTCTTTCGGTAACCCGATCGGCACAGTTTGTTGTTTTCCAATCTTGGCATTTCTATTTCGACCCTTTTAAACCTTAAAACTAATAAAGTTGGTCTTACCTACATTTTTAAAACCTAAAAACAATTAATTATACTTAAAAAAATATCACCACAATTAATTTATATAAGCAACATAATCAAAATAACTTTTCTTTAAAAATTTTGACCGAATACGGATTTTTCCAGAATTAAAAAAATTTAAAAATGTCAAAAACACAGTTGACGCTAATTTTTCAAATGCGGTATTAATTTATAACCGGCTTGTTTAATGATATTGGCCGCGGGACCCACCTGTTTCACAGATCAAAGAAAACTATCGCATTTTTGTTTAAAAGGATTAATGGTACCAAAAAATGGATTAAACTAAACTTTTTGTTATTTTTTTTAATTTTCCGCAAATTTTTTAATGGCTAAAACGTTATTCAAAAAGTATTAAAAAAGACTACTTCAAGTGCAAACTTTTGCTTTAGATCTGGCATAAAGTTAGTTTTTTAACCCGAATTTTTTACGAGCCTGACATAAAACTTGTTATAAAGGAATCAAAGCTATAAAAAATATTAAAAGAACACTTCTACTTCAGGCGTACAAAAAAATTATTTAAAAATAAAACACTATGCTTATAATAAAGTTCAACTTTTAGACAATTCAATAAAGAGCAAAATTTTACATTGACATTGTAAAAAATAAATAATACCACTAAAACCATATAGTAAACCATCCTTCAAACTAACATTTACTGGCCAACTTCTTTGTGGTTAAGAGTTGAACTGGAAAATTGCTCAAGACAATCTAAACCAGTTGCGCACGCGTTTAAGCGGAATTTAAGCGGAAACTGATTCAAAAATGTACACGAAATGAGCGGGCCGGAAACTTTTAAAATCGCGTATACTTTTGTATAAGCGCATTAAATAAATCACCACTTTCAGTAGCTCCTAAAATTTATATATTTGTAAAAACATGCAAACGCTATTTACGCAACTAAACTTCTAACAACAATACTACAAACAATGTGTGTCAGAAGCTTAAAATTTGCTTAGCTCAGTTATGAGAAACACGCATTTGGCCACTTAAAACTGGGAATCCTTGAAAAAAATCAGCGAAAAGTGAGTACTTGGTCACAAGAGGAATATAAATAAACTGTTTGAGCCGCTTATTATGACAACAAACACATGTTTTCAAAAACTAATAAGTGTAACAATTTGAGAGTAAATTAAAGAACTTTAACAACTAAAATATAAAAAAATATGCGTCTTTACATAATCTTGCAAAAAACTAAAAAACGAAAACTTTTAAAAGGTTTTAAAAATTGTATTGGTCGAAAATGTGAGCATGGTATAATCTAACACTATTATATGTCCATTCAATTCCCTTGAGTACACCACTCACCTGGAAATTTTTAAGTAAGTGACCAGCGCTTTCATAAATAAAGTGTAGTGCTGTGGCAATTAAATATTTATATGTCTCATTTACCTGACACAAAAATAATACGACAAGTCTGATTACGCAAAAAAAATTTTAAATTTTTTATGTTTCAAACTTACAAAACAAAAAACCGTGCGCTTATGTGCTTCAATTTTTTACAGAACCAGAAAATCCGCTTTTATTTTTTATAATCCTGAAACATGTGTCAAAGCTTGTCAAATTATAAATTTTAAAAAAAGTAAGTAACTTGCAAGTATTTTTAGCACTTTTTATAACACATGACATTTTATCTTAATAATGAAATAAGATACACCGTAAAAGAAATTGAATGTGCCGAGACCAAAATTTGAGTAAAAAATAATTCGAACGCAAAAAAAGAGATCCCTTGAGACTGTTTTATCAAATACGTTTTTGAGAATTGAACAGCCATGTTAACTTGTGTTGTTCATCAACATCAATTTTTAAAACCCCTATAAAAATTATTACTTCAGACATCTATGACCGAGCAGTCAGCGCAATACCCTACCATACCCTACCCTACCCTACCCTACCCTACCCTACCCTACCCTACCCTACCCTACCCTACCCTACCCTACCCTACCCTACCCTACCCTACCCTACCCTACCCTACCCTACCCTACCCTACCCTACCCTACCCTACCCTACCCTACCCTACCCTACCCTACCCTACCCTACCCTACCCTACCCTACCCTACCCTACCCTACCCTACCCTACCCTACCCTACCCTACCCTACCCTACCCTACCCTACCCTACCCTACCCTACCCTACCCTACCCTACCCTACCCTACCCTACCCTACCCTACCCTACCCTACCCTACCCTACCCTACCCTACCCTCCCTACCCTACCCTATCAAAAGATGGGGGGGGGAGGTATAAACGATGTAATCCATGCCCGCTTGTCCTTACGATTTTTGTTGCAACGACAATTTTTCACGCTATTTCTACTATTATGTTCTTAAAAAATTGGATTATGGGGTTGCAACATTCCCTTGTAAAACAAAACTAACAACGTATTTTAGCTCTTTGCATTAAAAAACGAATTGCGCATACTTAAGACGTTTTATTTCTGTGACAATAACGCGTGAAAAACAAGCAGATGTTCAAGCCAAAAATAAAAAACCAAACGTCTTTTAACTATTTAAAATACTACAAATAAAATATAAAAAAGACAGATGTAATAGTAAAACTTAACAAAGTCTGACACCCGGCTATGATTTTAAAAATTTTTCACTAGTATTATAGATGCTTAAACGACTTGTGGAAACAATAAATCTTTAAAACATCAGCTGGAGTTGCGAGAGCGCGTTACAAACCGCAAACCATTAATTTATATAAACCCCAGTAAAATTTAAAAAATAAAAACAAATTTTAAAAAATACAGTTTTTAAATTTGTCAATATCAAAACTTTCAAACTAAAAAATTATGTTATTTGTAAAAATTTGTATTTCTATTCCTTTTAAATTTTTGAAGATATTTTAGAGTGACATTATGTTTCCGCAGTTGGAAGTTATTTTTCGTAAAAAATGAAAAATCGTTTAAAACAGACGGAACATAATTAATCTGTACTGACGAGTTAATCGTCGTCTTCCAAAAAACTGCATAAGCAAAAGTAGCTGTCATTTAAAAAAAAATGGATTAATAAAGAAAAAATTATTATAAGAATGTTAAACAATGAAATCTCGCTAGAAGGACCCCGCTTACAACGAAACCCCCGTTATAGCAATTTAATTTTTTGAATCTCCTAAAAAAACATGTTTGACAATCACTAACTCCTAAATAAAAAAAACTCGGGATGTAACGAAACTACGCTACAGCGATTCAATCCCCTTGCGATTCGTTATATCGGGAGTTCATTGTAGTAATAAAAAGTTAAAACTGAGTTTCTTCAGTTTTTTAATTTAACGTAGATTTTAAAATAAACAAGAACATTTTTTTATAGAAACACTTGTATGAATACAATTTTTCGTATATAAATTCGTTTTAAAGCTTAAAATAAATGAAAGCGAAATTGCGGCACAGTGCTAAACGGCTTAAATTTTTCAAAAGTAAGATCAAAAAGCAAGTTTCGCCAAAAAGGATTAAACACTTTAAGACAGTTTGATGAAAATAAATGCAATGTTATTGAATTACAGAACTTTATTGTCACAAAATTTTAAATAAGATTTTTTATGCTACTTCAATCAACGTTACAAAAAATACAAAAAACTTTAATTAATCTTAATTAAAATTTATTAATTTTAACGTTTGGTGTAAAGAACAATGCTGAACCAGAATTCGGAAGGTAATTTCTTTATAATAATCTACCAGCTTGGCACACTGAACAAAAAATAATTGGCATGTCGAAAAATAGCACCGTTTGCAAACTTTCATATTCTTCTGAAGCAACAAGTAAGCATGATAGGCGTGATAAAGTCTTTTTAGTAAACCAGTCATCATGCTGTATTTTTCAGAAGTTCAGGATTTTTTTTGTCTACTTAAAGACGCACTTTATTTAAAAAATCATAGGGTAAAATTTCTAAGGCACCTTACCTTAGCCGATGCAAGTTCTTAAAAATAGTTTTTTAAAATTCCGAAAATTATTTCAAAAAAATGAGAAATAAAGACTATTTTTTCTGGATTGACAAGAAGGCCATGTCCAAACTTTGTGAAAATTTTCGACCCCTCCCCTTTGAACGACTCTGGTCATAACGAATAATACCCATTTCTCGACCTTGAACATTTTTATAATTACTGGCAACAGTTTGATACTTGAAGCGCAAAGCTCTAAATAAAAATTAATTGCTCTTTAAGTACTGAGAGGAAACATTGAAATATTCTTTACAAAAAGTACTCTAAAAGCGTTATAAAAGCTAAAAATTCTTTATTGAAGTTTTTTTTGCAAAACCAGAAAAAATTAGTAATGTATATACCACACAAACAAAATGAATTTCACGGCCAATGGCAATAAATTAGCATAAAACGGTATCTGATTATCGGCGCCGCTTTCTTGTTGATTTCTGCTTTTTGAAAAAAAAAGTCAAAGAAGTCGAAAGCTGCCTTAAAGCGCAATACTAGTCAAATTTAATTTTCTCTTCACTTTCTCCGTAAGACTTAACTTATTCAAAATTACCATCAATAATCATGCGTTTCTTTAATCTCAGTATATGGGGAAGACCAAGCAACATAAAAAGCCTTAAAAAGTTAAAAAATGTATTATACATAAATATTTGAAAGGGTTAAAAATTTCAACTTTGTTACACTTAAACGCTCGTAAAGCGCATTCAAAAAATTCATTTTGTTCATTTCAAATTTTGGCGAATTTTTGATTGACAGTCAAAACATTTTCCCTCGTTTCATTTGCGGACATTTCGAAGTCCCAAGGACTTTATAACGGATTTCCAACGATTTTTTGACATGATAAAAGAATTTTCTAGTTGGACGTACAGGTTGCAAACTGGCAAAGAAATGAAAGTTATTTCGTACTGCAATATGTAGAGCGATAAATTCATTGCTACTTATAAAAAAGAATACTTAAGGTTTACTACTATTGTTTTTTTAGCAACTTAAGTATTATGTAACATGTTTTATTTCGTTTCTAACTAACACATTGTTTAACAGAATTACAAAATTTCTTGTACACGGTTTTTTAAATAATTAGTAAGCTGTGGTAGCTTGAAGAACATGTTCTTGTGTTTCAAAATATATGGAAACCTTGAATAATCTGCATTCTGAACCAGTTTCATGTTCATGTCCACAAAGTGAGCCACATAGAAATCAATCCAAGACAGCTAAATTATTAGTTACCATTAGTATAGGTCATATACAAGGCCGGACGTTTTGACGGGAAATTATTTAAGTTTTCCGCTAATTCGGTAAATTTTGTGTTTCAAACACTTTTTTGGTTTTCCCATATAAGCTACGCTTAAAATTAAAAATTGTAGGTCAATTGAAAGGTTTTCTACTAGTATATCAAAAAACAATAAAAAATCAAAAAATTACTAACAAGGAAGGTACCCGAACTACAACGCTCAAATTTCGTTTAAATTGTTTTATTATAATTGTGAGATCATGTAAATGTAAGATCCTACGCAAAATTCTAAGTTGTGGTTTGTGGTCAGGCTTGAGAAAATCGCGAACAAAAAATCGCGTTTGAATTTCCCGCCAAGTTAGCATAGTGTTTCAAGCTTTTAACTTCCTCATTTTTTGACTTTTAACTATTTATCTTTGATATAATGATAGAAAAGCTTCAAAAGAACCTGCAATTTAAATTTACCAGCTGATCTTATCGGGAACATAAAAAAATGCTTGCAACACAATGCCAAACTTGCCAAACTGGCGGAAAATTTAACTATATTAATATTGAAACAGAACCGCAAGCAAAGAGTTTTTACATGTGCTACTAGTAATACAAAGAATCTGTATAAAAATTTTGAGCTAATTCTGAGAGCTGCAGGTTGAGTACTTTAATTGTAAGTTACAGGATTGAAACACAATGCCAATTTGGCGGAAACTTAAAAAATTAATTTATTTGATCTCGATTTTCCCGAGATTCACTGGAAAGCGCGATTTACTTTAGTATTCTTCTGATAGTCTTATATTTATGATGCCTATATTTATATAATCATTCCATGTTTGATAAAAAGTTTGCGCTGGATCAGAATGAAACAGAGTTTAACTCAAAGTACCGCAAATTATTACCTTTTTGCCAACAATAAATCCGGAGCCGTTCAATTTTATTTGTGTTTCCATAAGAACGCAAAAGTCTTGCATCATTACTTTTTCATACGTTGTACTTATTGCATTTTCTAACTGTAATTGTAAATTTTGTAAAACTGGAATAAAAATCTAAAATTTTTTAAAAACCTACGTTGTGCTGTTGTTCGCTGTATAGTTTTGCATAATACAATGGTTTCAATTCATTTATGTAATCGTTTAATCTTACACCCCAAACTCTAGCTAATGCACGCTCTTCAACTGTATGCAAATTCAACCCTGAACCACAAAACGTATTATTAATATTCTTAAACGACATGTAAACAAAAAATACTGTAAAAATCAAAATATCAGCTAATAGAAGAACATACCAAACACGTCGCCTAGGTATTCTAATACACAGCTAGTGTAACAAATCTCTAACTTTCCATCAACTGTGAGGTAGGGCATACGGGGAAGTGGTGGATCTACAATCAAATATAAAAATGTAGTATGTCTTACCAAGTTTGATTTTTGTATATTCTAAATAATCCTCTCTTTTGTCGACATAACTAACATTAGCGTATTCAAAAAGAAGACGGATCGCTTCGGCTTTACCGTTCAAATTGACATATCTGAGTTCGTACTTAACCATAGTAATACCTAAAATTTTAATAACAAAACGAATTTAAAATTGAACAATTGTAAATTAAAGATTCAACTAAATTTTACAAAAATTCCGACGTTAAGAAACTTTTTAATTTAAAACAGTATTTTTTCATATACAATGCAATACCGTAAATAAAATCGATTTTTCTCCCTTTTACACAATGAACTTTTAAGGAGTGTTTAGCAAAAAACCAATTGTAAATAGCAAATTATTAAACGATTTTATACATTTTTATTGATAACACAACGTTACCAAATTTTTATCACAATTCCAATAAAAGTTTTTTAATGACAGCAATAAAAGTACAGTTTTTTAAGTTTTAAGTATATTTTTCATTTACAGCCAAAATTGGCCGGTTTTATAATAATTTTATACCGGTCGGTTTTAAATTTTTCAATGGTTTACAGCAATCTTATCAGTTATTTTAACATACAGAAGAAAGCTAGACAGGTTTTATTCCTACCGTGCATTCGACCGACAAGGTGGTCTGATAAGTTTTATACAGTATTATAAAAGAATTAATAACTTTCTAACTGTAAATGGGTATAAATACGCTAATTTGCTATTTACTTTAATTAATTTACAAATATGTTGGTGATAACATACATGCGGCAACAAAATTACGTATACTGTAAACTTTTTTTGTGTTTTTGAACGGTAAAATTAAAATTCTACTCTGTATTTTTTAAACTTAAAAGTTTGATTTTTAAAAAATGTTTGTTGTATAATAACGCACAAAAAGTAATAATTTTTTTGTACTGTTCTGTTATTTTTTCGCTTTTTAAAGCTTTTAAAAAATAATGTATTGACTGTTGCAATCTCATAACGATTCCTGTACTTTATCTACTCATTTTTTGTCTACAGTGTTTTAATGTGATCAATTAAAAAGTCCTTAAAATTTTTTATTTTTCTAATAATTTCTGTGATTAGATAATTTTTTTTCTTTACTACTTTTCTGATAGCAAAAAAAACTGTAGCACAAAAATCTGGTGATAAACGATAAAACAATTGGTTTTAAAAGCGTGCCTTTTGTGTTCGATAACAAATGATTAACATAACATGTCATTGTGTTTATATTTTACTTTAATTTATATTTTAATACAAAAAACATTATGTGCAATATTTTTACATCTACCATTTATTCAACATATCATATTTATTAGCCCGTTAACATACGTCGATTATTGCAATGTGTTTTATTTTACAGTAATTGCTTTATACGGTTGAATATTTACGTTTTTCAGCATTTAAATTATTTAATGAAATACATTTTTGCAACTCATTAAGTTTTTTACTATGTGTTAAAGAAATTATTAAAAATAAACATTAAAATATAATAAATATTCATGACATCACAGTATTCGGCGTGTTCAAAAATATATAAAGTGTTTCCAGTTACATTTTTGTCACATTGTTGTACTTTTTAAAAACTGACTTCTTGCGATCCGGGTTTCAGGCCAAGCAAAATTTGGGCTTGCATAAATTTATATTAAAAAGGTTTAGTTAAAAAATTTAGGCGTCGCTGGAAAACTAAGTCTAAGCACACGATTTAATAGTCAACCTTTTAGCAATGCCAAAAATTATTGAGCCAACTAACGTAGAGAACAATTCGGTGAAGCTAGCGTACACTCTTAAAGAAGAATTGGTGAAACAAAAAATATGTGGTGACAGAATTACGGTTTCTTGGTTAATAAAAACCGTTGCCGCAAATTCGGTCGAACTGGAAAACTTGTGGAGTCAAAGTACTGTTGAAAATGTAGGTTAATTTTTTGATTTTTATTATAAATCTAATATAAATTTACGTGTTTCTTTATTTCTTTACAATTTTTTTAATCTTGTTGTTTTAATGCAATGAAAAAACTTAAAAAACTGCAAAAACAAAGCAAAGCCTAAAGTAAGTAAACATTTTTCGTATTTCTTATGTCAGCCTTTATAACTCAATTTAGGTTGGAACAATTCGATTGGGAGTTGGAGAATCATTTAATTCAGACATTTACCGTGTAGTTATTGAATTTCAAAACAAAGAAAGATTTTCGTTGGTTGTTAAAATACCACAAAGCAACGCTTCAGCTGGAGAGTTGGTAATGGAAAACGCCACTTTCAAAGGTCATGATAAAGAAGTAAAGTTTTACAGAATGTTTTCAAACGCAAAACAACTGGGTGCTATACCCAAATTTTACTTTGGGAGAGAAATTGGACAAGCAGTAAGTTTCACTTGCAAAAAATGCTTAGTTCTTTATTTAACATTTAATTTCTTTAACTATATTTGCCTGACTATCTTTAGTATTCAAAGACAGTTTTATGCATTATAATACATAATACATGAGTTGTGCATTAGTTTTGTGATTGGATAGTCAGTCAAAAACAACGAATTCTTGTCTAAAAGTGCGCAAAGAAAAAAATTTTTTTATTTGTTTATTTATTTGTTTATTGCATCTATTAATACATTTAAACAAAATAATATAGACGATAATATATATAGTTAATGTATTAATTATTGCTGACCCCTAAAGGGCTGACTTCTCAAATTTCTGCAAATTCTACTATAAAAGAAATGATATTTAACTGAACTTTTGGAGAAGGGAACAATAATTTTACTACCACCTCTTGTCCTGGACTGGACAGATTTGGGCATTAAAGACTCAGATAAATTAATTTTTTATCGTTTTTAAATGGGTTTGACAGATTGTAAGTAATCTTGTAATTTAAAAAATGCAGGAAACGGCTATTCTACTAATTGAAGACAAGGGAAGTCAAGTCATATCGCCAAGTATATTTACTTCAACGCCACCGGAACACATTTTTGCTGTATCGCGGGAATTGGCTAGAATGCAGGCCTACGCATTCAAAATTCCGGGTAATCCGTGGAAAACCGAATTCCCCGACTATTGGCACACGTGGGAAGCACATACCGTATTAAACAAAGCTTGTGAGCCCCAGCTAAGAAGTTACGATGGTAAAGATAATTTTTTAAAGTTGTTAAAGTAAAATTTTTTTTATAACCCAATAATAAAAAAACTTGTTTGACTATTTTTTATATACTAACAAAATATTTGAGGTAGAAAATTACTTTTATAGAAAGCGCATTTTTCGTAACATTAGTCATCTGTATAACAAATTTTGTTATTAAGTAATGGTACTTTTCTATTACAGCTGAAATCTCGGAAATGTTAGACATTCTTAGACCCGTAAATAACCGTGAATTTGCTCGATACGCCATTGAAACTCGTCCGGAACAGTTAAGTAAGAGTTTCACTAATTTTTTCTACATGCACTTAACAAGGCTTTCCTTCTTTGTAGTAATGGGCACAATTAATAAAACTCATGGATAGTTAAAGAACTTACGCTATATTATAAAAATTGTAGACGCGATAGCTTTTGCCAATGGCGATTTGTGGTCAGGAAACCTACTGTACAAAAAAGATATGGAAACAAATAAACCGACAAATGATTTAGTTGCTATTATAGACTATCAAGGTGCTATTGCCGGTACGTAAAAACTTATACAAGCAATATACAAAAAATGCAGTATTTATATACTATCGGATATGTTGAGCGTCAAAAAAGCTAGTCTTTAATGTTTTTTAGGTAACGTGTTCATTGATTTGGTACGATATATTGTAATGTGTGTCGACGGGGCGACTCGTAGAAAATATCGGGACCTGTTTATTGAAAAGTTCTACACAGATTTGAAGAAAGCGTACATTGAGTTCCAGATAGCGGAACCGATAGGATTTACCAGGGAACAAGTAAGCTTTAAAATATTCTGAAAAGAAAAATTTTAAACTAAATTTACGACTTAACCAACTTCCACCATTGTATAAAAAAAGTGTTAAATAAACATCACCTGTGGATGTTTGAGTAAAAATTTTACAGATATAAATATTTACGAATTTCAGTGTGAAGAACTTTATGACTTGTGTGTAGTTGAGCAAGCAATTATCTGTATAATGAACATCCCATTTTTTAAAGTTAATGCGGATAATGTTTCATTTGATGTACACAAAAAAAGAATGGAAGTTCTTCTTAAACGGAACCGTGAGATGTTTAAGGACGCAATAACTTTAATGAAGTCATACGGCTGGGACTTTCAAAAACAATAAAATGGAACGCCTTCAAAATCAAATACAAAATTATATTCAGTAGTAACTCTTTAAATAGTTTCATTTAGGCAACTTTATTTTCAAAAAAAAGCACAAGTTAATTTTATATACATTTTACAAATCTGTCCAATTAATTAAGTCTTTTCCGTACTTCTCCAAAGCTTTGTTAACTTTTGTAAAACATTTGCAATCTTCAAACTTCCGGTAACTTAACGGTGAGGGATGCGCAGTCTAAACAGTTGCCTTAGAGTAAAAATACTATATTGAATTTAAATCTACTCTTAATATGTATGTATGCCACCCTTCAAGCCTCCTATTTTTCGAACTTATTGGTGTGTTCCTAACTAACTGTTCTAACACTACACTTTAATCAGGGACGTCGCTACGATTTTTCTCTGGGGGGAGTCACTGAAAGAAAAACAAAACAATATAATAATTTTTTCTTTTAACCACAAGACTTGTGTATATTGAAAAAAGTGGTCTTACCTTAATCACTGTATGTTTCTTTACATCTATAAAATTTGCCTTTTTCTGTGCAAAATTTCCCCACAACATAAAAACAACGCCTTCCAAGTTCCGGTTAATTGCACGAATTACATTGTCTGTGAACTTTTGCCATCCGTATTCAGAGTGTGAATTAGCTTTGTTTTTTCTAAATTAACAAAATATATATTGTATTTTATGTTACAAAGATAAAAATTTAATTAAAAGACGCCCATGAAATCTTGTCATCATAAATTACACATACATTACAGTTAGCGTGGCATTTAGCAGAAAGACTCCTTGTTCTGCCCATTTAATGAGATTTCCGTGTGTTGGTATAACAAAATCAGAGTATTCTTTCCTTAATTCTTTGTAGATGTTTCTTAAAGACGGTGGTATTTTGACACCTTCAGGAACTGAAAAACTTAATCCCATCGCTTCTCCAGGATTGTGATACGGATCTTGCCCGATAATAACCACTTTAATTTTTTCGAAAGGTGTTAGGTTGAAAGCGTTAAAAATCAAGCTCAAAGGTGGAAAAACTTCAAAGCCCTAAAAATGCCAATTTTTGAAAAAAAAACGATATCATTAACATTTACTCACCACAAAAAAATATATATAATATAAGCTTTACCTTTCTCATATCCAAATCCAATTTTTTCTTTAAACTTTTCATGTATCCAGTAGAAAATTCTTTCAACACAACTTCTTTCCACCTGGCATCATTGAAACATTCTTCACTAAGGTCTTCAAAATTCATTATCGTGGAGCCTAAAAGCTAAAAATTACAAATGAGATAATCCATACCACATTTGTCACAATCTTCAATGTCCACAAATTCACAGCAAGTCCCAGATTTGTCGTTCCGCCGTTCCAAATTTTCTTTTGCTTTAAATTCATGATCGTCTAAGCGTTGTCGTTTTGCAGGAACACTTGAAAGCTCGTTTTCCGCCATTTTAATAAAATTTTAATAAATCGATAATTGTTTAAGAACGCTGGAAAGCTATATCTTTCAATTAACGATTAACAACTACAAGAAAAATTATCAGGTTAATATTTTCTATAAAATTTTAAAGCGAGCTTATTCAAAACATCGTTTTCCCTCTTTTTTTTATAATTCGTTTAATTCACTGAACAACACCAAGGTCTCACAACGAAAACTGTGCGCGCCACTCTACGGTTATTTCGTTTTATTTTCGCATACTTGCACGTTTTCCAGAACTTTATGAAAAATAGTTTTTAAAATCTTGAGTTTTACAATGATAAGTGTATTTTTTTGGATATTTTTTATTGGTTTTAGGGAATTTGTTTTCTTTCACAAATAAGTTTGTATTTCTTAAAATTCAACGATCTTTTTGTGTAGTACTTTGATCGTTTTTTGGTCTGTCTGTCTTAAGAGTTGCTTTAGAGATCATATTTAAAATGGCGAAATTGCTAATTATTGATGTATGAGTTTAAATTTTCTGATCTGAGTTGCGAGTTTTAGTTTTAAAAAAGTCACGTTAAAATATTTTTTAACACAAATTACAATTTTAACTTCAACAATGCGTTATAACTTATAAGTAAAGCGTGTGCATAGTTTTATTGGGCTACTTTTTAGAACGAGGTTTTAAAGGCTTTTGACGATATGTTTTGATTCTACTAGTTTTTAAAATTGAGGACTTAAGTGTATAATAAACGCTTTTAACAAGCATTTCTGTTTACTCTTTATCCTTTCACGTTTAATAGAGATTTTTTTGTACTTATTGTGTATAACACGCTTTTAACAGTCTTTACTTGTGATGAACATTTTTCATCAAATGTGTGCATGGGAAAGGTTAGTCAAATCAAAGAACGTCTTTTGGTGCGAAGAGAATCAGGCTTGCGTTTTTACTTACTTATCGGCCGAGAGACAATTGCTTTCTTCAGTTTGTCAAACGGGAGGCTGTTCTGTTTTTTATACATGATATTTGATGGCAAGAGGTTATTTTAGTTTAAGGACTATATAACGTTTTATATCGTATATTATTATGCAAATGTTTTATGCATTTATTCTTTGCTCGTTTAACTTATTTTTGTAAGAGATATTGTAAAGTTGGTGGTTTTTTAGTTTTACGCCATCAAGCGGACTAAAAAAATATGCTTCTTTCTCGCCAATCTCAAATTTTGGTTTTCAAAGTTGCACCAACTCTGGCACAAACTGCTCATTTGTCGAGTGCTGACTACTCAACCAACTTAAAGGAAGTGCTAGCTAAGAAAATTCCTGAACATAACAAAAAAGTTGTTGCGTTTAGAAAAGAGCATGGTGGTAGCGTTATTCAAAAGATTACCGTGGACATGGTACGTTTTTTTAATATACTTGTTTTTTATTTAGACTTTTTAGGTATATGTTTTGTAAATGTACATAATATTTGTATTTTAGGTGTACGGTGGAATGCGATCTATGAAAGGAATGGTAACTGAAACGTCTGTGTTGGATCCAGAAGAAGGCATCCGATTTCGCGGATATTCGATTCCTGATTGCCAAGAGCTGTTGCCAAAGGCTCCTGGTGGACAAGAGCCTCTTCCTGAAGCTATCTGGTGGTTACTGTGTACCGGCGAAATTCCAGATCAAAAACAAGTTGAAGCTATCTCGAAAGAATGGGCTCAACGTGCTGAACTCCCAGAGCACGTTGTTACTACCTTGAACAACTTCCCATCTCATCTTCATCCAATGGCTCAATTTACTGCTGCTGTTGCCGCTTTACAGTCAGAGTCAAAGTTTGCTCAAGCTTACGCTAAGGGTGTGCACAAGACCAGCTACTGGGAATACACTTATGAAGACTCAATGAATTTGCTGGCTAAGCTTCCAACTGTTGCTGCTACGATTTACAAAAACATTTATCGTGACGGTGTGTCTGTTTCTCCGATTGACCCAAAGCTGGACTGGTCGGCCAATTTTGCCAATCAGTTAGGTTATACTGATCCACAGTTTGTGGAACTTTTGAGATTATACTTGGTTATTCACAGTGATCACGAAGGTGGCAATGTATCTGCTCACACATCTCACTTGGTTGGATCTGCTTTGTCTGATGCATACTACTCGTTCTCAGCTGCGATGGCTGGATTGGCAGGACCACTCCACGGTTTAGCTAATCAAGAGGTTTTGATCTTTTTAAAAAAGTTGATCGGGGAAGTTGGTGAAGATTATAATGAACACAAACTCAAGGACTGGATTTGGAATCATTTGAAGAGCGGCCAGGTTTGTTTTTAATTGTGAATCCGCAATTGTATATGAATGAATTTATTTTGTTTAAAATTTTCGATTATTTTATAACCTATTTTTAGGTCGTTCCTGGCTATGGTCACGCCGTTCTTCGCAAAACTGATCCTCGTTACACTTGTCAACGTGAATTCGCATTGAAGCATTTGCCTAATGACAAAATGTTCAAGTTGGTTAGCGACGTGTACAAGGTTACTCCTGACATACTGTTGGAACAAGGAAAGGCCAAAAACCCATGGCCGAACGTGGATGCCCATTCAGGTGTGCTTCTTCAACACTATGGTCTTACTGAAATGAACTACTATACAGTACTTTTTGGTGTGTCTCGTGCTTTGGGATGTTTGTCTCAATTGATCTGGGCTAGAGGTATGGGACTTCCATTAGAACGACCAAAGTCTCATTCCACCGAAGGTCTGCAGAAGTTGGTGAAAGCCGCTTAATTAGTGTCAGGAAAACAAGTCATTTTTATGTCTTATCAATGTTATTTGATTGTCTGTTGGTTTGAATAAAAGCTAGATGTGAAAATTAGGTTAAATTTTTTAATAAATTTTTTTGCTTGTCAATTGACATGGTAAACCTATCTCAGGCCCTGCCCGCTGGCTTACGTCCACCTGCTCGTGGATAAATAGGTCTACTTGTCTTATATCATGGTTAAATTTTAATACAAAAACAGTAAAAAATCCGAACAAACGAGTTTATTCTAATAGGTTTTAGTAAAATATATTTTAGCAGATAAAAATTAGCATTTGAAAACAATGTCACAATATAAATATAGTAAATATGTGACAAAAAAAACAATATATAATGTCCAATAGATATAAAACTAGAAAATGAAGTACTAACATACACAAAGACATTTCTATTCCGGATAAGCAAACGCGTATTGCCGACGATCGTAGCGTACAGGCACTCCTCCTTGTTCTAAATAGCACTGGAAGTCGTTTGGATCGATCGAACATAAGCCACTGGCAGCCCGAACAGAAACCTCAGCGTAACAATAATGCGGTTCGGTGTTTGTGCCACATTCAACCATCTTGATAGGAGAGGAAATCTGTAAAAATTAATTAATAGTTCATTTAATTTGCGTAACTGTAGAATATTTTAGAATTTTAAAGCGAACTTACACATTCAGTAAAGACGTGGGTTTCCTCTTCATGAATGTCGGGTAATGTCACATTCAAATCCGCGATATTCAAGTTATCATTTTCGTCATACTCGGAAGTTTCGCTTTCAAATCGTTTTGTTAAAGGAACAACCAATGGCGGCAAGCAGGTCATAATGTCTGACTCAAACGTTGTATTCAGGTCTGTCGTGCTTAAAATATAAACGATTTTACAGTTACCTTTAGCCCTAAAGAAATGTGTTTAGAACAATGGTGTCTAGGCATTTTTAAAACTAACATACCTTAACATGTCATGCGAAACGGAACGGTCATGCTTCATATCGGATAATTGCCTTCGCAGACGTTCAATTTGTGGAATAGAATCGCATGATACTTGGGTACTAGTATTGTCATATTGACCGTGTAAATGACCGTTATGAAGATAAACGTTTTTGGCCATCAATTGGGTAAGTTTCTGTCCTTTACTAACCGCAACTAAAAATAAAATTAAAAAAAAAAGAGTTTACTTACCGTCCCGACATTTTGAAGGTGGCAGAGTCTCGAGGACTTGTGCAAGCGCGCCAAATTCGGCCTCTGGGTGCATGTCTAGTCGCGGGACTTGGCGCAGCTCTTGACGTCCATGAGCAAACCAGCACCTTTTGCCGAACCTAAATAAGAAAATAGAACATAAATAAACAGAATTTAACAAAAAAATATTTCCATTGAAAACGCCTGAAAACAAGCGATTTATTACCTAAAATTTTAGTTATTAAACTTTCCTCTTTTTAAAAATCCGAAATAAATTAGAAACACTTACTTGCATTCACTCTTTCTTCTATAATGATCGCAAATTCGTGTTTTATACAATGCAGGATTAGTCCAATTTGGCAAGTCAGAAGACGACAACGCCGAGTTGTCTACTGATTCTTCACTAATTGAACTTGATTCTGAGCCATACCGTTCGGACATTTTGTTTTTAAATTCAGGCTAAAATAAATTAAATGACCAAATTTACTTATAAAACTAAATTTAAAAAATCGAAAAAATACTAAAGAAAACCTAAGGCCACAAAGCCGCGGCTCCGCCCGAAGCGATCATCGCACAATTTTCTTTATCTTTTATTTTCTAAAGAATTTCTAACAATTTTCGATGAAGAATTATAGAAATACTGGACGAATACCGAAAAAAATGTTAAAAATGCGTAAAAATTATTGTACCTTCAAAAAAATTGCCAATTTAGTCTTATTTGTAGTTTTTTAAACAGTTTAAATCATAATTATTAATTACAACAACCAATTTTTATAAAACTAACTTATAAAAACAATAATGAAAACTTTAATATTATTTCACGTTTGATCTCTAACTTTTTTTAGAATTTTGCAAGGTAAGACAGAAATTTTCCATGAGTTTTTAAATTAATTTCTTATAATCGTTTCCTAAAGTTTTAAATTTAATTCTCTTTTTAATACCACAGTAGTTAAATTTTTTTAAAATTCCAATACTGTTGACGTTTTATTATTAACTGTGACGTCGGTGATAGTGGCATTTCCAAGATCATTTGAAGACTGAATTGTCTAAAAATCATGTCATTATGTAAAAAGCTTTTATAATAAACAAACTACCGCATGAAGTTTACTATTACTACTGTTAGCTTCAACAAAAGAAGCGGTTTATTATGTAAAACGCACCGTTAGTCCGTTTTGTTGGTTTGTATCTTCAGCTTCGATTGATTGCGGGGCATTTTCGTACACGGATAGAAGATGGGTCTTTGAGTGGCTATCATTTGGCACCAGAAAACTGGTTATATTTGGCAAATGCTCTTCAGTATTGGCAGTATTTAGAACCTCAGGAGTTTGTTCAATAACTTAACGTATATTAAAATTAAATTAAAATTTATACATACCCAATTATAATAAGAAATAATGACAAGTTTTTTGCCTTCAAATATAAAACGTTATAAGCTTTTTCGAAAAGCCCAAACAAAAACTGAAAAATTTTCTGTTCCGTAAAGACAAGAAACGAGGGGGGGGAGGCATGGTCCATGAGAAAAAAAGTGAACATAACATGAATATAAAAAAGTTTATATTTCAAGGGTTATATACAATTTTTTAAGCAAGCATAAATTTTTAAAGCTGCTATAAAAAGTACTTACATGTTTCTGGAATATCGTCTTGTGGGTCGGGTTTACCAGTGACCGTTAATTTATCTACTATTTCGAGTTCTGTCGCTTCATCCTGTTCTTTTGGTTCTAAAAAACCTTTATTCTCTTGTAAATTCTGATGAGTTTTAGGTTCGTTGTAAGAAACAGAGCCTTTAACATCAGACTTAGTTAATTTGACAGCTGATGTTTCAGGTTCTGATTCAGCGGCTGGAAGATGCTCCTCTAGTTTCAGTACGTTAGATTGCTGTATATAGGGCTCCGGCGTTGGTGTGGGTTCTACACTGGTAGTTGTCGTAGATTCGTCCGTCTGACGACGTGAGGACCGGCGAGCGGAGGTCGGTGTAACTGCTAAATATAATTTATTCAACTTTGAGATTTTTTGTACGTTAAATATTCTAAATTTTAAAATCTATCAAAATACTCACATTCGCGCGATTTTGGGAGCTTTCTAGATGCCTTTTTAACTGGTGGAGACATGTCATTGCTTTTAGTGTCATTTTTTCTCTTCTTGGGAGACGACGTTGGTCCCATTAGTGGCCCACCATTATCATTATCAAACTGTTCACACAAGGCGACGTTAATGTTAGCTCTAGGTTCCCATGTGTTTTCTTCATCTCCGTAATTTAACCATTTTACTAAATACTCGACGCGACCACGACGCCACCGGCGGTCGGTTAATTTTTCTACCAAGTAGATATTATTGTCATGATCAGCCTTCTCCATTTTGGTGTAAAACTTTTCTGAAATCTTAATTAAATTGTATGGTAGTGGCTGGAAAACATTTAACGTTATAGATGAGGCAGGAAATAAATTATGGAATAAAAATACTCTGAAAAACACTGCCGCCGTCTTTTAGTGTGTCTATAAAAAAGACAAAAATAGTCTTTAGATTTGTGTGCGTATATACTTTTGTTGTAATCGTTAACACATACAGTCTTACTATTATTGGTTTATGAAACAAGAACTATAATAATAAAATTTTATATTCTAACTTAGGCTTAAGCTTAGGCCAAAGTAAAACTTAATATAATAATATACTGTAATACAACGCCTCAAGTCTTAGGCTTATATACAGTTATATACATAATCGGGTTGAGGAAAACCTAACGTACTAATTTTTAATTGATATAAACCAAATCGACGATGCTGATTCCAAAAATCTTATTCGCAGTTTAGTTTGAACATGGCCATTGGGGGCGAAATTCGCATTAAAAGTGGTGCCATTTTTAATGTGATACGCAAAACTGATCGAGAGACTCTATATAGGGTTTTTAGATGCTAATTTATATTGGGCTTTTTTGCGGTAATCGACCGTATATGACTGGGGACTTATACTTTAAATTTTTTCCTCAAAAATAATTTTTTTCCTCATTGAAACCAAAAAAAGGGCGCAGAAAAGTATAAAATCCTGCGCCATTTTTTGGTGTTCACTGAGAAAAAAAAATTAGAAGTATAAGTCTCCAACCATACAGCAAGAATTATTTAAATTACTATAACTCGACGAGTTATGGAGCTACACTAACAGTCTATACATATTCTGAAAGCCAATCAAAAATTCCATATTATGTTGGTTTTTGAACGCTAGCTTATATTGAGGCTTTTTTGTGGTAATCGACTGTATATTCACTGTATATAACATGACAAAAAAAATTAAATTATTGTAAGCTTTCAGAATCTGTATCGACTGTTAGTGTAGCTCCATAACTCGTTAAGTTACAGTAATATAAATATTTTCTTGTTATATTATACAGGGTGAATATGCGATCGAGTACCACAAAAAACCTAAATGTAATATAGCTAGGCTTGGACGTAGGGCGTTGCCCCCTGTGCCCGACCCGGCCCGGCCCTGGGGCCGGGCCAGGGCCCATTTTCGCGATCAGTGTCAGGGCCGGGCCGGGCAGGGCACATGTTTTTAACCGGGCAGGGCTTGCTTCGTGCCCGGTAATGCCCTGTAAATGCCCGGAGAATTTTTTTTTCATATTTTTCGAAAAAAAAAATAAAAATCAGTTATTAAATAAAATTGTTGATTTTCTAACAAGTAGTGTTAGATTTGGTATGGTAGATAGGATAGGTTATGGTATGGTATGGTATAATAGGGTAAGGTAAAAAAAGTCAGGGGTAGGGTCGGGAAAGGCTAAACAGGTCAGAGGTAGACTTGGATAAAGCTAAGAAGGTCAGAAGTAGGGTTGGGTAGGGCTGAGTAGGTCAGGGACGAGATCGGGTATGGCGAAAAGGGTCAAGGGTGAGATCGGGTAGAGCTAAAATAGGTGAGAGTGAGAGTGGGTAGGGCTAAAAGGATCAGGGGCGAGGCCAGGTAGATATAGAGCAGTTCATTTCACTTGTTATTAGCTTTATAAACTTAATTTACAAATGCCCTGTAAAACCCTGTAAAGCCTGTAAATTCCCTGCCCAAAACCTGAAAGCCCTTCACCGGGCAGAGCCCAAGCGGGCCCGGTGCCAGGGCCGCAAATTGGGCCTTGCCCTGCCGTAAGTCCAAGCCTGAATATAGCGCAGAAAAAGCAACAAGATGTCATTTTTGATGGGCTTTCAGAACCTGTGTTGGCCGTTATTGTAGCTCCATTACTCGTCGAGTTACAGTATGCATGTAAAAAAAACCACTTTTTTTATTATTTTTGTGTCTCATACGGTACTATGAAGTACGTTATTTTTTTCAATTATTTTTTCTAAATATAAGTTGATTCCCACTAAAATTTTTAGGTGTTTTATATCAACGCGATGTTGTTGTTTGTTCTTTCGCCATAAAGAACGCTTTTTCGCTTTTCTAATTATATAAGCAAGTGAAATTTCAGTTTTACTTTATTATTTATTTTGGGACATTGTAAGGTCGGGTATAATGAGAACAAATATATGTTCTTATGTTGTGTTTTTTTAATAATTTTGTGTTTGACTTTTCCGCCGCTAAAAACACGTTTTCTTGTAAAAATCCTGATTTTTATTGTAGATTTTGTTTCTATATCTTATACCGTTTTTTGCTTTTGATGTGTAATTTCGTTTTGATAAACAAAGTGTCGGAAGGTGTAGCAAACACCCAAACATGCAATATAGCTTAAAAAATTCGTTTTCTAAAATTGCTAAATTTTTCGTACGCCGCACGTCAAGTTGACTGCGGCTAAAATTCTTTGTCACTTCGTTATTGGGTCGAAAAACTACGGAATGTCACAATTCACAAAAATAAAATTATATTTTTTCGTTTTGTGATTGGAAAAAAAGAAATCTTGGTCTTTTGGTCGCTTTGAACGTTGCATAATTGTTAGGTCAAAAAATAAGCAGAATTTTTTTATTTTTTAATTTAGTTGTCTTTAGGCTTAGGCTTAGGCTTAGGCTTAGGCTTAGGCTTAGGCTTAGGCTTAGGCTTAGGCTTAGGCTTAGGCTTAGGCTTAGGCTTAGGCTTAGGCTTAGGCTTAGGCTTAGGCTTAGGCTTAGGCTTAGGCTTAGGCTTAGGCTTAGGCTTAGGCTTAGGCTTAGGCTTAGGCTTAGGCTTAGGCTTAGGCTTAGGCTTAGGCTTAGGCTTAGGCTTAGGCTTAGGCTTAGGCTTAGGCTTAGGCTTAGGCTTAGGCTTAGGCTTAGGCTTAGGCTTAGGCTTAGGCTTAGGCTTAGGCTTAGGCTTAGGCTTAGGCTTAGGCTTAGGCTTAGGCTTAGGCTTAGGCTTAGGCTTAGGCTTAGGCTTAGGCTTAGGCTTAGGCTTAGGCTTAGGCTTAGGCTTAGGCTTAGGCTTAGGCTTAGGCTTAGGCTTAGGCTTAGGCTTAGGCTTAGGCTTAGGCTTAGGCTTAGGCTTAGGCTTAGGCTTAGGCTTAGGCTTAGGCTTAGGCTTAGGCTTAGGCTTAGGCTTAGGCTTAGGCTTAGGCTTAGGCTTAGGCTTAGGCTTAGGCTTAGGCTTAGGCTTAGGCTTAGGCTTAGGCTTAGGCTTAGGCTTAGGCTTAGGCTTAGGCTTAGGCTTAGGCTTAGGCTTAGGCTTAGGCTTAGGCTTAGGCTTAGGCTTAGGCTTAGGCTTAGGCTTAGGCTTAGGCTTAGGCTTAGGCTTAGGCTTAGGCTTAGGCTTAGGCTTAGGCTTAGGCTTAGGCTTAGGCTTAGGCTTAGGCTTAGGCTTAGGCTTAGGCTTAGGCTTAGGCTTAGGCTTAGGCTTAGGCTTAGGCTTAGGCTTAGGCTTAGGCTTGAGGCTTAGGCTTAGGCTTAGGCTTAGGCTTAGGCTTAGGCTTAGGCTTAGGCTTAGGCTTAGGCTTAGGCTTAGGCTTAGGCTTAGGCTTAGGCTTAGGCTTAGGCTTAGGCTTAGGCTTAGGCTTAGGCTTAGGCTTAGGCTTAGGCTTAGGCTTAGGCTTAGGCTTGGGCTTAGGCTTAGGCTTAGGCTTAGGCTTAGGCTTAGGCTTAGGCTTAGGCTTAGGCTTAGGCTTAGGCTTAGGCTTAGGCTTAGGCTTAGGCTTAGGCTTAGGCTTAGGCTTGGGCTTAGGCTTAGGCTTAGGCTTAGGCTTAGGCTTAGGCTTAGGCTTAGGCTTAGGCTTAGGCTTAGGCTTAGGCTTAGGCTTAGGCTTAGGCTTAGGCTTAGGCTTAGGCTTAGGCTTAGGCTTAGGCTTAGGCTTAGGCTTAGGCTTAGGCTTAGGCTTAGGCTTAGGCTTAGGCTTAGGCTTAGGCTTAGGCTTAGGCTTAGGCTTAGGCTTAGGCTTAGGCTTAGGCTAGGCAGGCTTAGGCTTAGGCTTAGGCTTAGGCTTAGGCTTAGGCTTGGGCTAGGCTTAGGCTTAGGCTTAGGCTTAGGCTTAGGCTTAGGCTTAGGCTTAGGCTTAGGCTTAGGCTTAGGCTTAGGCTTAGGCTTAGGCTTAGGCTTAGGCTTAGGCTTAGGCTTAGGCTTAGGCTTAGGCTTAGGCTTAGGCTTAGGCTTAGGCTTAGGCTTAGGCTTAGGCTTAGGCTTAGGCTTAGGCTTAGGCTTAGGCTTAGGCTTAGGCTTAGGCTTAGGCTTAGGCTTAGGCTTAGGCTTAGGCTTAGGCTTAGGCTTAGGCTTGAGGCTTAGGCTTAGGCTTAGGCTTAGGCTTAGGCTTAGGCTTAGGCTTAGGCTTAGGCTTAGGCTTAGGCTTAGGCTTAGGCTTAGGCTTAGGCTTAGGCTTAGGCTTAGGCTTAGGCTTAGGCTTAGGCTTAGGCTTAGGCTTAGGCTTAGGCTTAGGCTTAGGCTTAGGCTTAGGCTTAGGCTTAGGCTTAGGCTTAGGCTTAGGCTTAGGCTTAGGCTTGAGGCTTAGGCTTAGGCTTAGGCTTAGGCTTAGGCTTAGGCTTAGGCTTAGGCTTGAGGCTTAGGCTTAGGCTTAGGCTTAGGCTTAGGCTTAGGCTTAGGCTTAGGCTTAGGCTTAGGCTTAGGCTTAGGCTTAGGCTTAGGCTTAGGCTTAGGCTTAGGCTTAGGCTTAGGCTTAGGCTTAGGCTTAGGCTTAGGCTTAGGCTTAGGCTTAGGCTTAGGCTTAGGCTTAGGCTTAGGCTTAGGCTTAGGCTTAGGCTTAGGCTTAGGCTTAGGCTTAGGCTTAGGCTTAGGCTTAGGCTTAGGCTTAGGCTTAGGGCTTAGGCTTAGGCTTAGGCTTGAGGCTTAGGCTTAGGCTTAGGCTTAGGCTTAGGCTTAGGCTTAGGCTTAGGCTTAGGCTTAGGCTTAGGCTTAGGCTTAGGCTTAGGCTTAGGCTTAGGCTTAGGCTTAGGCTTAGGCTTAGGCTTAGGCTTAGGCTTAGGCTTAGGCT